AAAGCTGATAGTAATCCTGCAACGGCTCGAAAAGCTTTAAAAGTCATGATTTGTGTCTATAAACTATTGTTTTTTTTTTGGCTGGCTCATGACATATAATCGTCTTTTATCTCTTTGCTATGGATATTTGTCATTGCAGCTTCTAAAAGTAGGTTTTGTCACGCTTTTGGTAGTATCTTTTAAAATTTGTGTGTTGTTGTCCTTCGGGTGGATCAGTGGGTATATGAATTACAAAAGCACAACAGACCATTTGAGGCTCAAGTACGTTAAAAGCTGTTTCTTGTGCTATAAGGTCACGAAGACTCATGCTATTCATGTTGGCAGCACATATGTCAACGAAGGTATCGGGTAAAAACGTTGCCGGCGCACGGTCTTGTACACAATGCATTACGGCATAAACTATTGTATCGGAGATCGTCGTCGTTGGCGCAGATCCGACGAGAGCAAAGCGATCAGTCAGTGCAGAAAGCCAGCAATGCGACGGAGAGTAACAAGCGACATAGGAGAGGTAATTCACCAAGAAGTAAGGACGCAAAAATAGATGACCGTGCAGTACACCTGCGCCAAAGCAAAGTGTACGAAAAAAAACGACAAGGACAAAGTGGTGAAGCTCGGTAACGGTAGGAGAAGGAGGATCTGGTTTACAGCCCTTCTATTTGATAATAGCCTTTAACAAACAGAGCTGCATCAGTGTTGGCTGCCTCATTCTGAATGTCGACTTCTTTGTTCCCGAATCACAGCATTGTTCATGACAAAATCAATGTCACTTTGACGACGATCTCTAATGGCGACCATGTTGCTCGAAGCAAATGTCTTTATTGTGCAATTAGGAACGAGAATTACGAGTCTCGCTCGCATATATGAAGAAGGCATACAACAATATAAAACACCGCACAAATAAGTTCAGCGAATGAGAAGCTTTTTTTACTTGATACATGATACTACTAATCAATAAGAGGGGGTCAATGTCTTAGCTTCCCTGCTCTTAGGGAGTAACCCTCTACCACAAAGCTAGGGTCTTGTCTTGGTCGCTTTGTGGATCATCAAAGGTCGATTGGTATTGAGATGCCCAGTCCGGTCTCACCAATCGCCACCCCCACCCACCCACCCACTCACTACCTTCAACCACCTACCTTGCACCTTCGTCGCCCGTACCTACAAAACAAGCACCACCACCCACCCACCCACCCACCCACTTACCTTCAACCACCTACCTTACGCCTTCGTCGCCCGTGCCTACAAAACAAGCACCACCACCCACCCACGACCCACAAAAACCCGCGTTAGCCCCCCCTCCCTCCCCACACATCCACAGAAAAAAGAGAGGAACTTACCATATGTGATCGTGAAAAAGTGAAAAGTGAAAGAAAAAGCGAGGAAGCAACACGCTGCGGAAAATGGGTGTCTTTTTATGGGCAAAGTTCATTTCCAAAAAGAACGCTGGTCTTGGGCCCAATGAGATTCTGAAGAAGGGACGCTTGCTTTTTTTCCTTTCCTGTATCTTTTTTTTTTGCGTGCAAAAAACTAAAATAGGCAAAGATAAGCTCCGTGCTCAACAAAGCGCAGAACAATGGCAGACGACAGTAACACGATCACAACGCGCTTTATCACACTTTGGAATGCACTTTGCACCTTTCCTTTTTTTACATTTCTGTGGTCGCGTAGTTCTGCTCGCGAAATAATCGAAAGGAAAGAATTTGTTGGGAGGGTATGGACTCCAGCAACAACGGCGCTTAAGGCAAGCTGTTCTAAGCTGAGAGAACCAGTTTAATGGTTTGTTTCGCTCGCCACGCCCCTTTCAACCCCTTGATTAACCGAAAACAGCCATGCTGGTCTATAATTTGACAATTTGTTTAAAGCTGCCCACATCCATCATTGCGTATGAGAAGACGCTGGCTACGGCGTTCAGCACACATTTACTCCAACCCAATCCAATACACGCTCAGTCATGCTGGTGATAAGATATCATATTAAACAACTTGCATAACACTATCCGCTATCATACCCCAGATACTTTTCCTTTTTTCTGATTTGAATTCGTCAATATAACTTGTGGTGACAAAACTTCCGTTCTGAGTGCATCATCGGCTCCCTTTTCTTGGTAAATAATCGTATAAGAGATTAAGAGATCACAAATGACATACATCTGTGCATCATATCGCGTCAGTCCATATCGGGTTATAATAGCCTTACATATGCTGGATCATCCGAGTATAATGTTTACGTGCTTTACACAACTCGGTTGGATTGTCTCTATGCGACAGTGCTTAGCTTATTGCCATGGTAATTGCTGTGTATGCTTTTGCTTGATTTTTAGCCGAGTACCTTATTCCGATGATGGTTTAGGTAGTGTAATGATGTGTTTTACCACAGTGTATTTATATATGTGTTTGCGCTCTGTATTCTCTTTTATAGTATAATAAAATCTGTGGCGAAGGTATTCTACCGAAATGCAAGCACACCATAGCCAGTGCTTATTTTTATGTACTTAATACATAGGAGTTGACGGTTTACGTAAATGCAGGATCCGTCAATTCTCACACCTCTTTGAATTTCACACAAAAATCGGGAATCTTAGCTTTGAGCTGTTGTCAGGTTACAGTGCCGCTGCGGGCTGCTCAACCCTGTTGATGATCTCTCCATTACAGCAAACAGCGCAATACTCTTCCGTCGACCATAAGATAAGACATTTAAAAAGAAAACGAAAATCAGTTCGACGAACCGCCGAAACCCTCTGCTAATCAGACATCCACGTCGAAAGGCTCAGCACTTTGTTGTGCGAGCTCTACTGTCTGAGGTGCGGGTGCTATTGTTGCTCGCTCTTTCTAATCCTGTTCTTGCTCACCAGCAAGCGTTGCTGCTGCTGCTGCTGCGGTTGTTGTTGTTGTTGTTGTTGTGATGGAGATGATGGTGGTCAAAACACTGATACGTTTCCAAGATATATGAGTCCGTTGAAGCATCACAAACTGCTGATGACTGCATTCGCAAAGTACTGGTGCTGTAAAATCGTGTGTACGACAAGCACGATTCAGCCCCGAGGAAAACGTGCTTGTCAAACAGGTTGCTGAAATTTGTTTTCCATAGCACAGTGTATGTACAGTGCTTCCAAAAAGTAATGTCACAACCAATCAAAATCAATGTCACAGGCCAATTAAAATTAATGTCATTGGCTAATGAACAATAATGTCACAGGCCAATAAAAATCAATCCCAGAAATAGAAACCCCGTGTTTTTGCTTAGAAATCACGTCGTCATAATTCTTGGCACCAGAAGAGTATAAATACAGAGTGAATATTTTTTTCTTGTTTTCCAATACTTTATACAATTTAACATGAGCACAATATTTTTATATGAAGATGGACATGGAAATGTTGTTGATGAGAAAGGTGGTCCTGAGCCCATGGATTACATTGTTGATGAAAATGAATTTGTTGTTGAGACACTTGCTACTTATAGTGAATACATGAAAACTGCGTCCTCCAGTGAATCTTCCTTGACTTCTCCAATGTTGATAGAAAAGCCAAAAGATGAAGATATTTGTATGAAGGAGGCAGATGTAAAACGGAATTATGTGCGTTATACGGTCCAGGATAAAGCTCGGTTTTTCGATCTGAAGATTGAAAAGTGTATGAGTGCATCAGCTGCAGCGAAGCAGTTGGGTATTCACATTCGAACAGCGTACAGATGGGTCAAGCAGTATAATATGCATCCTGATAGCATTTTTGACAATATTAAAAAAGTAGGTCGAAAATGTATCCTTACGGAAGATCATAAAATGACTGTTATCTACTTCATTGATGCTAATCCATCCGCTTCTGTCGTTGAAGTGACCGAGCATTTGTTGAAGCAATTTCATGATCTTAAAGTTTCTCGCAGCACTGTTTATAACTTTATGAAAAGTGAATGCAACCTTTCGTTGAAGAAAGCAGATTTCCACTCTATTGAAAGAAACAGTCCAGCAAAGATCGATGAGCGATACAATTGTGTTTGCAAATGGGAAAATACAGAAATGAATTTCCTGACGAATTGCGTGTTTCTTGACGAGTCTGCTTTTGACATAAATATGAAACGTTCAAGAGCTTGGTCCAAGAAAGGCACACGTGCCATTGTTACCCAACCTACAACGAGAGCAAATACAACGTCTATACTGGGTGCTATCTCAGCAGCAGGTTTGATTACGGTTGCCGTAAAAAAAACCAAAACCTGCGAAGAAGAGAAAAGTTGATGGATATATAAGCTCAGGAACTGTGACAGGTCACTATATCAGTTTCTTAAAAACGACTCTAGATGAAATGGACAAGCATCCTCACATGAAAGGCCACCATGTAGTCATGGATTATGCACCGATTCACACACATGAAAACATAAAGAAGTATATTGAGTATCGAGGTTATAAATGCGTGTATCTTCCTACTTACTCCCCTGAGCTTAGCCCAATACAACAATTCTGGGCAGTGGCAAAGAGTAAGGTTAAGCGTCATAGGTTTTTACAGGAGGACACATTATCAAAAAGAATCACGGAAGCCTGCAACAGTGTGGAGAAAAGTCACTTCAAAGGTTTCGTTTCGCATTCTTACAAGAGTTGGGATAAATGCCGAAACAGAGAATCCATGTAATGACTATCGATAACAGTAAGATTGCAAGAGGTAAGTAACAATGGTTTCAAAAAATGCAAAAAAAAAAGGATAAAGGTATGAAAGGTGGATGAAGGTCTCTGCTAAAAGGTGGCAGGTCTCTGCTGAATGGTGGCAGGTCTCGCCTGAAAGGTGGCAGGTCTCTGTTAGAAAGGTGGCAGGTCTCGCCTGAAAGGTGGCAGGTCTCTCCTAAAAAGTGGCAGGTCTCTGCTGAAAGGTGGCAGGTCTCGCCTGAAAGGTGGCAGGTCTCGCCTGAAAGGTGGCAGGTCTCTGCTAAAAAGGTGGCAGGTCTCGCCTGAAAGGTGGCAGGTCTCGCCTGAAAGGTGGCAGGTCTCTGCTGAAAAGTGGCAGGTCTCTGCTGAAAGGAAAGGTGGCGGGTTGCAAAAAAAAAAAAGAAAAAAAAAGACACGCCTTTTTTGTCCCCTTTTTTGTTCATTTTGTTTCTTGTTTACAAAATGATCACACTTGGGCAAGCGTCATGCTTGGTGCTCGACATGGTGCCTACTGACGAAAACAGGAAAAAGGCCGTTGACATCATGGCAGCGTCACCATTTGGAGTGACTTATACAAGTACCAAAGGCCATTTTGAACCTTTTGCATTAGCCAAAACAATCATCGCGAAAAATCCATACAAGTACAAAGTTTACCCAGCAACACCTCCAACAAGTCCAGAACAATCTGATACAGAGAACAGCGGTAAGTGAAGGTGTAGTTCATATATACCGCTATACTCGCACGGATAAACTAAAGAACCGGATGTGTCATGATCACCTCCTTACAACATAGCAATCGTTGCCATCGTTACTTTACCTCACATGCTGCTGCAGAGCCCCCGTGCTTAGCTCATTTAGCTTTCTCTATGTGTTTGTTATCAAAACACATCTCCCCTGGCTAGTAGTACCTCCGCCTCTTGTGTGCCCTCTGTGTATACTTCAGTTCACTTCTTGCACGATTAACCATCATCTCCTCGTTAGTGCATACTGATGAGTTGACAGCGAATTTCGCATTATCATAGTAGTCACTAGATCAACTTAGTACTTTGGTTCTTTTGTGTACCCATCGCTGTACCTCTATTAGAGGAATCTCCTATTCTATCTTTCTTCCCTGTGTATTTCGTTTGTCTACTTTTTACACTGTAAAGCGTCAATCAGTAGCATTGGTGCATATTATATCTGTTGTTCCGGCCCCAGTTCTACCACTGACACAATAAAAAAGACGGTTATTTTGAGACAATTCAAGTCTACACTCATTAGTACTTTAAGCGTAAGTGGGAGGCGTACGCATAGATTCGTATCCAAACACTCTGTTTTTCCGCCTTACAATACAAATTAAAATGTGTATTTGTTCGTTGCTTTTGTTATCACCCCTGTACAAATTGCTGCTACCCGTGTCAGTAAGCTCGGTAATACATCATTGGCTTGAGACCGTGATCCGACAAACGATCAGGATCTAAGCAATTCTTCCAACCACCTTGCGTTTCTCGGGGAGCGTTCAACTTTTCTGGAGCATGGACATTTGCGCTTGTATATATTTAGTCTTCAGCCTTCAACTTTCCAGGAATTATTCAATATCAGTACATTAAAATGCGCCACGATTTGAGACGAACGAACATGTTGTTAAAAAAAAGATCCGGATAGCGACTGCCATTTCTCCTTCTTCTCGACCATCATCCTTGTAGTTTCGCAGCTCTATGAATCTATGCAGTCTATTCACAAGAGTGCTCTCGTATCTGGAAAAACCACATACCTTTGTTTTACGCCGCCAATTCTGTGATTGCTTACACATGAGAATACAGTCGTAAGCGGAGGAGATGAGATGGCTCGGTTGTTGCGCGCTTAATACAATTTACTGATGAAGAATTATATATCCGTAAGCAAAATTACGCGTATAATAATATTATTGCATCGTTTACTCACACATTCTTTAACACCTCGTGCCACGCCAACTCTTACCAACAAAAGTAAGCTGACTGATGCAATTGGCAATTTGCATTGTATATGTGTATATGTGTATATGTGTATAGCACGATGTGCCACATAAAAAGTTCACTGAGGTTACGCGACAGAGATTATGCGAGGAAGATAACTAAAATGATAAAAGGGTCATTCTTCGCCTGTAAGCGCGAGGGAGAAGTAACGCAAGCTCAAACGCCAATGACAAGGTGGGATCCGTTTACGAAAACCGAATGGTCAAGAGGAAAGTGGTACTTTTAGAAACCGGAGAATAGCGGGAAAAAAGGCATCCTACTTGCAATACCAGCGCGTTATAAAATATCGTATAAGCCCTTTTTAAACCAAGCTTTGACAATGCGAATCCGCAGCAGTCAGTCAAGCTTGAAGTCAAGCGTGTCTCAGTTGCTGCCGTTGATGGCCATTTGTTTCAAACGGATCTTGCATCACAGAAAAGAAAAACACGGACGCAACCTCGTTTCTTTCTTTCAAGAACAATAGCAGGGTCCGTGCGTAGAGAGCACGGTGTCAAATGGTTGCCACCGCTTTATATGCACTTGAAAGAGATCCTAAATCTCAAATAGTACATTTCACAAACAAAGTTCAAAAGTACTTCTTCACAAGGTCGATCAGTAAGCGAGAGATCTTTCTGTGTGAATTGGAATGTCATTACCCAACGAAAGATTAACTTTCCGTTATAATAATAGTCAAACATAGAAAGCTTCTCTTGTTGATTATTATCTTTTTGTCATTTTCTTATTGTATTTTAAAGAGAAACCCTCTTTTCTAGGAAGTTCCAATAGAAAAAGAGGGGAAAAACTCCTGCTGTCTCTTTTTTCCAGGAAGACAGCAAAACCTGATCGAAGACGCAGGTAGTGAATGGTCGCTACGCAATGAGAGACCTTCGCCATTCACTAGTGGCGCCCGTGCCGTGTGTGCCCACAACGTCAACTAAGCACAAAGATACTTCAAGGTTGTTGTATTACGTTGATGCAGCCCTAGGGCATGCTTCCAACAACCTTGCTACCATTGAAGCATCTTTCGGGTAGAATATATCCACCTCAACCTGGCTAATAGCTTTCCAAGTCAAGGATTCACACAACACTTTGCGCTTCATAAAGTTTGTGTAAATGGAACTAAAGAAGAAAAAAAAGGGAGGGGTGGGGGGTTTTTGGTATTCTTATTCAGACAATTTTTTGCCGTCACGCTCGGGTCTTCAATAAAATCCATCATTTTGATTGGCTCTCATTTGTAAGGCTCTGGTTAGCTCATTCTATGGACCGCTTATACCATATGACGCAAATTACAAAGCAAAGGGAAGGGGAAGGAGATGTGTAAGTGATAGTCGTCATCAAGAAGTCAAATACGCTACAGCCGCAGTGATCGACATGTATCACCCTATGATACGCTATATATATGTTTCACCATGCCGATGTACCCTCCGATACTGTCGCCGCTTGTTTTGGGAAGAAGTGTCAGTGCACGCACCCAGCCTCTGCGTCAAAGACAGGTACGTTTCGAATGCCAACTTGTTCAATGAGTACGCAAGAAAAAAAAGGTGCGACTGAACAACGCAATTAGAAATGACAAGGAAGAAAGACACAATGCCAACGATGATTAAGAACGATGGATGAGTGCTCGTGTGCGATCTGGGAAGCAGTAACTACTGCTAAATTGCTAAGGACTCACATCACTTGCCCTGGCGGACAAGATATCTACAAGTAATACTGTCGTGTCTGTTCGACCTATAAATATTATGTTGAGGGTTCACTCGACCCAATCCATATTACTTTATTGTAGGTTGCTGATTTGCTATGTATACGGTGGCGAAGGTGTGGCAAGTGCCTTTTGCGGAGACGACCGGAGCTAGCAAATCGGACGGACCCTTTGTTATTGCGATTGGGTAATAGCGCTGTCAGACTAGATGATGAGGGCTGGTGATGTGTCATTCTATCAGAACATTTCAATTCTACGATGTTTGGTTCTCCTGTTGGACTTTGCACTGCGTTCTCTTTATAAATCGCCTCCTTTTACACTTCTTGGGGCTTGGATGATTAAAATTTTTTAAAGTTAAAACAGTGCAAACTCCTCGTTGTTGATACATCCTGTAGTTACTGGAAGTATTGCAATTAAACAATTGTCAAGAGCTTTACTATATGAAACATATTACAAAAGTTGTTGAATAAACTCTTCTTGTTCCAAATACACAAAGTTGTCTGCTCTCTCAAATTGTAAACTGCAACTGAATGCTTAATAAAAGGCAGCAGCCGATGGTCGCGACCGTATATCTACGCACTCATTATTCCCTGGATTGCGATCGCCTAATATGGTGCTCCCGGCGTTCAAGCTATACAAGTTCTGGGGTACTCTCGTTTATAGGGAAGAGTCATTCTCACTTCTGTTACAGAATTACAATCAGTGTCTTTCTTCATATTATCCACGATGCAAAACATACTGTTGATTATGTTCATCGATGGCAAGTAGTACAATCAACAAGCGGTCAGTGTGTGGAGTATCAGCAAATATATTACCAGGCTTCTTTGCTTTACGCCATTGCAAAAAGTAGTTCCTGACCATTCGCGCCGAAGCTTAGAACAGTATGGTAAACTCGACGGAGCCCTGAAGAGCGCTGGTCGCCTATTGTGACGCTGGCGCGTTCTTCAAAAGAAACAACCTGAGCGAAGCGGTCGAAACATTTGATGATTTGTTGGTCAATGTCACTATTTTCCTCTAGGGGAGGTTGTGGAAGTTTTCAAGCAGGCAATACGTGATCCCAATATATAAAAGGCTTTTGAGCGCTCGAGCATACTTTTACATGTCTTTGAATGACTGTAAATGCTGTTTAGGAAGCATTAAGATATCGAAAACGCATCTGAAGGCGACCATTTTATATTACATATATGCTCTTCAAGCCCATTATCCGGTTCAAAAAGTTGGTGGTTATAAATGGCAGAAAGGTCATGTCGTTATTTGAGGGTCCGTTTCATTGGTAGCTGGTGTTCCTTTTATTAAAGTATTATATCAGTCTCAAAGTAAAGATGTCCTCTCTCCTTTTGTTCGTGGGATGATGTTAGAAAAGAACTATCTGAAAGCAGCAATCATAAATAACTTATTAAGTCCATGCGATTCATGTATACTTACTCCAAACGTAGGAACGCGTCACTATAATATATGCTTAGCCTACTTTAAAACAAACGTATATAGGAAGATTTGGCTACGCTGCTAGTCATCACATTAAATGGATACATACATGAAAAGCGAAATCATAAGCCGACTTTCTTCTATATACAGTGCCGATATTAATCGCTAAAGTGTATATACTTGTTTACTTTCCTTATCCATTGGGAGCTCTTGTTTTACAACATGTTATGTTTCCTGCTACACGGCAGCTTGTTTTTGACAACCAAAAAAGTTGGCATCAGATACATGAAATGGGCAGCAGCATGCTATATATATAGACACTTTAAAGAAAGCAGAATCCGGTATATGATTTACACGCTATAACAACTACTAGTAGTAGAAGAAATTAGCGGAATGCTATAGTACCAACATCGGAGAGAGGGTCCCCGTATATACACATTACTTATCATTATGTTGAATGACGACTGACCTTTTGAATCTTTTCAAACAATGATGCAAATTACTGTGGATGACGTGCATGATCTCTGCTCAAAAAGTGCATATAAACTGATAATCGTGCATCCGTCCCTCTTAAGCTTACTCGACAGAGAATCTGATAAACTAAAACAGGAGTAAGACCTGCTTTCAATTTACTGTGTAGGTAGAAGAAACATTAAGAGAAAAAAGTATAACGATGCAAATAAACGTGGGTTGTTGTTATATGTAGAAACTTTGATGGAAAATAGGTGTGAATTGTTATGTGTGTGGGGTTTGCGGTGCAATTTTGCATGATAAGAGAGTTTTTTGCTAGTTACAAAGACAGGAGGATGATGGAACAAATGGGGGAATGTTTGAGAAAGGGGTGGAGGAAGAGAAAAACAGATGTACAGCGAGGGGAATGGGAAAAGATAGATAGATCTAGATGTCGATATCATCTTTCTCAAACATACCACCTAACGTGACCTTTTCACCAGGGTTGAAGGCTGGCATACCGAGGAAAGGGCAAGTCGAGCAACGAAATGCATCGCCCAGGGCACAACTACCACAGCCGCCAACAGCCTTGGGTGTTGGATCCACATCCACCACATCATCGCTGGTATCACCGTCATCTTCCATAAGATCCAGCGATACGACATTATCCGACTCATCGGTTTCATCCATTTCAGCACGGCCGCAGGTGCAGTTCTTGCATGCCTTGCGACGACCATCGGTCATTTCGCAGTCATCAGGACCTATGTGTGCGATAACCCATTTAACCAGTCTATTCTCGTATCCGCATATATATATGTATGTAGATCAGTAAGTACTTACGAACAAGAGACTCTTTGCTTGGCTTTACCAGATCGTCGTCGTCCAACAAAGCATCGGCGTCTTCCAACTCATCTTCGTCGTCATCATTGCCGGATATTTTCCAAACAGACTTTTTGGTTTCTGCAGGTGTTGTTGCTGGCTTTTTCTTGCGAAAGTTTAATGTCATCTTTTGGCCAACTTCATAAGCAGGCTTCTTCACCTCGACATGGGCCAAAGCGAGTTTGCCTGACAAGGCCTCAACACCTTGCTCGACACGCACAGCGCCCCAAGCTTGGATGAATTCGGCGAGGTCCGCGTCCGACACTGGCTCCACACGGGTCACATTGACGTCCACGAAACCCGTAAGCTTGAGAAGCGAAACAAGGTCAGCTTCCTTGCGGGTCACTGGACACATGGAGTTGCTCAATTCCGTCAACAAAACGGGTTCGATCAAAACAAGCGAGCCACTGGCTGTGAGGGTTGAAAGGAATCGTGAAAGAACTTGAGGTGTATGTACGGAATTGGTGGGTGGGATCGCATTGGAATAGATCTTGTTGTAGCTCGCCTTGGCCAAGGGTGCTGTTTCAATTATTCAAGAAAAAAATATATCAAATGTGTGAGTGAATGAATGAATGCCGAAACAATTGTTACAATGCAAGTACTGGATCCTCGGATTCCAACTTTATATATTATTTACCTTCAGCAACCCGTTCCATTGCTTCAAACGCCGTAGTGCCATTGGCACCGACTTGATCTTGAGCAGAGGCTTTAGCCTTTGCCAATGCGTCTTGATTAACAGTAGCAGGTGAGACAAAGAGAACCGATTCACCCTGAGAAGCTTCGAAATTGGCAACAACCATTTGGGCGATTGATAAGTCAAAAAAAAAAAGTGGGGAGTAAGGTAAAAAATAAAAGAAAGAGGCAGGCTGAATTTGTAAGCGAAAGGGAAACGAAAAGGCAGAAGCTAAGAAATGGAAACGATTGGTCCCAGCGAAAGCAGATGATTGCTGGCTTTTTCTCCTCCGCCAATAGATTACACCGGCGATGAACGGATCAAATCAAGCTCGTTTCCGTATTATCTGTTACTTTTGCTTTTGATTCCAAGAAGCTTATCGGACTTGACTCAAGATGCAATGTCGATACGCAAAACATTCGCATGACCGAGCTTTCGTCCCTGTCACTCGCTAACCAATTGCTTTGTATCTTCCATGTGCAATCGCATCGTACAGAGCATAGAAGCCAAAACCACTGACATATCTCGTCGTATCATCACCCTATGATTCTCAAACAGCTACTGTGTCTTCGTTTTCTGTAGTTTCTCAGAATTTAACCTAGAAAACTCTTTCCATAAAGAAAAGGTTGCAAGCGACGCATTAAAGGCACTACAAGTTCAGGCTTGCTGATGATGGCTTATATACGCAACGACCCGCTGATAAAAGAGGGATCATAAATATACAATAAGCGATAGAATGCAAAAGCAGCTACTCGCTGAGGTAGCATCAAGTGGATCACAAATTTCGCGGCATCAATCCCAACCAAAGATACAACTATGGTAAAGGGTCGATGAATTCTCTCGTTATGAGCAGCTTGCGTTAACCAAGTGCTATCAGACAAAAGAGCATCCCGATAAGCCTTCCAGCAAATCGATGCCTCTGTTTGTATAGTCTGAAGAGAGCGACGGTAAAATTACACCTTCAAAAGGCATAGAGTTCTATATCAGTAGTTCTGCAACGGTAGAAAACATTCAAAAACCTATAGTCACAAATTATATGTATCAGCCATTACAGGACAAGCAAGCTGGCGTCACATGATATATTTTTGTTCTTTTAAAAGATGCGCTCAACAACGGTACACTACCCTTTGTCGCCCTGTTGTGGTATTCTGAGTGACTAAAGACTCAAGGAGAGAGTGGCTATATAGAATACATGAGTATGTAGAGTGGTACAATTTCCCAATGACAATGGATGCCCAATCAAAAAATGGGCTGCGAAAGGTACATGAAAAACGGCGGAACTATATCTTAGCATTTGGGATACCGATTACGGCAAGGCCGTTTTGGTGCAGGTGCACCACACACACGCACACACCCTCGCTCTCACATAATAATCACGAATCAGATCCTGTGTCTTTCTTTTAACGTTTGCCTTTTTTTTTCTTTCCGCCAACCCTTTTCTTTTCTCTCTCCCTCATTTTTTCCTTCCTCTCAATAACTAAATATATGGAATCGGATCTCTCCAGCTCGCGAATTACTTCGTCCATGCAATCTTTATTAAGCGATGACGATGCAGACGACGATCTATCAATGGCGTCGAATCGAGCAGCAGGAGCAGCGCGTCCGTGGTCCTATGCATCGAGTAACCCGCGGAGCTCGTTGACATCGCCGTCGTCGCCCTCTGCATCTCCAGCAGTAGCACGACGAGCCATGGCAGCAACAGCACGTCACCAAGAAGCAGATATTGGCGACACGCCTCGACTCTATTCTATACGGAAACAACCGTCGTCTCAATCCTATTTGAGCTCTCGCCTAGAAAAGTCAAGCTCGGAACCGAATCTTTTGGAAGAACTAGCATCTGCTCAGTGTCGACACTCATCGCCTCCTCCTCCTCCTCCTCCTCTTCCTCCGCCATCCTCATTATCACAGCAACCCTCTCCACAACATCATCATCATCTATTACCAGCACAATCACAGCCAACATCGGCTGGATCCATCTTACAGACATCATCGTCGTCGTTAGCACATACCAATTATAACAGCAGCGATGATGAAAACGTGATGGGCGTGGATATTACAGAAAACGGGGCAAAGGATGCCATGCTAAAGCTGGAACCGGCAGAACTGCAGCATTTCCGGAGATGGGTTATTGGCTTTTGTATCGTCAACTTTGATCTGGAGATTGGACAAGGTAAAATAGCCAGAGGGGGGGGAGGGGGGAAAAAGAAAAAGTCAGAAGGAAGGGGATAGGTTTTTTGTTCAGAGAAACTGTGTGGGTGTCGGACATGTTCAGGACGGAATCTACCGCGCGTATTCGTGTACGCGCGTCACCCTCTTTTTTGCCAATTTGTTTTGATCTGTTGACACATATGTATCATCTATACAGCGCTTGATTATGTGTATCCGCCTATGGAACTCACAGACGACGAAAAGAAAAACATGTAAGGTTTTACATGGTCATGTTGTGATCCATTCAGAGAAAAGCCCCGATGGTAAATAATCCCGTACTTTCTTTCTTGTGTAGCTGTTTTTCAGCGTTCCCAGACTCAAACGTGTTTGAAGTGGGCGATCAAGTGTACAATGTCCGAGTGCGCGCCAGTACTGCTGGATTGGCTGTATCTGGTAAATTAAAGCCGAGGGAGAACAACGGTGTGTTTGGCTCGACTCAAAAAGGGAAACCACACTCTAAATAAGGAATTTTTGCGATCCGATCTATCTCTCTTTTTTTTTTAACAATGACAGGACCAACAACCAGCGCGGGATTCCTTTATGGTTATGTTTTCTTTCGACAGAAAAAGGATCCACGAATTCGTCGGGGCTATTTCCAGGTATGCCACAGAGCGTGTGTAACCAGCATCAGCAAATGCCCTTTTTGTTTGACTGACAGTCATTGTAGAAATCATTGGTGCTATTGTCACAGCATCCCTATGTTGGGCTGTTCTCTCGGATAGTGGCTATTTTGGGCCCTTCGTTCTTTGACACCGGTCAGCCCATGTTGGAGGCTGCATGCATGAATATCGCTCATTGGTATGCTTTTGGGTTGGGGGAGGGGGGGGGCGAAAAGGATGACTGAACAGTAGTAGTAGTGAGTTAGTGACGGGGTGGATCGATGGTGGTATACAGAGCTGTGTATGCATGCTAATGTAAAATAGGGGTGCAGTGATTGAAGGCAAAGTTCTTGATTTACCTTTTCTGGGGCAATTACTGCAAGTCGAGATCTCCCGTCCGTACGAACCTCAGTTGTTAGAAACGACATCATTCGATATGAACAGATTACAACCAGATATGCAGGTATGATTCAAATCAATGACAAGGTGGGGAACCAACAAGTGTTTAGTAACGCCAAAACGGATGACATGTGCTACGGTAGATCATGGCTTCCTTACCAGTCGGGGGATTATACCATCATTTCAAAGATATCCTTCAAGACTTGTGGCTATTATGGGAGTTGATGCTGTTAGCAGAACCATTGGTTGTGATAGCACCGGATCCAGGTGTCTGCAGTGAGGCGGTGGTATCAATGGTGGATCTCATTAATCCCGTAAGTTTATTAGTGCGGCTATCATCAATTTAAGCATGAAAGTTGTGTATGCTAAGCTTGCGATTTCATGCAGATCCCTTATTGCGGAGACTATCGTCCATACTTTACGATTCAGGATACAGATTTCAAATCGTTTGTCACGAAAAGCAAGGTAGGTCATTCGCCTTTCACTCTACTGTGATTATCCAAGTTGCTGACTGTGGTTTATATATAGCCACCGACAAACCTTATCCTTGGAGTTACCAACCCATTCTTCAATACTGCGATTGAACACTGGCCGCATGTGGTGCGGGTAGGCAGACAGCAATTAAGGTAGGCTAAACGACACTATGCGTTGGATAGAGTCGGATAAGAAGGAGAGGAGGAATTTGAGGAGGCAAGAAAGAAGCGGATGCAGGGGAGTAAGCAGAAGCGACAGTGACAGTCAGAGTGAGAGAGCGATGCAAGTAGGGCATCATCAGTGGCGGCCGAATAGTTAGTAAGCTGACGTGATGACAATGATACACTACGACAGGAAACCGGACGGCACTTTGATATCTGCCCACGGTAATCATGTAAGGACGCATAAACCCAAGGCCGGCTTGGGTGCCAAGTCCAATATCCTATTTGAATTTGTTCAGGTGTGTGTCTTTCTTTGTTTTGTTTTTACCATGGAGACAGTAGTGCGATGGCGGCAGTGTCAAATCTAAACGTTCACACTACACACCAATGCAGGGGGTGACATCGAAGCGTAAGGCAGTTATTGCCAAGGACCGACAACTGCTCAAGATGCTGACAGAAGCAAGCATGCGTGGACATCCACCGGGTAAAGTCCAAGGACTGAGGGACGATTGTTGAAATTAAATCTTTTCGCACTGACTTTTAAAAATTCATAGATTGGGTGCTTAATAACATGTTGCGACGGCACTTTGTGGATCTCACGGGAAAGTTCCTCGTGCCACTGGATCGCTATTTTAGCACGCTTATACCTGCACCCGTGTAAGTAGCAACAGGTTTTTATCTTCTCTTATGAAAGCAGTTATGCATGTCAATGACACACACACACACACACAGAGTGCGCTAATGTAACAAAACAACTACTCCCCTTCTGAAAATGGCAGGCAATACCAGACGGACGCTGTTGCTGGGCCTCCTCAATTGAGACCGTTCCAGACCGAGCAGTTCATCAAGTCGCTCAAGGAACATCAACGGCAGCTGCCGTTCAAATCCACGTTCAAGACTCGCACAGCAACCGCAGATCCCTTGCGAGATCTGTACGCACAGTTCTTAAAGTGCGGCAACTTTGCGACATGGCTGCAGCATCGCACAACCGAGGCACAGAACGAGATCATGAAGCAGTACATCCAAAGGCTGGTCGAGGAAGCAGACTCGCGGAGCTCGGTCGACTTGAAATCCCGTATTCGGGATGTGCTGGTAAAAAAAAAAAGCCCCTTTTTGTTTTTACTGCTGCTGCTGCTTTTTTGTGTTGTCCGAACCCCTTGAATGTTTTTTGTTTCCTCACCTCACATCAATGGACCTGTGTAGTACCCGTCGTCGTCATCGACACTTTCCAGCTTCTCGGCGACGGAGCAGCAGCGAGACCAATTGATGCGCGCATTGGGCGAACGGGACTAAGAAAAAGACAAGAACAAGAAAACAAGCTGCACAAAGATTTGCTAAATTGGGACAGCCTTGGGCACACAGCAACGTGTCCGGGCTGGCTTTTTATGGCAGGGTGCCAACAGCTTTACTTTGTTCTATTTTTTATTCGTCTTTCTCTCCTCTCTTTCTCTCTCTTCTTCTCTTCACACTTACACACTTACACACACACACACACACACAACGCCCCTTTCTTTCTTTCTTTCTTTCTTTCTCTCCATTCCCATCCGCTTCTCTCTTTCTATCTTTGTTCTTCAAACTGCGTCGCAGCACACATCACATACACCCCAACTCATACCTTTGCATTAACCCTTATTCATGTCCAGCTTTTCATCTAAACTCTCGAGGGTCCGCTCCGTCAAACTATCTGCCTTTGCCCATCGACAACAACAACAACAACAACAACAACGCTCACCGTCACCGAACCCGCCGCCATCATCCTCCACGCCATCACAGCAGCCCACCGTCCCCATTCGCTCGACAACGCCGACATCAACGCCGTCGTCCAATAATGAACGCCGCTCCCTACCTCGCAGTCGCACCGTCAGTGGCCGAGGCCTGACCCATCAAAGCTTTGGCGACACCCTACGAGCCATGTCCAAGGAAGCACAGAGCGGTGAGTTTGCCGACGTCTTTGGCTCCTTCTTTTTCAGCGACAAACGATGTCAGAACCGTGCCTTCTTCATGGCTGCACGGCTGAAGCAAACCTTACAGCCCATCCTTGCATCATCATCATTATCATCACCGCACACAACACCGGACCCTCTCTGGGAACTCGTGACGCATCGCCTGTACACGCTCAATTATATCTTGTTTGTGTTGCCATCGACATGCGATATTCGAAACCACTTCTTGGCAGTTTTAGAGCAACAGCTTGCACAGATTGGCGATGGACAGCATGTATTGCGACGAGGTGGTATGGAAGTCCATTTCAGTCTACGATACGTTTTGAAAAAGTATTATCGACGTAGTCGCGACAGCAACAACAACAACAACAACGACGACGACGATGACATTGAAGATATCGTAGAACGGGCACGTGAAATCATTGAACATTGTTTGGAAAGTGAGTCGAAACTGGGCCATGCCGAACGGGATGCAATGTACGTGTTCCATGGATTGCGAATGGGGTTGCACGGATCACTTGAGCCGCGTATCGAACTGGATGACGAGTATTGGGAATTGGCACAGCGATTAGCGATTGCCGTCAAGCAAAACAAGGAATCAACACAGCCGGCTTATGTCAATCCTTTCGAGGATGATGATGCCGTTGTCACTGACGACAATGATGGCATGCCGCCCACGACGACGACGGCAGCTTCTTCACGAGAAGTAGATAGCGGGTTTTACGATCACTATGTGCCACCAGCACGGTCGGGAGCAGCAGCATCGTCATAGAGTGATAGCTTTTCTATATTATATATAAAAAAAAAGAATTTCTTACTCTTCTTTCTCATACACCACTTCACACACACACACACACTCTATATATATTTTGCACTTTTACAACAACACTCCACGCACTACTACACCCTCGCACACCGGACACGACAAAACAACCAACACACGCTGTCTGTTTCCGAAAACAATAAAATTAATAAACCTTGTTGATGTAGATAGATATAGCACGTACGTACCGTCCCACGCACAGATCCGTCTTTAGATTATGCCAGTATCGGTAGCACTAGTGTCCAGTGATGGCAGCTGTTGCTGGCTGGCGTATATTATATGCTGGGTTGCGACGAGCCAGGGGCAAAGCGACTGCAAGGACGGGAAGGTCTAGTCTGGCGGGCAAAAAATAATGCTGAAACACATGACACGTTTTTTTTTTCTTTTGGTCTCTCTCTCTCTCTCTCTCTTTCACTTTCACTTTAGCAAATAGTCATAGTATCGCATTAAAGAAACGATACATCAAAGGGAGCAAGGAACAGGAGGCGCAACGCATATTTATATAAGTTTCTTTCTGTGGCATTTGTTTATATTCCATACACAGAAGGAATACATCTTACGTTTGGGTGGGTATGATACTGTGACCGCATTGAATGCACATATATCAATCCATTGGAGGGTCCGAAACACAGCAGTTTGAACCTAATCCGTGTTGTTGTTGTTTATATCAAAAACATCCGCCCATGGTTGTTTGATATCAATGCACATACGCTATCGTACAACTGGAACAGCAACAACAGCAGCACATACTTTCATATACACGCTACGGACATTCAAGTTGGGCCAAGAAGACGGAACAGGCCAGCGTGGCAGCAGGAGCATCGTCAGCCGGTAACCCTTTCTCTGTGCTGTAGAACATCAACGTAGTCAATCCGAAAGCAGTTACATTCAGCTGACGAAGCAAGGCATAAAATTCGAGAGGACGGAGTTGGATGTGTATTTTTTTCACAGCCTTCCTCTAACACATCTTTTCCTCTTCTTGGGTCACGAAAACCCAGTTCCTTTTCTTCCTTCCTCTTTTCTTTCCTTCCCTGTTTCTCCTCTCCTTTACTATTCTAATTATTATTCTAATTACTTCTCTAAGAAAGGATACTGCCACGCTATGACGTTCTCAGAAACCGAACAAGACGTCTACATCCACAAACGCCAACAGCAACAACCTCCACCACTCCATCATAAAGCGAAAATGCGCCCTGCACCTGCCCCAACCACAGCAGCGACTGCTGCTGCTGCTGCTGCTGCCGGCGTCGGCGGTGCCAGATATCAACCGCGTTCTGCTCGTCCACACACCACCACCACGTCAAGCGACAGTGCATTCTCGCCCCATATCTCCTGGCCTATCCTTCTGGCCGTTGTTCCTACCGTAGGCTCCTTTTTCGCTGGCAGTGCCGATGCCTGGAGCGATTTTGTCATGATACTACTGATTCTTTACTATGTCTTTAAATGGATGACTGGTACGTCGCTAGGAGACGCTCTTTTTGCCTCACTTGCGTGCAACACTGTTCCCTTAACCGATAACTCTCACACACAACTCTTGACTACAAACACTATCATGTAGTTCCCTGGTCGTACTATGAAAGTGCACGATCTCGCCGTATGATCCATCAGAAATCCAGCATTCTTCTAGATGAACGAAAGCAACTTACTGAGCTCCAGCGTCGTGCGATCATTGCCGAAGAACTACGCCGGCATGAACTCGTTGGCTTGTTCTGGGTTATCATTTCACCTCTGCTCGCAGGTTACACCTTACAGTACAGTCGCTACTTCCTGAGCAACTATGAGCGCTACATGAGCTCGTTCAACGTCGTCGTATTCGTGCTTGCCGCATCGTTGAAACCCTTGGCACATGTGATGACTCTCTTGCGCGAACGAACACTCTACCTCCAAAGCGAAATGCAGGCATCTGAAAGTCAGGTGCAGATGTTGCAGCGCAAATTAGACCTGATGGAGGATGAGCTGGATACGTTGCGCAAAGCATTTGCCACCAAGAAGGATTTGGGACAGGTAACACCATGATTGCTCACTGTCTCTCTCTTCTTTGGGCCATTACACAAACACACACAGGCCCATTGTTCTCGCTCTCCTCCAAATTGAATATTAATAACATGTGATTATTTGAACTAACACATACACACACACACACACACGAACATTGTGATGCAATAGGTTACAGACGGACTTAACCCGACCATCCAACAACTGGCCAAGACATTGCGACGGTTCGAAAAGAAGGAAACCGGGTTGCGATCATGGTCTGAAGAACGCTTTTCGTCGATCGAGCAAAAAGTGAACGAATTCGACCAGTTCATCTGCTATCGTATTGAGCAAGATCAACGGCAATCAGCACATGGTATGGTTGTTACGTTAATCCTGTTGCCACTCAACATCACGCTCTGGGTTGTCAAGCGCATGACTGGATTGCTGCCAGTGCCACGCGCATTACTCGGCCATGCCTCTACAACTGCTAAATCGAACGTAGCATTCCACCATCATAGTCACGGCAACAACAACAATAACAGCAACAGCAGTAGTACCAGACGAAATACAGGTATTCCTGCAAAGCATCTGACGCATCCAGACTCAGAGACAGGATCGATCGCTGCTGCTGCAACAGAGATTCCAGCGTCAAGCGAGCCTGCAGTTGCACTGAACCAGCACCGGTCAGTACAGCGCTAAAAAAAAAAAAAGGTGGCAACGCGTCTATTCTATTACGACATTTACACACAGCATCTTCATTCCCGACGGCATATGTCCCTGTCTTTCATATTTCATATGTCTTTTTTTCCTACCCATCCCAAATTACATGTAACGTAGTACCGTCATTTTTAAAACGTCCTTTGCACCCGATCCGAAAAACCCTCCTATTCACCCGCCCTGTGTTGTATTATCCATCCCCATTTTCCCCAAATATCGTCATTTAACCCGCTCTTTTTATGAACTTACCTGCATTACATATACTTTATATTTATACCCACTCTCTTCTTCTACTTTTTCCTTACACACACACACACTCGAATCCCCTCGCAGCAACACACATCTTCCCATTATCCAACCTTCATCCTATATGTTTATTACAATGCCTCTCTCTCATGTTTTACCGAAAAAAATATAACATTCTCAACTCATTTCTTAATAATCTTACAACATCAACTGATGCAACGTTTCGGGGCTACAATAGTATTGTACTTGCTGTAGGTCTACAATATGAATAGGAAGAGTCCCTGTTATGTATGTATGCACTGTAAGCACGAATTCATTTTGAGATACTGTAATGTCCAGTTAGGTCATGTATTCTGGAAAAAGTGATATAATACGTGCGAAATTTGGGTTATTGGGCAATAAGGGATGCTCACCTGAGTGACAGAGTTGATGTCGACGTACGAGCTTCCACAGCGTATCGACTTTTTCTAGAGGTAAGCCAATATTCCTGGCGCTGCGGTGCTAATAGTTGCTGGCAAATAACTGCCCGATTCAACTGTGTGTGCATTGCACCAAACGCGTCTAAATTGGATCTTTTTGTGTGGTTAATGTAGCGTTCCAACTCGGGAAATTTTTGCATGTGCAATTTTTAAAAAGCAAAATTCTGGAGACTGTGAGCTGCCATTGATTCCCGGGACGCTTATCGTGGTCAAGGCAGTAGAATCCAGGTGACCGCCTGCATGGAACGTGTACAGCACAGCTCCTTAGAAAACACGTCCTTTGCCTCTCTGAGCTTTTGCCCACACAGACTCAAGGTATTACCACGCTTTTTGGAGAACGTCAACGACGAATGTCTCAAACATCATTGTTGTCACGCGTACGAGCCGATGCTCTTCTAGTCCTAGAGCACATATGTATACCAAGGTGCATAACCCATATCGTCTATATTGCCAGAACGATTACTACAGTGATCCACACTGGGAAGGACTGTTGACGTTCAATCGTCGGTCTGACGCAGTTCGCTTTCTGGTTTCAAAATACGTCGGCGAACTTATCACCTTTGAAATAATTACGATAGATTGTGTGCGTACTGACGTCTGCGAGGGTAAAGATGTTGTATTCTTCCCCCGTACACGTAGGAGATACAGTACAAAGAACTCACGCAAAGTCTGTATCGAGAAACAATGACAAGGGTGCATGTCCTTCTTCAGCTGTCATCCAGAGGACTTGCTCTCTGGTCTGCAGCAAATCGATCAGCAAAGCCTTTCTGTACACCACTGCTGTCATGATTAGCTTTCTTCGCTGCTGCTGTCATTTAAGCCCACTTCTATGTCATACTCAGGTGAGCTCTCGGTTATTGCAACAGTACAATAACTGGCTTCTCGTGATAGTTGTCTCCTTCGCTTCAGTATCGTTTCGCCATTCCTATAACCTTCTCGTGTATCATATCCCACGGGTCTTTTTTCACCATTACCGTGCCAACGTCTAGCTACTGCTTTGAAGTATATAAGTTAGTTTGTCAAAGATAAAGTGCTCGAAAATTCATAAAGACAAAAAAATCAACCTTCTGAGCATGATCTAGTAGACGAGTGAGGAAGGGATTTTTCGTATCCATTATTGACTTGTGCATGTTTCATGATAGTTTGTTGATGCAAAATGTTTAAAAGAACCTTTTATTTTTTTTTGGCAATTTTCAAAAATCATAGTCTGTTTCCACAAGCAGTGTTTCTTGTGGCATATTTCTACCAGCTGAATTTATGTCACCAAACCTTAAATAGGCGGCCAAGTACGTTTCTGCAGGCGGTGAGGTAAGTTAGACAACCAAGGCTCTCGTTTAGTGGAGCCACTCCCACTTTTCTCCACAAAGTTGTAAATAGTTCGTTGATCCCGCGGTTTTGCGTGACTGAAATGTCAGCCATTGTGCCCGGGCTAGTCGCGCGACCCGAATTTCCTGCGTGTGCGGCAGTGTTTACCAACATTTTTTCAAATCCTCTCTCTCTTTTTCTCTCTTGAAAAAACATAATGGCCTCTCAATTGCTTCGTACTTCTCTTCGTGCACTCAGCCGTCCCGCTTTCAAGGCTGCTGCTTATGCTGCTGCTCCTCGTGCTCCCATTACTGCCTCTCGATTGGCTCCCATGGTCGCTCGCCCTATCGCCACCCGTTTCTATAGCAGTGGCACTGGTAAGTAAACAACACATACTGTTGTCGCCAAAAACAAGACATGATCTGTTTAACCTTTTATTATCATAATTCCGATAATGCCTACTAACACTCTTGTCTATAAAATTTCCAAGTTGATGCCGATCTTGTACACAAGCTTGAAGAAGAACTTCAGTATGAAAAGGCTAATGAGGAATCAGACCAGCCCGAATTCGTCAAGGAGTTTTTGCAAGCCAACTCCTTCCAGGTATATATATATATATATATCTTCACACAAAATGAAAAGATTGAGCTCGGCTGGCTGTAGACTTACTTGAGAAAAATGTATCTGTTTTAGCTTGAGGACAAGCTTGGCCATGACGAAGTTTCTCTGACCCGCTCGTTTGGCAATGAAAAGTGAGTTGTTATTCAATATATAAGAGAGGATGAAAGGATGTGAGTACATGGTAAACTTATATAAGTGAATTGTAAGGATCCGTATTTTGTTCTCAATTGCCGACATCAACAACGGTGGCCCTGCCGATGAGTTTTTGGCTGAAGGTGAAGAAGCTGAGGATGATGTTGCTCCCTCCTTCCCCGTCCGTGCATCCATCACTGTTGAAAAGGTAATAACGCAATGCCATCATGATAGGGAGAGAGAGAAAGAGATAGAGAGAGAGAAATCTTTATTAATTCGCTAAACAAAATGAATGATATGTATATGCGTACAATAGGATGGTAAGGGTGCCGTGACCATTGACACAGTCGCCCAAGATGGCGATATGGCCATTGAAAGCGTCATGTTCTACAAGGAATCCAGACTGGCCAACGAGCAATCTGCTGAGGCTGACTGGCAACGTCGTGGCCTTTACATTGGTCCTCAGTTTGCTGAATTGGATGAAAACTTGCAGGGTTTGTTTGCCCGCTACTTGGAAGAACGCGGTGTCAATGCTGGTTTGGCCGCTTTCTTGCCTGACTACGTCGAGTACAAGGAACAAAAGGAATATGTCCACTGGCTCGATAGCATGAAGACCTTCATCTCTGCATAAAAGTTGAAACCTACAATATCTATATTTGTCATACATACACACATTGCATTTTAATCTAGACACAATAAGAATTCGATTCGCTTCGATCAAAGTAAAAAGGCTTTGAATCAGAGGAACATACTGTGAGGCAACCTTTTTTTATATGGAAATAATGGAATGGCTTTTGGAACCAAGACTACTATCAAAGCTATCACTGCTTTACATGCTTCCAACTCGTCGGATATCCTCCAGCCGAGATACAGAATATAACGTTTCACACGTTTCGCGATTTATTATATCATTCTGTGACTAGAAAGATATGAGGATGATGACTATAGACAACTACTATCACATTCTTTAAGATATAATATAGTATTGTACATATTGCTGTAAGCTCTTTGCTTCTAGTTTGGGATGAATGATATGTTCAGGTGAATTTCACCGTGGCTAAATAAGTCAAGTTTAGCTGGTAATTTAACCCAGTCATCAAATGTCTGGGCATGGTCATTCATGCGAACCTTCCGGTGATATTGAAATTGAACACTTCATTCCAGACAGGGTTGTTGCTGTTTTCGACTTCACTCGAGCGTGGCTTATAATTACCATCTAGTAGCGTATATCGTATTATTGCTTTCCTTAGTAACCCGTTCTTATTATCCGCATATACAGCAGCTTCTTGTACATGTGTCATACAACTTACACGTAGGGGTCGTTTTGGAGGATGAATGAACATGGTAAAAATACATGAGCATTTTCTTTCTCGTATCATTGCTGCTGGCTTTTGGTTTTACCGGGAGGAGCAGCAAGATACTTTTGCGCTTTCATATCTTGCCGAATAAATCTTCAATTTTCAATTCCTTAGCTTCACCTGCAGAGGTTTAAACATGTAGTACATGTTAAAAGGAAAATATTTACATCAAGCAGCAAGGACATACCAGCTATTATGGATAGATTTAGCGTCCATGAAAAAGAAAAATCAAGTAACTTACGAAGCTGAATAATAAGTAGACCAGCCGGGAAACCTATATTTTGCTGTTATTATATTTTAAGAATTAGAACTAGCGTTTCTCACACAAGCAACAAACACACACTTAATCCGCTTTCAACTGGGCCGATGTAGAGAGTTTTGGGGTTTCGACAAAATCGGTTTTGTCGAACCTTTATAAGGAAATACTGGTCACTTCATTTCCTGAAGCTGATCGTATTGTCGAACCACTTGACAAAACGAATTCTAAAAGCGGAACACGAATGCAAAGTAGATTCTTGTGTCGCTCCAATAAGAAAGCATATATTCAATTGACCAACCTGCCGATAAGTGGCATTGTCATTCAAAGTTTTCAGAGGGAAAAAATCAGTGGGGTCATCTTAGCATCCATTTATTACTGAGTTACTGAATAGTTCCCTCGAGAGTATGACACAAGCTACTTTTTTAAAATAAGATAGTTGTTCTGTATTTGGAAGGCATTTCGACAAAATCATTTTGTCGAAGCCCCAAAACTCTCTCGATCGCGCCCGGTTCCTTCTCCTTTTATCTATGCCGTGTGACTCTTAAATGTGAGAAAAGGCTTCGATTTCACATGCTGGACTAAGTCTAGAAGGTTGTGTAGATCATCCAGAAACATAGTATTTCTGTCCTTATTTTTTTGTTGCTATGAAAACTCTCGAATCGAAATTTTTGCTCCAAAATATAAGCAGTTATGTAGTGTTGTTTGCTGTCTCCTCCTCTCACGAACAATGATGATGAATGGATAGGACGCAACAAGGGCGGTGATGGGGTCGATTGGATACAACACGGCTCATTTCTCAAGTAGAGCTTATTGATAATAAAACATAGCATCAGAAGAAAAGGCTTCATTTAGTCAGAAGACATGCGATTTACATAACAGCGTAATAATTTCCAATAGCAGCTGTTGGCGATTGGGATAGGCAGAAGCGCACTAGTTCTAGAGGTTAGCCAGCAAAGTTGTATTAGTGTCTCTATGCAATTATTCTTTATGAGCATGTAGATGTACTACGCCAGCAGTAAACTTTGCCAATATATAGGGAATCAATGCTTTAAAGTGTATTATAGATGTTGTATTTATTACAAACAAAAAGTAAGGAAGACGTGATGTTTACATATAAGTACTACGCATTATTTATAGCAAGTGAGGTATGATGGTTTTTGTATGATACAAAAGTACTTTAATTATTGTTTAGTTAGGAGTAAATTCGACGCGGATATGGACTTCACCGTGGCTGGACAAACCAAGCTTAGCAGGCAACTTGACCCAGTCATCGAAAGCTTGGCCCTCAACGATATCGGCAATCTTAACCTTAGCCTCACCAATCTTGTCGTCGCTCATCAAATCCTTATCCATGACCTTCAAATAAAGCTTCTTGTCATGCGAACCTTCTTGGATGTTGAAGGTGAAGGTCTCATTCCACACGGGGTTGTTGCTGTTGGAGACTTCGCTTGAGCGCTGCTTGTAGTCGTCATCGAGCCACATCTCGCTATAATATTCATGGATGTGTTTGCTTTAGTTATGACTTTCTTTACCATTCATACAAATCCCAACTAATCAATTTTTCAACTTACACATAAGGATCGTTCTGGAAGAAAGACGAATGAAATTGATATGAGTATCTTCTGCTGTGCCACTTGTTGTTGCCCTCTCTTTTCCTCTCAATAGTTGCTCGCTTTGCTTACCTTGCCAAGGAAATCCTCGCTCTTCAATTCCTTTGCTTCGTCTATGGTTTTTCATATATAAGCAACACATATAAGCGCACGGTAAACAGCAATAGTAAAGTAGTAGCAATACTACTTTAGCGGAATGCCAAGCGTATGCGCAAATAAAATAGAGATTTTAAACTTACAGAGGTTGACAGTAAGAACACCAGCAGGGAAACCCATTTTTTGTTAATATGTAAAAGAAAAAAGTTATGATTTTCTTCATGCCACCCAGAAGCAACATCTTTTTATATGTTTTGAAGCGAGAGGCAAAACGGAAAGTGCGGATGAGTTGTACTTTCTCTACAATTATTTACATCATCATTGTACAACAATGCAACAGCAGCTGTAAACCGCTCTTCCATACTTGGTGCGCTTGTGACACTCGAAGCCGCAAAAAAAAAACTGTATGGGAAACGGCCGATTGTGCTCGATATTATGCTGAGCATTGCATTGCTCTGTACCCATTTTATCGGCCTTTGAGCCGAATTTAGTAAAGCATTTTCCTTTATTGCCCCCTTTGACAACGTTATCAAAGACAATAGATGATGCTGTCATTGTGAAAATAAACTGACAGAAAAAGACCAGCAGTATGTGATCACGTATCTTGGCTTTTCATATGGCTAAAGTTGGTTGAGATAAATAGCGTCGGTAGAGTCAAGTTAAACAAAGAGGATGTGACCAGGGTGTAGTTGGGAAAAGTAGTGATGGACTGATGGCTGGTGAAATGCAGCTATGATAATCAATTATTGCATTAATTAAGACCCTTCCAGCGATCCCTTTTAACCGGAATTCACCATGCGTGGCCAAATTAGAGCTGTCATTGTATGTATATTTCCAAACGACTGACAGCAAGTTTATAATCCGCGCGAAATAGTGTCCTATCTTACTTTTGCGGTGAGCAGATTAAGATGCACACTGTTATTTTTCGTACTCCATTACTGCTATCATACTTCACACATACCCTATCTATCATCAGTGCATAACAGCTAATCTCATTTATCCTAGTCAACGCAAACAGTCCACCGATTCAAAAGAACTTTCATATTTTTCACCTCTAGTTGAATAAGTGGGCAATAAAGCAAAATACAGACCAACATGATCTACATCCAAATACTAAAACAGGTAATTATGCGAATGATATGGAAACTGTCCATCGTCAGGCTAACTGTATCTGGAATTGAAAAAAGCCCCTAACGACAAAGCGCAAATGTAACTGTTTTTGGACTAGCCGCTACTGTGCCACACTATTAGGTTCCTTTCATAGTTCACTATGTCATATTGAGTTTGCCCATTCTCGCACTTCTTGTAGGTATAATATGACTTTTACATAAATAACATCAAGGCATGAGCCAGATATGCGCGCACAATCAGACATTACGATATTCAAGAGATTGGGATTTTAAACTTGGGTGTCAAAATTTTTCAGAGAAACGACTTCCTTAAGGCCCAATGAAAGCAACCTCTGATTGAAGTCAGGATGCCTGTCATTTATACCACTATCATATAAAAAGTGGGCAGTAAACAAGGTTCATTGTGTATTGACGAAGGAAAAAAATGATTCATGTAGGGAAGACACGCCAATATTCTTCATTTCCCTATGCAGAATATGCATGTAACTCATGATGGTCCACCGTCTGTGTGTTTGGACCGTATCTATCAGTAACGCTTTTTGCAAGCAGTAGCTCTTCGGAGTAGATATATGCGCTACTAATCTCGACAACGTTAGTATGGAAGCTTTCTCTTTTTTTTTTTCGGGGATATCTGATATAGGCGACTTTCTGCATCGATGGCCTCTTGGTGTTATAATTTCCAATACGAAGCATTATATGGAGTCAAGTGTTTATGCATGGGATAAACGGATGCGCACAGCTGCAATCTGTCAACAGGTGTGTAACAGACTCTGTATGGTGCTACTATCGGCCCGTCGTACACATCCATCTCACCGGTCTGAAAATCACCCCAATAAATTGTGAAAGCAGAGTTTATCAGCAAAAAGAATGAAGGATAACATGGTATGCATTTATTATACACTAGTAAGAGATATGGGATATGATGTTTTGTATGGCAAATGACGAGGTATGAGTTTCTTTTTTTTTTTTAGTTGGGGGCGAAGGTAATCTTCAAGTGAACTTGACCATGGCTGGTTAAACCAAGCTTGGCGGGCAATTCGACCCAATCGTTAAAAACCTGGCCGTCTTCAACCACTTCTCTGAGATCGACCTTGGCATCACCAATCTTATCGTCGCTTAGTAAATCCTTGTCAAGGACCTTCAAGTGGAGCTTCTTGTCATGGGAACCTTCTTCAATCTTGAAGTCAAAGGTCTGGTTCCAGACCGGGTTATCGCTACCCGAGACTTCAGTAGAGCGCTGCTTATAATCATCATCCAGCCACAACTCACTGTACACGTTTCCTCATTAGAATCTCTTGCACTAGACAACTGACACACTCCACATTCAATACAAAATCCAACTTACACATAGGGATCGTTCTAAAAGAGAAAGAAACAATAATAGTGGCATCAGTATTGTTTTTGTTACACTTGTTGCTGTATCCATCCAACTATTGTGCCACCAATTCGAACAACTTACCTGACCGAACAAATCTTCGCCCTTCAGCTCCTTGGCTTCGTCTGTAGTAGAATTTCAGGCAGCACGTAACATGCGTTAAGTATGTGCAGATAAAGCTATAGACATTTGTCGAACGCGTAAAAAAGCAACACAGAAAACTTACAGAGCTCAACAGTAAGAATACCAGCAGGGAAACCCATTTTTAATGTTGCCAAATATAAAGAGTTGAAAAAAAGAGGTAATGTCTCACCCTTCAACTAACACGCTCCTTTATATAAGGGAGAGGCAAAACGGAAAGTGGTGTTATAAGGGTGAGCTGCATTTTTACTGCGATTTTCGTCATTGTGCGACAATGCAGCAAGGAATAGCATCTGTTTTGTCTTTTTTTAGCACCTCGTACTACTCCAATTAGCAAAAAGCGGCTTCATCATTATATATTCCTCTGGAAAGGGCTAGAATCATCGCTGAGCACGCATTCTCTTCCTATCTTTACTAATACTTGACATAAGAGATTAAAATTGCTTGAAATACTCAAATATTCTGTACAGCGGCCTTTACGCTCCATATGGTAATGGATTCTTAGTCCCTCTGAGAAACTAGGGGCACTCCTTTTTTTTGCGATTGAAAACACTTTTATCCACGAGCAATAAGTCCAAGACCCTGATTTCAGCTCGGCTAGACTCGAAATAGTCAAGACAGAGTGTAAGCAATCAGCTTAAACTGTTTCTATGTAGCAATGAGAGCCACAGTATGGAAAACCTCTTTCTGGAGATCAGAGGTGCATCCATCTAAAAAGGTTACTTTAAGCATCCTTTACCCGCCGTGAAGGCGCGAAATGAACATAGAACAACCTTCTTTTCTTGTTCCTCTTATTGGTACCCTCCTCAAACTAAGGTACATATATATCTAGTATAAACACATCATATATATTGTTTCTCACTTTGCATATGTCGCTCTTGTATTGTTAGCCGAAGCATGATCAACAAAAACATTGAGTAACTGTGCATACAGTAATATGCAGTATCTGTAGCGGCGCCTGTGTCTGGGATTTGAAAGTTACCCACACCGGCGAAGTGCATAACCGTTCTTTTACTGTAGCGACGTTAACTTCATGTGCGCTACACTCATCTTGCGGCTTGAGAACAAATGTAAATAGGGGGACACGAGCCACGAGGACACAAGGTTTAGCAGTACCAAGCGGCAGGAACAAAAAATACCAAGTAAAGGATGACACAAGGAATAAGACAATCTTTTTCGGAACACTCGGCCGGACTTCGCATTGTTGTTGTACACTATAATGGCTTATAAAATTAGGTGATGGATGACACGTGTTGCCCAGGGTTGCAGCGTGTTCGGCTGGCAACAATAGTCCCAAGTCCCACAATGAGTCTCGTCAGTGCTCTATGAGGAGCCTTCGTGGCCTTTCTGGAAGGGTGCCGTGCCGACATTACATAGTTCGGCCTCTCTATTGCTTGAGTTTGGCGAGTGCAAAGAAAGGAAGAAAAGAAACACCCTTTGTGCCTGGAAGGATGAGCACACCATATATTACTATAGATATCGTCGCGTTTTCAGTTTTCTACTTATAGATAGCAAAGACTAGTATGTAATTTATAAATCGGGTCGATCTTTTTGTGATGTCACTCAAAGAAGGCATGTTAAAACCAGTCAGGCAATAGTTCTTTAGTAAACTAAATGATGTTGCTCGCTATTACGTTTTTATGTACATACGTGCTCCATCACTCGTCTAACATCATCATTTCAAAAACTGTACTCGAATCAGGTACTTTACAGGTTACTGTATATGATACATACAAACAAAAAACAAATGGAGGTGGAGGAGAGAAAAATAATGTTTAATAAATCTACAACACACTGGTTTGGGGTGTATGGTATGGTTGCTTTGCATAAAACTTGGGTATTGTTTTTTTCCTTTACTCGCTGGGCTCAAAGCTGATGCTCACGAGGACTTCGCCGTTGCTGGACAAACCGAGCAAGGCAGGCAAGCTGACCCAGTCTTCAAAGACTTGACCTTCTTCAATAACTTCCTCGATATTGATCTTGCAATCACCGATCTTATCGTCGCTGAACAAATCCTTATCCATGATTTTCAAGTGAAGCTTCTTGTCGGAGTCACCTTCGGCAATGTTGAAGGTGAAGGTCTCATTCCACACGGGGTTGTTGCTGTTGGAGACTTCGCTCGAGCGCTGCTTGTAATCGTCATCGAGCCACAACTCGCTATAGTGTTCAAGAAAGCATTTGTTTTAGTCACTTTCCCGAAAGTTTTTACACTGATCCCCCGGACTTATCGATAACCCTAACTTACACATAAGGATCGTTCTACAAGAAGAACAGATGGAAGTGTATGAGTATCTTTTGCTGCGTCACTTATTACTACCCACTCCTCTCCTCTCCTTCCAAAGACGTTTGATTGTTTTTGCTTACCTTGCCAAACCAATCCTCGCTACTTAAATCCTTAGCTTCACCTAGAGTTTCAGATAACACGGAACATGACGATGTTAATAGATGAGCAGAAATTTCAAATCGAGTAGAGCTATTTATTTTGAAAGCGCTTCTAAAAAGAAAACGAAAAACTTACGGAGTTCGACAGTAAGAGTACCAGCAGGGAATCCCATATTTTATAGTTGCTTGAAAAATAAAGTGAAACAGAGGTGTACTTTTGAAAGAAATTGCTCGTCGAAGCAATGTCATCCTTTTATATTTCGAAGAAGAGGCAAAACGGGAAGGAAAGGTAAGTCGCATTTTTTAACGTTTTACATCATTGTACAACAATGCACGCAGCAAACGCATTCTTCCGAGCGACTCGCGTTCGGATTTGTGGCACTCCAAGTCGCCAAAAGGTAAAAGTGCCAAACAACGGCTTCGTTTTGCCGATATGCTATATAATGCTGAGACGGACTGCAATTATAATACTGAGCTTTCTCATTTCTTGGCACGGAGTGTGTATGATACTCTTTTTTAGCAACAAAATAAGCATTTAATCTTTACGTCGGCTTATTACTTTACTTCAGATAGTCGAAGCGGACCGTTGACATTGCTTTTGTCAATAACGAACACTGATAGTGAGCAGTCATAATAAACAATAAGATAAACATGAGCTTCCACATACTGTACGCAACTTAATCATGCTTATTGCCCTTGTTGTAGCTCAAAAAAATCAAAAAGAATGGCGCATTTCAGTGACGGAATAGTAATTTAGACCTTGTCTGTACAGTATTAGCCCCTTTTAACCGAAAGGCATGTTTTAAGGAGGTTACAGATATCATCGCAGAGTATTTAGAAACTGGGTCTGTATGGTCTGGTTACAGTTATACGCATCTGTAACAAGCTGGAAAATGCCTATTATCCGCTCGGAATAGGTCCTGCTGTTGCTGTTAGTGCCTTCGCTCTTCTCTGCTTTATTAACGTTATTAAATAGCGAATGACGAGAAGGTCGATTTAAAGTGTTATGCGGAAAAGTAGAAGAACATACAAAAGCCAAAGATCATTTTCGTTAATTTTAGCTAATTCACGGGATACCGTATTGTCTTTTTGATATTTTGCATCAAAATCGCACATAGTAGCACAGCACATATACTTTTGTGGTGCATTGATAAAACGTTTTGTACAATAGCCACGACCTGTAATATATGTACTCCAAGTTTTATTTCTTCTAAAACAAACAGTAACGAAGTGCTGATTAAGTGATATATACTTTATAGGGCAACAGTTCAGCGTTATGAGAAGAGAAAAGCAATAATTGAGATAGCACATACATACATATTAGCAAGAATTACATAACTCTTATCGTCGTCCAAGAGCTAAGCCTGTTACCATTCTATTTTGACTTTCGGTTGGTCGTCGTTTCACGTTATGTTGGCTAATTATAAAGTGAACTATTGCAACGGTAGAACAGCTAACATATGGCTTTGTTCACTGGATTTTTGGGGTGGGCAATGTCCAAACATTTGGCAGCTTTTAGACAATTCTTATGTGATCAAGAATGACTTGATATCCGTTCTTCAGTGTAACGTATCTGAGCTGACATGACGTCTTATATATGTTCGTGAAGCATGTAAACACATACTTCTTAATCTAGCTATGTTATATTTATCAATTTCTTAAAGCGGAAACAAACATCTGTTGATGCTTAACCGGTTTTTATACAGGATTATTCCATAGAGTACTAAGTGGCTTGCGCGTATATGCTTCATGAATACATAGCGCACTAGAAAACATATGTAACTTCCCAGCTTTTAACGTCTAATCGGATCTCCTGCTTTTCGTCGCCTTGGCTGAATCTTGTTTCACAAAGTGGTAGGGTCATTTTGTTTTCTTCAACAGATTCATGTTGCCACGCATTCGCAGTTAGTTAATGTGTGGTTATTTAAAGATAGAAACAACACGATTGGTAATATTGTTGATGGTTGAAGAGCTGAAGCGGCATTTATTCCAAAATGGATAATAAACCATTATTGTCCTGAGAACGACATACTAATTTCTAACATGACACACATATAACGTTTAGCATACCAACAGAAACTTGTAAAAAAGCATAGTATATTGCATATACCTACTAGTCGAATAAGTAAAGCGGCTCGCAAAGCTATGTATTCCACTAGCTATTATATCTTAGCTCCAACGGCAAAATATATTGCTTTATGTTTTTATTACAAGAGCAATCGGACCATTTGCTCTACTAAGGTATACAGGAGGATTCACTCTTTAAATTGAACAATAAGATTTTGCCGTATCAACGCAATTGTTGACATGTTGTTTAATGGATTAGATCTGCTATTTTATTTCATATCTTTAGCGTTGCTCCACATAAATAGCAGGTATACATGAAGAAGCTGATGTAAGCAGGCAAGATGTTGTAGTGACCACCGTCGAGAAGAAGTAGGGTGGTTGTGTGTCGCGCAAATAATGAATAGCGAGAGTAGTTAGGAGCGTTAGTGGCTAGCTGATGATGGGGTCACTAATGGGGAAACAGGATACCTCAATGAGATTATATAGACATACGATTATAATCGTTGTTTTAAGCAGCACTTTGCCATGTCTGTAACGCAGAAATTCTTTTGCCCGTCTGGTAAACAGACAAGCATGCGTTTTTTTACTTGACGAATGCAGTGTTGACATATTTTTACTTCTACTTCTTTCTTCGCGAGAAAACAGTTAATAAGAAAAGGTCTATAAAACAAGGTAATGCCAGAATCTCGCTAACTGGGGAGGCGCGGCAGTTTAACACGATTACTCATAAGTTCCAAGTGGACATGGAGGATGGTAACACTGTCTGGGAAGCTGTACCTGATACTTCAGGTACTACCGAGTGTTACAAAGAAATGGGCATTTTATTTCACACCATGTTCTTTCGTGAGCGTTAGGACGTATCGTCACAGTGCCATCTACATATGTATATGAGTTAAAAGGCTGTCAGTGTGCTATTCTCCTTCCCATATTATGCAGCATTAGCACTCTTACACTTACTGTAATGCAACACCCTTACTCTTATTGTCATGGTCAATCCACCAACGTATACGACCCACTTTGTGCAGTTTCCAAGTATGACTATACTCTGCAATTACGATATTCCAGGATGTACATGTTTTTAAAGATCTGGCACTACCATATAGCACTATATGAAGACGAAACAATGACCCGATCAATCTTTTGCTAACTGTTGTCAAATAACAACAATATCTCGCGAGTGAGCACGTTAACTTGGAAACAAAGAGCATATGAGGATTTTCTGGAATAGCTTATACAATTATCCGGACCGGGATGCTTTGGATAAGCTTACTGATAAGGTTGGCACGGATGCCAGAAAACGCGTGTGAAAAAAAAAGATGATATTCATAAAAGTAACCATTGGTGAAGACACACAAGTAGAAAGAGAAGTGACGTTACCGGAAAGGAGAAGTGTGGTTGGATTATTAACACTGAAAAATATAGCAGCCGAGGTTTTTGCTCTTGTTCACTGAGCCGGGTTGTCTTTTGTCTTGTATTTTAAAAAGATCTAAAAGATGGTGGAGGGGACAGTCAACCAGTTTGAGCTACTGCAAGGCCTGATGGAATTTACACTCGAGTCAATTATTTAAGCTTTCTTCAGCCATCAGAATGCTGTTTTTGGGCAGAACTTGTCGTTTAATGTAAGGGAGTGAAATAATCCTTTTTTTCTCTTTTTGGCGGCCCTTTAGGTGACGCTTACGTAACCGATAAACATACATTTTTTTGTATTAATCGCTAAGATTGTATGAGAGTCCAGGAGTCGTCAGTTAGACTTGTTGTTGACTTTGGCAAACTCGTATCATCCTGATTATCAGTCATAGCAAGGAATTAAAAGGGTTGGGTACTGCTTTTGCATGTTTTTTCCTTCGGCATAAAGAAACCGAATTCATGTCAGCACGCTTTTGGTCAAGAGGGCTGCACCTGTAGAAACTCCGGGCTGTATGTCAGTGCAGCACGGCTATAAAGGTTGAGCATGGGAAATTTTTTCCACGCACATAAATCTTCCTTTTTTCTTTCACACGGCATGACTTCCTCTACAGTTGCTAAAGGACGAGTCCAGTCCATTGCCAACCATCTAGCGTCTAAAGATACCCCCGACCATGAAAAATGTAAACCTCACTGAAATAAACAATATAATATCCGTGGTCATCAGTATTGGTAGCAGCACTTGCTATCTCCCTAATGGGAATGAAACGTAGTGCATACTCATAATTTGACTCTTGGTTTCACTATAATAAAGATCGTGTTCACCGCAAGCCTGGTCAGGTACCCTATCACACTCCACTTGATCCGATTCACTTTCTATTGCGAAGTGCCATGGTGTACCGCAACAAGACCGCTGTCATCCACGGAGACCGTTCTTTTGATTACGAGACGCTTGCAGATCGAGCTCTACGTCTAGCCAACCTCCTAATCCACGGCTTTGACGTGCATCCAGGAGACCGTGTAGCTATCCTCTGCCAAAATATACCGGCCTTTCTCGAAGCTAAATACGCCGTTCCTGCTGCAGGCGCTGTGATGGTGCCTCTCAATACGCGTCTGGCTGGTCCGGAAATCGAGTATGTGGTCAAGCACTCGGGTGCTTCTGTGCTGCTAGTACAAGATGACTTGCTTCCCCGTGTCTCTGCTGGCGTCAAGGAGGCAGTTAAGATGATTCACGTTGCAGACTATCAGAACCATGGTGACCCGCCCTGTCAATACGAACAACTCTTGCAAAATACAAAGACGGTGTTGGGATGGAACGACCTGCCTCTTACGACAGACGAAAATGCACTTATTTCGATCAATTATACGTCGGGATCGACTGGCAAGCCCAAAGGGGTAATGGCGTCGTTCCGCGGATGCTACATGATGGCTGTGGGGATGTGTGTGCAGGCACACCTTACACCTGAAACGGTTTATCTGTGGACCCTTCCGATGTTTCATTGCAATGGATGGAATTTCCCTTGGGCGCTTGTTGCCGTTGGAGGTAAGTTCAACTTTTTGAATCTTAAGGCTTCCGTGATATAAGGGCTGTCACTGACCACTAGGAAATAGCAACGCAGGTCATGCTTAACAAGCTTGATTATACCTATATTTGGAAACTCATCAAGGAGCTCGGTATCACGCACTATTGCGGTGCACCTACTGTGCAGAATGAGATCTGCCATCACAAGGACGCCGTCCGTCCCAACCACACAGTCTTAGCCTTTAGTGGCGGTGCACCATTGGCACCTAAGATCATCCGTGGCCTTGGTGACCTTAACATATACCTCACACAAGTTTATGGATTAACAGGCATGTCTCTTCTTCTTTCACGTTTTATACTAGATGACTGAAAAAGCATATGAAACTGCCCAAGCTGATGGATTATGCATATCATCTTTTTTTAGAAACATACGGTCCCTGTGTCCTCACATACGATAAAGGATCCCTTACTCAATATCCTGAGGACCAGCATTTGCGACTCGTTGCACGACAGGGTTACAATATCATCACGCAGGACGAGGTCCGCGTACTGGATCAGCAGACTGCCAAGGACGTTGTAGCAGACGGCATGCAAATAGGGGAAATTTGCTTAGTCGGAAACGTCACCATGTTAGGATACTATAACGATCCGGAGGAAACTAAGAGATGCTTTAGGGAAGGCGTTTTCTGGTCTGGCGATCTGGCCGTGCGACATCCCGATGGCGTGATTGAGATTGTGGATCGATCCAAGGACGTGATTGTGTCTGGTGGTGAAAATATCAGCTCTATTGAAGTGGAGAATACAATTGTGGCAATGGAAGAAGTATTTGAATGGTTCGTGTGAACTTCAGTGTGGAGGACATAGTGTCTATGTGATACCCTCGATTGCTGATACCGTGATGTGCTTTTGTTAGTGCCATTATCGCCGGACCTGACGAGAAGTGGGGCGAACGACCGTTTGCGTACGTGATTGTAAGGGAGGGTCGCACTATTACAGCTGAAGCTATAATCGCTCATTGTCGAAAGAACTTGGCCGGCTACAAGTGTCCAGCGAAAGTGACTTTCGTTGATAGCATTCCAAAGACGAGGTGAGCAACCTGTTCAACCGTTCCTTACATTAATTTATACTGTGAGCAACGATGATAACGCTGACCACATTTCCTCTTACATAAATAGTACCGGTAGGAATTGAATTTCTTCTATCCTCATGATTACTTTAGGTATGGTCAGTAGCTTAGAACTAACACACATGTCTGTCATCTATAGGTAAAACACAAAAGTTCAAAATGCGCGAGGAACTTTGGAAATCGTATGAAAAGCGAGTAAACTAGAGAGGAACTAGACTTTCGTCCACTAATTAAGAGATGTATGGTAGAGTTATATTATATAAATAGATATGCGAGATAATAAACATCGGTAAACAGTGGGCTGTGGCTGTTGGTCTCGTCACTCTGTATTACTGTAGATCATGCATTCTCCAAAAGAACCCGCTTTCGCCATTTCTTCGTAGCCCTCGCTTCTATATTGACGAAACACATGTCACTAAAGCATATCGCGTAAATAAATTGCAATAGGCCCTTGTTTTAAATCATTTTACTGATAACACAATTTTAAAACGCAAAGCGAAGGGTCGACTCCGCCTGCTTCGCTAGAATGAAACAGACCAAAATGCCCGATAGCAGTGCGTTCTTCACTGGTGTGTTCTTTACTGGTTTGTCTTTTAGCACAATTGGTCCATGCCACACAATGCCGACGACAGCGACGCTGGCGACGCGCGTCCGGATAACTTACGAACTGTAAATGACACGACCACCGCTGACCCTGACACAACTTCTGATCAAAAGACGCGCAGTAATGAAGTCAAGGTAAAAGCTGCTTTCGATCTTCTTCCTTGGTCAAGTGAATCGTGTGTGCAAGGTCAATGACACATGTATTTGGAAAGGTGGTAGAAGCTCGAACGGCCATCGTGCTGCTTAACTATGCACGTGTGTCCACAAATAATGAATATATCCAATGGTTCCTCAAGAGCTTGTTTCAACCGTTGACAAGTAAAGAGAACGATGTAAGCATTACCCACGTATATCTGCGCTAAGCAATCCTTTAGGGTATAGCGCATTAAAATGTTTTTGCTCGTTCATATAGGTCATGAAAGTATTGTATCTTTCAAGAAGCCGAAAGGCTATCTGGAGACCCGAAGGTAATGCATAAGTTAAAGAGGGGGATTTGACTTGAAAGAGTAAGAGGTATAGGACGGTGTATGCGAGTTTACCAGTCAAGACTGATTAGTGTATGGACGATTTCATTCATACTTTTTTTTGTACAGAAGCAACCTGGCCTGATGCTACAGGCGATCCGTCGCTTGGTCCAGAAGAGGTGTTTGCATTGACACCTCGAACGAATCTCATGACAATGACATATGTGTACCGGCTCGTTTATATCCTGGATCTCAGTTCCAGTCTTGCCACCGTGGGAAGCACAACCCCGACGATCTTGCTGTCAGGTGCTTTCGAAAGGTAACTAACGGGGTTCTCCTTCCTGCAGCTGCACCACCCCACGGGAAGTTAGTGTAACGCTAACATGTCAACCACGTTACTTGTACCATCTACAGTTTGAGAAACTCTCTAGAAGGTCTTGTTCAGCCGTTTTCACTGCCGTTATCCGATAAAGAAAAGGCTATTGTAAGTGCTCTTGTATGCAATAATGAGAAAGGAGTAGACTGCGAAATGAGCTTGTTTACTTACCAGCATATACTATCATGCAGCTGCGGCCAAAGATCCGGTTAACTGTAATGGCTGATTGCTCTCAGTTTGCATCCAATATCAATGTTATTCCAATGCTTGCCGAGCACCCAACGATCCGCGTATTCATGCAAAATGTCAATGTCGACACACACAACATTCACCACATCGTCGCCAAGTTGTACTCGGATTTCCTTGCATTTCAAAAAGACACGGCCAACTTTAGAAATTTGATGCAGCGAAAACGATCCACGCTGGAATATGATTTGGACGTGGGCGGAGGCGAAGTTGTTATTCCACAGGATGTCAGCGTACTGGATGCAACATCGCTACCTCCTGAAAATTCTCCTATTGTTGTTCCACCGTCTCAGCGGCAGCAGCAACAAGACCAGCAGCGACCGAATCAATCCACAGCGACAGAACGCCAATCGCCCACGGATAGCAACAACATTAGCAACATAAAAAAGCATAATGAATCCTCCTACCATTCTTCAAAACGGGAAGTATGGGGTCTCGGCAAATCAGGTGCCAACTTATCGCGTATATTACATGCTGGCCATTTCGCACTGAAGTTACTTTCTCGAGAAGGACGGCCGCAGATGATTTTGATCACTGATGGCTCGATGAAATCTAACGTGCACGACAATACATTTGTGCGCCAATTTGCTGAAGAGGATGTTACCTGCCACATCATTCAGGTCGGATCCATGCATAGCTTTATCCCTGGCAGAAACTTTGGGTTTGTTCCTGATAACGAGATTCTCATGTTTCTTGCCAAAGCGACGGGCGGATCGTTTACATACTCGGATCAGTGCAAGACGGTGGCTGGTGATACTACATCAGCAACAACAACGACAGCACCCAGCAATGATCAACCTGTTCTCACGGTTGTTCCAGCTAATCAAACCGATGTCAAGTCACCCAACATTTACCACTCCAAGTTCTTGCTTCGAGAATCTACTTTAACACCACGACATCACGACTTACGACTCCATGATACACAAGAAAGAGGCAATACTGGGGGACGTGATAGGCTCGCCATGAATGAACAGCAGACACTGTACAATTTTCCTTGGGATCCAAGCTCCACCGCGCCCCAGGATGCGCTACGACTACTACGATATCGCGAATACCTGCTACCTGCAGAGTTCTCGCATGTAATTGCTTCGCGTGCTCGAGAAGGTTTCATACTCCACTCGGTCTCTTTCGAAAACTCAAAAAAAGCTGCGACAACTGCTACAACGACAGCAGATATTAGTGCGCTACGCACTTTCGATGCCCCGGATTTCAGCTCTGTGAAAAAGGAGCGTATACAGATCATCATGGCACTACAATGGCAACCTAATGTTGTCATTGAATATCGCATCCGTGCAACATGGCTGCCGACAATCATTGGACCACTAAAGGAACTGAAAACGGATCCGTGCCTTCTACCAAGAAGCATCTTCAGCCGAGCCAAAGCACCAAGAGCAGAGATTTTCGTGCGCACGGACGCCGAATTTGCACACATGCTTCAGAATTGGGATGCGTTTCGACGACGTGCACAAATGATGGGTGTAGTGACTGGCGCGCCTTACCTAAGTGATACATACAATGCACCAGCTTATGTCAAAGCAGAAAAACTTAAAAACTACCTTGTCGACATATACGAAAGCGACGAAGTGCTCAAGACTGTTATGGGGTTCAACAGCAAATACCTTTCAGGCTTGCAGCTAGCCGAAGCAAACAAACAAAGAAGCACATTCATTGATACGTTTCGTAATTTTTGGGAACACATCAATGCTTCTCCCAACCGTCCGCGGACACGCAGCTGGTACGATGACAACTGTATCGATCTGTTGTTAGGTGATGTCTCGCCGTACATGTCGCCAAAACTGTCGTCTGCATACAATCAAGACTTTGTCGCTAAAGTTGAGTTTGCAATCAACGAGGCACTTGAAAATGTGGGTCAAATATTGGCATCGCGGGCTGATTTCCAAGGTGGCGACGGTACTTTTGTGCGGGTCATGAACCGCTTTGTAACGAATCCGGAAATGAGCGACGACGACGCGAAAGGATTGTTTTCGTTTAGTCTCAGCTATCCACCTTCATTTTATGAGGTACGAGTACGAAGAGAATACGGGCGACTTGTTTCCATACGGCTGCTGTTCTTTAACATGGATGTGCTTGCACGACAACGGACAACTGAACATCTGCTGCATATTTTGGAGCTACCTAATGAGCCATCCAGCATGATATGCCATCGACCGTATTCTCGTTTGTTGATGAGAGATTCGAGACATTACCATGAGAACGACGGAGGTGCGCAAAGGATTCGGTCGCGCGCTTGGTATCTGCCTGCTGCGATGTGGCTAACGAGTGAACATATTGTCCGGGACTATCTGCGGCACATAACGTGGACGTGGCAAACCGACAGCCATCAAAATCAATATCACCGCGAGCATAAAATGATGCCACTGCATGATCTGGCATTCCAATTCTTGTGCCAGGCACGTCTTGATCAAGGCTTCCAGTTGGTGTCACCACGACCAGACGGCACGCACTTTTACCAAGAAATTCACCTGCCTGGAAGCAACGACTCATGCGCGATCCAGTATTTTATATGGAAAGATGCAGACACTGGCAAAATTACCACTGAATTGTGGATGGAGCCTAGCAGTAGCCATGATCAATACGAAACCCTCAAGGCATGGACCGTCAATCCTGATCGCAAAACGATATCTCAACTAGTAACTTTTGATCAAGTTCACGCTGTTGCTCGTGCTAAAGGGAAGGGGGACATCAAGGAAAAGTCTCAAAGGGAGCCTGCTGCTCCGCAACAAGATGCTACCATGGTCATGATGCTTCCACAACTGTTTGATGTCACCTCTGTGCTCCGCTCAAACGTGTTCGTCCTTGCCAGCTTTGCATCGCCCCAATTCCAAGCTTTACCCAAGGATCCCATAAAACAGCTGCCAAACGGAAATGGCTATCATAACGCACCACAAGATCAACAGCACCAGCATCATTCAATTGAGCCCCTTCTCAAGCAGCAACAAGCAGAGAATCATAAAGACATATGCCTCCGACCGGACCCGACGCTGAACAAGAATAAAAAGACTCTTGCGCAGCTTGATCTGGGTTTGCAAAGTTATGCATTGCTGCATTACTTTGCGGAGCATGCCCTGGAAAAGATGACAGACGGAGAAATCATCATGACCCATCATGACAGTGGCTCACGGTTCTGGACAGAATTGAAGCGTGCTTTGCAGTCTGCTAATAAGCAGTATTTCTCGGGGATGCAGCTTGCGACAGACCTGCGCAAGATGCGCTGCTTCGTCACATTCTTCGACGTCCGATCATTTGTGATCACGCTATTCCCTGGTCTCCATACTGTGATTCACGGGCTGTCGTCTGACAAAAGGCCCACTACGACAGACAGTTGCGTGGACTTTATTATGTTTGAATGCGTTCGTCGAAAACCACTCAAACCACTTAAAAGTGACCCACGTGCCGACAGTGGTAGTAGAGTCATTAATAAGCTAGTTATAGATGACGATGACAACGAGGTTTCCATAAAACCCATCGATTGGCTCGTTCATGAAGATGACGGACTGGGAGATACCATGCGACCAAAAATGATCGAGGGCCATTTCAACGACAAGCACACATCCGGTCTGACTGAGCGGGCACTGCGAGTGGTGCAAGATGTGAAGCGGCTATACTGCAAAAGCTTCTTTCGATCGTTTTATACGTGTCTCATGCGTGGCCTTCTAGTGGATAAAGATGATTTGGCGCAAGTCTTGAATGTCTGTGATGAGTCAGTTATGGATATTGATATCACAGAATTTGTCAATGTGATGGCTTTGGAAGGACATGGAGCAGGTGAAAACAATAGGTAAAGACATTGTCACTTTCATTTACACTAAGTTCTTTTGTTCTTAGGCTTATGTTTTTTTAAAAGCAGTAAAAGTCGCATACTCGAAATTCAGGAGCGCTTTGCATCCATATTTCGATATTACTTTGAGCCTCTACGCACCACCGATGATCAGGAACCGAGTTTGTTCTACTACAAACCTCCGTTCAGCAGAACAAGTGACCAGAATTCGTCGTTGGATGATCAAATAGCGCTTCTAGTGGATTTGGTTGCTTATTCACAAATTCCTTTGCTCATTCGACTAGAATGTGTTTATACCGACCCTGCAAAAGGCACCACAGTAACAATACCAATCACATCACTACCGACGGCATTTGCTGGCCAGACGACAAACAAGGAGCACTTTAACTTTGAGCCCAGTATTCCTGATAGCGCCGATGGTGACTGGTCTCCGTTGAACTCTAGATCGACGACCGTATTACTACATCTTGTCTGTCTCAATATGTCTCGCTCACACGATGAAGAGTATATTACCACGAATCCATCCACGCCTTTCCCCCGCGAGTAAGTTTATTTTATTAAGAGAATGATTTATAGAAAGAGCGGGTTTACTAATATGGAAGTATTGGAAATGTAGGTCATTAATTAATTCAATGCGGTCCCGGCCATCCTGCTTCCCTTCTTTGCCACGTGACCAACAGGAAGCGTTGGCAGAAACGGAAGCTCGTATCCGTTGGTTATTGACAGAAGAAACGCTACATGGCCTGCTCAAAGCATCTGTTATCACCAAACCTATTCTTAAATACGTTGATCGGCAACTTGGCCGAGGAAGCTTGTTTGTCAACTTTCCCACTGTCATCAACGTCCCGTTCCAGTTCGTCAAGGATTTGCATCATAGCCGTCAAATGTTTATGGATGAGCTCGAAAAGTGCGGCCAGGTTCCAGAAAGCTATCTACTACAGCGAGTCGATGATTATTTCTATGTCAGTCAAGATGCAGTATACAACATGCGAGAGGAGGATCTGCTATGCTCTTCATCATCTGCCGAGAAAGGATCAATTGACGACGAACGACATACAGATTCGACGACGGCAACGCAACCTAGTATCGACGATGATGAAGGGGATGACGATTTATGCAACGGTCTCGGTATTAGTACACTTGGAACAGATGGAGACGATGCTACTACGGCGCCAAGGGAATCTGCTACTGCAGTACCTTTCCAAGATCGACCGCTCTACTGGCTTGTCCTGCGACCTCACGAGCGCTATGTATCGATATTTTTCTATTCGAAACTTCAAATACAGTCTGATTTATTGCAGCGTGCGAAGGAGAAGCTTACAGAAATCCAAGAGCGCACCAACCGACTCATGCTTCTCGAAAGTCTTCAAGAGACACGTTCCTGCAGTAAATTCCTCGAACCGAGCAATGTTGTCTCTGATCATGGAATCGATTCGTCCGACGAAGAGGACGAGGACGAGGACGAGGACAATATATACACAGTCTCAGAAAACGACGGGTCATTGGTGGCAACTGGCAAATTTAAGCCCGGCCAGTTCGCATGTCCAGTCATATATACCAAACGATTCCCATTGCACTGGCGACTGCAGCCTAATGTCGCGCTCAAGTATCTGACAGCAGATGTTCTACGCCTTTTCGTCGTGGGCAATCGCCCCAACATGTATGTTATCGAACGTGACGACTCAATTGTGTACTGCAAAATATTTGAACAAGAGGTAGGCGGTGATATCGTCACCTCCACGCCAACTCCCGCGACCGTATCACGTAGCCCGCAACCCATGCCCGCCAAAGCCGACGCATCACCTTTGCGATCACCGGATGAGAGGAAGGGAACTAAAAATGCATCAACGTCGACCGGTGGATCTGATAGGCCTCGCGAGCTTGTACTTGAAGTCCACGGTATCGACTTACCACCATGGATTGAACAAGAGTTTATTGATCTTATTGAGAACCGATTGACGACAGAGATCACCCTTAACGAAGTCCAGCACTTCTTCCTTAGAAATCCGAATAGCAAGCCAACGCCTGCCGTATGTTATGCCATTTCGCTTCTTTGGCTAGTATAAGAGTAAAGAAAGAACTGACATGTTTTGTATTGTATACAGGATGTCAAATTCGTTATGCCAATGGATAAACCTCCAACAGGCAAGGAGACTTTACGAATGCCTTTGCTCGTTAGTGATCCCACTATGCTGTTGATATTTTTCAAGCAGTCAATATTGGCCGATACGATTAAGCCATTCACTGGGCCTCATGTAACCAATGCGGTGAAGGAATATAATCAAAAACGATTTTTTGGACTAGCTGCTTCAGAAACCACTGAAAACACACAATTCTGCTTCTACTACAACTGCACAAGACGTGTCCCTGGATCCTCGACTCCCTTGGAATTGGCAGTAGGTCAAGGTGTTGCGGGTATCTGCGTGACGAGCGAAGCCGTCCGAAACGATGACAGTAACGGCAACAGCAACTCACCAGATGACCATGTCATGGATATCAGCCCTGAACGAATAAAGGCGTGTCTAGAAGGCGAGTTTCGTGAAAGTACATCCGCAATAGCTGAAGCAGAAAGCAACAACAAGGCGTGTCGCATTTGGATTGAGCTATGGGTCACTGGTGCTGTAGATTCCGCTGCTTTGCTACATCATCTTTACGAGTGTTTCCGGCAATCGCTCTGCGATTATTTGATCGAAAAAACTGTGTCGATTGATTATGGTGCAGCCTTGCTACATCGAGCATTATTATTCGACGACCGCAGTTCCAATGTTGGTAGAGCCCTGCGTAAGACATTTATCGATTCAATCTTGTATATTCTGGAGAAAGCAGCCGAATGGAAGAGCCCTACCGTCTACTCCTTTGACCAAGCTATCCGGATAATGCCTTGGTCAATGGACGATTTGGTTGACTATATCAACTGTGAGCTTTGTAACCTGGACACCAACTTAAAAATGACGGTTGCCTGGACACTACTCAACCAACAAAAATCAGCTACAACGAACTGGGAGCTCTATCAAGGTCAAAAACTCCTCCATGATCGTATACGGAACAACATCCGGCTTGTGGGTATCAGCGGTCTGAGCGAATTTGTTGAAAAGCTGGGTAGCATGGAAGAACAAAGGCGTGCAAGTGTAGCCAGCGAAGAACGTTCAACGACGGGATGGTCAAGAAGAAGCTCGGTAACATCACAAAATTCGGTATCGATCAAAAAACAGCTCAAAGCAGAAGATAGCAACAAAGCTACAGAAGATCGGTCACGGTCATCAAGCACATCTCGGTCCATGTCCGGCTTAACCAGTAGAGCGTCTCGAAGCAGTGTCCCTCGTGTTGATGTCGCCAAACACTGCTTCCTGTTTATACGAGTGGACGTGACAGGGATTGCTGTATACACGTACAACTGGTCGGAAAAGACGAGTCTCAGTGTATTCGATAGTATATTTCGTGTAGTGACCCGGCAGGAAGCACGTCATGCTGTCCTGCTGAATATTCTTCAACAAAAGATGGGTGTTTTTCATCACAGTGCACCATTAAAGCAGACTGTGGAAAATTATGTCTCTTTAGCAGCAGTGCCGTCGCTGCAGCATGTCATGAACCAACATTTGACACCTCATATCCATATAGCATCGCCTAAACAGCTACCAAAGTTACAACAGCAACAACAACAACAACAGCAGCAGCAGCAGCAGCAAAAATCCGATACCACTACATCGAAGGCAGAGAGCACGACTGCACGGTCCGCAAAAAAGACAAATACCATGTTTGAGCTTCAAGACATGATAAACTATGCTACTACTACGACGGAGCGAAACGATACCAGCAGTGTTGCCCCCACTATAACGACCAAGTCTACTGATCACGATGACAAGCAGCAACAGCTTCAATTATGGACGGGTGAAGCAAACGAATTGGATACGACCCTGACGGAATTTACAGCAGCTGAAGACGACACGCGACGAGACCACGATCTTCTAAAACGCCATGGCGTCCCGTTCTTTCAGGCAGTTATTCGGAGGACAGGTGTGCAGACAATCCATCGCAAGGCACGTCAAGTCTACAATAGATGGAGTCGCCAATATATCGTCGATGAAGCCAGCGCCCCTGATAAATTGTTGACGCGTCGGGATGTACGGGCGATCCTGCGTTCATCTCGCTTGTTGCACTATTGCCGCACGCCGTTCTTGTTTTCGCGCTTTGATGAAAACTGGGATAATCTTGACGAGGATCCTGCAGGCAGAGAGCAGACAGCGCAATGGTATACCAAATTGATGAACGAGCTCGTTCTGGATTACAGCAAGTATTTGGAAGGTGTGGATATGCACCTTGTTGATTTAGCATCGTCAGATGATTCAGAAACAGACACGAGCGTATTCCAGATATCACGCAATTTTGCCATCGATTGTGCGCCCGTCTACTTGCTTCGGGTAGTCAAGGGTGGCTCCATTTTGTGCGAACTGCGCCTTACTGGCACATATGTGTCAGTTACACTATACACTCTACATCGACGTTACGGAAGACAAGGCTATAAAGGAGATCGTGAGAGCTTCCGTCGTTTCGAAGAGACCAGTGGTAATTTTAAGCAATTTATCCACGTCAATTCGTTCATCTATGACTTCCATCTACGACATATTCAAACGATGCTTGAAGGCGGCGAAAACGTCGGCACTGCAGTATTGGCGAATCTCAACCTTCTCAACGTCCTTCATCAATTCGCGACAATACATAAACAACCCGCTTCGTATGCACGCAACCGACTCGTGCGCGGATTTTATCAGATCGGCTCAGACGTTACAGTGGGCAGACAAAAGTTCTTTGACAACTTGCTTGGAAGTTCGCCGCGCCATGGACTCCGTAGTATGCTGGTAAAGGATAAGTCTGTTGCTGCAGCGGTGACAAGCCACGATCTATCATTCAGTCCTAATGGTGGTCGACCGGGGCAGTGGAAGCACACACTCGTCGTAACACCGGCGACAGTAGATGAAGAAGGGCTTTGGCTAGAATATTTTATACTGGTCGTATATCAAGGCAACACAAGTCCAACGACCATGTACAAGAATGTACGTCCATCACCCAAAGCAAGCGCTGTCCTGACAGATCCAATCGATAATATGCTCCTTCTCGAGGGTTATACGTTGGACGACATTGTAACCAATGCTCGCGACCGATTAGATGCTATTGTTGCGGATGTAAGTTACAAAGGCTCAAAAAAGGGGATAAAGGGATGACAGGGATAAAGAACTAGGGGAATGAGAGAGAGAAAAGGTGGCTAAAATACATATAACAAATCCTTCGCAACGCCCCCTGTGGTCTAGGTCATTGTATATTGCCAGCGTCACAACGACTGGAGCGAGCTATATGCATCCGAGCTCGTCACTTTTCCTGGGCCCCAATCAGCAAGGCTTACCACATTACTGAGCGAATTTGATCACACGGATTTATGCGAACTGGATCGGAATATGACCTCATTGCTTAAAACACGGCTGAATTGGCACATAGCTTTTGATCAGCTAATTGCATTGCAGCGTAAGAAAAGTGTCAAGGATGTCAGAGCGGCTAATGGAAAACGACATTTGCTTCTTTACAACCACGGTCGATACATGGACTATCTGATTCATCTGCAGCTTGACACAAATAACCAAATCCAGGGGTGGATGGTGTGCCGAGAAAGCAGTCGCTCGATCCAACCACACGGAGAACAGATCGCGAGCCTTGGAAATATGCTTTGCCACGTTATCTGGACTCAAGCACGCAATGCCTTCAACAGTAGCAACAGCAACAACAACAACAACACAAGCACGAGCAGCAGTGCTATTATCACCACCACAGCAAGTAATGCCAGTACCAGTACAGCCCTCACCGCCTCAAACACCAAGTCTTCATCCTCACTCACATCACCCCTATGAATGGTATTAAAAGTGTAAATAGTTTTTTAATCAACATGTGTACATTCGAAAGTAAAAATTAATAAATAGGGGGAGCTTTGGAACGTAGTGCCTCACAAAATGCACGTGTGTACACCCATGTAAAAGCAAACGCAGAACGATGATTGAAGCGATACGGCGAGAGTTATGCATATCGTCTTGGCGAGATTAAAAAATTGTATCGTCATTCTCCACAGATAACGGTAACAGCACTCAAACCAAAAGCCTATATAGACTTGGCCATCATCATTCCATATTGTACTTCTTTTCCCTTTCTTTCGTTCCTTTTTTCAGTTTGTCGTTGCGCTTTTTCTTTGTTAAATGCCTACATCTGAAGAAGGAGACAATGATGCTCCGCAGGATAGCAATCCAATACACACAGTTCGCGGTTCAACAATGCAAGTAAACAGTGGTAGTAGAGACAATCAATTGTAACTAATTTCCTTAATGCTATTGTAGGAATAACGCTAGCAACAACCGACCATTATCTCCATCATCTGCTTATCAGTACCCTTCAACTGCACGAAGCAACGCATCGCTCGAGACTGGTAGCAGCATTCCTACTGTCCGTGACCCCTCGCGAGGATATGATGTCGACTTTTATGGCCATGTGCGGGATGACATTCATAACTCTGGGCGATATTTCCGCTACGCGCCTTCAACCGATTCACTCGTTGCACAGCTTGAGACCAAACGACACCGCGCACCTACTCGACTAACGACCTATGGTCCAACAGCAGAACAATGCGATAATGGCGTCGCGAGCCTTTCCAATGACACCTTGGTAGGTGGATCAGGAACGACAAACGGAGCAGCAGCAACCAACTATGCATCTTGGAACTCAGCTGTACCATGCACTGCAGACGAAATTCAACAGACGTTTGTTCACCTTACAAATGCGTTCGGCTTTCAGCTCTGCAGCATGCAAAACATGTATGACCATCTTATGATAATGCTCGACTCACGCTCGTCGCGTATGTCTCCTTTGGCAGCACTCCATACTTTACATGCTGAATATATTGGTGGTCCAGACGCCAACTATCGACAGTGGTATTTTGCCGCTCAACAAGATATCGACGGCGAGACCAACAACATCGAGAACGGGGTATCAACGCTTGTCGATGCACTGGAAGCTTGGATGAATTCAATGGAAGGATTATCAAATATTGATCGAATACAACAACTTGCGCTTTGGCTACTGATCTGGGGTGAAGCATCCAACCTGCGCTTTTGTCCGGAAGCACTGTGTTTCATCTTTAAGTGCGCAAACGATGCTTACAAGCCAATATCACAACAGCAAACCATGGAGGTAGCGCCCGAAGGCGATTTTCTAAACAGTGTCATCCAGCCACTGTATGACTTTATACGGGAACAGAGCTACAGAGCCGATGGACAGAAGCGCGAACGGGATCATGCAGAAATCATTGGATACGACGACGTCAATCAGCTGTTTTGGTCGCAAGACACCATTGCAAAGCTCAAGTTGCAGGACAAGAGTAAACTGATGGATCTGCCAGCAGAACAACGATATCATGCTCTGCGTGATGTCCGATGGGTTAAGGCATTCAGCAAGACCTTCAAGGAGAAGCGTTCCTGGATGCATCTAGCAATCAACTTCACTCGTGTGTGGATTATCCATGTGGTGGCGTTTTGGTACTACATTAGCGCCAATGCCGGTGCCCTGTACCTCAGCACAGACAAGGATGAAGCTGAAAAGGAGGTACCCGTCCAGTTATCCATTGTTGCTCTTGGTGGCAGTGTGGCCACTCTCATTGTATTACTGGCGTGCTTGGTGGAGTATGTATATGTGCCTATGTCCTGGAATCGTGCTGGGATACTCATGCGGCGATTTACGTTCCTTGTTCCCATATTCTTGCTCAACACCGCTCCTTCGGTGTATTGCTTGATGTTCGATCGTACGAGTCCGTTTGCAACGGCAATTTCTGTCATTCAACTTTTAATAAGCATTGCCTCCAGCGTTTTCTTTGCAGTCACCCCCCAATCTCGTTTATTTTTAAAGCGATCCCAGCAAGATGATAAACGCAAGGCGCTGGTGCATAAAACGTTTACAGCGAACTTTCCACAGTTGAGACGCATGGATCGAGCTACATCGATGGGGCTGTGGGCCTGTGTGTTCGGTTGCAAGCTTCTCGAGTCATACTTTTTCTTGGCACTATCCTTTAAGGATTCACTGACAGCCATGGCAAGAATGCAGGTTAAAGATTGCAGCGACCCTATTATCGGCTCTGCTCTGTGCGCATATATGCCTATGATTACGCTGGCGTTTATGACTCTCATGGAGTTAATCCTGTTCTTCCTGGATACCTACCTGTGGTATGTCGTCTGGAATACCATGTTCTCTGTCGCACACTCCTTCTATCTCGGCATTTCCATTTGGACACCCTGGCGTAATATTTTTTCTCGGTTACCAAGACGTATTCACGCCAAGATCCTGGCAGTGTCCGAACTCAATGTGCAGTGCAAGCCCAGAGCTCTTTGCTCGCAAGTGTGGAATGCCTTTATCATCGCCATGTATCGGGATCATCTTCTATCTGCCGATCACGTTGCAAAGCTATTATACCAGCAGGTACAAGAAGCTCTCTAACTGTATTTCTTGCTGAATTGTGCATATATATATTATTGTCGTATACTTACAAAACAGAGAGTGTTGACTCTATAGGTTTCTGATATCTCAGATTCCCAGAAGACATCACTAGAAGAGCCCACGTTCTTCGTTGCTCAGGAAGATATTGCATATGAGAATGAGTACTATCCACAACACAGCGAAGCTGAGCGTCGCGTGCAGTTTTTCGCTCAAAGCTTGACAACACCTATGCCCGAACCACTTCCTGTTCCTAACATGCCAACATTTACGGTGCTCACGCCCCACTGCGGGGAGAAGATCTTGCTTACGCTGCGCGAAATTATCCGCGAAGAAGACCAAAACACACGGATCACGCTGCTCGAATACCTCAAACGTCTTCACCCGTTTGAATGGGACAACTTCGTCAAGGATACCAAAATACTGGCGGATGAAGCGATCGACACGACCTTGAACGCGGCTTTGGACTCATCAACATGTGAAGATGGCAGAAGCGCCACATCTTCGGAGCGTACACACGTGCACAAGGATACGGACGATTTGCCATTTTATTGCGTCGGTTTCAAATCTTCGGCTCCAGAGTACACGTTGCGAACTCGGATATGGGCATCTTTGCGATCGCAAACGTTGTATCGAACAGTGTCTGGTTTCATGAACTATGACAACGCCATCAAACTTCTGTACCGCGTTGAGCAGCCCGACGTATTTGTGGATGAAAAGAAGACAGACCTTGAACTCGACCAAATGGTTCATCGCAAATTTAGGCTCGTACTTGCCATGCAGCGGTATGCCTCCTTCAACTATGAGGAGAGGGAAAGCACCGAGGTTCTGTTGAAGGCGTATCCGAATTTACAGATTGCATATCTCGAAAAGGTCAAGGGCGATGATCAGGAAGATGTTTATTATTCGGTGCTCATTGATGGACACTGCCCTCTTTTGGCGGACGGCACGCGCTCGCCCAAGTACCGAATTCGGTTGCCTGGTAATCCTATCCTGGGCGATGGCAAGTCTGACAACCAAAACCACGCGCTGATCTTTTGCCGTGGTGAATACCTCCAGCTGATAGATGCAAACCAGGACAACTACCTCGAAGAATGCCTCAAGATCCGCAACGTTTTGGCCGAATTCGAGCAAGGAACAAACACATCTCCGTACCGTAAACCATCAAAATCAGGTGGACCTGTGGCTATTGTTGGCGCTCGCGAGTACATTTTTTCTGAAAATATTGGCGTGCTTGGTGACATTGCTGCCGGCAAGGAACAGACCTTCGGAACGCTAAGCCAACGTATCATGGCAACCATTGGTGGCAAGGTAAAGCTTTGACAAGCGTGGGAAACCATTTTCTTCTTTGGGAAGAAACGCTAACCTTTCAACTGTTTGTTTACGTGCATATAGCTCCATTATGGTCATCCTGATTTCCTCAACGGCGTTTTCATGACTACGAGAGGGGGCGTTAGCAAGGCACAAAAGGGATTGCATCTTAACGAGGATATTTATGCCGGTATGAATGCTTTCGAGCGAGGCGGACGTATTAAGCACGTGGAGTATTTCCAGTGTGGCAAGGGCCGTGATCTTGGGTTCGGCTCGATTCTCAACTTTGTTACAAAAATCGGCACTGGCATGGGGGAGCAGATGCTTTCGCGGGAGTACTACTATATTGGGACGCAGCTACCATTGGACCGATTCTTGACCTTCTACTATGCACACCCAGGATTTCATGTCAACAACATATTCATCATGCTCTCGGTGCAGCTCTTCATGATTGTGATCCTGGTTCTTGGCGCTCTAGCAATGCCCGTCACCTTGTGCGAGTTCAACCCTGATGCTCCCAAGGATGCACCACTGATACCTGAAGGCTGCTATAATCTCGTCCCGGTCTTTGATTGGCTCAAGCGTGTGGTGATCTCCATCTTCGTTATATTCGCTGTTTCGTTTCTACCGCTGTTTCTGCAAGAAGTGAATGAGCGTGGTTTCTTACGAGCCATCACCCGTCTTGTCAAACAGCTACTGTCGTTTTCGCCGTTCTTTGAGATCTTTGTCACACAGTGTTATGCCCAAGCCATCTTGAGCAACCTGTCATTTGGCGGTGCACGCTACATTGCGACCGGACGTGGTTTTGCAACATCAAGGGTCCCATTTTCTCAGTTGTATGCCCGGTACGCTGACTCGAGCACCTACTTTGCTATCAGGAGCTTCTTGATTCTCCTCTTCGGATCAATCGTCATATGGATGCCTCACCTCCTCTATTTCTGGGTGACGGTTTTTGCATTGATCTTGTCGCCGTTCGTTTTCAACCCTCACCAGTTTGCCCTCGTCGATTTTCTGATTGATTACCGGGAATTCCTGCGTTGGCTTTCGCGTGGAAACGGTGCGCTCCATGCCAGCTCGTGGATTGGATTCTGTCGCTCGAAACGGATCAAGGTCACGGGTGTCAAGCGTAAGAGCACCAAGACAAAGGAAGTACAATCGAAAGCAAACTTTTCCGTTGTTTTCTTTACGGAGATTGTCATGCCTGTATGCTTCGCATGCATCTGCACTATCGCATACCTGTTTGTTCACAGCATGCCTGATGGTAACGAAAAGAGCAAGACGAGCGGGTTGACACGTATTGGTGCTTTATCGATGGGCCCCATTGTATTGAATGCTGCTGTGCTTGGCGGTTGCGTCGGCTTTTCCGTTCTGCTCGGTCCTCTCGCTTCATTGTGCTGCAACGTGAAATTCGGATCTACTGTTGCAGCTGTGGCACACACTTGGGCAGTTGTTTCATTTATTGGCTTTTTCGAGGCGCTTTACTTGTTGGAAGGATGGCATTTTGAGCGAGCACTTTTGGGGTTGATAACGATTGCAAGTGTCCAACGAGCGATATCAAAAGCCATTACAGTGCTGCTGGCGCGTGAATTTAACAATGGCGAAAGCAATCAAGCATGGTGGACTGGCCGTTGGTATGGCCGAGGGGTAGGTCTATATAACTATGACATCTTCTAAGAAGAAATAGTACTGTATCCGTATACTGACATAGGTATTTTTTTAAATAGCTTGGGTGGTACGCATTATCACAACCGCTACGTGAATTTGTCTGCAAAGTTATCGAAATGACGCTGTTTCCAACAGATTTTGTCCTAGCACATTTTATCCTATTTGTGCTCTTTATGGTATGTCTTGTACCCGGGATTGATAAATGGCACTCTCTCATGCTGTTCTGGCTTCGGCCAGCCAAGCAAATCCGACATCCTGTATACACGCTTTCCCAAAGACAGAGGCGCATACGTACGGCAGTACTGTACGGCATCGTGCTTGTCATGGTCTGTGCACTGCTTTTAACAGTTTTGGTTGCCCCTGCAGTCCTGGGACCTCATTTGCGTTTTCTTAACAACCTTCCCCTCCCGCTATGATATTAATCCTCTCTTTGTTTCTCTTCATTCTTGCATAATCCATACCTTTCTTACATTTGATATTTCCATACAATTTACATATAAGCTACACATACAATCACCCTTGTCATTTTTTGCATATTTCATCCGGAAACAATTAAATTAAAGCTCTAGCATATGATACATTATTTCATACAACTTGCTATACATAGCATAGGCTATTTTTATTAATTCTCTATTTGGTGTATTCTCTATGTACAGTACTTTATAATAAAGTGTACACGATGATCGCGTAATTAATATATTCGATTCTTAGAGTGCTCCAGTACGATGATCCTGCGTTGTATATATTTAGACACCAGGCGCAGCGCTCGGGCGACGTCTTTCAACTATCGCAATGTTCTGGCTTCTCTCTCACGACTCGTGATCACATACGAGATGGACTATAATAGCCTCATACAGCTCCTCAAGGATAATCCGACTTTCGCGCCTCGTTTTCTCAGTTTATGATGGATTGTTACCAACTACTAGCGCTTGCTTCCAAATTGTATTGAAGAGTCTCAGTTCGTAAATGTAGAGGATAGTGTATCATACCCACGCTGCGATACACTGAAACATCAACATCCGTGGCAAAAGCTACATACATCTTTGTTTTTAAACAAAAGCATAGAGGGCGCTGTCATCTCCTGGTCTCAGACGACTTGTGCTATGATAGATTATATTTATCTGCAAAAAGCATAAAGCAGCTCCCCAACTCTGTGCAACATTCAACAAATGCCATCATACTTTAGAAGCTCTCACATCAAGGCTTTCGAGCGCATTTCTTAAAAAAACCGACAACTTACACAAGAACAGGACATGCAAGGGGTCCAGTATTTGTAGTTTATGCAATTCCATATCTTGACTAGCTGAAGCAGCCAGATCTTTTGTAACATGTAAGGATTGCCCATCAGCTCTTGGAGTCCCATTGGACTACATACTATTTAACACGAAACTTTCCAGAAATCGAAACTCGTATTCTTGGATATGTATCAACTCCAAAAATTTCTTTGGCCAGCCCGGAAAAGCATTCGGATCATGGGATCATCTCGTCGTGTCATAGATATCAAGGATTGATTTTGTTCAATAAAAATTTGAGCAACAGCAACAACGGGTCCAGGGCTCAGTATTAAGATATGGGCGGATCGTGCCAGCGTTCAATAAGTAAAAAGAGCGCGCCCAACCAGGACAGGGAAGTGCTGCGGCGAAAGGAAGGTCGGTATCGTCCTTAATTACCATAGCTAACAATACCTAATAATGTATTAATGATGATATTCACAACCACCAACAGGCGTAACAGAGTATCGTTCGGCCATTTGAAAACAGTATTCGTTTACTCGTAAACAAAACGTCATGTCAGCAGTGTGTTAAATTTCGATCAATACTTGGGATAGTTCACGATCTTTATTCGAGACAGGTTCATAGACAACGTCGGGCCAGTCGGTTGGGACTGCCTTGTACTTGTCAACGGTATGTTTTCCTATACAATAATTAACGATCCTAATAAGTCAATGCAATACATTATATGAAAGCAGGCAAAGCAGTTTTCCCAAAATTACCAATAAAAGTGTTTACGATAAGGTTAACAACTTCTTGTTTCGATAATACTAGTTTGCTCACGAAAAGGATGGTTATTGTGATTATTGACGTTGCGTGGCAGAGCGTCTGATGCGATTGTGCTGTCTCATGATGTTTTCAAGGAAAAGGAACAATTCTCTAACACGCTGGGCATATTGTTTAGCCTCTTCTGGTGAGATTGTAGAGAGCTGTAACACGCGACTATGATCATGGTGTTAGATTGTCAACAAAAAATGTTAGAAGCTTGCATATGATGATCAAAAGTCAAAATACGGCCCTGAATTTTAGTTTGAGCCTATCTTAAACCACAAGGTAAATCTTTCATTGGCGTTTTACAGTTACCAGAGCGGGCTCATCTTTGCCTGCTCATCGAATCGAAATGGGAGGTAATGGATTTTGGCATATCCGAATCGTTGATGCATAGGACAGATTCACTCAGCTGAAAAGATTACGGATAAGCTATTATTGGTTATCAAGACAATCTCTGACAACGAAAAAAAGGGATACATAAAGACAGCGAAGGAGACGAGGATGAAGTACATGAGGGCATCGAGGAAGAGCAGGAGCGGCAGTAATTAAACAAGAACGCTGTCTCCGCCTTATGGTTGCATACCTAGAGCAGACCAAAACCAAGTTGTATTCTCTTACGCAGGCTAGCCTAAGAAGGTTCTCAACGTATCATCCACGAGTCTACATATACTGTATTCTCCTATCCTGAATGTATTAGAAAGGTGGAAACTTTCTGTGCAGCTTGGCAATGACGATTACTCGTGCTACACTCATATTCTAGCACATCAGCTATGCGATGTTAAGATATTTTTAAGCGACACACTTGTGGGCATGCTAGATCGCCTAAAAGATGATTATGTGCAACAGCTTTCCATGCGGAACAGATTCTTGATAGGCATCGATCAAGTTCGTCACAAAATCAATAATAAAAACTAGACGAGGTCAATCACAATAAAATGGATCGGTTACTTGATAAGTATCACAATAAATGGTTTATTTGAGCTATCATCAACGATATTCTTATCAAACAACAGTGGGTGGAATGTACAGTAAACGATAGCTGTAATGAACAAATCTATTGCAAGTTATATTGTATTGTATAACCGACTTTTAGAGAAAACTTGTTCTTTTACTGGTACAGTACATATACATGCTCCACTGTGTTAGGTAGTTTCAAGTCAAAATACACGGGCTGGAGCTTGCTAGACATCTTCAACATCGTCATCACCAGCCCTCGTCATCTAGTCTGACAGCGCTATTACCCAATCGCAATAACAAAGGGTCCGTCCGATTTGCTAGCTCCGGTCGTCTCCGCAAAAGGCACTTGCCACACCTTCGCCACCGTATACATAGCAAATCAGCAACCTACAATAAAGTGATATGGATTGGGTCGAGTGAACCCTCAACATAATATTTATAGGTCGAACAGACACGACAGTATCACTTGTAGATATCTTGTCCGCCAGGGCAAGTGATGTGAGTCCTTAGCAATTTAGCAGCAGTTACTGCTTCCCAGATCGCACACGAGCACTCATCCATCGTTCTTAATCATCGTTGGCATTGTGTCTTTCTTCCTTATCATTTCTGATTGCGTTGCTCAGTCGCATCATTTTTTCTCTTGTAGTTCACGTACTCGATGAACAAGTTGGCATTCGAAACGTACCTGTCTTTGACGCGGAGGCTGGGTGCGTGCACTGACACTTCTTCCCAAAACAAGCGGCGACAGTATCGGAGGGCACATCGGCATGGTGAAACATATATATAGCGTATCATAGGGTGATACATGCCGATCACTGCTGCCAACATATTTGACTTCTTGACGACGACTATCACTTACACATCTCCTTCCCCTTCCCTTTGCTTTTGTGCCAAGTTGCGTCATATGATATAAGCGGTCCATAAAATGAGCCAACCAGAGCCTTACAAATGAGAGCCAATCAAAATGATGGATTTCATTGAAGACCCGAGCGTGACGGCAGAATATTGTCTGAATAAGAATACCAAAAACACCCCACCCCTCCCATTTTTTTTTCTTCTTTAGTTCCATTTACACAAACTTTATGAAGCGCAAAGTGTTGTGTGAATCCTTGACTTGGAAAGCTATTAGCCAGGTTGAGGTGGATATATTCTACCCGAAAGATGCTTCAATGGTAGCAAGGTTGTTGGAAGCATGCCCTAGGGCTGCATCAACGTAGTACAACAACCTTGAAGTATCTTTGTGCTTAGTTGACGTTGTGGGCACACACGGCACGGGCGCCACTAGTGAATGGCGAAGGTCTCTCATTGCGTAGCGACCATTCACTACCTGCGTCTTCGATCAGGTTTTGCTGTCTTCCTGGAAAAAAGAGACAGCAGGAGTTTTTCCCCTCTTTTTCTATTGGAACTTCCTAGAAAAGAGGGTTTCTCTTTAAAATACAATAAGAAAATGACAAAAAGATAATAATCAACAAGAGAAGCTTTCTATGTTTGATTATTATTATAACGGAAAGTTAATCTTTCGTTGGGTAATGACATTCCAATTCACACAGAAAGATCTCTCGCTTACTGATCGACCTTGTGAAGAAGTACTTTTGAACTTTGTTTGTGAAATGTACTATTTGAGATTTAGGATCTCTTTCAAGTGCATATAAAGCGGTGGCAACCATTTGACACCGTGCTCTCTACGCACGGACCCTGCTATTGTTCTTGAATGAAAGAAACGAGGTTGCGTCCGTGTTTTTCTTTTCTGTGATGCAAGATCCGTTTGAAACAAATGGCCATCAACGGCAGCAATTGAGACACGCTTGACTTCAAGCTTGACCGACTGCTGCGGATTTGCGTTGTCAAAGCTTGGTTTAAAAAGGCTTATACGATATTTTATAACGCGCTGGTATTGCAAGTAGGATGCCTTTTTTCCCGCTATTCTCCGGTTTCAAAAAGTACCACTTTCCTCTTGACCATTCGTTTTTCGTAAACGGATTTCACCTTGTCAGTGGTGTTTAAGCTTGCGTTATGTCTCCCTCGCGCTTTCAGGCGAAGAATGACCCTTTTATCATTTTAGTTATTACCCGCGCATTATCTCTGTCGCGTAACCTCCATGAATAATTTAATGTGGCACGTCATGCTATACACATATACACATATACAATGCAGATTGCCAATTGCATCAGTCAGCTTATTTTTCGTGGTAAGAGTTGGCGTGGCACGAGGTATTAAAGAATGTATGAGTAAACGATGCAATAATATTATTAGACGCGTGATGAATGGGCTAATGACATTTATTTTGCATCATGTACATATAATATATTTCATTTACACATATATAATTCTTCATCAGTAAATTGTATGAAGCGCAACAACCGAGCCATCTCATCTCCTCCGCTTACGACTTTAATCTCATTTGTAAACAACCACAGAAATGGCGGCGTAAAAAAGGTGGATTTTTCTTCCAGATACGATAGCACTCTTGTTAATAGACTGCATAGATTCATAGAGCTGCGAAAATACAAGAATGCTTTTACTCTTGAAGGATGATGGTCGAGAAGAAGGCGAAATGGCAGTCGCTATCCGGTGCTTAACATGTTCGTGCCACCACTTTCTCTTCTTTTTTTTACGCTGATAACATTCTTACTAAAACTCTGGTCCCAAACTATTTGGTCACAACGTCAATGCTCTCAGATATAAACAAGTCAAATGCAAGAACGCTTATGCAACGAGTCATGATCGAGAGATGCGACTGACTCGCTTTTAAGAATGACTGATTTTTTAGGCCCTTTGCTCGAGCATGAGAAGTCAATGTTTGTATGCAGGATGTCAACAACCGAATTACTTGACTATCTCACCATCTTGTATAAGCTGTTCGTCGCAAATCCCGGCGAATTTTAATGTTCTGATATTGAACAATTCCTGGAAAGCTGAAGGCTGAAGACAAAATATATACAAGCACAAACGTGTATGCTCCAGAAAAGTTGAACGCTCCCCGAGAGACGTAAGGTGGTTGGAAGAATTGCTTAGATCCTGATCGTTTGTCGGATCACGGTCTTGCTTGGATCTTTTACTTCTGTTTTCGATAATCAAAGTAGCGCAATGATCACCACGATAGTAAATGAGCGTTGTGGTTGGGTTCGTGTGAGTCGACCTCTTTCGCATTTAATTCTTCTCCAATGTGGGATATTCCAATAATCTTCTTTTGCAACGAAATCCATTTTAATGCCTTGTATCGTTTTATAACGTTTGAGGATTGTTTTCTTCGGCACTGTAAGTTCATACAATTGCTCCTTAGCGGACATGTTACCCAATACACTACAACGGAGCTTAGATAGCAAGTACATATCATACTTCTTGTTATATGTATTCAGTTTTCCCAAGTAAGGGTCGTGAGCCTGGTATCTCAATAACATCGCCGGTGTATGAACAAACAAGCTCGTCACTGACAAAACCCGTATTCCCTGCTTCTTTCTTTATGCCAGCACACTGTGTCAGAGCGGGATGCTTTTGTAACATGATGGACGGATGTTAATGATAAGCTGCAGCAGGCCGTTTTCAATATAGCTAAATCCGGGTAGCATCAGGCCTGAATAAGTCATGCGCCACAAGTGCTATACTCCTCCTAGTGCATGAGGTTTGACCGCTTCTTATGGTGTCCAGCTACCCTTCCTATGTTTCCTGACCTTTTAATAATAAATAAGCTTCATTACATGTCCCTGGACATCGCTTGTTTTCTTACTGCTGTTATTGCTTACTCCTAGCTTCAAGAAAGCTCCCATTGATATCGTCACCGACATATAAAATTACTTTTCGATCAGGACCATGATCAGTGCTACTTTATAAAGAGCTCTTTTCCTTAGCCCAGAATCTAATGATGAAGAAAAAAAAGATCATTATTGTAAACTGTTAAGCACAGCGCGTAATCAGAATGCTTTTTGTGTTCATTATGTGTCGTGGCTATAAATATGAAATGCTATAACAACGAAAATATACCGCTTTAGTACGATGTGGAGCACAGTATCGCGGAGAGAGGTGGTGACTGTTGATCCCGCTCGTCTGCTGCTGCTGCTGCTGCTATTATGTGATGATGAGATTAGTAGCGGCGGTTGTTCTTTGTCCCTTTCCTTTGCATATAGTACAGAGAAGTATAAAAATACACTTTGAGAATGGCAACACACGGACATACACACGACCACGCGCATGATCACCACGGCCATGACCATGGTGAATTCATTGATCCAGCCGAGGCCGAACGAGCTCACTTGCGAACGGTCCTGACAGCATTCACGTACTATAAGGCCCACGCGCGCAATCGAAATCATCGTCGTCGAACCAACTTTTTGGCACTTCCAGAACATCACAAGCGCCTCATTCCTAGTAGCCTGGAGAAAATTGATCAGGTTGATCGTTGTATAGAGAAAAATATGATTATGCTCAGAGATATCGTAAAGTGCGCTGGTATGTTTATGGGTATCGATCCTCGGGCGCTTGTCGCCGAAGGTTCCCAAATTCAGGTAATAAGAAAACGTATATCAAAAGGACACATGCGCGTGTGGTATATAACGCGTTTGTGTCGATATACACGAAACAATGATATTTAATGTTGCTGTTGTACAGAGTGACAAGCCTCCAGTGACGCCAATGGATATGGATAAAGTGCGAAGTACACTGAAGCAGTTTGTTCGAGACTGGGCAGAAGAGGTATGAACCCGAACGAAAAAGGAAGAGGTTATATATCGTGTATGTACGTACGGGGAAACTAAAAGCCAATTGTTATGCACTCTTCTTTTTCTACCTCTCTTTTAAAAACGAAACCAGGGAAAAGCAGAGCGTGATGCAACATACGGACCGATTCTAGAAGAACTTGAAAGCATATATGGCAGTGTGGATGTAAAAGACAGGTGCGTGTGTGCATTCTATCGTCGAAAAATATACTTTTGAGTTTAACTGATCTGTGTACTACTATTATTAGGGGAAATGTTCGCGTGCTTGTTCCTGGAGCTGGATTAGGACGCCTTGCATATGATATTGCCAATAAAGGTACGTTCAGCTGTTATTGTATTTTATGCAGTCCAAGTAGTATTATTGTTTGCTAATGTTATTTTCGACAACAACAATGACGACGACGACGACGACAATAGGCTTCAGCTCTCAGGGTAAAGCAGACTTGAAACAGAACCCGATATATCAACTGTGACAATCATTACTTAAAAATCGTAAATTTTCTATATCATGATAAAAACAACATGTAGGCAATGAATTCTCGTTCTTTATGGTATGTTGATCAGCTCTATTTGATATGGTCGGGAGTTTATGTGAAAAAGCTCGTTCACTAAAGCTATTCTCTGATTTTCGTCTTCACGGTAGCTGGTGGCATCCAATTTCGTACTGAACAGGTAAACTAGCTTAGGTCTACCTCTCTAAACTAAATTGGTGTATGGAAGAAAAGTATCTGTAAAACTGATGTTTCAAACGCGGTATGTTACATAGAATCAGTAGACCGCATGAATATGAAATACATCCTTTTGTGCATTCGTTCTCCAACATCCGATCTTCTGAACAACAGCTCAAACCGATCCGTATACCAGATATTGTACCATCGCAGTTACCAGCTACTGCCGATTTCTCAATGGCTGCTGGAGAATTTGTTGAAGTATATGGAGGCGACGAGGATGGTTACGGTAAGAAATAACTGTTGCTTGATGAGAATATATCTTTGAGATATTATAGTAACGCGAAAAGAAATACATTAACCCTATAGGCACTTGGGATGTGGTCGTAACATGCTTCTTTATCGACACCGCAACAAACATCATTGCTTATCTCGAAGTGATTCATAATATTCTGAAGGAAGGCGGCACATGGATTAATATTGGTAAGTTTCCAGAAGTCCTTTATGGTCATGCTTTCGAGCTTATTGTAGATGCTATTATAGCTCTAATGGCTTTTAACAAAAAATCTAGGTCCCCTTTTATACCATTTTGAGGATATTCCTGGCGAAGGCTCAATAGAATTAAGCCTTGAAGACGTTAAAAGGGTTTCTCGAGAAATTGGTTTCGAGTTTAAGGTTAGCTGATCCATCATTTTTCTTGTATAAGATTTCATAGACGGGAAAAGAAACGCTCACATAAGACGGTTTTAAATGACATATACAGAACGAAAAAACTGTAAACACAACTTACACATCGAACCCAGATGGCATGCTGAAATACGTCTATGAGTGTGCATTCTGGTCTGCCACGAAGAAAAGCAACCCCACCCAACAACAATAGTATAAAATAACTATGATGGTCACTTAGACGCTCGCATCATTCTCTAACTAGAATGTATGAAAGGAAGGGATCGGTTATTATCTAATGGAAGGATGAAGACAGTAGTTGGGAAAGATAGTTGTGACGCCATAAAATGTCATGGATTCAACCAAAGAAGAAAAAGGTTGTACAAGTAGATCAAAAAGTTTAATATATCATCGTTGTATTAAGCAAATCAAATAAGAAGTTTCTAATTCTGGTGATATATACCTTTGTCGTTTGGCATAAACTTACTGTATGTAAAACAAACTTACGTGTCCATTCGCTTGACACTACTCCATACCAATAGTAATTTATCAAGCAAATGCCAGGGACTGTCATATAACAAGAAATTATATCTTATCTGTATGAGAGCTTTCTTTGGGTAGCAAAAAGTGATAGATTGACGATCTTAAAATCATCCAAAGAACTATTACATCGGCATATTATACGGTGATGGTGCACGACTTTGAGTAGGTTGGGTCTTCATAGAATGGCTGGCAGCTGTCCTAAATCATATGCTGACAAGCCGGGCTGAAGAAAATACGCTTGAACACAGATCGAATGCTCGTAAATTTCGGGTTTAACAGGGCATGATTTCCAACCATTATGATACAACCTAAATCACACAAACGACTGGATATCCGACACTGATGGCAAACAACATATTTCGGATTCACATGACACCCACTTTGCTATGGAGTCACTGAGCGTCGCTCTATTTACCACCAAAACTTGGGAGGATTTGCCTTGTTACAAGCATCCTGTTCAGCTTTTTGTATTTCTTTGACGATACTCTCATCTGATAATTTATTTTTGTCGACTATCAACGTGTTTGATATTGAATACCAAAGCACTGTATTATCCGGCTAGCCCAATAATAGCGCAGCTTGCCCTTAGCTGTTAAACAGTCCTTGTGTGAATGATTCAGACCGATGCTACTGGTACATACAAGTAACTTAGCATTATAACATCCCGACTGATTTCACGGATATGCTGTGTACTTTGTGTATATCCGTTGGACATCTTCTAACCTAGATGACTGGCCAAAATACGTCTATAAGTATGCATTTTAGCTTACTATGTAGAATTAACGATGACATCCAGCAACAACCATGCAAAACTGACAGCAGTGATACTTCGATTCATATCGTGACCGGTGGTTGTAAAACCAAGCGGATTTCTTATTTCGCCAGTAGTCTACTCGACAGAGAAGAAAGTTAAGGCGAAAAAGAAAGCGAATATAAAGTTGTGGCGCCACAATATAATTTTAAGGTGCGGACCAAAAAAGAAAAAGTTTGCACAAGTAGATCGAGGTGAGATGCACACAGATACACCGTTATCGTACCGACAACAGATAATAAAGTATCCAATTCTGGAGAGATCTATCTTTGCCATATGTGATTAGCAGCAGCAGTAAGATAAAGCAGTGTCTTAGAGAACGGGAAGATGCGCTGTTGAAGAGGTAAATGCGCGTACCACCATTTAGAAGTATTAAAGTATCGGTTTGTTTGCTGGCATACACTGTAGTGATGGTGCAAAATAGAATATATTCCATCTCCAGGTGAATATTAGAGTTCTTTTTCACCAACGCATCTTGTGTGCTTGTGAGACCTCAAAATGAAAGCCAGTGTGTGAAGTAACAGTATTGAAAGAGTTCTTTAAGTGACGAGGGGGTCCTTATCATTTGCAATATCATTTCTATAGAGAATGAAACTGATGTTTCATCGTCGTTATATCGTCAACTCGTTTACGCTATGCGCATCACGACGCAATATACATGCAAACACCAGGATTAATATGTCTTCAAGAGACGGTCCGCATAATCCCTGTGGTGTGTCTATATTACATGCATATCAACCTGCATTGCTATTACTGTAGGCGTGTGAGGTGTTTTTCCGAAGACAGACATTGCTTTTAGATTCCTTTGCTCACATGCCACGAAGAAGATAGAGGGTGGCGGGATGCTGATCTCTATCGGCTTTCTTTATTCGCCATAGGGTGTTATACAGGTATCTTACTATCTTTAACCGCTGCTATCTATTGCTACTGCTACTGCTACAGGATGAGCATCATTCATGTCCGGGCTATAGTATTCAAATCATTGTCGTTCTTGGAAAGAATTGAGCTCTTGACAAGGTTTTCTTGTAGAATGCGCATGCACTCACACATTCAGCTGCATTCGAACTAAATTGGTGTGACAGTCCCCTCTGGCTACGTTACAGTGGAAACGCTTCTCACCCTTGTTAAGGATATCTTGTCATTGTCGTACGCAAAGTGCACAGTGAGGGGAGTGTGCAATGATACTGTAATGAAGGTGATGATGACATAATATCAAAATGAGATTATGTGCGGTCCTCTGTCTTCTTTCTTCTCGTTTCCAAGTTGTTATCTTCTCGCCAACAACAATACATAGTATGCGACAATAAATAGTATGTAACGAAGCACGCTGCTTGAGTAACTCTCGTAGGCCCGTTCTGTGCATCTCTACGACAAGAAAAGTGGGGCAAAACAAAAAAGAAACAAGAGGAGTGAAAAAGAGATACAAACGTTGTAGTGTTGGCAATCAGCCCAGCGATTGGGTGCACACTTTCACATGCTCGAACCAGTCGTGTCCAAACTGTAATCACGCGAACAGAAAAGAGCCTGCAACCTGCCGGCTTTTCCGTTTTCCGCTTTCTTTGATACTTTTCGCTTTCCTCTTCTTTTTTATACTTTTCTCTTTTTCTTTTCTCTCTTCACTCTTTTTTTTTCCCACTCTCCCCGTGTGTATAATCGCCGTCTTATATTACAATATGTCCCTTTTTGATCCCGAGAAACCTCCCGCTTTCAATGGACTGCAATCGTCACCCCGCCGTTCATTCGAAACTGGTCACCAGGGTCGCACCGCAGGAGCAGCAGCAGCAGTACCAAGACATAGTAATAATAAGAATGATTTCAATATTCACAACCACCAGCAACAGTACGGTCGAACAACCGACTTGGTTCCTGACCGGATATCCGCCCTGTACCGGCGGTACCGTGAAAACAACGCCTGCAGCCAGTCGTCAAGCTCACACAATAGCTCATTGACATCGTCGTCGTCTTCACGATCCGACATAATCGAAATGTTATTTACGAGAATAGTGGACGCTTTGATTTTTACGTCAGCCATCGCTATCACGGCCTACAACTATTGGATAGGTGCTCTCGATAATAGCGCTCCACAAGCATCACTGACAGCATCAAGTCACTATCATCAACAGACACAGCAGCAACCCGTGCTGGATATCAGACAGTGGAGACAGACACATGCCCCTAAACTCAACCATGACGCTGTTGTGAAACAGCATGACTTTTTAGAAGACTCGAAACGCCAACGGACGCAACGATGGGCAGAAACCCTGGCAGTATCACAACAGCATCAGCAACAACAAAGTAACCATCATCAGCAGCACCATCGTCAACATTCTCGTAGCAGCAGTCGCTCTGCCCAAAAGACGAAAATGGTCCAATTTCCTAATAATGACACTATTGAAAACGACAACACCGAGGTATGGCCTACACCTACAAAGAGTGATATCAAGCATATTCCATGCACATGCCATAGATATAATGAAACTAAGCTTTCCTTGGCGGGAATGTTGTGTGGTATAGGTTTCTGTTCCCACCAAGTCCGCCACCGACCCAACGCAAGCACAGGCACAAGCACAGACGGCATCGAATAAGAAAAGACGTACGCAGTCGCTCCCACCTCCCAAAACGAATCCTGGTGCGCAGGCCGCCCAAGAGAAGCAAGACGAGATGTTTGCCCGCATGGAAGAACGTCTGCAGTCTCTGATTGAAGAGGGACAGGCGGCGCTGACCAGCAAGGTCGAGTTATACGAGTTAGACGAGAAAGAAATTGCTATGCGCAGGGCTTTTGCCGCAAGAAAAAAGCACAGCGTCTAATTCTTTCAAGGTTTTCCTTTCTTTCTTTGTTTCTCTTCCTTCTCTCTCCACTCTATACCGTTCTTTCTAACTCTTTAAGCGATGTATACCCTCCATGCTTTCTTCCTTCTCTCTCTCTCCCACTCTTTCTTTCTTTCCCCCGCCTATTTATTATGTATATCCCAGTAACAACAGCAACAGCAGCAATCATCCCACGACCCACACTTCACACAACATGTCATTATCAATATACACTCAATTCATTTCTTCATGCCAACAACATTAAACTTTAACCAAGCTGCCCCTCATTCGCCAACTGCTCTGAATATCACTACCATTAGCCAACGGTAATCAACAGGCCTGTCAAAGCATACATGAGCTCTTAATGTATCAAGTTATCACGCACACACATTATGCATGTAGGTGTCTAATTAAGGCCGTTCTGTTTAAGTTGTTGCTCAGCAGCTGTATACTGAACCAGAAGATTTGCCAGTGCTGAGCTAAACATCGGCCTTTCTCCCTCCTCCTGCAAAGTCCTTCATCACGAGGGCTTATGTTATTCTTTGCAGGCAGGAGACGAGCCCGAGGCTTCCAATCTATCTAGCAGATGAAAAGATCCAATTCTATCATAGTTTCCTTGTTTTATGCGGACAACACCATCAAGGGTCTGCTTTACTATTAGGGTTCAAATAGAAGACGCGCCACTAACTAATCCCGACCCCGGCGAATGAAATGACGATCCGTGTACGAGAAAGAAAGGGGTAAAAGAGAGAGGGGAGGGAGGGGGTCTGGATCCTGCCACACCACGCCTTTCTTCTATCTCTCCCCCACTTTCCTTCCTTCCAACAACAGCACACACTCAACCATGTCGTTCCAGGCAACTGCGTTTGCCTACCTGTTTCCAGGCAGCGCCATGGTCAATTCGCTTCTGGCAACAGCTTACATTTCGATCTTTCCAAATCTGCTTCTTTATTTCGTGCCACCTGATATTAACACTTCCGCCTTAAACGTGTTGGTCAGCTTTGCAGTTGGTAAGAAAGCTCTTTTCCATCATGTAACAAACTATTCTCCCCTCCGAAATTAGAGTGCTTGTTCTTCATGGGGTCGTATGTCTTAATAACGAGCAACCACAAAAAAAAATAGGTGGTTTGTTGGGCGATGTCTTTCTACATCTGCTGCCACACGCGTTTCTCGGAGAACACGTCGAAAGTGGCGCCGCTGTCCATGTAAATGAACAAAAGAACGTACTGATTGGCATGGGCATCTTTGGTGGCCTGTTTTTCTTTTTCGTCATGGACAAGTTGATGCGCGTATTTAATGGCGGAGATGGTCAAGAACACGGTCATCATCACCATCATCACGATACGAAAAAGAACGAGGACGAGAGCGTGGCTATTCATAAAAAGGACGATGACAACGATAAGCAATCGGAAGGTCTTCGCCAACGTAAGAAGGGCGATGACGGTGACGTCACGAAAGAAAAGGACGAGCACGAGCATGATGATAAGGCCAAGACTGACAATGGTATCAAATTGAGTGCCTACTTGAACTTGTTTGCCGACTTTACGCACAACATGACGGACGGATTGGCCATGGCAGCTTCATTTTATGCGTCCCCGAGCGTTGGCGCGACAACAGCCGTTGCTGTGTTTTTCCACGAAATCCCACACGAGGTTGGCGATTATGCTATTCTCATCCAGTCTGGTTTCAGCAAGCAGCGCGCCATGATGGCACAGTTCACCACGGCCGTGGGCGCATTCCTCGGCACAATTATTGGTATCGTTATTGAGCAGGTCTCGCGGGCCGGTAGTGACGAGGGTTCAGCATCGATGGACGATAAGCTTCACGCAGAGCTGCACAACCACGGCGGCAGTGGCGGTATTCTTGATACCGGATTGCAATGGAGCGACTTGGTTATCCCGTTCACAGCTGGAGGATTCATGTACATTGCAACTGTGGGCGTTATTCCTGAGCTGCTGCAAGTCACAGGCAAGATGCAGAAGGATCGTCGACAGGCCTTGGCCGAGTTTGGAGCCATGTTGGTTGGATTAAGCCTGATGGCTGTTATTGCATGGAACGAAGGAGGTGCATAAAAAACATCTAGACATTGTCTTTCTTTCTCTCAATCTCTCTCTCAATCTCACATATTACTGGTATCTTGAATGAATAAATCAAATAAAAATGACCGAATTATACCACTACATATAAACTACTACGATCACATATCCTATTGCCAATGCACAACTTCGTGTCACGTATATATAACAACCTCCGACTGACCGTGCTAATGGAAAAGAGCGCGATTCAGTTGAATTTATTTCGTTCGGCTGTCTTTTTTCACTAAGCGATCACGTATACACCACTATAAATAAAATGAATATCGATGAAATGTTCAAGGTTAGCGATCTTTGTGAATGAACGTTTTACTTTTATACGCCTACCTGAAAAAAGAGAAGGCTAATAACAACTAATAGATTCCTGCCATCCCTAGTGGCAGGAATAAACGGAAAATGCCAGCAACACCCGATGTACAATTCTTGGACCAATATTCAGCACAAGCAACAACAGAAGATAATGACGCTGGTGAAAGCAGTAGTAGCAGCAAAAAGCGACGTGCAGTTACTATTGAGGAGGAGGACGATGACGATTATCCCATGGACAACGGCGGTTATGACGAATATATGGATGGCGCAGACGACGACGAAGGTCGATTCTTTGGTGGCGGTTTAACAGAAGAACAAAGTCGACTCCTTGATCTAGTGGATGAATATGATGTTGAAGAAGTAAGGAATTTATTGAACTAAAGCTCTATTACATACACGCGCACTCACTCTAACGGTCTATATATTTTGTTTTTCTCTAGCCTGACTCTTTAAACGATCTTAATGTCAAAAAAATGATTCTGAAATTTGAAAAGGCCATCAACAAGAACCAAGAACAACGTGTCCGATATGCTGATCAGCCTGAAAAGTTTATGGAGTCAGAAGCAGATTTGGACGAAGAAATAAAAAACCTCGCGACGTTGACCGAAGCACCTCATTTATATCCGGAAATCGTAAAACTTGGAAGCGTTCCATCCATTATGTCGCTGTTGAGCCATGAAAATACGGATATCGCGATTGATGCTATTGATCTTATCAATGAGCTTATCGATGAAGACGTTGGTACCGGTGAAGATGAATTGGAGAGATCAGAAGAAGCAACAAACGGTATGAAGGCGTTGGCAAATGCATTGGTAAGCAACACTCCCTCCCCTCACCTTTCCGTGTTCCTAATTATCTTTTGAAATTTGCTAAAAATTGTATACACCGGATATGTATGTGTTAGCTTGAAAACGAATTGTTAGAATTGCTTGTCCAAAATCTTGAGCGTTTGGATGAAAAGGAAGAAGCAGATCGACAAGGCATATTCAAAATTTTGGGTAAGAAAGAAAAAAGAAAAAGAACGAAAGTGTCTGCATATGCGAATCTAATTCGCAAATATATCATGCTTTAGGAATCATGGAAAGTTTATTAGGTCTAGATCCTCAGCTGGCTGAAAGAATTGCTCTAAAAACAGAGATAATGCCTTGGTTGTTGAAGCGTGTGCAAGGGAAAGGATATGATTCTAATCGTGGATATGCCGCTGAAATCATTTCGATCTTATTACAAGAAAGCCGAGGTGAGAGCAATAAACTACTCTTGAACTAGATGGTCTTGTTATTGTACTATACGTGCTTACAAACAATGTCCTCGCTCCTGGTCAAACATTCTACTCTAGATATCCGTTTAAAGCTAGGAGAATTGAATGGTGTCGATGTTTTACTTCGTGCACTTTCAGTAAGTACAACATAGCACTACTCTCAAGATACTTTTAGGAGCTTAGTTACGGTATACAACTATTTATGGTTGCATTTTTTTGCTCTAACTCTACACTATATGTTGCTGTTTACAGGGTTATCGTAAAAAGGATCCAGAGGATGAGGATGAAAGTGAAATGGTGGAGAACTTTTTCAATGCGTTATGCTCTGGACTTAATGAACCTGAAATCAAAGAAAAGTTCTTAGAGGGTGAAGGTGTCGAACTAATGGTGATAATGCTTAAGTATGTACTTGATCTTATCTATATAACGATTTTTCATTTACTAACTTTTTCTTGGGTACCTTTATTTGGGCGTGTAAAAAAATATAGAGAGAGAACGCTTGCTCGTATTCGTGCAATGAAGGTGCTGAACTACGCTTTGACAACTGAAGCAGGTCGTGGAAACTGTTTGCGATTTGTGGATGCAATGGGTCTCAAGGTGTTGTTCCCTATCTTTATGGGCAAGGTAACGAATTACTATTCTGTTTGTTTGGGGCAGCTTTATTTTCTGTGGTAAGTTGGCTAAAACAAATGTGGAATTTTAGGGTGTCAAAAAGTTAAAAAAGGCGTACAGCAAGACATTCGTTGAATCAGAAGATGAAGGTAATAAAAAGAAAGCCGTTACTGCTGTGAGCAAAACTGACGAGTTACCTCTCTATCATTATCCCATCTATTACAGAACATATCATGTGTATTATTCTATCATTATTGCGAAACTTATCCCGAAACGACGTCCAACGATTACGTTTGGTCAAGAAATTCATAGACGACAATTTCGAAAAGATTGACCGCTTATTAGAAATGAAAGAATTTTACGAGGGCAAAGACCAACGTGTTCGCGCAGAGATCGAAAAGGAAAAAGAAGAATATGATGAGGAAGATATCGAGGTTTTGAAAGACGATTTCTATTTACGCCGACTGGATGCAGGATTATTCACATTGCAACGTGTCTGTTTGGTGATTGCCGCGCTCAGCAAAGAAGACCAAGGCATCCGTGAACGAACAATGATGATGCTGAAGCGACAAGGCAGTGATATCTCCAGCATCTTTAGAATCATTGAAGAGGAAACCGCATTGATGGCAGATTTCAGCTATCTTTCTCGAGTGGCAACGGGTGGTGCTGTAGAAGCGGATGATCAGCGATAATAAATTATATATTTGTTTATAAAGCAGAAATAAAATTGTGTATACCTACAAACATTACAGTCGAAAGCTATTCTTGATCTCATACCAACTGAGGTCGTTTCTGTAAGTTCATCAAGTACTGGCAAAATTATGAATGCACTTCTGCTCATAACTGTGTTGTTAGGCCTTACTATGTCGCAGTATTTCTCGGGGTATGGGATACATAAACGGATCCGCTTTTGGTCAGGACCTTTCAATTCTACGATGTTTGGTTCTCCTGTTAGACTTTGCACTGCATTCTCTTATATAAACGCCTCCTTTTTACACTTCTTGGGGCTTGGATGAATAAGATTTTTAAAAACTTAGAATAGTTCAAATCCTCGTTGTTGATACATACTGTAGTTACTGGAAATATTGCAATCAGACAATTGTCAGGAGCTTTACTATATGAAACATATTACAAAAGTTGTTGAATAACTCTTCTTGTTCCAAATACACAAAGCTGTCTGCTCTCTCAAATTGTAAACTGCAACTGAATGCTTAATAAAAGGCAGCAGCCGATGGTCGCGACCGTATATCTACGCACTCATTATTCCCTGGATTGCGATCGCCTAATATGGTGCTCCCGGCGTTCAAGCTATACAAGTTTTGGGGTACTCTCGTTTAAAAGAAAGAGGCATTCTCACTTCTTTTACAGACTTTCAATCAAGTCTTTCTTCATATTATCCACGATGCAAAACATACAGTTGATTGGGTTCATCGACTGCAAGTAGTACAATTAACAAGCGGTCAATTTGTGGAAATAGATATAACAGCAAATATATTACCAGGCTTCTTTAAGCCATTGCAAAAAGTAGTTCCTGACCATCCGCGCCGAAGCTTGAAAACAGTACAGTGGTCCCCCGCTTTTTGCAGCAGCGGTTTTTGGTGGAAAAAACTGCAAAAAGTGGGGAACTGCAAAAAGTGAGGATGAGTATGAGATGTTACACAGACTGAGTCTATTATGTTAATCAAGTGTCAATGATAGTAAACCAATTGAAAGTGTCGGTGTTGTACTGAGGCTACTTATTATAAATCAACTCTTATATAAAAGGCTGTCGTCTAATTCTTGATGTTTATATACTGCACTATCGACACCTCCACACCACTATGGTAAAAGCAAAATACCCAAAGCTTACTGACGAGCAAAAGGACGCTATCTATCAACATTACATGTAGATGTCACTGGTTCAAGACTCTGTGTCCCAGGCTCTCGAGTTAATAGCGGAAAATTGCAGGTCCCCATTTTTGGCCTGCAAAATGCAAAAAGTGAGGAAACTGCAATTTTACTAAGTGATGAGCGGGTATGCTCCAAAAAAATCTGCAAAAATTGAGGATCTGCAAAAAGTGGGGCTGCAAAAAGCGGGAGACCACTGTATGGTAAACTTGACGGAGCCCTGAAGAACGCTAGTCGCCTATTGTGACGCTAGTGTTTTCTTCAATAGAAACAACCTGAGCGAAGCGGTCGAAACATTTGATGATTTTGTTGGTCAATGTCATTATTATCCTCTTGGGGAGGTTGTGGAAATTTTCAAGCAGGCAATACGTGATCCCAATATATAAAAGGCTTTTGAGCTCTCTAACATACTTTACATGTCTTTGGATGACTGTAAATGCTGTTTAGGAAGCATTAAGATATTGTAAACGCATCTGAAGGCGTCCATTTTATATTACATATATGCTCTTCAAGCTCATTATCCGGTTCAAAAAGTTAGTGGTTATAAATGGCAGAAAGGCGATGTCGTTGCTTGAGGGTCCGTTCATTGGTAGCTGGTGTTCCTTTTATTATAGTAGGATATCAGACTCAAAGTAAAGATGTTCTTTCTCCTTTTGTTCGTGGGATGATGTTAGAAAAGAATTATCTGAAAGCAGCAATCATACATAACCTATTAAATCGCATGCGATTCATGTATACATACTCCAAACGCAGGAACGCGACACTATATATATGGAGAACAGTACCGCAGTCGTCAGCAACAGAGAGGAGAATCTGCATACAATTACCTCTGTGCCATGCTAAAGCTCAGAAAGAGAGCCGATCCAAAGGGAAAGATGACAGATGAAGACATAATCGATGTTGTATGCGACGGCTTGCTGCCTGGGTACCAATATTATGTTCATCACAAACAAGCAAACAGCCTGAGCGAGCTGCCAGAGGCATTGAGCTGGCCGGATGAATGCGAAGAAGGCAAGCAGCATCAGCAATCACAATCATCTGCGATGGTACAACCCATCAATTTTGTATCATACAACAACAACAAAGCAACCGAAACGTTGCACAAGCAAGGAACGACACAACTCCAGAACCAAGTCGAAGAAATGCTCAAACAATAACAAGCCAGGCCCCCTCATCAACCGGAGACGTACAAATCGTCGTTGAAAGTGCGGTTGCCAATGCCATGGACCAGATCCAAGCCCAAATGAAGCAAATGATGGCCGACAATGCAAAATCAACAAGGTCATTTTCTTGCTTCAACTGTGAAAACGTCACAGTGCTTGGAAATGTCCGAAACCATGTTAGTACTGCAAGAAGATGCATAGTTGAATGGAGTGCGAGAAGAATCCTTACCTTCAAAATCAGCCAGCGGAGGAAAGTTCGGGTTTTCGCCGGGGCCCTCATCGGCGGGTATGAGGGACCCTTCTACAATAATGCCCGTAAGCCTGATTGAAGCAATTGAGGAGGAGCTGGAGAGTTTAGCAATTAACAACACCAAAGCATCAACATCAGCAAAAAGACGAAGAGCTGCAGACGACGAAGGAAAAGACGACGAGAAGGAAGAGGACAGAGACAACAAGACGACGACGATTGCAAAATTTGGAAAAGGCTAGAGCAGCCAAGATAGCCAAGAAGGCAGCCGATGATCAGTCAGTAACCAGCGGCAAGATAAATCCATCAATCCAAGAAAAAGCAGTGAAGAGCTTTCCGCTGATTCTTGGGGAAGACAACAAGGTACAAAAGCTTCGATATGCGTCAGGCCTTATGGGAAACCAATATATCGGTACCTATACCACAATTGCTTTTTCATGCCCCTGCACTGTTCGACAACTTTCTGGAGTCTGTTGGTGTCCATCAGCCCTTACGCCGGCCGGGTGCGTCAAGTTGAAGAAGCCAACAAGCACACCTCATCCGACATGGGCACGACAGCAGCTGTAAATGAGGTGATCACTATCGACTCAAGCCTGTACCCAGACATCAAAAAGTTGCAAGCTGTGCTGCTCATGATTGGGGATCTCGAGGTTGAAGCCCTGATTGATGGTGAATCGCTTACCTCCGTAATGCCTGCAAGTGTTATGGAAGCCGCTGATTTGACTAGTCAACTCACACCAACCAATCGCATCCTGCGCTTTGCTGGAGGCACGACGATACTTTGCACTGGAGCCTTGAACCGAGTCCGCCTCACCTTTTTCTGAGAAGTTGGAGGTATCACATTCATTTGTGGTGACAGCAAACCCTTACACACCTTTCATTCTTGGGCTCCATTTCATTGTTAAGGCAAATGCTGTCCCTATGGCAAGGAAAAATCTGCTTCTATTTTCGGACCCGAGAAATGATGGGAGGGCAGAAGACGTGCTGATAACTACCCACGAAGGCTTTGGGAGATCAGACTGGATGCCCAACACCAGCGAGGGGCCGAACTTCGAAGAGGACAAACCTGATCTGATTCCTGTGTCCGTGGTCGAGCAAACAGGCGATGCCAAGGCAATTGCAGAACGAAAGACCTTGAAGTTGGGCCCTAGTGAAATCAAAATACTAGAGTTTAAAGCTGACGCGACAGGTGGACAATACATTGAACCTGCATTGGGTGCCGTGTTGCAAGGAATCTATGTCATGCCGACATCATGGACAGACCAAAAGGGTACTATCACGACGGTAGCTGTCAGCCTATCAGGCGAAAGCGCTCAGGTCGAACCTGGCGAACTCATTGCTACCATCACTGCCACCGAGTTCCCATACCAAGGAATCGCGCTGCAAAACGGCGAGGAAGTGGTAAAACATTTGGGCTCGCTACTATACCACCCCTGCCCATACCTGCCCATACCTGCCCATACCTGCCCATACCTGCCCATACCTGCCCGTACCTGCCCGTACCTGCCCGTACCTGCCCGTACTTGAGCTTAAAACACCACTGACAAGGTGGAATCCGTTTACGAAAAACGAATGGTCAAGAGGAAAGTGGTACTTTTGGAAACCGGAGAATAGCGGGAAAAAAAAACATCCTACTTGCAATACCAGCGCGTTATAAAATATCGTATAAGCCTTTTTAAACCAAGCTTTGACAACGCGAATCCGCAGCAGTCGGTCAAGCTTGAAGTCAAGCGTGTCTCAGTTGCTGCCGTTGATGGCCATTTGTTTCAAACGGATCTTGCATCACAGAAAAAAACACGGACGCAACCTCGTTTCTTTCTTTCAAGAACAATAGCAGGGTCCGTGCGTAGAGAGCACGGTGTCAAATGGTTGCCACCGCTTTATATGCGCTTGAAAGAGATCCTAAATCTCAAATAGTACATTTCACAAACAAAGTTCTTCACAAGGTCGATCAGTAAGCGAGAGATCTTTCTTTGTGAATTGGAAAGTCATTACCCAACGAAAGATTAACTTTCCGTTATAATAATAATCAAACATAGAAAGCTTCTCTTGTTGATTATTATCTTTTTGTCATTTTCTTATTGTATTTTAAAGAGAAACCCTCTTTTCTAGGAAGTTCCAATAGAAAAAGAGGGGAAAAACTCCTGCTGTCTCTTTTTTCCAGGAAGACAGCAAAACCTGATCGAAGACGCAGGTAGTGAATGGTCGCTACGCAATGAGAGACCTTCGCCATTCACTAGTGGCGCCCGTGCCGTGTGTGCCCACAACGTCAACTAAGCACAAAGATACTTCAAGGTTGTTGTACTACGTTGATGCAGCCCTAGGGCATGCTTCCAACAACCTTGCTACCATTGAAGCATCTTTCGGGTAGAATATATCCACCTCAACCTGGCTAATAGCTTTCCAAGTCAAGGATTCACACAACACTTTGCGCTTCATAAAGTTTGTGTAAATGGAACTAAAGAAGAAAAAAAAATGGGAGAGGTGGGGTGTTTTTGGTATTCTTATTCAGACAATTTTTTGCCGTCACGCTCGGGTCTTCAATGAAATCCATCATTTTGATTGGCTCTCATTTGTAAGGCTCTGGTTGGCTCATTTTATGGACCGCTTATATCATATGACGCAACTTGGCACAAAAGCAAAGGGAAGGGGAAGGAGATGTGTAAGTGATAGTCGTCGTCAAGAAGTCAAATATGTTGGCAGCAGTGATCGGCATGTATCACCCTATGATACGCTATATATATGTTTCACCATGCCGATGTGCCCTCCGATACTGTCGCCGCTTGTTTTGGGAAGAAGTGTCAGTGCACGCACCCAGCCTCCGCGTCAAAGACAGGTACGTTTCGAATGCCAACTTGTTCATCGAGTACGTGAACTACAAGAGATAAAATGATGCGACTGAGCAACGCAATCAGAAGTGATAAGGAAGAAAGACACAATGCCAACGATGATTAAGAACGATGGATGAGTGCTCGTGTGCGATCTGGGAAGCAGTAACTGCTGCTAAATTGCTAAGGACTCACATCACTTGCCCTGGCGGACAAGATATCTACAAGTGATACTGTCGTGTCTGTTCGACCTATAAATATTATGTTGAGGGTTCACTCGACCCAATCCATATCACTTTATTGTAGGTTGCTGATTTGCTATGTATACGGTGGCGAAGGTGTGGCAAGTGCCTTTTGCGGAGACGACCGGAGCTAGCAAATCGGACGGACCCTTTGTTATTGCGATTGGGTAATAGCGCTGTCAGACTAGATGACGAGGGCTGGTGATGTGTCATTCTATCAGAACATTTCAATTCTACGATGTTTGGTTCTCCTGTTGGACTTTGCACTGCGTTCTCTTTATAAATCGCCTCCTTTTACACTTCTTGGGGCTTGGATGATTAAAATTTTTAAAAGTTAAAACAGTGCAAACTCCTCGTTGTTGATACATCCTGTAGTTACTGGAAGTATTGCAATTAGACAATTGTCAAGAGCTTTACTATATGAAACATATTACAAAAGTTGTTGAATAAACTCTTCTTGTTCCAAATACACAAAGTTGTCTGCTCTCTCAAACTGTAAACTGCAACTGAATGCTTAATAAAAGGCAGCAGCCGATGATCGCGACCGTATATCTACGCACTCATTATTCCCTGGATTGCGATCGCCTGGTATGGTGCTCCCGGCGTTCAAGCTATACAAGTTCTGGGGTACTCTCGTTTAAAAGGAAGACTCATTCTCACTTCTGTTACAGAATCACAATCAGTGTCTTTCTTCATATTATCCACGATGCAAAACATACTGTTGATTATGTTCATCGATGGCAAGTAGTACAATCAACAAGCGGTCAGTGTGTGGAGTATCAGCAAATATATTATCAGGCTTCCTTGCTTTACGCCATTGCAAAAAGTAGTTCCTGACCATTCGCGCCGAAGCTTAGAACAGTATGGTAAACTCGACGAAGCCTGAAGAGCGCTGGTCGCCTATTGTGACGCTGGCGTGTTCTTCAAAAGAAACAACCTGAGCGAAGCGGTCGAAACATTTGATGATTTGTTGGTCAATGTCACTATTTTCCTCTAGGGGAGATTGTGGAAGTTTTCAAGCAGGCAATACGTGATCCCAATATATAAAAGGCTTTTGAGCGCTCGAGCATACTTTTACATGTCTTTGAATGACTGTAAATGCTGTTTAGGAAGCATTAAGATATCGAAAACGCATCTGAAGGCGACCATTTTATATTACATATATGCTCTTCAAGCCCATTATCCGGTTCAAAAAGTTGGTGGTTATAAATGGCAGAAAGGTCATGTCGTTGTTTGAGGGTCCGTTCATTTGTAGCTGCTTAGATTAATTGTTGTTAGCTATAAATTACGCAGTTTTGTAAAGGACCCTCCTTGGAAAGCAACAAATTAATACAACGTTACCTTCTTTTTTACCAGGAGCGCATATACAAATTCTCGACAACTGCACTTGAAGTGTAAATCGATGACGATTATGTTTTTATGCATATGTCGGATCTGGTGCATCATACGGATTTAATGTAGAATTTGTCCAACAACTTTCTAATAAGGGTGACACGGCTATCGCATATGCATGTCGTCTGGGCAAGTCTGTGTAACTGCAAGCACTTGTGAGTGGAAAGGCCGTTTCACGCAGTTGCTTTACAACAGAAGAATTCACAATATCATTTTAAAGAAAAGCAGTTGAACAAGTCCAACAAATAGCGCCTTCCGGTATTAATGCGTTGTTTAATAACTCGGGCGTATACGGTGGACGAGGACATAATATTTCGAACAAGTGAGCTCAGCTTGGAATCTTTCAAGCTTTGTGTTTTTTCATTCTTACGCTTAAATTATCATGTTATCGAACTACGTTTAAGCTTTTCAAACTAACATGGGCGGAACGTCCAACGTTACTCAAACTCTGATGCCGTTACTGCGCAAACGAGTTACACGCGTCATTGTCAATATATGTTCTATTCTTGCATCAATCAAATTGAACAATGCTTCAAACAAGCCTCCGGTATGTATATACATGCCTTTCTTTTGCGTCTTTATATGCTCCGCTGCTGCCAACACAGGAATCACAGAGAGACCGTTAGTACACTGAATAGATTATCTTACAATCAATTTTTGAAAAGAAAACAGATTTCGATGCAACTGCTGTAAGTTCACCTACTGTTATGCTTATCTTTACAAGAAAATTCCCACGGCTCCATGAGCTTATATATTATACTACTGTAAACACATACGGGTTTTCGTACCGGGTTTCCAAGGCAGCAAAGAATGTGCTCCTCATCAAAGATTTTGCCAGCTTCTTAGGCGACGAGGATTGTGTGGTTCCTGTCATAGACCCCGGATGCGTACAAACAGACATGGGTGGTGGCCAGGCACCAGTTACTCCAGAGCAAGCTATCAGTGGAGTGACTATAGTGATCGATAAACACTCCAAGGACTTGGACCGAGCCTCTTTATACATGTGTCGTTATATTGACGCCTGCATATGCCAGGGGCGTGTATATCTCATATGTTCTGCTCACTAAAATGATGTATTCACTATGCACTGCCGTTCTAGGTATTACGTCGGAATCGAAGCTTGGTATCGCCGATAAAAGCGAATCCGTGACTCATTTTTCTAATTTTAAAGGTCGTAGCTTTATTCATCCCTTGTTCCCCATCGTCGTCGCCGTCGTCGTTCTCGACATTTCATCCTCAATGCGATATCACGTCCTCGGTACTGGTGCTATCGGCTGTCATTTTGCAGTAGATCTTCGTTCTCAACACGATGTCACTCTTGTCTTGCGATCAGAAAAAGCCTTGCAGGATTTCCTTAGCCGTCAAAACGAGATAACGTATCGACGTGTCAACCAACCTGATGAAACCGTGAGAATTAGTGGATTCGATGCCATGGTAGCCGGCGACACTTCATACAACACCCATATGGATGCTGTCATTGTCACCACTAAGGCCCAGCATGCAACAGAAGCTGTACGATCCATCAAACCACACCTATCACGATCCAGCACCTTGGTGTTATTCCAGAATGGCATGGGTGTTGCCGACGAGTTGCTCGAAAAACTATGGCCTGGCCCTGATCGACAAGAGGCACCCGCAATCGTAATTGGTGTTAATCGCCATTCCGTTATGCGTACGGAACCGTTCGACATTCTTCACAATGCCGGTTGGGACAAACCTACTGATGGCTACTTTGTTTCGCCATCGCCCGAAATTGGAGCAGAACAAGGGGATCAGGTCCAATCGGTCATGCAAGGCATGATTGGACTTGCTCGATTAAACACCAAAATTGTACCTTGGTCAACACTATCCCAATTCATGATGAAGAAGCTTGTAGTCAACTGTGGGTTGAACGCGGCAACTGGTATTTTGGAGTGCTCCAATGGAGAGTATATTGCCAGTGAGCAGGGCTGTCAATTGATACGTCAGATTTGTGAAGAATGTGCTCAAGTATTGAGTCCTGAATTGGATGCAACACCAGACGAGCTTTATGATATCGTCCACGGCACTGCTGTTGATGCAGCTCCAAACAAATGCAGCACAGTCCAGGATATCATGGCAAAACGCCTAACAGAAATTGAATATATCAACGGCTACATCATCCGAAAAGCCAAAGAGCGCAATATCCCTGTCCCAACAAATACGTTCTTTGTGTTGTTGCTTCATGCCAAGGAGCATCAGATTCATGCAAAATAGCGTTACTAGTCTGAATCATAAATCCCTCTCTTGAAATCATTTAATAAAAGCACCTCACAGCAGTATACATCTCAAGAGGGTTTTATTATCAGTGCAAATAAGACACTGAAGTCCGAAATCTGGGCGTTTGTTGTGGCCGCCACATGTGCACACGATATGATACACGATAGGCCTCAGCCCTTATATCAGTCGCAATGAGGTCATCATCGCCGACAGCTTTGTTTAATTTAGCTTTTTACGATATCTGTATTGACTCCAGTATTTACCTCCATTCTTAATTTTAAATGAAAGCGTAAGTCTCGTCAATGTACTGTATATTATTATTGGAGCATTTACACAGGTTTTCAGTAGCAGTTTGTGATATCCTCTAATTTGCTGTTGTTATTTTCCTGTTTATTTACTCGTGTCTACGCAGTAATTACAGCTGTGTAGATCTGCATGTCATTGCTTTTTACGTATGTATTAATAATCAAGTGGATTTGCTGTATGTTCGTGAAATATTCTCTTCCCCGATAATTATACTGGGAAAGCTAAAGGCTGATATATAGCATTGATGCATAGCAAAGTAGTGAATGGGGACAGCAGCGAGCTCACCGTTGTAACACACCGTTGCAACACTAAAGTGCGATCGTGTTGCGTAAACTACTGCTATTTATGACAGACATATCTACCTACGTAATTGTAATGCCTTCAACGATGATCGTATTTATAATGCAGTATCAGTTGCTATAGCCAAGAAACTTAAAAGGTGAGTCATTGGTGGATCAAAATCTTGATTGGCTTGTTGTGTTTTGACGTTTCACGATGCAGGAAAGTACTGTATAATAGCTCCTAAAATACATGCCGCAAAATATTACACAGAGAAAAGGACCAACAATGACGTTATGTTGTTCCACAATGGCTTGGTTTTCCACAAGTTCATTTAAATGGAATTTTTTTTTGGACATTGATCATTTGCGCTCATAAAAAGGAAAACTGGAGAACTGTCGATCTTCTTGAGAAGAAAAGCTACCCTCCCTTTACTGTAAACAGCATCATCATCATCATGAACGATACATATAGCTACGATGTGTTTATCAACACGTTCTCCCATTTGTGCATGGCAGACAAAGGCAGCTACATGTTGCAGTTAAACGGCGGTCTGACGCAGTTTGTAGCTAATCTTTAAAGCAGGACGAAAAGACAGCTGTGTCACTATGTAGCTTTTTATAGATTAAATACTAATATGGCCATTCAGTGGAGGGGGAGCGGTAAAATCACATCATTACAACACTTCCACTTTCCCTCTTCTTTCACTACTCTCTTCTTCAACGCTTATATTATCGCAAATTCATATGCGCGTTCATGTCCTTGGTGCAGGCAGTGTTGGTTGCTTTGTTGCATCCGAGCTTCGTGCTCGTCAACATAATGTCACCCTAATTCTTCGCTCTCGAAGCGCTGTGCAAGAATTTCGCAATCGGTATCAAAGCGCAATCACCTTCAGACGCGTTGATCGCCCGGACCCGGTCATATTACGAGGGTTTGATGCCGTATCAATTGGTGATAGTAGTAGCCTCACCGAGCCTGTAAGCGCCCTTGTTGTCACGACCAAATCTCAGCATGCGCTGGCAGCTGTACGCTCAATCAAGCCTCATTTGTCACGCTCCAGCTCTTTGGTTTTACTCCAGAATGGAATGGGTGTTGCAGACGAACTACTTGGCAAATTATGGCCGATAAATGGTAATCTCGACGACAGCAAGAGCGATGACGAATATGCAGAATTATTACGACCATCCATCATCGTTGGTGTAAACAAGCACGCTACAAGAAGACTCGAGCCATTTTCAGTAAAGCATAGCTCCGGGTGGGATGGATTGAATGAGGGGATGTCGTTGGGTCCTATGCCTGGTGCTTCAAATGAAATTGTACAGCCATTAATGCAAGCTTTTGCCGAATGTCCCGGATTGAATGTCGCACTTGTACAATGGCCTGAGCTACGTAAACGCCTCATGCGGAAACTTGTTGTCAACGGCTCGATTAATGCTGTTGCGGCCTTACTGGAATGTACCAATGAATCGCTTCTGGATAATCCTTACGGCCTCCAATTATTGCGTGGGGTCTCCAAGGAAGCGTCTCAGGTGCTTACGGAGCTAAATGCTACCGAGGACGAGCTTTATGATAGCGTGTATAATACACTGGTGGTATCTGGGCCATATCACTGTAGTACTGTACAGGACGTATTGGCGCAGCGAAAAACCGAGATCGAATATATCAATGGTTATTTATGCCGTTTGGGAAGAGAGCGGAATGTTCCTGTGCCACTCAACGAGTTCCTTGTAAAGATGGTGCACGCAAAGGAATGCCGTATAGGCGCTAAATAGATATATACCATAATGAATAGAACCCTATAAAAAATACATACTTTCCCCTTTTCTATATTGTTGTATTGATTTTGTTTGTTCAAAAAGTAAAAATCAGAGGAAATGTTGTTTTATGGTGCCATATACTAAGGATCATGAAGCACCGAAAATAAAATCGAATAAAGCAAGTGAAAGATTAAAAAATTACATATTTTTTTTGGTAAGTAAACCAGTACTGCTAAACTTTGTCCAGCTTTTTCATTCTTTATTTTAACGAAGGTAAGTGTCATTACTATTGCCGTAGATATGAAAGCAAGTATTAACGAAGAAACGCCGAAGATAGATGCAACGCAAATCGAGAACGACCCCTCAACAACGTCGCGGTGCACTGGTACAGCTGCCAGGAGCTTTATCTGCCGACATCGACCCTAATCACTAATGGCATTTTGACTCTCTTATAAAAAATTACATAGAATGCGCATACACGCCATTTTCACTGTGTTGTACCTTCTCTTGATATTCACTTTCCCAGGCGCAGAAGTGACTGAACCCTTGAAGGGGTTAATAAATTAGAAACGATTTTGTTTATGATTACATATGTATAGAAATGAGAAAATAATCTACTGATTAGAAAATGGAATGCAAATAAGCTGATTGAGTATGATGTAATTATATAACAAAGAGACGTGTAGAAAGCTCAAGAACGAATTCAGAGAACTTTATCGAATGAATACAATATGATTTATATCGGATGTGGCCGAGTAATCCAACACTACTATATGTCAAAGAGTATGGGTACGACGCAAATACAGTGGTCCCTCTATAATTTCAAACCTGAAATTCACGGATTGTGGAAGTTAACGAATAATAGGACAAACTGCCATGTAAGGATGTTCTTTTTTTCAGGCACATCTTGATGTTACATGGGTTATGATACCAACGCTCATGAAGCTTTCACTAGAATGATCACGTATTTCACATAGCCTATTATCCAATATAATTACCTGGCCGGATTTGACCTTTTTTTTCACATGTACTGCTCGGTTCTGATGATGGATCATCTAATTCACCTAGCCTGTTATTTAACACCTTTACCTGGCCGAATTGACCTTTTCTCCACATAAATAATAGATAAAGATATGTACACCAGATGAAGAGACAATGGACGACCAAGAAGCACCCGGTGGAACAGAGACTGCTTGGCGCCCAACTGTACCATACACTGTCTTGAACTTCTTGGCCTCAGGTGAAGTTGAAGAAGCTACTGTATAACTAGTCTCCCTACCAAACTACGAGAGTTACGTGACTAGCTCCAAGCAAAACTGTTCGCTAGACAAAGCTCTTTAGCTACTTCTTTCCAAGTTGGGTTTTTTTATATTATATTCAATTCAGTTGAAATTAATAATGTGCAGTGCTTATTTTCTGAAAAGTATATATGGAGGAGTACTTTTTATTATGATCCTACAAGGCTCCAACCCTGAATAATCCATTGAATGTGAAATATACGCAGATGTGAAATTTTACTATGTTATTTTTCATTCCTGGTGAGGTTAATTGAGGTTCCACTGTGTATCTGAGAATGTATAAATAGCTAGTGGTCAGTATCTTGTGGTTTTTCTCCTCACTCAGGTTTAATTCAATGCATATACACTACACATAATGGTTTTGTTGGCATATAGCATTAGCGGGATAGCTAGTGTATTGACCGACCGATTACTATAGTAGCTACGTCGGATGTTGGTCATTCTAAATCTCATGCAACCAATGTTCCATGCTTGTGCTATCTATCTCGTATCCAGGTGTCAATGTCGGTAAACGGAACAACCAATATATCTCACAATTGTACGCTACGATTTGCGCGGCGAGGGTTCGAGTACTACTGCCAAGCAACTTCAAGCAACAGAAAAGACTGCATACACTACATACAAATTCGGATTAGCAATTTTGTAAAGTGAATAGTAGCTTGACAAAGATCCTTCGTCTCTAAGATACTGAACACTTTCATTTAGAAATATATCGTATAAAAAAGCATGTTATGTATATTTCTTCTCGAGGGTAGGGGATACGCTAGTTATCAAGTCAACGAATAAGGCTACCTCATCCATCTTCCTGTGCTGTCTATCTTTTCAGTCGTCTTTTTGTAGATGAGTGATGCATTTCAGTTTGTACTGGAAAAGAAACCATGCATTAAACTTGTTGCGCACCGCTACGTTCGTCGACTCCTTGTACAGCTGATGTCAACCAATCAATATCGCTCTGCAATTAATTGCATAAATCAAAATATGCCCAACGTTTCCTCAATGAGTGATGATAACTGCATACGCCTTCTACTGCAGGAAATGGCTTAACGCCTACAGGCGAAGCTCATACTATCATGCAAAACACTAAGACTTTCAAAACTCCACCAGAGATGCCATTATTTGTCAGCTTTCACGGTTCCTGAATAGTAAGCTAGCATGCCACTGTGCACAAACCAAAACAGTGGGTCCTAGAATAAACCGCCTTGCTCATCCATGTTATAAAACAACTCGATGAATCGTGCCCTTGTTTCAAACGTAAATGCTTCCACGTCTTTCGCTGCCTGCATCCAAAATCCCTATAAGCTCAAGTTCCAAAGAGTCGACCGTAATGTTATTGTAATGCTTTTTTTATTTGCTACTGCGGTGTATATGAAATAATGAACAAGTTCCAGCTCCTTGACTTTGTAAAAAGAAAGTGCATCATTCTTTTCACTTGTTCGTTTATTTCTTGCCAGCAGCGGCCTTTGCCTTCTTGGTACCACGGAGCTTCTTGGCACGGTTCTTCTTTTCCTTGCGCTGCTTACGGCCACCCTTGGGAGCTTCAGCAAGACCGATCTATTATTATAAAAACCCACGTTAATTACAGCTCCATTCAAATTGCGGGTAAATACGTAATTGTATAGTAATGCTTGGAAAAAAGACACGTACGCGGACAAGACGGTGCTTGGGCTCGAACTTCTTGAGGGACTCAACGGAGTCGTAGATCAAGGCGAAGCCAGTGGTCTTGCCACCACCAAAGTGAGTCTTGAAGCCAAAGACGGAGACAACTTCCTTGTTGGACTTGTACATTTTAGCAAGCTTCTCGCGGAGCTCCTCCTTGGCAACAGTGGCGCGACCGGGATGGATGACATCCACAACCATTTGCTTGCGTTGAAGCAGACGGTTCGTAAGGAACTTGCGGGTGCGGATAGTAACAGTTGCAGCGTCAGCCTAAAATGAGAGTTAAGATTCGAGTTAATTTCACATGCGCATAATTTCCAAAAGAAATTGGGAAATTCGAAACTCTCCCCCATTAGCACGACCAGCACCCCTATCATCCATCCATCCATCCAACTATCTATCCACCCGTATTTCCACGTTAATTTGCTGTGTCTGCTCTTTTCGTATATCGTTGTTCTTTTGGTGATGATGATGTTGATGATTGCTGATATGTGAGGTGCGTATAATATTTAATGGTCGGTCGGGTCGTAATACGTCGTGGCCATGGTGATCGTAGTATCTCCTTCTCCCCCATTTGATTGTATCCTCTCCCATCAACCAATCCATCCATTCATCCATCCATTCATCCATTTTTCCCACCATCGCTTTCTCATCCATTCATACTATGCTCTCCTGTATCAATTTACATACCATATTCGTGAAAGAGGGCGAATCTGAGTTGGGCCAGCAGGATTAATGGATGTGCCTCTCCCTCCTCCCATACTCCGGTCCGGAGCAATGCCAAGCCACTCGTGGGGTTCGAGCTCTGCCTTTGAGGCATTAATCGCTACTTTACGTACTGTGTTACTTTGGTAAACGGTACTTAACGATGCATAATTTTAAGCCTGTTATATGCATACTCAAATAAATTCAAATATTACAGGTCATCTTTCGAGCAAATATTAATCTTTTGCATCTAAGGATAAACGAGTCAAAACAAAACTACTATGTCGACCGTATAAATAAGTAATTACTGTTGTGTCGTTTCTTCCATAATCAAAGCTTTTACTAGTTGATTGTAGCAGAAAGTCAGAAAACACATAAAGTCTCGGTAACTATAACCCAACATGCCCTACGCCACAATCTTTTTCCAATACTTGCAATACGGTGTATTATCGTCGTTAAGATACCAAACAATGATCAAGTGTTCAGAAAGCTAGTGTGTAACCTCAACCTGAATCGTGTAACTCAAAGAACCGCCTTTACACATGGTTGAATACCTACTCTAGTTCCTAAACAGTTGAGAATTGCTTGTGGAAGGATAATATAAGTTTTGGGCGATCGCACTCTTTCTGTGCCCTCCTTTGACTTGAGTGATCATTATTCTGAGCGTTAGGCTCCAGGCTTTTGTATCTTTTTCATTTTACGCTACAGGAAAAGGAACCGTCCTTGAAAGGTTATATATATATTCATGAGAACGTATAGACAAAAAACCTGGAGAGCTTCTTGCTACGTCATTGAAATATACAGTGATTCTCCTTGAGCTTGATTTCCCTTTTAGACATAAAGGCGGGTGTGAAAGGACCAACCGTCCTTGGTTAAGCGCTTTCTCTTTGGAATATCAACGAGCTTGATGAATGATATTGTTGCGGTGCTTGTACTTTGATATTTCCAGTGAAGAAGAAACGGAAGATACACAACTAGATTGATATTAATGCGTGACGCACCATCAAGGGAAACAGCAATGGGTTATATTTCTCAAGAAAGAGGTAATAGGTGCAGCTTGAATGTACATAATAAGCTTTGGTTTCAGTAACTGATCTAAACTAGTTTCGGCATTGTGTGGGTCCTCCAAACTCCTGTGTTACGGCTCCGACACAACCTTTCTTGCCCCCTCCTTTGATACAGCACACAATGCAATGAGAAATTGATAATTTTTAATGTCTATCTGGCGACGAACTACAGTCAAGTAAAGGGGGTGTTTGGCGCTGAAATGAAGCATGATTGCAAGACTGTCATGAATGCAACAGCACGCGCTACAAGGCTGTAGAAAAAGCAAGTGCGGACATTTTCCCATGTTCCACAGGCATGCAACCAAGGCAACACAAGGATAAGTTTTTTCATTTCCTAGTTCCACTCAGGTTCCTTGTTTCGCTTTTCTGCTTGGCTTTTCCAAGGCTAGAAGTAACCCCACCTTCTCTTTTTCTCTTCTTTCTCTCACTTACTCTCTCACTCCTTGTGTGTAAACAGGTCGAATTAAAAAAAAAATAAGGGTTAGACGTTGACTCTATCTTGTGCTCGGCCACCAGCTCTTCCTCCCTTCCTTTACTTAATACTAGACCATATACATTTATACATATACCTCGTCCTATCTCTACATATCACTGAACCCCCAAATAGAACATACACACAACAATGCCGTCAGCAACGATGCAGATGCAATCCATCTCCGGAATCATCACACAAGTTCACAACACGAGTGGAGAAACACCTCCGCCACTGGTTGGCGCATCCATGACCGTCGTGGGTGACCGAGTATTTGTCTTTGCTGGACGGCTGGTGACGTCCAGAAAAATGACAAACTACATGTATGTGCTTGATCTCAATACGCTCCAATGGACGCGCCATATACCACCACCCGACTCCGCCAAACCGCCCAAACCTCGCTATTTTCATTCAGCTGATGTCTACAACAACACCATCGTTGTGTTTGGCGGTATGGGTTATTCGCGCATCTCAACAGACGGTCTGTGCGTGCTCGACGACATTTCTGTGTTTGATGTGGAAACAATGACCTGGAAACGACCGACGGTCGAGCCGTCTCTGTTTGCGCCGCGACCCCGTTATGCGCATTTGTCTGCGATCGTTGAAGATAAGCTGGTGATCATTGGAGGTCAGGATATGAACAACGGCTATCTTGGGGAAATCAATGTTTTGGATCTCAAAACATGGGAGTGGGTGCACGCCAAAACGTTTGACAAGCACGTGGGTGCTTACAGATCCATTGCAATCACCGCTCCTCCTCGGACTCGCTTGCCGGTTATGCTCAGAGAGAGTATGGGCGTGACAGCACCGACAGACAGCCCGTCAACAGCACCACTCGACGACAGCAAGTATGCCGCAGGCGGCAACAGCAGCAACAACAATAACATCGACGCGCCGTGCCCCATTTATCTATATACCAACTATAATTTTGCCGATGTCAAACGCGAACTGCAGCTCATCTTTACACCTTCCGGCGCTTCTTCGGCCATCGAGGATTGCTCAAACTACATGACTGGGTCTGCGATGCCTCCTGGTTTGAGATTCCCGACTGGCCATACCTTGGGTCACCATCTAGTACTTGCAGGCACCTACTTGTCCCCACAAAGCCAGTCATTCACTGTATGGGCACTCGATCTCGGCACGTTGACGTGGTCGCGCATCGAAACCGGCTCCGTTTTTACTCAAGGTTCATGGAACCGGGGTGTCCTTCACGAAGCCACGAACCGATTCATCGTTTTCGGTCACCGTGGACGTAACTTGCTGGATGATTACAACCATCGCCAAGTCAACTTTGATCACGTTGCGATGGTAGATATGGAGGCGTTTGGCGTCTACAACCTTCCCAAGTCTACTTGCTCGACATTGGCGCAAGAGATGGGTCTCAGCTTGCTCAACGAGCCTGCTGTCTCGGATTTCCGTATCGTCACTATTGAAAACCAGTCCATCCCGGTCAACTCGGCAGTCTTGTGTCAACGATGGCCTTATTTCGAGCAGTTGATGAAGGAGAACCGTGCAACAATCATGACCCGCAAACCGATTGACGCGATAAAGGAGAAGAACGACATTGACGCCAATGGTGACGAATCAAAAGCTGAAGCACAGCAACAACAACAGCAGCAGCAGCAAGTTCTCAAAGCACATAGCATGTCCTTCCCATACCCGCACCCAGTAGTAATTGCTCTTTTGCAATTCATTTATACAGATAATCTGTTGACCGCACAGCAATACCAGCCGCATATCCTTTCACAGCTTCTTCTGCTGGCAGACATGTACGATTTACCCCGGTTACGAGCCTTGGCAACGCACGCACTTCATCAGATGCTCAACATGTCAACCGCACCCTTAATTTTTGAAACTGCCGCGTTATCCCACCAAACCAGCTTGCAAGTGCGCGCATTAAAGATGATGATTGCAGCCAAAAAGATGATCCAACAACAGCAGCAGCAACAACAGCAGCAGTCGCAATTCTCGCCCATGGCGCCTCGTGAGAATACCTACTCAATGTATGCTGAATCAGTATCTGGAAGAAGCGAGGGCCAAACTATGCCTCGACGGTCACAGCAAGATGGCGTTCGACCCTCCTCGCCGACATCATCTCCATATGGTAGAAATTCGAGCGTGTCACCTCTGCAGCGGCAAGCATCAATAGACACTGTACCGATGTCTTCCATGTTTGATCATTTGTCCGGCACAAGCCCAAAGTTCGCTACCACACGTACCAGGACACCCTCGTATGCATCGCCGATGGGAAGTCCATTGACAAAGGGCACTTCGACACGCGCTGCAATGGGACAGTCGTTCAGTAGTCAAGGATATGCCGGTGCAGGCGCAGAGGCGTATCGATACCCGGGATCATCGTCGAGCCCGCCCCAAACACCTCGTCATGGCAGCGTTGTTGCGTCTGCGTTCCCCGAAACACCCACAACTGTCCACTCGTTAGGATCGCCAGGCTCGCCTCAGCCAAGTAGATCGTATAAGAACAAAAAGGAGCCAAAGGATGGAAAGAAGGGTGGTCAGAAGGAGAAAAAAGCTTTTCTAGAATCAATGGGCAACAAGTTCTCGATGAACTTTTAATTGTCGAACAGCCTTTGCTTCCTGTCTTGTCTGTTAAATATATTATGTCACGTGCATGGGTTATTCATATCTTTATTAATACACACCAACAACTATTATTTTTTGCTATATTTAAACTGATCGAACAAGTCTGCTCAAAGCGTCGAAGGGGTTTCCTTTAGCTCTCTCAAAGCTTTTTCAAAGAAATGAGTAAACGTTCCCGGTTCTTGAGCACCCGGGAAACCGAATCTAATAAGAAGGATGTCAGTAGCCACAACAGTGTACTAAATATACAAAACGGTGTTCTTTTATTTTTACCTGTGTTGAATGGTGTAATTGGGCACACCACTAATGCTTTCGGTCTTGTTTCGCTCGGCAGTTGCTCTCACCAAATCGACATCAGCATCCGAGTCGAGATAGTTTAAAGCCTTCAATTATTTATTTGTATTTAACAAGTTAATTCTTCCCTTTTCCGATGTGTTTAATTCCATATAACGCCAGATTACCTGTTCGCTATCGAGACCGACGCGGCCGGCAGCTGCTGCCAATACGTGATTATCACCAATATTGCGTTCGCGTTCAAAGTAGTCCTTGAACAGTTCTTCGACCAGCTCGCTCTGCTTGCCAAACTGTTTGGACCAATAGATGAGTCTGTGAGAGTCCAATGTGTTGGCCATAACACCTCCATACGAGAACTTGATACCTACATATAACACATACCATAAACATATGTTAGCAAAAAACCATTACAGCTAGAAGAGTGGAGAAATGTAAATTATTCTACCCTCAGGCGCGCCAACGCTTTGCATATAAGGAACCATCTCTGCAGCGCGTTGCTCGCCAAACTTGCGGCGATAGTGTTCCATTTTAGACTTTGGGTTATTTTTCGACATTGTTGGCGACAGTTGGAATGGGTGCCACTCAATGTCAAACGACACGTTGGGATTCGTAGACTGGAACTGTTCAATAGCTTTCTCCAGTCTGCGTTTGCCAATAAAGCACCTATAATAATTTGGTACCATATGAGCCAAAACATAAAAACATCACTCGAGGTGGACAGCGAGAACGGGAAACATCATTATCCTTATACTCTATATGACTTACCAAGGGCAGATTGTGTCGCTAATAATGTCGATCTTCAACTTGGCTGCCATTGTTAAATAGATTAGTAAGCTGTGAAAAAGTGCAAAACCCTCAAAGAATCCGCATTTATAGGAATTCGGAATAATGGTTTATCCAACCCTCTTTTGCATTGAGATGAATCACCCTCCCACACGACCACATTATGTTAAAGTAATTCCACTTTGCAACACAACCACGAGAAGTATTTGGTATCTGGGTAAATTCCATTTAAAGAACGTTATTTCCATTTAAATTGCAGTAATAGAATAGTATACGAGTTGCTCTTTTTAATCACTTTCACTACCGCTGCCGCTATCACTGACGCTCGCACTCCGAGCTCTTCGACGACGGTCTCCTCTTCCTCTTTCCCGATCCACACTAGAAGCACTGCTGACTGACGTACGACGAGAACGACGGCTGCTGCTATACTTTCGATGACGGTCATTTTCGCTTTCTGATGCACTGTAGCTTGGTGATCGACGGCGGCTACTGCGGGAGGATTGCTGGCGATCGTCGCGACGATAGCTTCTTCTGCTACCACGGTCGCTGTCACTATGACTGCTGTTGCTACGACTAGGAGATCTGTGTCGTCTGCTGCTGCTGGCCTTTGTTCTTCTTCTTCTTCTGTCGTCTTCAGACCCGGACGAAGCATCAGGTGATGATGATGTAGGACTTGGTGATCTTCGGCGTGAAGTGGTAGTACGTCTTCTTTTGTCTCGCTTTTCTTCATCTCTTCTGCTGCTGCTACGTCGTGGACTTGGACTGCGCTCACGTCTTGTTCGCTTCTCCAGAAGTTTTTGTCTTCTCTCCCTTTCTTCTTCCATTTTGGCAATACGTTCTTGCCTTTTCTTTTCCTGAAGCTCCTGGTCAAAAGCTGCACCTTCAACGTATGATTCACTGTCAATATTTAACGCTCGCATCATTTTCTTGTTTTCCTGCTCCTTTGCAGCGTTACGTTGGTGAGTCTCATGCTCTTGCAAACTATTTTTTTTGAAGAAGTTATTTCAGTTATTAAAACACAATCAATGGTGATATTAGAAATACAAAACACAAAGGAATATACTATACCTTTTAGCATCTCTGGGTTGGACTTCTTCAAAGTTGTTCAATAAGGATTCACGAAGCTCTTGGACTTTGGTCTCGACTTCGTCTGCATCGACACCGTCATCTTCGAGCTTGATCCGGAGCTCCATGCACTTGACTTCAACCTTTCTTTTACGATCATGAAGCAAAATGTCCTTGTTGGGAGCTCTGAACGTAGGGCGATCAGCTTTGAGATCGTTGACTGACGAATCTTGGAATTTGTCAATTCTGGGCGGTCGCACATGCGATAAGTTACGAACAACGTAACCATTCGTTCCTGTAAATCATAACATGAGGAAGAAAGTGTTAGTTTAATACACTGGCAATAGTTTACTGTTGTAAGGATGCATATATTGCATTGATTTACCTGAACCACGGGGTGTATTCAGACCAATGCCGTTATACATTTTGAAAAAATGAAAAAATTAAGTTATGAAAGAGGAACAGAAAGATTCCAAGCAGGGAAACGCTGCTACTTTACAGATTTTATGCCTCCGCACTGTTGCTTATTGGCAAGTTTCATCCACTTGTTGAACCAACCCCCTTTTGCTTAAAACTCTTAGTTTATTGGGCAACTAGACTCTCTATTTATTTTTTCAAACAGACTTGATGACCTTGGCAGGGCTACCAAATGCCAGCACATTATCAGGGATATCTTTGGTAACAAGTGAGCCGGCACCAATGGTGACACCGTTGCCGATCGTGACGCCAGGACAGATTGTTACTCTGCCACCAATCCAACAGTCATCACCAATCTTGACGTCCTGGCCGAATTCCTGATGACTTAGTCTCTCAACGGAATCCAAAGGGTGGCCCACTGCATAAATGTGAACGCCAGGACCAAAGTATGTACGGTCGCCGACTGTGATTTTTCCAACGTCCAAAAAGGTCGTGTCAAAGTTGATATCGACCTTATCGCCTAGGAAGATGTTGTAGCCATAATCGCATCGAACATTGGGTCTGACGCTAGAATCTTTGCCAATTCGACCGAAAAGGCGCTTGGCTACTCTATAGCGTTCTTTGTCGTCCACAGTGTCGTTGAACTCTTTTTGTAATAAGGCTGCTTTGTCACGGTCTTGGGTGAGTTCTCGGTCGTATGGAACATACAGGTCACCAGCAAGCATCTTCTCCTTTTCGGTGGGCATTGTTTTGCTGTTGTGGTTGTTAGACTGTAAAAGTGAACTTGGTTTTGTAAGGAAGTAGAAGAAAGGTTGTGATGGGCCGCAGTTACCTGAAAAGCTAAGTGTCTAATTTTAGTTCATTTGTCGGAAACAGCGCCACGTAAAGACAGCTGCTTTTGGGGGGGGCACAAATTCTGCCAAGTGAAAAGATAAGCATGAACAAAGAACTCGTTCTCTGCTTCATAAACATCATCAACGACATAAACAAGAATATAGAAAATCCCAACGAAGATGGCTTTTATCTATAAATAGACTGTCTAAATACTCTGGATAAGTCTAGCACAGTTATTTTTAAGCTCTCTTCGTTGCTCCCTAATCAAGTTGCACAAACTATATGCTTACAGCCACACCAGAATTTGGATTGATAAAAGAAAGTATAATTAGTGCTTTGTAGTGATGCTGTACGTTTCTTTAACTGGGTGAAAGAACACTATCAGTATGTACGAAGAACGCAGCTGAGACTATTGCCATTTAATCAAAAAGAGCTTTCCAAGCAATCATGGCTCATCAACAACTACAGATCAAGTGTAAATGATGTATATAAAGCAAGTTAGATGGTGCTGTATTACACTTCGATCAATGTTAGTCCCACAGCAGCGCAATGCAGCATTGACAATAGCTCAGAGTTACAAGAACCTATTCATAAGGCTTATACTGCACCGCTTAGTTAACTATAAGTAGATATAGATATCCACGATTTTGTTTGTTTTAATTACTTTCTGCTCATGGTGGTATGTATAAAATATGATACTCCATTCTGTATCGACAATATCAACTGTTATGAATATATTTCGCTGCTAAGCAGATGTATAGAATGATCATTATTGTTGGTTTTCGAGCCATACCCTCCAAAGAGCTATAATGAAAGATATCGACGAGGGATACCAGCTGTGAGTAAATCATTTTCTTGGAGTATGTGAGATAAGGTGGTGGAATGCGTACGACTATATCAAGTCAAAAAGTTATCATAGTGAAAAAAATGGAGGTAGCTGTACTATACTAGTTATCTTCGCGATCGCTAAGCAAGCAACTGTTTTAAAGTAGATTTGCTGCGATCATATAATGCTCCTTTCTACTTAGCTTTAAACGCAAGCACTAATCTACAACAGCTCTTTTGCTGAATGTCTTATTACTTTTGCTGCCTTCGAGAGTAGATTCTTTTTCCGTGATTCCTTCTTTTTTGCCTTGGAGCACGGTCGCCCCATTGTCCGGCCTCGCTTCCAGCAATGAGTTGTGTTCCAGAGAACACCGGCTTCACTTACTTGCTCTTTTTCTCAACTTCACCACCTGCTTTTGCCCGAGTGTATTGGAAACATTGTCACTGAAGCCATCAAGTTGGAGCAACGGTTTTGAACCGACACGCTGATTGGCATGACCGGGCAAGCTCATGAGCCAGCTACATCAAGTCAGTCGCTGGTCGTCTCCTTGTCTTCTTGGGCATGTCAAAGCATTACAAAACCCTATCAGCCCTTTAACTTTTGGACATGATTTTAGCTTCAAGGAAAAGCCAACCTTTTTTGAGAAGCGTGTCTCGTGTTGACGAGAAGAATTCACGTTATAGACCCAAACTTTTAAAGGGACTTTTTTAATACGTTCATCTCCTTCATATAATCCAACCTTTCCTTTACATTCGGATGCTCCTATTATTATGGGATTTATATAGCACTTGTTTGATTTCAGATTTGACACAAGGCTTATTAAAGCTGTTTAAGCTACTATTCACTAGTATAAGTGATATGCAGATATTACTGCACGTCACTGTTACGTGTAATGAATGATTAAGGAGGAAGCTGATGCTATTAGAATAGTAGCAAACCATATATTGATTACAGACTGCTATCATAATAAGAGATGGGATGGTTAACCTCGCCACAGTAAACGGTGATGTGTAGCTACGAGCTCTTTGCTTACAGTACTTAGCATACCGTCATCAGCAGTTATCGTTCAAGTGCAGATATTTGTACCTGCTTATATTTTGATGATCACATATGTTACACTTCCCAGCTTATCAGTGTGCGCGAGAAATATCATGATGCTATCACGTCCAATGATGATATTGATCCAATAAAAAGACCCTAAACGACATACAAGCTGTCATTGGTTGCATTATGCAAAACCTGCATGAAAATTGGCCATAAACCCCAGTAACCATTTTTTTTCTTTTTAATGCAACTCTTTCATACATACAGACAACAACAAATAGTTTGAAAAAGAAAAAAAACATGCCCGACCGTCGAGCCCAATATAAAAGAAACAGTATTGGTTCTGCAGAACAACTTCGTGAGCGACGCGTCGTTCTCGATGAATCATTACGAAAGAAACATCGCGAGCAGCTCATTAGTGCCAAACGATTCCGCCATTTGTCTCGTCATGAACAACGAGAGAGCTCCGGTGACGAAATGCCTTCAATCAATGAACACGATGGTAACTAAAGTTTATATGTTTACATTTAAGCCATTTCATTGTGTTGAGTAAGAGAGAGACACACACAGAGAGAGAGAGACCTCGTTTTAACCTATATTAATTTCTTGCTTGAATATGATGAAAATCAATTCAGAGGACATTGACCCTTACTATCGTTTGTCGGAAGCGCAAATCAGTGCTCTTGCTGAAGACCTGAAAAGTACCGATCAAAGCGCTCGCATGGAAGCAGCACAGTATTTGAGCAAGTATCTCGTTGAACCTTGTCAAGCACTCATCGACTATATTACGCACGGTGACTGCATTGAAACGCTTACGGTAATGATGGATATTGATTTCCCTGAAAGATTGGAACTTTTTGGATAAGAGATTAACCTTGTCTTTCCGGGGGGGCGAGAGTAGCGTATGATGTCTGGCACGGATCCCGAAGAACGGTTGCAGGCGGTCCAAACATTGTCAAGTAAAAGTCTTTGTTTACAAGAAGGGCTGTAGAGATTGAGAGTAGTAAATGCTGATTCTTATGTGAGATTATAACAGATATCGCAGCTGGACCGCAAGAACTGTGGATCAAGTCTGTAACAACTGTTCCGTACATGGTCTCATTTCTGGATGCTGACAGTTTGGTAAAGAACTTTTTCTTTAAACGAAGAAAATGATATGGGCTGGTTTGTTGTTGGGAGGTGGCATTTCAGAATAGCAGCTGAAAAAGAAGGATATGCATATCTTCGATATAGAGTCTTCGTGAAGCTGCTGCAGGTGCACTGGGTAATATGGCAGCCGAAGAATTAGGTGATATGACAAGCGAGGATGATGAAGTGCGGACCCTGATTAGGAACAATGGCGCTGTGCCTCCACTTGTTCGACTCTTGGATTCCAATGTATGGTTAATACTTTGAGAGAAGGAGTAAGGGAGAAAAAGCAGCGTCGACAACTTATCGATAAATGAAATCCTTTCTTTACAGGATTCACGTTTAGTACAAACTGCATGCTTTGCACTTGCAAACTTGGCACGTGGAAACGAAAGACAGTTGAATGAATTTATCGTGGCAGCAATTGCAAAGCCTTTGTTCCGACACTTACGAGACAAGACGGTAAGTTTGACGTGTTGTATGTGTGTTATTTGGTTGGGAAACTGGCTCCTCATCACATACTACCTCTCTTTTCTTCCAGCCGGATACTGTAACTGAAGTATGCTGGGTCATGAGCTATCTGACAGCTGGATCGCTCCAGTTCAGACAACAGATCATGCAGCAAGGAATTGCGGGTATACTGGTGTGTATCTCCCTCTCTCTTTCTCTCTTCTCCGCTACTGTTCAATACAATATGATGCATTAGACAGTGATAGAAAACGTGGCATCTGCAATTCTAACAAATATGGATTTAGGTACGCGAGCTGCGTGATTTATGCCAACAAGGACCTGTGGTTCTGCCATTGCTGCGTACGCTAGGCAATCTTTGTGGCGGTCCTGACGAATACATTGAAATTCTGCTTGATCAAGATGGATTCCTCTTCACTTTGCTTCTATTGACTCACTCTGAGCACAGGTATAAGAAAAAGGACTCTTTTATTAGTTAGGATTCAATAACTGACGATAATCTTACACACAGAGTGGTCAAAAAAGAAGCACTTTGGGTCCTATCCAATATCACTTCATCGTAAGTTTTGTAAAAAAAGTTAATTAGATGCATATGCATACAATGGCCCCATCGGGTACTAATTTGACTTGATCCCCCGCACAGACAACGCCCAGAAATTGTTAAAAGAGTAGTGGATGCAAATGCAATCGCATATCTTGCCGACACCCTCGTGCAGCATGGTGCATTGGATATCCGCAAGGGGGTACGTATGAATTGGCACATGTCTTTTGGTTAAATAGTTCAAAGCTAAACCTACCTTTTTTCTTTTCTTAGGCCGCAACCTGTCTTTTGAACATTGCATATCACGGTGAAAAGTATATGCTACTGCTGCCACATCAGCGACTATTGCCTGGTAAAAAAAAAAAACCAAAGAAAGTGTCTCAAAGAAGAAAGAGATCCCGCTAAAACCTGTTTTTTTAAATGTCTAGCATATGTTGACCTGGTTCAATCCCAAGACGCAGAAGAAATGAGACTTGGGCTTTCGTACATTGAGATGCTTTTGACGCGCGTGCCACGAGTAAGTTTTCCATGAACACACACATTCGGTCAGTTTAAGGTGGGGTGAGCTCACAAGGTTTTATGGATTTTGTATGCTCAGGGAAATGAGGTGGTGCAGGTAACACCTGGATGCGTCGAGGCGCTGGGTGCTGTCAATCCAGTTCCAGATCCAGAGCTCTATACATTTGCCAACAACCTAGTGGACAAGTTCTTCGAGGAGACGCCTGGTCTAACAAACGTCGTTTAAAGGAAGAAGAAGAAGCGCGCATTATTAAGCCAAGAGCTGACATTGTACTGCTTATTCTTGATCAAGTGTATATAAAAAGTAGTGTCCAGTCCAGAATATACTAGCATACAGTCATATCATCAGAAAGTAAAGTCGCGGTGTTTGAGTTTTGATGTCGTGCAAAAAGTCTTGCTGTCCACCGATGATTTTTTGTAAGCACATTCGACGACCGCAACAACTGTGAATATACGGCGGCGTGAATATGGCCATAAATAAAAAACGGTTGTGATGAAGAGGGTATTGACTGTGGTCGATAAAAAGGTATGATGAAGCTATGATAGATGTATTATAGCATTATATGGAGCAACCCGTTGCTTTTGGTGTAGTAATAGGAATGCTGTAAAAAAATAAAGCTATTGAACGGTGCCTATACTGTTTCAGTTGTCTGCTTAATATACGTTTATAATTCTATGGCAGGAAGGATGGAAAACGATGGTTATATTATTTTCAGATATGAGCATGTTGATGGCGATGGGTACTAAATTAAAAAGGATGGCTGAGAAGATCAAATTCAGCGACTTTACTTTCTGATGTGACTGTATTCTCAACTAACGTTAAATAATTTGTTGTAAGTCGGGGTGGCTGTTATGACCTTTGTGGAACAATGCACAGAACGGGGCTTCGCAACCGCAACGCACACATACACTTTAATCTGCGAAAGAAGAAACACCCGCTCAGGGGGCAGACAATCTATACTGGGTGACACAAATAGGGTTGTTTTTGGCCATTGAACAAGCAATGGCCAAGGTAGTAAAATTAAAATCATATTTTCTTTTTTTCAAAAAAAGTAAATGAATGAGAGTATAAGAGCGGGGGTTTGCGGTGAAGAAGAGGAGGAGGAGGAGGAGGAGGAGGTTTAGAGTGATGTAGGGATTAGAAAGGACAGGAGATGCCGTGCTTTGATGCGAAGAGGAGGGTAGGTAGGTAGGTAGGTAGGTCAAGTGATAAGAAATATAAAAGAAGGTCTCTGCCTCCCCGCCTCCTATTGTGGGGGATAGTCATTAAAAAAGAGGCAAGAAGGAAAGGATGGCAGGATTCAACCTGCAGCTTTTTCATGAGTTGCTGCTGCTGCTGCTGGTGGTGAAGAGGGGCGGGGAGGGGCCTTGAGTAAGGTGGACAGTAATAACAATAATAATAGAAATGGGCTATATAAGAAGAAGAAGAAGGAGGTGTTTGTTTGTTTGTTCATTCGTTCGTACGTTCGTTCGTCGTACGTTCGTTCGTTCGTTCATTCGTCGTCATATGTGTGTATAGATAAACAAGAGAAAAGAAAAAAAAAAGAGATATCGATATAGTAGAAAGTATAATTGTTGTTGTTGTTGTTGGTAATTTGTTATTGAGTGTGTGTGTGTGTGTGTGTGTGTGTGTTGTTTTGCTTTTTGCTGGTCGTTATTGTTTGTTGTTGTTATTTGAAAAGGACTGTCGGGTGTGTGTGTGTGATCGTCGTTTAGTGCATCACGAACTTGCCGTACTAGAGAAACGAATGCGTGAACGTTTGGTAAGCTTTCCTTATCCAACAATTGATTCTCTATGCCCTTCTTACCTTGACGATAATCGGCGGCTCTTGAGTGTTGGGGCGAGAAATCTCAGCAAGCTCACGGCCGGCCTAAATTAAAGAAATAAGGTTTTGTTTTGAGTCAACAAGCTCTGCATTGTTGAATATAAGATTTAATATAATAACAAAGGCAAGAGAGAGAAGGCACTTACGGCCCAAGTGGCACCGTCCATCACTCGTGTCAATGTAAGCTTGTTTCGGTTCAATCGTAGGACGTCGCGCACGCGCTCCGCCACTAGGTCCAGATAAGCTGTAGTCAATGCACGCCACTCGATAATCACAGGGTCGTTCATCTCAAACATCGGCGCAACCTCAATCTTGGGCTGGCCCGGCAGAAGCGAGTTCTTGTGATAGTTCTCGAGGCCGCGAGCGTGTTCGCGCTGCTTCAGCGAGATGAATCCAGTGTCCATCAGCAACCCACCTAATAATCCCCGCTTTTTGTGTTAGCCTCCTTGACGAAGCGTGTGTCTTTTTCTATCTATCTATCTATCTATCTATCTATCCCTGCCGCTCCTCCCGGTGGATTCATTGGCTACGTATAAGCAAACAAACAAAGAGGCAGGCTTACCATTGCGGAACTCGGGAAGTGGTGTCAATAGCTCGGTGCCTTCAATGGTAGCACCCAGCAGACGTTCCATGGGCTCAATGATGGAATAGACAAGCCATTGCGACATCTTGTGGAACGGCACCAAGTGATCGGTGGACTGCGGGTTGTTGGAGAACTGGATTGAGTTGGATGGGTACACGTCGCCAAGGCTAGGGATCCCGCCCTTGCCTTCAGCTCGGTCGGCCACATACACTTCACCCATGGCCTGCACAACCGGCCAGAGCGTCTCCAAGAGAATCAGGGCACCCTTCTTGGTCTTGATGGTGGACTTGTGTTCCAGGAGATAATCTAAGTAACGTAAGCAGTAGAACAAGTCCCGCTGGGCTTTTAGCGCTCTCTCTCTCTCTTTCTCTTTCTCTTTCTCTTTCTCTCTCTCTCTCTCTTTTAATCTTGCTAACCTCACCAAACATTGCCAGTGTGTCTTACCCATGAGGTTGCCAGGACGTGGGACAGGCCCAGTCTGTTGGAAGAAGTCGGCGCGCTCTTGTAATACTTGACCCAAATGCCGCAAGAGATCAAGACGGTCTTCAAGTCCGATGAGAACGTTACGTTCGTGATCGACCTGGAATCCTTCGTGAAGGGTTTCCAGCGACAAGTTCATTAAAGCCTCAGCTACACATGTTTATAGCATTTGAAAATTTTTAGCTTTCTTGTCCTCCTCTTTCTTCCCGAGCCGACGTCCATCCCAGCCATCCCAGCCATCCCACGACAAGCAAACACTACTACTACTACTACTATCACTACTTACAGTCAACTCGATGAGGGTTGTTTACATCACTCGAAAATGCGCCAGCTGTGAAAAGTTCCAGCACTGCGACAGCGACACCTTCGGCTCTCTTGTGAGTTCTTCCCGTGGCCTTTTCGCGGAACGACCAAACATGGTCAGCATCGGTGTCGAACAACACACCCACGACAAACAAGTCCAGAACCCGTCTGGTCTGCTCTGTCGCGTCAAAGCCTAGACTCGACCAGGAATTGAGGAGATGCTGGATACGAGGACGGCCGGTCTCAAAGTGACGCCAGATTCCGTGGACGGGCATTGAAGAGGGATTGTCAAAATCACGCTTGATCAGAGCCACCACAAACTGGACAACATCTTGCAGCTTCGACGGGTCAACGTCAAAGTGCTGCAGTCCGTTGCGCGCACCGGCGTCTTTTACACGGAAACAGCGTTCTCGCACGGCTCGCAGACTAAGCAGATATTCGTCGGCGGCTGCGGGCGTTGGCACCATGATGTATTTGTTATGTTTGGGAAGAAAGGGAAGAAAATACAAATTGTTGGCTGGTTTGTTGTTGCTGCTTCGTTGCTGGTTGTTGTTGTCGTTGTTGGCTGTGTGTGTGTCTTGACAGGGTGGACAGAGAAGAGAGATAAAAAAAAAAGGGAGGCAGGGTCGTCTTTTTTTTTTTTTTTTTTTAAGAAAAAAAGAAGTAAGGGGTGGGTGGAGGGCAGACCACAGCAGAACCTTTTTGTGTTGTTGGAGGGGAGGAGAGGGGAAGAAAAGAAGAGGTATAGGTGGAAGTGGGAAATAAGAAAAAGAAAAGAGAAGAGAGAAAGATGCTGGAGGGACGGGGGCACTGGCCTCAATTAAATGAAACGCTGAGAGCTGAGAGGGAGAAGGGAGTTTTACAGACAGCTTGCCGATCATTGCTTATTTCGTCGCTGGGCAATGTCGATCTGTGCCGTAAATGGATGTTATGTGCTCTCTTCAAAAGTAGTAGTAGTAGTAATAACAACAACAACAACAACACTACTCCTCCTTTTGCATCTTACTCTCTGTACAGTAGCGTCCGCTCCTCGCGCAGGTTGACTCCAAGCCGGTAATGAATGATATTACATGTTGTTGGTGTTGTCGTTGTTGTCCCGGTTCAGGTACATGCACTTGCTGGGTTCCTTGCTGGATACACACAACAACAAGTAACAAGTAACAGCAACTCTACATGAACATTCTCTAGTTTTGGTCAAGATCACCACCTATCGTATGATTCTGACCTGCCAGACCCTATTGTTTAGTTTCCCGATGCAGCTATGCTACCTTGTTGTTTGGATAAGAATGCTAATTGGTTGGTTGATTGATTGATTGATAGATAGATAGATAGATTGACTGACTTGGTATAGCCAGCACACACAGGAGCCCGTGGTGTTGCTGCAAATCCTTGCCATTTATATTACATACAAACAGCCCCCACCCCCCATTGCATTCTTTCTATATCCATCGTACGACTATTGTTGCGTTGCCCGCCCTCTTTCTTAATTCCTTGTGTTCAACTGATAAACAATGGGGCCATGTGGAGCACAGCATAAATCTTTGGTGCAGTCGATCACAACACAGGACTTTTCTGTTCTGCTATGTGTGCGTGTGCACCGCGCTACATGGAATATTCTCTGTGTGTTTGTATGTATGTGTGTGTGCAACGTCATCCACTCTGATCCAGCATATATGTACACATACAAGCTTCGGATGAAAGCTATGGCGCAATCCGCAATCCGTTAGCTTACATATATTCACACGCTGAGCTTTTTTTGATTCACACTTGCAGCAACTTTTTCTTTTTCCTTTCTTTCAACAACCTACACACACACACACACATACAATGTCCTTGCCTAAAATTGCAAAGATTGCTCCTCAAACATCAAGTTTGTTCATTTGTGATATTCAAGAACGTTTCAAGGGCGTCATTTGGCAGTACCCTTCGGTTATTACGGTTGCCAACAAAATGGTTTGTATGACTAATCCAAAAATAAGAACTCTTTGTCTCTTTCGTACCCCTTCTCTCTCTCTCATAATGACAAACGTGTCAACTGAATTATATTCAAAAAAAAAAAACCCGCGTTTGCTTTGTCTTTTAAAGTTGAAGGTTAGCAAGCACCTTGACATTCCTGTAGTAGTTACTGAACAATACCCCAAAGGTAATTACAACAACAATAACAACAAGCGAGACTCGTCGTGTTATGTGTGTTATATACCTCCTCTCTGACCTTTTTTTTTTTTGACTTGTTTCTTTTCCCCAACCCAAAAAGCCTTCGGCCCAACCGTGCAGGAAATCGACGTTTCAGATGCCGCCTTGACGCTGAGTAAGACTAAATTCAGCATGTTCCTTCCTGAGGTCGAAACCGTGCTCAAAAAGAACAACACAAGGTCCGTGATCCTTGTTGGCATTGAGGTAATAAAAAGCACTCGTGTCTCCTCCCTTCCCCTCCCCCTCCCCTTCTGTATAATTATCATCTTTGAGGCGGATGCTGCTCATCAACAAATCCCGGAAATGCCGAGGAGCGTGGAAAGGGTGGGGGGGAGGGTTACTACATACTGGGGCGGGAGGTGAAGGGGGTGGAGTCCGTGTGTGGGAAATGTTACTCAATCTGTTTTTATTGTCGTGGTATATAATTATATAGAGCCATGTGTGTGTGCTCCAAACCGCTCTGGATCTCCTAGAAAACAATTATGATGTCCATGTCCTTGCAGACGGCGTCTCCTCCCAGAATCACTCGGAAATTGCCATTGCACTCCAAGTAAGTTGGGGCTAAAGAAAGGAGGGGGGGGGAAGCACAGTCAAAGAAACGATGTATGTCATTAGAGCGATAGGGAAAATCTCACATCTCCCTTTTTATACACTCTATCTGATATTAGCGTATGCGATCGGCAGGTGCAACCATCACCACCTCAGAATCTATCATGTTCCAACTTGTTCAGGACTCCAAGGATCAGAAGTTCAAGGGCATCAGTGCCTTGGTAAAGGAATACATGGAGGCTGGAAAGGTGAACCAGATTCTGCAAAAGATGGGTGGTGGCTCGGCCAACTTGTAAAAAGATATATCCAACAACTACTCCTTTGTTTTCTTCCTCCCTATAAACCCTCTATCCCCTTTCTCTCTCTCTCTCTCCGAGGGTTTGGATGACGATGACATTAGAAGAAAAATCTGTTTTTTTTTTGATAAATAAAACGTGTAAAGGATGGCATTTGCTACATATATCAATATAGCGAGTGCTTGTAGATCATTCCATGGCGCTATGATGCTGGAAACAATCGAACATTCTTTTGTTGATAATGCCATGTGCATTGTGGATATGCTATGCTCGTAAACATTGATTACACTATCTGATCACGTTTTTCCTTGGCTTTTCTCGGTGAGCAATGTCTCAACCTACACAGCATCAAGCTCAACAAACTTGACATTTGATTTTCTTCGAAGCATTGTCAATGCTATTGTACAAAGCATGGCATAAAAATATCTCTACAGCGTTTTTCCTTTTATACATTAAATAGCCTCCTATATATGTCGCTGATAACAAATGTTTATTGACTGGCTGCCAGAAATAGCACTGATCGCATGTTGCGTGTGTTATACACGTACAGTACTGTACTTAGGATGTTAGCAAAAGAAGGGGAAAGAAAAACACTGCGGATTTGCGCATTCATGGTAACGTAAACAACTGTTCCCATATCATCGAGAGTAGTATGCATATTCATTTGCTGCTCTTTGTTAGTGGTCATGCTACAAATCTATTAGAGCTCATCATTCTTCGCCATTCTGTAAAAGTGACGTTATTGCTTTCTACATAGCGGTTTCAAAACATGCTGTAAAGAAGGATTAGGGCCAGTTACATACGTAGCTTTACATAGTACATTAATCACAGTAGGCGAGGCAATATGGGAAAGAAGCACAGGTACTGGATGATATAATTGCAAGCAATATGTACGTCCAGCTTTTCGCTATCGTTGCCATGCTTCCCTATAATCAAGAGAGTGCTTGATAGTATACGTAACCCTCCTTTTGCCGGTATCGAATCTAAACGTACAGTATATTGCACTTAATACAGCCAAACGCATCTAGTGTACACATCAAAAGAAGTTTTATGCTGCTTAAACATTCTTATAATCAAACTTGCTATGTAAACTAAGTAGGCGGAGGAGTTAACCGATCTGCACTGTACAGGGTACATTGCGTCCGCGGTATTCGTTTTTTATAGAGTCATCCGGATACCGGCCCGGCCAACAAAAGATTTCTCTCCGGTGTAATTGTAGCTGCTGTAGTAGCACCAGTATTATGATTTCCATAATTACTGCAGGATTTAATGCTGTGTACGCGTACAGAGTGCCATGCTGATCAAACGGACTTTAGGCGCTCTATATACGGATCGGATGTTAGTTCTTGATCGGCCCGCGCAGTAGTACGTAGGTGCACAGCATAAATGTACATGACGCATCCTCGATAACAGACTCTTCTCTGTTATGTATCTGCTTTGTCGCCGCCGATAAGAAAATGAAAAAAAAAACATCACCCTTAATTTACATAGTGTTTCCATTTTTTGAGCGATACTTGAAGAATTTAACAAGTCGTCCAAAAACCGAAATAGCGTCAAGTACCAAGTGGTGCAAAAGGAAGAACTCAATACCGTAGTAGTACATAGGTGCAGATGTATCAAAAAAAATTTTACATATTAAAGCATACTGTAACCATTGAATAACGGTTTAAGCATATACCAAGTGTCAGTACTTGATGCTTTTAAATAGATAACATAAAGTATATGACCATAACGAAAGCAGGACACCAACAACAGACATTTTCCTATTTTATTCATGTGTTATGATACATATTACAGTAGACGAGATTAATTGTCTATCATATTAAACACCGGAAGCACCGATTCTCAGTCATGCAGATTAATTGTGTTGTAGGAGGGCAAATGATGAAAAAAGGATGTTTTCGAAGCATAAGCTGGTTCAGTGGATCTTTGGCTCTGTTGAAAGTAGTCTTCCGTTTGTAATGATTTTTTGTTAGGAAAATAAAATTTATTCCCATTTCTGAGACAGGTATGTTTATTATGAATCACTCCAGTGTTTGATCAACCAATTCTACTTCATGCTAATGCACATATGTACGATGCTTTAAATGTATCATTGAGAAAAAGAAGATGCGGATCGCTGGATAATATTTATGTATACATATTGTACTACTATAATGACAAGAAAACGAAACCAAATACATAAAAAGGGTGATAAAAAATATACATCGCAAAGGTATGTACTACAAAAAGAAAAAAAAAGTGGGGGTTATATATAAATGTGTGTGCGTGTGTATGTATAAAAGAAACTGTAATATAGAGTAAAATATATAGATAGAAGATGCTATAAGAGCGAGCCGCGTCTCAAGGCCACGATGTCAGCACATCCGTTGGCACTTTATTTTGTGAGACGTTAATCCATTGGTCCTGATTAAACATGGCGGGAGATGCAGATGTAGACCGACCATCACTGGCAGACGAGTTTGTCGGTTCCGAAAGTGAAGGTGGAGGAGGATGATGATGATGATGATGAGAGGAAGGAGAAGGCTGTTGATCCAAGGACGATGACGATCGTGGTGACCTAGTTCGTTTCTGATGTCGCTGCCGTCTACTACCATCGGTGTAAATTCCAGGCGGTCTTTGTGTGTGGTGCATTCTCGTTAAGGATGATGCATGCGTTCTGGATGACGGGGATGCTGCATACCATCCACTACTACCGCCATTACCGCCTCCTTGATGTTGCTGCTGTTGCTGTTGTTGTGATAGCCGATGCTGCTGTTGACTATTCATAGTGTTGAAGAAAAGAAGCACATTGCTGTTGTCGTTTAAGTTTGGTTGCTGTGCAGTAGTATGCGAAGTCATGGGATCTATGTTGATGCTCATGGAGGATGGATCGACAATGTTGGCAGTCCCAAATGAAGCTGGCTCTATACTCATATGGGTGTTTTGATGAAGCGTTTCAATGATGGAAGGTTGAAAGTCAATATTCCAATCCTTCTGTCGAGACTGGGTCCAGCTCTTGTTAGATGTTAGATTCGGTTGTGGTGCTGGGAGCAACGTAACCTTGGGCGCTCTTGATGTAATGTTGTTGACCATGCCACAACCACCACTGTTGTTGTTACTGCCTGCAGAAGCAGCAGTCACGGCAACGGTTGAGCTCGTGCTGTTCATCACAGTGGATGAGAATGGTTCAGGTGTTGATGGCGCTTCGTTACGTAACGACGTCCGATCAGGTATACGTGGTTGATAGATGTTTTGTTCCGAGGCTGCACTGGTTGTTGCCGCTACAGCCGCCGCTGCTGCTGGATCCGTCAAATCCATTAGAAAGAAATCGGTTGTATACATGGATAACCCAGATTGGTCATGAATATCCTGCATATTCAAGTTGTTTGGAATGTGCTGCTGCGCGTTGAAGTTGCCGTTTGTGGTTGCCTGAGCTGCTGCAGCCGCTGCTGCCGCCGCTGACAATCGCTGTTGTTGCTGTTGCTGTTGTTGCTGTTGTTGCTGTTGCTGCTGATGGCGGGTGTCAGCACGCAATATTTCCATCTGTCGTACAGCATCGTCACTGTAAACACTATCTGTGCGCATCCGTTTCGGGGTATTCGCCATCATTTGCTGATGCTGCGAATAATCCATATCCAAGTTGGGATAGTTTGTTGCTGCTGCTGCTGCATATTGGCGTTTCTGACCATGGGCTAGTATTGTTTGTTGTTGTTGCTGGTGTTGCACGGCGAGAGTGTTTCGTCTCTTGCGACTAGAAAATCCGCCCGCCGAGTACGGATCGAGGGAATCTGTCATGGTATTTCGCAATGACAATCCTGGAGCGCTATGCGCCGCTACAGCAGCAGCAGCAGCAGTGACGGCCGCCTCGCTATACATATGAGCTGTCCTAAATGCATCCGTGTTGGTATTCGCTGTCATGGTGGTGGCACTTGTTGCTTGAATACCGTTAACCACAGTGCTTGCACTGCTACTGCTCGTGCTGTTATTGCCGCTACTACGGAGATCCTTTTTATGCGACAGCTTTTCTAGTTGCTCGCGATCAATATCATTGCGATCAAGAGGATATCCAGGCCCTCGTCCACTTGTACCGCCCGCTGCTTGCAGTGGAAATGTCTCATTCATCAAACTCTCGTCAGGCCATCCCGGTCCAAGTGCATCGAGCCATTGGTGATCGACAAATCTGGAAGGCTTTGTCGGAGGAGGACGTTGTAACTGTGGATTAATCACACCCGTCGGTGGTGCGGGGATGAACCGTTTATTGTCGATCAATGTTGTTGTTTGTGGTGGAAGTCGCTTGGCTGCTGTGGCTTGGATTTCGTTAAAGGACTCTGCAAACACGTTTGCGACTTCGATCTGTGATCGGATCGGATTCAACAATCGTTGCAGCTTGTAAATGGGCATAAGCGTAGCAGCTTTTGGTTCTGTGGATGCGACAACTGCTGCAGCAGCAGTAGCCGCAGCAGCTTCAACAGCTTCTGCAGCATGTGTGCTCGACCGTTTTCTGTTGTTGCCGAGATGGTGTTGTTTTCTACTGCTGCTGCCATTCCTATTCCCGACACTACTGCCACTTGCACTCCTGGCTCTACTATCACTACTACTAATAGTAGTAGTAATGTCGCTGTTGCTCTTGTCGTTATCGTCGTGGACACCATTCATTTCAGCTTGGAATGGCTTGCGTTGCCGAAGACAGGATACTGAAACTGACGCAGCTATGCAAAGCGGATAAAGGACAGCATGAACGATCGGATCGTGATGGCGCACCTGGTCAGTCTCCCCAGGTAGTGTGTGGTAGTCCATGGTGAGGTCGTCAATAATGTGAACGATATCAGCAGCAGCTGAGTCGCATATATCCAAAATCATGTTGCGTGGTGATAGTTTGGTTGTAACCTTGCTATCGTTGCTCTGAGCATCCAATGCGGATGCAAGCGAAGCTGAGTTGCATCGAAACAAACTTAATGAAGCTGGTATTTGGCAAAAGAACACTTGGATCGTCAAAGTGTGGTGGTATAGCGAAAGAATGCAGGCAGGGAGAGTTGCTTGTTGCGATGGTCGAGAAAGGTTCTGCTGCTGCTGCTTTGATTGCTGGATGGCTGATGATTTGCGAGCATCATAGCCGTGCGAGTTGGACAAAACTTGAAGTGCTTCTAATTGTTGCTATATGAAAAGCAGTTGATCAATAAGCGGTGCTTTGAGTGACAGATGAGAAAAATATAAAGAGGGTAACTCAAATGGGCACGGGTTTTTACCTTGATCTCAGAGCACTTCATGTTGGTTTTTCCCAATCGTTTCAAAAATTCGGTGTACGTGTCGGTCACTTGCATGGCCCATCGCTGCTGCTTTGATCCTTTACTGTCAGCTGCTGCATCATTGATTTTGAGCAAGGTAGGCGAAAGCGATTGATCATAACCATGCAGCTCACTGTCCCATTCGTTCCGATGCAAATAAAAAGAAAACCAGACGTTCCATGCGTTCAAGATGCGATACAGTGCTTTGAGTCGCTTTTTTTCGGCTGCGGTAATCGATGGGTCGCCATTGCCACTGTTGATAATGTCGAATAATCCACACCGTAATGCATAACCTATGCCTATTCTCAGCGTCGTATAGGCCTGCTCTTCACATATCGCAGCGCATTGGTAATGTGCAAGCAATATAGCTACTCGCGTCAGTCGTAGTAATGAGCTGGTGTCAAGCGGTCGATTCTTGTCAACTGTTAACGTTGCGTCCCAAAACTGACGGTGTGCTTCCCGATAGAACAGGTCGGCATAATGCTCTAAGCTGGATGCAATATTCTGACAGCTGGTAGCGAGCGATTGAAAGGCAGCATGGAACACCACTGCGTGAATGGCAAGAACCATCGTCTGTTCAATTGGACTCGTAGTGTTGTTGCTGTCATTTCTACTGTTATTGTTCGGGCTGTTGCTGCTTGTGGGTGTCTGTAAACCCGAGGATATGGTACTGGGAGTAGCTGCGTTGTTGACGGAGGCGCTGCCGCAGAATAACTGCGACAATGCGGGTGCAACTGCGTGATGCAGTGGAGGGAAATTGAACATGGCGCTGTACAATAAGTTGAATCTGGAAAACAAAGTGATCACATCTTTGGCGAGACTGTCCGGAATAGTAGCATGGCGGTTGTTGTTGCTGTTATTCTTGCTGTTGCTCTTGTTTAAAAGAAGGCTGAATTGCGTGATAAAGGAAGACCATATCTTGTATGGTTGCGATGTCAGGTTGAAGAAATCAAACAAAAGCGGCGGCAATTGTGTTCCAAATAAGTAGCTTTTGGTAACTACATTGGAGTCGTTTTGACGCATCGACTCGTATAAATCGTTGGCAAATGATATTCGCTTCAGGCTGGATCGTATGTATTCATGCTGTTGCTGTTGCTGCTGTGGTTTTTGGGAAGATGTTGATGGTGATGGTGATAGTAGTGGTGAGGATGCTGACGAAACTGCTGATGATGATGTTGATGACCGTTTTTGCTGTAATTGTGGCGATGAAAGTGGAAATAGACCGTCGCGAGATGGTTCTTTGTCTAGACTTAACAGCTGTTCTGCTGCTGCTTTTGACTCGTCCGAAAAGCTATAAAGTCCAGAGGTTGCCATGGTGTTGTCGTCCCTATGACTACTGTCGTCGCTGTTTGAAACCTCATCTTTGACTTTGGTGTGTTCGGACCGCTGGCGCCGGCCCTCGTCTTCGTAATAGCACTCCAGACTATGCTGAGTGCACCGGGCACACGGCAGCACTGTGGAGGGCATGCGCAATTATGGGAGAGATGAGATCCGGGATTAGCGTTTGTTTTTTTAGTGTTGAACTTGAGGCCTTGCTTGTTTTTCATTTGACTTACCGCCATCGCAGCGCATTTTCTTTTGTCGGCATAATTGGCAGGCTTTGGGTACCTTGTGTCGCTTGAATGGGAAATCATCTTTAGAGCAGGAAAGCCAACGGAAGCGTGTAGAGGTCATTGCGTAGCAAAAGAGTTGAAATTAGTAAAAGGGAAGAAACAAGTGAGAAAAAAAAGCGTAAACAGAGGGAGTAGTAGAAGAAGAGAGAAAGAAGTGAAGAAAAGCGTATACTGTTTTTTGTTTGGGCTCACAGGTCGAAGACGATGGATGACCTGTTTACGCTGCGTAAAGATAGCAGTGGTGGCCCTGCTTTTTTATTTTACTCTCCAGTTAGTCAGTTGGCCTATTCGCTCAAACACTGCTCGCAGTATGGGATGTACTGCTGCATCTGCTGTTGTTCTGTATTTGGATTTGACAATTTAACCCTCACAGTAGCAGTAGCAGTAGTAATAATAGTAGTAGTAGTATCAGGATTCACTCATTGTCTACCTCTCTGCCACCAACTATGTATTTCCATAAAATCCCCCCAGATTCATGGCAGTCCGTCTCTGTCACTCTGTGCATAGCAACAATTGCACAACAAGTAACGCGAGCGCGCGTAACGACAGCACGCACGCCGCTCTCAAACGCCCTCTCTTCGATCCCCTCCCCCAATTAGCAAGCTGTTCCCCCGCCACCCTCCTCCCTTTCTGAGTCCAACCCCTTTCCCCCTAAGATACCTTCCCCCCGATCCTATTATCTGCAAAAGAGTTGCCCGCCAAAACACCTAATGTGGGATACACAAAAACAATACAAATACGCAACCGTCATGGTAAGTCTATCCTGACGTTATGCCAATTAATACTTCCTGTGTGTTATGAAGCAGAGTAGTTCTTGGCGATAGAATATAATCGCTGGTCATGGATGATGTTTTGATGCTGCTATAGCCTGTAAATACACACACACCCTCTTTGTTATGTTGTCCGTCGTGACAAGTGATCCATATAGAAAGTTTCACAGCTACACAAGAAAAAATCCTGACGAAATAAACCTTCTTTTGTTCCGATACATTATACGGTTATTAATGTTAGTATTACTACAACAACTACTACTACTCTACTTTTGTTTGCTGAAGATAATATTGCTGCTACGCATTACATCAAAATACCTTTTAGCATAGCTTTCTCGGCTTGATACTAAACCCTGTTTTCTCTCTTTTACTCCTTGAGTGTCAGAAAATACCTGCATGATTATTATTATTGTCTTGTAACGCATTCTGGTTTATTAATTAAACTCTGTAGGTGTAGCTTAATTGTTATATGATGCTTTACAGCAGTCTCTTTCGAGCTTTTTACCCCACGATGGTTCGGTTAGCAAGATTCCACTCATACGATCGATAACTCAAATAGAATAACAAGCCACACAAGCAACGGAACCAACTAAGCAAAGACCCGAGCCGATGCTTTCCTTTTCCCTCCGCTTGCTCTTTTTTCTTTCCCTAACCCCCAAGTTTATGTCGTGTAAAAAATAGAGCGAGCGAGAGAGAACCGAATAATCGTGGTACCAAGCTACTGCAGACATGATTACGGAACAGAGGAAAAGATGGGGGAGTTTCACCTGATCACATAATGTTGTTGTATGTATAGTAGGAAGAAGAGTTTGTGTTCCGCAGGCGGGAGGAGACTAAGGGGAAAAAAGGAAGTTTAGTGCGCCGTTACTAGTCCTTTTTTGTGGTAACAAGAAAAGCGATGGGAGCCGAAGATCCCGTTACGTTTGTAGTGACCTAACGTTGTGTTACCCAGATCCCACCCGGATTTATGCTTTTTGCGTTTCATTTCTTGATGACACTTGTACTAGGTCCGCAAAACGCCATTTTATGATGCCTGTACCCTCTTGCATTCCATCCTCCTTTCTTTCTGTTACCTTTTCTTTCTCAATAATAACAACACCATGTATATGCAACAGGTCTTTCTGTAATGAAGCATACTGTATATCCTCCTCTCTCGTTTAGATGAATTACCAAGCTCAAAACCCATTATATCGAAAATTGACTCCACCAGGACAACGTTCCCCGTGAAATCTAAGTTTTCTTTTCCATCCATTAAGCAGCATGTACTTAGTATGTACATACTCACACATTCATTGAACAGCACACCTAATATCAGTAATTCTGTGTGATATACAGATAGAATAACGATGACATTTGTAAAATGAAATAGTATATCCATACCACGGGCAGTACTTAGCAATACATAGCAAGTGTGTTTTGTGATCATTACATACTTGGCCGCTATCCACATATTTAGTTTACTGTAGCAGCTCTTTTAACCTTGTGGCAACCAGTTAAATCGCACCAAAAAAACACAAACGAACTTTGTGCAACAGTTAAGGCTACTTTGCTGATAAATATACTTTCATCGTACATTATTGCTTTCTCTTGTTAACAATCATCTATGTCTAGGCATGAAAAACAGCAGTAAAATATATAAAACGGTCAGAACTGTAATAAATATAATTTCGTAATAAGCGGTGTTTGCTGCTTCTCATAAGATAAAATACGATCAATATTACGCGGTCTTTACACAATTAAAAAGCAATGTCACATGGGATAATCCTGATCTCGCTTCTCCTGTTAACCGGATCTACCTGAGCATATACCATGTTTTGTTTGTTACATATATTTTTGAAAAGCAAACAGACTCATCGTCATTGTCACCATTAATGAGAACATCATTGTTGTTATGTGCCCATAAAGTAATTCTTGCAGAGAAGGTTATTGGTGCTATGGTATTTATATATACACAGAATATACTCTATTTTTATGGACCCCATGCGAAATGAGGCGCTGGCTACAGAATTGCATTGCTGCGAAAAGGTAAATGTATAAAAAAACACTGAAGGTTGATGACGATAAGCAATAAAAGACATAACATCATGCATCACCTAGTAGTGTCAATCAGCTGTAGAACACATAAAGTTGCTGGATTTGTTCTTCAAACTGCAATTGACATCAAAGAGCTTTTAGGATATGCACAATGTACATGCTTACTGCGCTTATGCCATTGCCAAAGATGGCTCATGAAACAAGTTTTTGTGCAGCAGCAAGTTTTGTTTCCACTCCACCCAGTTTGTTGTTGTAAACGAATTACACAACAGTAAAATACACATATTGTATGTACTACCAAATGCCCGGTAGAAACACGATGTTCAAAAAATATAATTGCCTAAATTTTAGCTGTCGTCTCACTATATTGTCAGGTAGGGAGTAAGAAGTTAGAGTATCGATTGAGCATCTCAAATATTGCACGTTTTTTTTCTTTGTAATTGTTCTGGTTGGACTCTCTTTAATTGATAAATAACTTTGTACAGTAACGAGATAAGAATGGAAATTTGCTGAGTCGTGACAAAGAGCGAGAGACAATTAGAAAAAAAAACAGTGAAGAGTACCCACGTTTCATTAACAAAGAAGGGGGGGATACACAAGGAGCCAAGTTATGTGGAATGATGATCATATATAGCTTATGCATGCAAAGGGCAATCCGGAATCCATTTTCATGCTTTTTGTCCGTGTGTGACCGTAACACGACATTTAGAAGCGCATCCAAACAATAGGATACCCGACCACGTACACCAGTATGTTTTCTACTGTCCATTCCTCAGCCTCTTTAGTACTAATGAGCCCGCAACATTATTTTCACATTTATTTCATTCTGCACCTTGCTAGAAAAACATAGACAGGTTAAGGTGCGGTGAAAACGTATCAGATTACTTGGACCCGAAGGAACGGTTTCTTTCTGGAAAACAAAAGGATGTGCTGGACTTTGTTTGTTTGTCGAGAACATCTTCTGTACTTAGCTTAATGGGGACCACAACCAAAGCAGAGTGTTTGAAAATCGCAAAATTAAGGTATATCTAAAAGTGGCAAACACCGACCATCGGGTTTTTGCTTTTTCGAGTGATGATGATGCCCCGTGTCCTGTGGTACAAGAAATATGCTGAGCAACATATAACAAAGTGCAAGAATTTTGTTATGATCATCCAAATAATATGCGCCAAGAGGCCAAGATTTTACAGGGTATAAGAGAGAGAAGGCGGATCACATGAGGTTAGGAAGATTATCAAGTGTGAGAATGAGTTAAAGTAGAGCGAATGAAAATATATTGTGCCTGGAAACGGGGCTGACATAGTTAGTAGGTGGGGTGACAGCTATTCAAGACAGTTGCTGTATTAAAGAAAGCTACTGCTGCCAAGCATTGTACTTTTAGTTTTGGCCCCCTATTTAGGATAATCATTAGTAGCCACATCAGCTAACGCAACAGAAAAATTTGGCTCAGCTGCTTTTCTGTATTGTTGCGTCTGATAAACAATGATGTTTGTACAGAATGACCATTTTATAAACCTTCTACAGTGTGAAAGGGCTGTGAAAAGAAATTTTAGAGTATATAACATTATGCAAGTCTTTTTGATAATGTTGTTTCCCGGCTAGTAGGGTATACAGTGACCTTGACTATGATAACACCTTAGAAGCAACAACAACTTCTGATCCGTCTTATGATGAAGGCTTACTTTCAAGCTAGTTTGATCATCGCAGCAACGGTCTAATCTTTCAAGTCATAGCAACCGACTTTTAAGCTAGCGGTTTCCTTGGCAATCCTCAGATTTTTCGTAGCAACAGTGTGTCATATTCATAGTGTTTCTCTTATTTGCCATGACAACGGTTCAAATTTTATACCACCGCCCTAATATCAAGGTAATGTACAACGAGCGACAGAATGGTTGTGTCATGATAGCGTTTTCTCTGGAAATAAAGACATAAAGACCTTCAGATCGTCCTCATACAAAAAGGATAAAAACCATGATATCATACCTGAAAGTCTTAAAAGCTCGTTCGCTTGCAATATATAATGAATCTTAGAACTGTAGTAGCTTGATTATAAGAAAAGATACGAATTTTCAATATTGGGGTATATATCATCAAGGAGCTGATCAAAGCGTATATATTTGTAATAATGTACGCTTGCTCTAGTAGATTGTAAGTAGAAGATAAGATAAGAAGTAGAAAGAGTGGTCTTTACATTTGCGAATTTTGTTGTTGCTGTACGAATAAGTACAAAAAAGGTGACAATGATATATATTATACTATATGCACTATTAATAAATAGCTAAAAAAAGAAATACTAATATATTTACAACAAGAAACTTGAAAAAGAAGGGAAGTAAGAGGGAACGAGAAGTATGATGATGTAAAAGAGGCGAAGAATAAAACGGCGAAAAGGGAGGATGTGGTATGAGTATGGGAGATGAGGATATATGCGCGCACGAAATGAAATGATGAAGATGATTGAATAAATAGTATAAAATTAGCATTATACATCGATATGCTATAACCACTATTTGGAAGGATTGTTGTTGGATGGGGATGTGAATGTGTTTGCTGTCACATTTGATGTTAGAACACCTCCAATCCAACCCGTTGCAAACTTGAAAACTTTGGAGGAGCCCTTGACACTTGAAAAGCGTAAACCGACAATACGCTGGTGTTGGTTGTTGTTGTCTCGTTTTCCAAATTTCGTTTGATGATGGAGGTGCTGCTGCACGGCGAATGCTTCCACCATGAATACTGACATGTCATCATCAGTCAGTTCCGTATCTAATTGCTGTTGGGATGATGGTTGGGTCTGTTGTTGCTGAGGATGGCGATGTTGCTGGTACTTGTGGTGCTTTGTACTACCTCCACCCGTGCTTGCTACACTTCCAGGGGCGGCAGATGAGTTGACTTGGATTGAATTGGACCATATCCGTTGTTGTTGGCTGAGATTGGTATTGCTGAAGTGGTTGTACAGCATTGGAAGCGAAAGGCGTTTCAGGCCTCGGTTCCATCGACTAGCCCAGCTGTGATCACTGAAATTGCTGCTTTCGCTATCGTGTGAGGATGAGAGCTGGCTTCGACGGCGTTGCTGATTAGGATACGCCCTACTCGATGTACCTGAGCATACATCAGAATTGTCACGAGAGCCAGGGTTGCCATGATGCTGCTGGGATAGCTTTGGATGGTAACGGAATGATGCCGATTGCTGTTCCTCTTGTTGCAGCTCGGGCGTGTAATTACGAAGTGTGAGCACACATTGAAGCTGTGTCTTGGATTCATACTTGTAGGTAATCCCAAGTAATTCGCAAGCGGATTGGACCAGTAGAATCAGCTCGTATTCATCTTGTTGCTGGGCAGATAAGGTCGCAAGTAACGGGAATTGCTGTGTTGTTGATGTGGCAGCTGCAGTAGCAGTAGTGGTTGCGAGCGGAGGAAGAGCAGCTGATGAGTCATTATTGTTATTGTTATTCTCTAGTGAGTTTGTAGAGAGCGAGGTTGTGGAATAGCCCGATACGGCCGTTGTGGACGAGACGGCGCGTACATTGCACTCGATGGTATAGTAACTGATCTGGTCCTTTGTCACGCGTTTATACAGCTGCGATAGGTTGAGGGTGGATGTGGTTTTGCGTATACGCGCTTGTTCAGGAAGTTTGAATTTTCGGAAAATATGCAAAAACGGGGATTTGAGGTCGGTCATGCTCATATGATTGATGGGCCGTAGACGCACCTGGTCCAAGATGACCCGGATTTCCTGAAATAAGTTTGCGCGCATTAACTCAACCTTGTCGAAATTTTCATCCACGCTGGATATGGCACTATGTGCTACGCTGCCAGTGAAATAGACGGTAGTATTGACCGGGTGGTAGATGGCCGTCTTGCGAATACGCAGGCCTTTTCGTTTCTCCTCTTCCATATCTCGCAAATATTGCCGCCGAGACCGCTCGCGGTCTGTGCGTAGACGAATGGCCTCTTCGGCATTCAGGTTGTTATTGCTGTTTCGGCTGAAAGGATCTTCCAGCCGTCCGTGATCGTTCAACCAAGGGTCGCCTTGAAGCGCTTGGCGTACGCCCAACCGCTTCCTCCGATCAAGGGACAAGCATTTGCGGATCGTGGACTTTAAATCTTCGCTGAGGTGACACGGCATGGGATAATTGCCGCTTACAACATCCTTTTTCAGTTCCCCCACAGCTGTGATGATCTTTGTAAGAATATCGTACGCAACAAGATGCTCATCGCAATTGATTGGTGATAGTCAACTTACTGCGCGCATGACCAAACGGTTCGTGTCCTGCGGTGATTCGGAACAGAAGAATGCCTAGGCACCAGCAATCGATTTCAGGTCCAACATATTTTTGGCCAGTGATGATCTCCGGGCTATAGTACAACATGCTTCCTTTTTTTGTGTAACTCCTCATGTTAGCATTGAAGCTTTATATCCCTCCCCCACCCCAACCCCCATCTACTACGCCAATGCAAAGCAAAAGCTGCTTACCGCAGATAGTTTTGAGGCGTTGCAATCCAAATCGATTGCCCAAACCAAAATCAGCCAATTTGACTTGGCCATCGGGCTTGAGTAGAATGTTAGGTGCCTACATAGCAAGAGCAACAAGGATCAATTTTAGTATAATAAACAAAGACAAGGTATATGAACCAACCTTCAGATCTCTGTGCACGACCCATCGATAATGGATATAATCAACAGCGGCGACCAATTGACGGAAGATGGCACGTGCTTCGGTTTCGGACAATGCTCGATTCGTTTGCTGCTGCAAGTACTCGTCAAGATTAACGCCTGGCACGTACTCCATGATCAGAAAGAGGGAGTCAGCTGTTTCAATCGTCTCGTATAGATGGACAATATTGTCGTGGTCGAGTGCCTCCATTAATGCAATTTCTCGAATCAGCCGTGAAAGAATACGGTAATCATGGACTCGTTTATCGATAATCTAAAGGAGTTACGGAGGGATGGAAGGGAGCAAGAGGGGGAAGAGAGGGTGGGGGATGAGGTAGTAGAGGGTTAGTAAGGAAGAAAAATAACAGCAAAAGCATCAGTATTCTCTTCTTGCTTCTTTACTGATATTTTTCTTGGATTTACCTTGACGGCATATTTTTCCCCAGTGAGATAATGTTCGGCAAGCATGACCTTGCTGAATTTTCCATGGCCCAAAGGCTCCACAAACATGTATTCGCCAATGCCCTGGAGTAGCAGATCTGGATTGGGTGGCGCCAGGACTGTGGATGATGATGCTGTTGTCTTTTTGTTTGTTGACGTCTTTTGCTGCTGCTGCTGCTGTTGTTGCTGCCCTGAAGAAGGGACACTGGTATTGTTACTATTTGGGGTATTCTCTGTGTTCTTTTGCTGTTGTTGCTGTTGGCTCCCGCTATAAGCTGCCGCTGGCTTTTTTGTTGAAGACGGTGTGGGTGGCAGCGTCGAGTCCATCTTGCTCGATCTCCGCCATTTCGATCGGAAATGGTCCGTAACATGACGAAGAGGCATTGTGTTGTTGGTTGTAATGAAGCACTATGGCGCGGAATCGGGTAATGGGTATATTAGGGGAAGAGTGGAAGAGAGGGAGCAAAACGAAGGAGGAGGAGGAGTAGAAAGGACGAAGGAGGAAAACGCACGACAAAAAAAACTGTTTGTTTGACGGAAGAAGAGATAGAAGAAAGGGAGTTTGTAAGTGAAAAGGAGAAGACAAAGAAGTTAAAAAAGAAACCCAGCCGTAAGCAGTAGGTGTTGTTGTTGTTGTCGTTTATTTCTGTCGATCGGTGTTAGTAGCCCAAGAAGAGAGACAGTAAACAACAGGAAAAGAGAAAAAGAAGGTGGGATTATTATTATTATTATTATTGGAATTTTGTGCGTTGTTGTGCATTGCGCTTAAAAAGGAACTCTTGTTGTGTCTGCCATATGCAGTAAGTGCTGTTTTTCCGTCTTTTTGCCACTGCATTCTGCGCGAAGCAACATATGTCATTACCGTTATATCATCTTCTCTTGAGCACCGGAAGAATTGCATGCAATGTATGTACATATTACATACACCGTATGCCTGTCCTCCCTAATACTAATTACAGATATCTGCATCTTGGTGATAGTCCATTTCCTCATTTAAAGAGCAGTTCCAAGCTGCACGTGAGGAGGAGCAGGAGGGGCGACGTAACCAAAGCTATTAGCTTGGTGCAGCATGATTGATGATGGCTTGTTATTGTTGTTATTTACAGAAGCGTGGTGCTCTCGACACGTACACACTTTGCATTATCGTCAGTTTTATTATTAACTTGAGACACGAGGTCGAAAAAGCACAAGTCAGGAACAGTTCATAGTGCTGAAAGGAAATGCTTGTAGTGGTAGTAGTGGGATCAAGAAAGAAAGAAGATATAAACTACGAGGTATGGCTGATAATGTATGAGGTGGAATAATAGTAATTGTAATTGTAATAATAGAAGTAATAAATAGGAATAAGGAGCAAGAGAAGAGAATCGTTGCTGTCCAAGCAATAAGCAGAGTTAATGTTCCCTTTTTCTTGTTCTTTTGGGGACAAAGAGAGGCAGAGACGAGTAACTGATCTTCGTTTGCACACTCCTTAAAATTTTGGCTTGCTTGCTTGCTCCTTATTCTATCTGAATTGTTTGTCGATCTTTTGTTTTGTTGCTGTTGTTACTGTTAGCATTATTGCTGCTTTCTTCGTTTTCTTGGCTTGTCTGTCCATCACACAGACTTTATTAAATGTCCTCGCCGAAAAATCCGTTCCTGGTCAAGGTAGACTCCAGATGTCCGGGCACTTCTCGAGCCAATTCTTCTTCTCGACGCTTATCCATCTTTTTCGCAGTTAGTGCACCGAGTCCCTTCAGATAATCTACTAGACGTCGTTGTCCACCGGCCTTGGCCAAATCGAGTGTTGTACCGACTTTGCGTGGAACGTAAGAATTGAAATCGCAGCCACACCGTTCTACGAGCAGAGTGACCACTTCCAGACGTCCATGACGCGCAGCCCAATGGAGAGGTAACTCGCCACGGTGATCAGGCTGATTCACGGGAATTTGGCACGAGCGCGCCAAAAAGGAGACCAAGTCTGTATGACCTGATGCGCATGCATAATGCAACACCGTCGCACCTATACACAGAATGTATTTTCACAATGTTATTATTAGCTCGCATAGCGCATCAACAACAACTTGTGAAAGAAAACTTTTACACAATAACAATGAATGTGAATAGTTACCGTTGCTGTCCTCTTCCAGATTCAAGCCTCCTTGTGTCACATTCACAATATATTCGACAACAGCAGCATGGCAGTGCTCAGCAGCAACATGAAGCACAGTCTTGTTTTTGACACCTGCTCCACGGGCAGCCATGAGATCTCCGCCTGCTTGAACCAGCTTCTGCAGACCTATAAGCCAGCCAACACTTGCAGCAAGATAGCAAGGTGTCACCTGTTATTATAATTTTTTTTACAACACCGAATTTGTTGCATAATTTATGCGTGAGTAAGTATAGCGGTCCAGTTTTTGACACATCAAAAAAAAAGGGCATTCCTTACCTTCTCATCTTCGATTTGACTTAGAGTCATGACATTTGGATTAGCCCCTTGCTGCAAAAGCAAATCCAAGGAACCCGGCGCTTTCGTGACGATCAGTGCGTGAATCATGCCATAACCGTACTTGACTGCATTGGCTGAGGGTGATTGTTTGGATGTGTTTGGTGACCCGCCTCGACGCAAGAAATTGCTGTTTGCACACACAAACACACAATTTTATTTTGTTAGCCATGGAAAGAAAAATACTTTTCTGTTTTGGGGATATTGTGATAATTTGGTGGACAAACATATGGGTTGTTTATATACCTGATAATTTTCTCTACGGTAACATCACTGCCCTTGGATTTTGCGATTGTCTCCCACAAGCCGTCTGAGCCACCGAAAATAAGAGGATCGACACGACGTTGTTGGATCAAGGAAGCACCTGTGTAACCATTCGTTGATGTGCTGGAGCGTACTGGTGTCATGGGAACAGAATGGGGGGCATTGGCATTATTAATTGGTGATGACGCTGTGTTATTGATGCTCGATGCTCCTGCTGCAGCTGAAGCATTGGGTGCCACACCAGTTGCTACTACTGCTGCTACAGTAGATGAATCAGCAGGAGCAGCCGAGGCATTAGCATTGGTACTGAACGAGGCCAAATGCTGAATAGGTTGACCGGCCTGCTGTTGTTGTTGTTGCTGATTAGCTTGCCATGATCGCTTTCGTCGTGGATTAGCTTCTGGCACTGCAGCTGACACCGTTTGTTGTTGTTGCTGCTTTTGCGATTGCTGTACAATGGCAGTATTAGCATTTGCAGACCCTTGCCCGTCTGTGCTTGTGGATTGGGAACTGTGCACGCTGGTTGCAATCGAATTTTGCCGTAGTCGTGGCACGGGTGGAGCAGGCTCTAAAGGCGGGCCGGGAATTGTTCCCATTGGATTGTTTGCGTTCGCCCAGTACTGTGATGCGGATGAGCTTGTTGAGGTGGATGAGGATCGAGAAGGCATGGTCGATTTGGTGCGAGGAGTGCTAGGAAGTGGAAGCTCTGTAGGGCCAATGACAGGGTCATATGCTGACTCTACCAATAAGTTCGATAACGAAGAAGGTTGCGGGCTTGTAGGGGTCAACGGATAGCCTTGCATTTGTTGTTTTTGGTGATGATTATGATGATGAGGCTGATGAGGGTAGTGAGGATGTGGGCTTGTGTCACCAGAAGATTCGGATTCGATGGATAAGCTCCGTGGACGACTCACCAGTTGTAGTTGTTTGTGTACTTCGACCGCTCGGTCGAACTTGCGTCTGAAAAACTGCATTTCACGAACAGCCTTTTCGTACCGTCGTTGATGCTCTGAAGAGATCAGTTTAAGTTCGTCGTTTTCATGTTCGAGCATTTGAGATCGTTGTTGCAACATGGTGACAAGCCTTTCATGATCTGTTATCATGCGCTTGATCTCTGACCTCATTGCTTTTCGTACTTCAGCAGCATCAATTTGCGGCAAGAGCTCATAAAGAACTTCTTTTGCACTGCGAATGGGCCTCATGTCCTCCTGAAACGATTTTGCTGGTGTTGGACCCATAGTAGTGGGTTCGCTTTCATCTATACTAGCAAGTGATGAAGAGTTTGACAATACAGTTGATGTTGCGGAGACAGCTTTTGTAGTCATTATGATCAAGACTTATTTGTGACAGTAATAATAATGGTAGTAGTATCAAGAATTGAAAGTAAAAGTAAATTGTTAGAGAAAAATGGAAAGAAGTGCGGAGGGGCATCTGTATCCTTGGGACCTGCCTGGCTTTTTAAATGCTTCAGTTTCAATTTCTCCATTATAATACAATCCCTTTCAATCCAGTTTGCTCAATTAGGGATTTGAGAGAAAACAAAGGAAAAGGGAAAAAAAAGAGGATGTCCGTATAAGCAATGACAAGAGAAAAAGAGTGAGCGACAAGAGAGAGACAGTGTGAGTATATGCGTGTGGACGAGTCAGAGGCTAATTACTCCATTGTTGCACCCTTTCCTTCACTTAAACACGACAAAAGATTTCAGGTACATGTTACTCCCCCCCTCTATCCCGGACAGAGCATACACCTTCAAGGGCACGCCTTAGAATCCCACACTAAAACAGCAAGGGAAAGGGTGCCACGATCACAATTTAAACAAGTGAACTGAAAAACGCTTTGGTGATAGTATCAGTAGTCGCAGTGATGGTACTAACATTGCTTGTCACCTAATGACACTCATCTTATGAGTGTGCTGGCGGTTAACCTTATGCTTTAGCGCGAACTTAATGCTAAACTATGTGGGTGATGCTAACATGATCCCCGCTTTAAAACAATGCAAAGATGAAGGGGAGAAATCCCCGCTTTCATTGGCGCTCTATTGTAATTATCTTAATGTATTCTCCCGAGATTGTGGGGTGTACACATGCACACAATGCATAATACATATTTTACATTATGTATGTACAGCGCACGCACTTGTTATCGTTCCTTTACATACGTACAGTACCGCTCCTGCAAATGTAATGTAGAAGTACTATTCCTACTACTAATCAGTACTGAGTGTTGCTTGTGTATGTTGTGTCTGTGTGTGTTTTCTTATGTATGGATACATTTATGCCTGTCCTCTTCTTGTCTCTCAAACATTTAAGCACATACACAGATTACCTGTCTGCGAGCATGGTATTACAACATGTTAGTGACAATATATAACAGTAAGAATACTCTTGTACTCTCCTCCCCCCATAAGACGAATACCACCTTTTGTTCTCCTTCTCAGACCTATCCCCCTCTTTTCATATAGAAAAGATTTTGGGACGAATGTCTGCTTGTCTGCAATTATTACTACTTGTCTCTACTACTATATTCACTACATTTTTTTTTCAATTTGCTGCTCCTTCAACAAGCCCACATACAGGGTGCCTATTCGTTTTTTTCTTCCTGTTCTTTCTGGGTAAAATTAAACCAAGTATGTATAGTAAGAGGATGGACTGTAATGCTTCACACACATAGCATGCGTACACACCTCTTCGTTTGTTTCTCCTGATTCTCCTCCTTCCCTTGATTTATGGCTTGTTCAAAACTCTTGTTTTTCTGACTTTGCTTCGCTGTGTACTTTCCCACATAAACATAGCTACTGCAACTTTACACTTATATTCTCCTCGGTTTTTTTTCCTGTCCCGTTTATGTTGCTTCTTCCTCCTTTCATATCTCTCGTTTTGATGTATGTGTCCTATCTTGTACACTCGGGCTTTACGCGTTTTTGGGTTTGCAAGGCTATGGTCAAATCTTTAATGGTAGTCATTTATTCTCGGAAAAATAATGATTGCAACTGCTGTCTGATAACTGTTTCGTTTTCCCCTTTTATGATAAAGTGCTTCAAAGCCATCCTTGCTCCCTTTTATTGATCGTACTTATATAGACGTTTTAGGTAGTGTATGTATGTGTTAGGTAGTAGTTTACATAACGATTTTATAGACACGGATACTAAGCTCTAGAAAAAAGCTGACCTGAACCACTATCCGTGATCGAAAGTGGCAGAACGATGATGCTCTTTGAGCCTTGAAACGGGAGGGGTGAGGGAAAAAACCCTTTTCGTTTTTCAGCTCTGCTCTCTCTGAAACGTCTATTTTGAGTAACAATGCACGCAGCTTAACAATCTACGATTGCTGCTGACGCTGTGTATACAGTCAGCAAGCAGGGTCCATAAAGTAAAATTACAGTATGAAGAGCCTCCCGATGATGCATCAGCGGGAGAGATCATCGTACCTGCTGTACCTGCATCGACGGTGCCGCTGCCGCATATCTATATTTCTCCTACTCACCCGGTAGCCCCCAACGTGTTATTTTTTTTCCTCACTTTCTCTTCAAAGTTATTCCTTTTGGTTATCGTAATGAATGTGTTCCAAAAGAAAACGAAATAGGAGTACCTAGAAAGAGATATGGATGTTGATACATAGGCGCATAATATTGCTGCCGCTGATTAGCAACTACAGTTTGACATATCGATTAGCAACAGCTAGCAGTACTAGCACAATGGCAGCTTCTACATCGTATTAGAATTCATGCAGCGATCCATAATGTGATTGTCCTCCATGGAATAGCTACCACAAACTGAAAGCCTTTAAGTTTAATTTCCCCACCAATAAGTATAATGACTTTGGCTTAATCCACGACACAACGCCGGTACATGATGTTTATAATATTATTGCCTTTAGATTGTGCTTAAAACATGACATCCTAATTTAACTTATTTAAATGCACAATCAATGCGCCCACAGCGTGCAGTCCCATCCGTTCATCCCCCACTCCACAGTGTACCTGTTCGGCGTTCCATTTCACTCTTTTTTTTTTCTATCATATATACATGTCTGCCGCAAATTTGGTTACTAAATCATATGATGGTAGCTGCATTCTCATCGTATATTTTTTTTGCAAAATTACACACTTCCACGTACGAATCCGATGTGAAAGATGGGGCAGTACAGATTGTGCACGTTATTGTTCCAATTTAAGCCAAAACCATGAAGCTTTCTTTCTCTTTCTATCCTTAGCTGACTATTTTATTTGCTACACACTTTTATTACAAGAAGCACTGGTATAGTAGTACAAGTTGATATCTTTTATTATTGATGTGGGTTATTAGGGTGTGGTAGTCTAAGCTTCGTATGACATGTCTACATGGCTCTATTTTGGTCGTTACTGGGTCCGAGCACATTCCTACTGTATATTTATGACACTTTTAACAACGGTACTACAACTATTTTTATCCTTATTGTAACAACGCGTGTACAGGATAACTAAATGTATGCATATCATATAATATTTCCGCCAATCCTTTGTTGCTAAACGATGTACACATTATGCAATATGTACTCAAACGCTTTCTTCTTAACCGATAACGGTTTAACAAATTTTTGCTTACTCTTATCTATTTGGCATGTCACCCTGTCCTCTCATCCCTTTGACTATCGTTCAGAATTATGTTTAATGATTTCTATATTGATACTTTTACATATTAAAGCAACACCTGCTTATGGTAGTATAATGAGACATACGACAAACGCTAGGGAAAAAGATAACATCATCAACCACATGTATCTTTTCTTGTTTTATAAAAAAGTGCACAGTCCCTCCCTTAAAACGGTTAATGGACATGGCTAGCAGCGGTAATGGTTTTTGTACAACAGTGATGATATTTCCCAGTAAGGTCCTATATAGGGAGAAGATGATAACAAGGGAGAGCGACAAGGTGGGAGCATGCGGCTATGGCCACATCAAGTGCAATAAAATGAAGAAAGTACTGTAGCAATGTCTCTATGTAGTATGAATTACGCCGACCACACGCAATCACACGCACACATTCACGTGTACCTTCTTTTTGTCCTTTTGCCCTTGTGGAATGTAAGGAGGAGTAGCATAATGGGTCATTCTCTCATAGTTTATTTTATTACAGTGCGGCTAAAAAAAGGATTGTGGGCAACGATGATCATATTGAATGAGGATCATCGACTACTTTCTTTGTTTCTCTATAACATTCACTATGTACGCACTGTGTGACTGTACGCTATAATCTAGAATCGTTTTAAAACAATTCCTCAGTATATTTAGAAGGTTATATCATAGAGAAGTATATCATAATGCAGTTAACTACATGTTTTAAAAAGCTGCAGCGCTACATATGTGTACATACACAAATGACTGATAGCTTCGTTGTTATGATGTTTTATATACTGGTTGCACATACATGAAGGACAAGCATTCCTGCTAGAGCAACGAGATCAACTAGCAATGCAATAAGCGTATATTTTGGTTCTTTCTCTCCTGACGGCGATCATGAAACAATCAAGAAGTCATTGTTCTCCTTATTGACGCCATGTAATAGTGCTGTAGTAAATAAAGTAGCGTCGATAACTCATCAATATACATAGAAGAAACCGAAAATCGCGTAGCTAGTGAATACCAATGAAATTATTAGCCGACACACTTATATCACCGTTGCTGTATCGCGTTATGTAGGTTTTCGTTCTTTGCTCAAGGCTACCACCTATTATGCATTACATGATGGCTTGATGTACTTAATATTTAACATGTTGTTTATCAGAAGCCGCGGCTCTGTGTACATATACAGCCCTCGTTGATGCAGCAGAACACAGTTCGCACAGTTCAATGTGACTATGATTGATATAAAAATGTGCTCATTATTAATGCTTACAGCGAATGACCTTACTCGAGGATTTAAAGTCACTATATGTAAATTTATAAAAGTCGTATGTGAACTACGATATGGTGGCGTCATGCTTTATTCAGTCTGTACAAAGATCATATGGTTTCCTGCATGTTCGCTCTTTGTGGTACATAAGCATTTGACAGCTTGATTGTTTGTGTGTAGATGCAGCATTATCATTCGGAAAACTGCTTTTGTATCTGTTGCACGTGATATAATAACTCATGTCACGTCCTTTAAAAATATGTATTGAAGAGCCAAACATTTTGTTTGTTCGGACCAGCGTTTAAACAATAAAAGGCAGGGAGAATTTTTTATTCTGGGGGAAATAATAGAAGGTGCTGGTAATAGGTTTCTGTTTGCTAATGCAAATGGGTGAGCAGTACTATTTTCCATAATTCTTTTTGAGTACTACTGGGAGGAGAAATATGATACGAGTGTTCTGAAAGGGGAAAGAGGATTGCATCGGGTGAGAGATAGAATTTGCGTGTGTAAGTGTGCAGATGAAAAGGGAGCAGCGAAAAGTTCATCGTTTCTTTTTTGTTTTGGCCTCATCACCTATTACGGCATGAAGCCCAATCTTGTTTGGATTTGTACCAGATGGCGATGGTGCTTTCTTATATCCCTGAAAGAATTATAACAAGTAAACATGTTTTATTTAGCATTGATATGGAGAACAAAGACCTATTAGTGCTAAGATATACCCGACATCATAAACCCAACCCCTCTTTCTCTCTCTGTGTATTCTTTTTTTCTTACCTGCGACCAATCATAGCTAACCGCATAGGCGAGAAGATTCCCATTACGATTGAATGCTGTGCAAGAGACAGTGCATTGAACCTTAGAGAATAGCTTCAACCGTTGGCGCGAATCCTTATCCCAGAAAGACGTGGTACCATCACTGAAATCAAATTATAGATTCGCATCGTTCATATAAGTTGACCAAGCTCATTTGAGAATTCAAAAGAAAAAAAGATAATTACCTGCCGCAAGTGGAAAAGCTGCCGAATGTAGGATGAAACGAAATATCATTGACAGCAAATACTTGCTTTGTCTTTTCGTCGCGATGGCATCTGAAAGAAAAGTTTTTCCTAATAGATACAAATATCGTTCGGTTAATAGTTTAGCTCTGAACTACATCATAAGAGGAGACTTACGCGTGATCTCGGGGATCCACATACTGGATACCGATGCGTCCTTCGATGGATCCGATTGCAAAGCCTTTAGCGTCCGGAAAGCAAGCAATTGCTCTGGTTTGCCACTTTAGCGGCGAGACAGTTTGCTATATAGATTACAATCATGTGTGGTTAGTGAACATTATGTCCAGCAGCAAGACTATCCTCCCATCCATGTATTTGTTTTTCAAAGAAGCATCACCTTGTAAATTACGGTGGGATTCTTCAGATCAAAGATACACACGTGTCTCTCTGCAGTTCCCACAACCAACAACTGATCAACCGTATCCATCACATAGCATCGATCTGGCAGCTGTACCGTTGCAATAGGCTGAGGCGATCGTGTATCCCAGTATTTGAGCGTTTGATCCCAGCTGGCCGTAGCAATAACATTGTCTCCCAAACCTCCCAAAACCTTGACACTTTTGACAGGCGCAGCATGTTGTGCTATTTGAATTGCTTGTCCTCGAATTACGTCGTACATGCGTGCAGTGTTATCTGCTCCGCCGGAAATTACTCTATTGCCATCCTGCGATGCCATCATTTACCAAACCAGAGAATAGAATGATTTAGAATATCTTGCTACGTAGAATAACGAACCCATCCTTTTCCTTGGATCCTTTATTATTTCAAGGATATAATCTTACTCTGCACCATGCCACTGACAAGGCGGGATTTTGATGCTCATAGGCTGCTATAGGGGTCGTGCTTCCAGTTGCTGACTGGACGCCATATATACGCACCTAATATGTATGCACGAGAGAGGTGAATTATAGTAGTGTGTAGGCACGTTCGTAAGTCATGTGTAAATGTGGCAATTCATTAGCTTTCTTTTGACTGCTTGTTCGATCGCGCAGTTCTCTACCCTATTACCTGGTGATCCCACGAAGCTACAGCCAAATGATCGTTGGTAGGGGAGAATGCCATCGACGATACGCCATCACTTGGTGGGTGGGCAACCTAATTGTAGTAAGAAGCGATAAAGAAAAGAAGGCGTTCTGTCTTTCAGCATTACCAGTATAATTCAAAAAAAAAAGAGTCGCGCGCGCTTGTTACTCGAGGTGCATAAAGTACTTCTAAGGCACGCGTGCCCCGTTTCATTTTCCGCAGCAACAGCATCCACCGTACGTACCTCTACGTCGTTTGGGTCCATAAGCATATTTTATAATTTCCTCAAAGAGCAAGGACCTGATGAAGAAGAGAGGCAGGATAGGGAAAGGGAAAGGAAGAAAAGTGAAGAGCGCGAGCGTCTCTGCTGCTGAGGCATCAGCTGATATGGGTTTGATTTTACTGCGGCAAATTGTTTCGCAGTAGAGTTTTGATCACATACAAGATCCCGACTCTATGATGTGGCTCTCCAAAAAGGTACGGTACATTATTTCCAAAAAAAAGGTAAAAGAAAAGGTGAGGCCGTCTGCTTCACCAATTGCGTCAACTGCAAACAGACCATCTTTTTAGCAGTGTTCTTATTAAATGCAGACAGCGAGGGCAATGCGTCGCCATGTGCGTCTGTCGAGCTGTCGGTTGTTGGATGATATAGTAAATAGTTAGAGAACATGCAGTCTGTATTGGCTAGCACAGTAACACAGGCTATTTCAAGCGGACTGATCGGCTTGCACCCTCTCAGGTAATGGCCAATACAACAAACTTTGGCTTTTGTTACAGGAACCTTACCAAGCTGTAAATCCGAAAGATTGCACAGAAAGTATTAATAAAGAAAGTCTAATCTACGCGCACTTTAACATATAAACACTGGAGGAGCATATCTGCTTACTCACAAAGCTATTTTACTAGCAATATTTACAATTATTAACAGTAGAGGCAACGACTTGCTGTAGGTGATATTTGTGCTACAGCTATAAATACTGCTGGTACAGCAATTTGGAGCAACTGTTCGTCACTAAAGTAGCTTAACTGTTAATGGAGCACACCTGGTTTATCAGTAGAATCGACAAACTTCTTGAGATTCATAACTTGGGGCGGAAGTGGGGTGCCCATAGCCAAAGAACAAATCAATACGCTGATGTGACCTCAGCAACTATCCTCCTGAATGACTTATAGCTCCTGCTCATGTAAGTGGAAAAAAAGCTAACAATTCAGTTTATGGCTCGAATTAACTGACCGAGACAATATAAAGGAAAACGCCGTCGTGTATCCAGGCAACGACACTGCTTTACAGCTCATAATAGGAGGACAATAACAATTTAAGATCATTTCGCCCTGCCGCTATCGGAGTCGATTCGTGACTTGACGATAGTGTTTGCCTGTCGAAAAAAAAAGTTATTACGGAAACCGCCACCGCTTCCGACTTCTCGATCCTTGTTAAATCAATCGACGACCTTTGATAATGTCTGCCAGTATTTTCGTCCAAGGATCTGTTGAGGCGCAGGTATGCCCCAATTCAAAGTGCTACTCAAGTTTGGGGTTTCTTGATTCACCCATTGTGACGCGGGTGGATTAAATCCATGAAAAAAGCAAAGCCGCACACGAGGACGAACACCATTTTCTTGTTTGTCACGACAATTGACTTAAATACTTGCTTTTAAATTTTATCACGGTTAGATCCAAGATCTCGCTTCATACATTTCAAAGTTGAAGGGCGAAGATGGTGAAGAGAACGCTGCATATGTTCAAGAGATCGCAAAGCTCTTGTCAGCAAAGAACAACGACATCTACGTTAAGCTCGCAAAGGACGGCTCCCTTTTCTTGACTGAGAACGACCGAGGTATATATACTCCTTGTTTTCACCACCATTCCCCCATTCTCCTTATTTCACTGCTGTACCGCGTCTTTCAACTTTATGCAGTGACTAATCTTGGTATGCGGTACTATTGTGTGTGTTCGGATCATATTAGAGGTTGAAGGTGCCTTTAACTTGTTGATCGTTGTTGCACTGAACTCTGTGGATCAAGCAGCAACCGTCAAGGCCTTGATCGATACTTTGACCCAGACCGAAAGCAGCAAGACGAGCTTGAAGCAGAAAATGTACGTGACTTACGGATTGAATAATATCATGACTATGCGAACACAAACAATCGGAAGAGAAGGCAACAGTAACTGACGTGTGGATTTTTCTTTATTTAGCTTGCTTAACTTGTATAACGCATTGCCCAACGACTCGACGCTCCGCTACCATGCATTCTTGGGATTAGTAGACGTTACAGCCCAGGCAGACGAATTAGATTCTCTGTACAGCCAATTGGAACACATCGACAAATGGATAAAACAGTGGGGTATTGACAAGGAAACTGAGCGACAATTGTATAGCCATTTGAGCGAAAAGTTGAAGCAGGCAGGCGAAGAGTACGTATATATTGTTTTACAACAACTGGGTTAGATATATATTACCTTGGAGAAGAGAAGAGAAACTGAATACGATGGGAAAAAATTATTTAGAAAGCTGTCGTTCGACTTTTCGTTAAAGAAGCTCGCCACCTACGACGATGCCACATTCGACTCATCCGTCGAAACCTTCGCCAAGGACTTGGTTTTGCAAGCCATTTCGATCGAAAACTGGTTCGCATTTGAAGAATTGTTCCAACACTCTGTTGTGCAAAAGATTAAGGGCTCTCCCGAATATGAACTTCTCGACGTGTTTCTGAACGGCTCGCTTTCGACATACAAGACTTTTGCATCCTCGCACGCCGATTTGTTGAAGCGCACGAACGAAGAAAACAACATTACCAAAATCCGATTGCTTGCATTGGCATCGTTGGGCTGTGAAAACTTGTCTCGCGAACTTAGCTATGCTGAGATTGCAAAGGCTTTGGAGATTCCCGAGGAAGAGGTTGAAATGTGGGTTATTGATGTGATTCGGGCTGGTTTGGCCGAAGCTAAGCTTGACCAATTGAACAAGACTGTCATGGTTCATCGAAGCATCTATCGGGTATTTGGCAAGGAGCAGTGGCAACAATTGAGCTCAAGACTCAGCACCTGGAAGGAAAGTCTCAATGAAATCATGGCTGTTATTGGTAACGCAAAACTTATTGCTGGTGGTGCACTGCAAGGCGGTGCTGCTGCCGTGGTGGTTGAGGACAAGACCCAGGTTGAAGTTACTGTTTCTACTTCCAACTAAAGAAAAATGAAAGATAATCATAACAACTTCATTGTTTGCTAGCACCCTCCACACGCACAACACACATTACATACATCCTTGTTTTTTTCTTCTTCTCCTACTTGTATCCCCTCTTTTTTTTTGTCATATTGTTTGTTGTTTCATGAATGAAAGTTAAAAAAGATAAACTTGTATTATCACCTCCACCATCAACAATACAAACCTATCACTCTGTAGCTGCATCAGCACGCTTGACAGTTCTGTATGAATTATTCATCACTCCTCGGTAATTCCATATCGGAAACTCTTGTTGAATATTACCGGCAGAATCAACTAAAATCATCAGGGGCATACTTTAAGACGATGGAAGAGGCACGCATAATTTCTTCTGACAACTGGTACAAACCTGCTCGGCTGATAACCCGGACACCAGGCGTGGCATGGACATGAGCAGTCCACAAAGTCCAGCTCCATGTGTATGCGCTTGTCTTTTCAACTGATGGTTGACATAGGAGCTCTGCATGAACCCAGGTCTTGCCGTCATCACCCGAGACATCTATATGGCAATGTACATTATAAACAAGATAACTCTCACTTACGATACAATCTATACACTTGATACGGAACGATACTTTACCAACACGTTGAATGCTGCGTCCACCGCCTGTTAGATTTTTTTTTACAAATCGTGAATATCAGATATGATGCAACAACAATAGCAGAGCAACGTTGACAATAATTTTTCCACATTATCATTTTTACCTGAAAGCGCATAACCTTGTATTTTTACAGGTTGGGCATTTGCCAGATCTGGTAGGTCAACAAGTCCATGCTGGGGATTACATACGAATGATTGGACATTATATTCACCGATCGCTGGCGTTATTGACCAGTATTCCTCTGCCTGCTTCTCGTTTGCGACCTATGACATGCCACACATTGGAATATATTATTTTACTTTCAGCAAAATACGTAAACCATGTCACTCTCTTTATGAATAGACTTACATCTTCCGGAAGTATCTTGTAATCATGCTGTTGGTAGTATGCATTAGACTCTTTATCCTGTACTCGGATAGACTTGAGAAACTTGACTGAGCGAGCACCGATATATCCTGGAACGACCACGCGAACTGGAAAACCGTGGTCTCGCGTCAAGGGAGCCCCATTCATCTACATTGAGTGATGTAAATACATGCAAGTTATACCCATTGGTACGTCATAAGGGAAAGAACAGAAGTCTTTAACCCTCTCTTAATTTTCATCGATGCCTGGATATATCACCTCATAAGCTAAAAGCACATCGCCGAACTCGTCCCTACGTATGGAAAAGGAGCATATGTATGCATGATAAGCCTTCAATGCTTATGCAGTTTTTGGTACCGCCTGTGTTACTTTAACAACTTACAGAGCTTTCGATAACGGAATCGAAGAGCCGTAACATTCATCTTCTTCACACTAATATTAGAAAATAAACAGTTAGAAATAAGGGACTCAAGATATGACACAGTGTGTCCACCTTTTTTCTATATTACCTTTTCCACTGATTTGAATGCAACATGTAGCATGGCAGTATGTCCCATCGCTTCCTTAACTCCCACGCTTTCCAAAACATCTTTGAGACGACAACCGGAGTATACAGCATTCCCTACTGCACAAGGTCCCCAAATCACCTAAACATCCCACGATGAAGAGCCGTATGTTATCAGTATATTGTCTGCACACATGGCTATGTTGTACTAATCTAGAAAATAAAACTTGATAATAATACGAACCCCTTCTGTGTGTTTGACATTATGAAGACCATCTCTTCGATTACCCTTAAGTTATAGAAGAAATCCATTATATAGTGTGTAAGCCACATGATAGCCGGAATGGTTGATCAATGTTTCCGAAAAGGAAAAGATACTTGCAGCACACTGTATACCGAACACGTTGAAGCGCGTATATGATATTTAGTTTCTTTTTGGTGATTATAAGCATTACTTTTGATTTAAATGTATGTATCATGCCACCCTCAGCAGTATCCCAGTCCATAACACACCTGCATGGCCATCATAACACTCTTCTTTTCAAACTGGGTTTTCAACTCTTGAACCGAATACGAGCGTGGTGTTGTATGCATTCCTTCCAAAGATATTTTATGCGTTCCTTCGTCCAGGTCTGGAATGTACCCATGGGATCGGCAGAAAAAGTATCTTTCAGGTGTTATAAAGTTGCTGATAAGATCTTTTGGGTCCGGCTCCGCATTGTAAGGATGTTCTTTGCGAACAATTAAGTTTTTGCTTTGTCGTGATGGGTCGTGGCTATAATCCAGTGCCATGATTATTCATGTATCTTTTAATGTGGAGTGCAATAGGAATAAGAAAGAGAGAGAAAATGGACAAGAAAAGTTCCGATGGTGCGTGGTAGTTATTGCGTTTGCTTTTCTAGTACTGTAATGATGATGTAATAAGCAATTAAACATGAGAAAAGAAGGAGGGGAATTAGTATGAACGTTCTTCTTTGACAGGTGCAAAAGAATACATCATCTTTGCATTGATATTAATAGATGCGACTTTACCATTTTACAGTAAATTCTATACGGGATATGATCTTCCAGTAGAGAACTTTTTATCAATTTGGTGCTTATGTCTTTCAACCTTGGCGTCAATTTCTTTATTTAATAAACATCACCAATACCAAAGCGTCCATGATCCTCCATATAGCATAGCAATCTCATTATTATAACATTATTGCATCCTTTAGACCCTTTTGTCACGCCAGCTCTTGCCGACAGTGATAAGCTGATTGATAATCATAAGCCTCTCATATTGCCATCGTCATGGGCGTGTCAATGATGTACAGTACTTCAACGTCCCATGAGAACTAAGCGATAAAGGGAAAAAAGGAGGGTGATGCTTGATAAAAAAAAAAGGTAGAATAATTTCGCTGACAAGAGCAAAGGAGAAGGAAGACAGACTCACAATCAACGACACTGTCGATCCGTTTACAAATCGCGAATGAATCAAAGCAATAATATTAGAATTGAGATTTACGAAAAAAACCATACGCGTAATACCAGCGCGTCTTAAAGTGAACTATAATGTCCTTGGGTCTGAGCAACAAGTGCACATCACATTATTATGAGCTTTTTCGGATCCTGCTTTGCCAACGCGAATCCGCAGCAATCAATCAGGCTTGAAGTCAAGCGTGTCTCAATTGCTGCCGTTGATGGTCATTTGTTTCAAACGGATCTTGCATCACAGAAAAGAAAAACACAGACGTAACCTCGTTTTTTTACTTTTAAGAACAATAGCAGGGTCCGTGCGTAGAGAGCACGGTGTCAAAGAGTTGCCACCGCTTTATATGCACTTGAAAGAGATCCTAAATCTCAAATAGTACATTCACAAACAAAGTACAAAAGTACTTCACAAGGTCGATCAGTAAGCGAGAGATCTTTCTTTGTGAATTAGAATGTCATTACCCAACGAAAGATTAACTTTCCGTTATAATGATAATCAAACATAGAAAGCTTCTCTTGTTGATTATTATCTTTTTGTCATTTTCTTATTGTATTTTAAAGAGAAACTCTCTTTTCTAGGAAGTTCCAATAGAAAAAGAGGGGAAAAACTCCTGCTGTCTCTTTTTTCCAGGAAGACAGCAAAACCTGATCGAAGACGCAGGTAGTGAATGGTCGCTACGCAATGAGAGACCTTCGCCAATCACTAGTGGCGCCCGTGCCGTGTGTGCCCACAACGTCAACTAAGCACAAAGATACTTCAAGGTTGTTGTATTACGTTGATGCAGCCCTAGGGCATGCTTCCAACAACCTTGCTACCATTGAAGCATCTTTCGGGTAGAATATATCCACCTCAACCTGGCTAATAGCTTTCCAAGTCAAGGATTCACACAACACTTTGCGCTTCATAAAGTTTGTGTAATTGGAACTGAAGAAGAAGAAAAAAGGGAGGGGTGGGGGTTTTTGGTCTCTTTATATAGACAATTTTTTGCCGTCACGCTCGGGTCTTCAATGCAATCCATCATTTTGATTGGCTCTCATTTGTAAGGCTCTGGTTGGCTCATTTTATGGGCCGCTTATATCATATGACGCAACTTGGCACAAAAGCAAAGGGAAGGGGAAGGAGATGTGTAAGTGATAGTCGTCGTCAAGAAGTCAAATACGCTATAGCAGCAGTGATCGGCATGTATCACCCTATGATACGCTATATATATGTTTCACCATGCCGATGTGCCCTCCGATACTGTCGCCGCTTGTTTTGGGAAGAAGTGTCAGTGCACGCACCCAGCCTCCGCGTCAAATACAGGTACAAGAAGTTCCGAAATGCCAACAGGTTCATTGAGTACATAATCTGAGAGTACATGGACTGCAAGGCAATGACAAGAAATTTAAGGGATGCGAGTGAACGGCGCGACTAGGAATGAGAATGACTTAGGCACCAGTCGCTGACGGTAGCCCACAACGGACCTGAGAACAGAATTAATTGCTACTGCTAAGGGTGTCCCACCATTGTCCTGGCGGCAAGATATTTACAAGTAACCATAAAGCATCCTTCGCTGTCTATACCATTGCTATCAGGTTTGCTTCCACATCACTATTGGAGTTGTTCGTAACCTTTTTATAGTTATAGTAATGATGTAAGAGCCTCTTTTCGCGAATTAGCTATTGAGTCCGGTAGAGACTCTGTCAAGGTTTGAGTTATGTTTCATATAATTGATGCTATGTGTGGTCGGCATCAACATTGTTAGAGAGTTACTGTACCATTCCACTTGACTACATATTAGCCATTACAAGACATTAATTGAAATACTTTTCTGCTCATAATTGTATTTTGAGTATTGTTGTAGTATATATAGAAAGTAGTAAGTAATGATTAAATGGATAGTAGTAGGTAGTAATATAAGTAAACATGTAGTAATAAGGATGGACGAAGCGTGATAGTCGGAAGAAGAGGTTGTGGGCGCTGATATGATCATGTAGCCAAACTAGTTCCAGAAAAAATCCATTAATTACTAGTCATCGTCACAGAGAATGGGGAGAAGAAAGTGTATATTATTGAAGAAACCTTTTTTTTTACTCGATCGACCACCGCTGTGGCGATTCGACTTTCTCTTCTCTGTCGCCCCCCATGGGGCCCATAGAGTGTGAGGATGTTGCCGCTCCAGTGGCATGTGAGACTATAAGCAATTGACCAGTTTTTTTTTTCAGGGACACAACACGCAAAAGAAGCGACAGGAGACACTCTTGCTTTTTATCCTTTCTCACACACACACTTACTGTGGTTAATTAAACCATGGTTAAAGTTTCGGACACAGATCATCGATATGGGAACAGTAACCTATGTAGATGAAAAAGATGGCGATCTTCATCTATCAGTGCTGTTGTTATTTTTATACTACTCCTTATTGTCGGGTCTTGACGCACGTACCAATATTAAAACCATATCTACGCATACTATAGCGAACAGAGAAATTGTGTTAGTTTAGGGTCATAATAGCCACAACTATAAATACAATTATTGTCATTGTTTAAACCTACAGAAGAAGGTAAGGAATGCCTTGGAACCGACAAACTTTTGCGGCTCTTGGGAGATTTGCACCAGCACGTAAATGAAATACGCCATACTGGCTGTGGATAATGCGCTAAAAGTATACAGATGCCACTTGCATTCGCGGCGAAGCTATGCAAGAAACGAAAAGAAAAGCATGATTGTTTGAGCGGGGACGTACGAACAGCATCGAAACGCTGGTTACTAAGATAAGGAGTGTCTTTGATGATGATGGGTGGTGTTGCGACCTTAAGGATTCTACTGAGAATACTTACACCCATGTAAGCAAGAAGCAGCATGACTACAGTGACCAGACAGCTCAGTGCAATATGCTCAATCAACTTTTTGATTAGCTCCGTCGTTTGCTCTGGTGTGTCTGCTTCTGGCCACCATGCAACGATAAACAAGGCCAGGTACTGGATAGAGAATCCGAGAAAAAAGAAAAAGTCAAACTTCAAAAGCATCATGAAGATTTGATACATCTTGTAGCGGTCTAACAAAAATGCACGTCAGTTTCTAGACTTTTTGACTATTCACGACAACATTCACCGTTCTTTCTCTTGTGTGTGTCCATACGCCGCCCCTTCTATAACGTCTTTTCCCCCGGCCTTCTTCTCAGAAAAGCTCTTACCTCGCATCGCAAGATCAGCGCCTATCTTTTTGTAAATGTGCCAGCCAAACTCCAAGTACAGCTTGTACGCGAGAAAGATGAAAATGATGCTGCTGATGATCATTAAACAGATTTGGGTGATTTCAGCCCAGCTGGATGCATGGAGCGAGTCTCCTAGAAAGTTAACGACCAAGTTGACGTTTGGATCAGACGTGTCACTGAATAGATTGGATGACTGATGGTACTGGATAAGCGAGTAAGCGCTCATGCCGACTTCAAATGCAACCAAGGCAATAAGCTCAATGGTGTTCTTTTGATATATCTGAGAATTTTAATATAAAATGACAAGATGTCAGTCGATCTCTCACACACATACACATACAAAGAGGAGACAAAGAGAGAAACAAACCGCATCAAGAACCAGAACGACAGTGAATATCTGCGCAATGATGAATAATGTAAAGTACACGAGTAATGAGCGTGCATTGGCATAGGCTGTCAGCAAGTTTTGTCCGTAGTGTTGCTCGTTCAGCCGTTGCTGGTTGATGATATCGATTGTGTCGGCATGATAATTGAAAATGACAGCTTCAAAGAGGATGGCGAGGGCGGCTTGCACGAGGATGTTGACAAAGATGGCTCGTGTCCACCATGAATCACCAAACTATATACGGAGAGAGACAGCCCAAGGTTCATTTATTATTGAAGGCTAGTTATCTGACTCTAAGAATTATGACAGATGCCACTTTTGTCGGTCGTGTGTGCATACAGAAAACACTTACAATCCGTGTAACGATCCACATATCTGTCGATTTGTATATTTTTCTTTCCTTTTTTTTAGTGATCGCGATGCTAATTGGAGTCAATGGTACAATTGGAAATAGAAAGTCGATGGAAAGCTTTAGGATTTACAGTAAAAGGTCATAAGCGAGGGTGAAAACAATAAAAGAAGAAGAGGAAAGAGAAAGAGAGGAACGGAAAAAGGAGGAAGGGAGGAAGAGGAGAAAGAGGATGGGCAGGCAGATCGTGTGAGGAGTATGCAGAGTCGACGCCGCAGTTGCCTTTTCTTTTTGCTTCCTGCTTTGTGCTTTTTGCAAGACATCATACACGTATACACACAAGCTAATCTACAAAGCGTACGCGGGCTTCATAGTAACTGATGAGCTATATCGAGCGAGAGAGAGAGAAAGAAAACGAGAGGGGTTGTCGTGTGTTAGGCGTGCAGGCGTACCAGTAAGCTTTAAATGCGTCTGTTTTTTCTTTGGGGTAGGGTGCTTTTCTGCTTACCTCACCGGGACAGTGATCGTGAAGCTCTTGTACAGCGTGCACAGTCTTCTTTCTGTTCACCCTACAAACAGAGTTGGAGCGAACAAAAGCAAGCGCATCAATGTTATTATTTTTTTCTTTTCTTCATGAAAAAACTAAAAAGAGTCCGACAAATATCGATGCGTGATGTGGAAAGAAGGGGAGGGGAAGACATGCTCCTTACCAGCTCACATAAGCTAAAATTTGATCCGTGCCCACCACGCGCTGCACTAGATGGATCTGCCGCATTTCGAGGGCCCAGTCAGTGGTTGCTTCAGGGAATCCAGTGCCGTATGCGATCTTGAATCCTTGGTTCCGTAGGGATTCGTGGAGATCGTCGTTGGTGATGTTGTTTTCTTCGAGCCGCTTGAGATACTTGTCTTCCGGTTTGGATGGTTCCGATTTCTTCTGTTCCTGCTCTTTGGCTATCGATGTAGCAGTCGGGATGTTCTTCGGCCGTTCCTCATGCTTTGACCAATACGAAGCGCATAACTCGGGGCAGTCCCTGCGACGACGGAGTCATAGAAAAAGAAGAATAAGCACACGTTTTTTGATGGTTAGTGCACATGCTTCTCGAGTCATAAAAGGCGGTGCGCTATGAGATCATCGACAGAAATGCCAGGTGGTCCAACCCGCTACTTACTCATGGACGCTGGTGGCAGGCTCCCAGGTGTTGTTCTTTTCAGAATATCCAAGCCATTTGATTTCGTATTTGACTACCATGCTCTATATAAGTGCATAGATGTGCATCCTTCAGTATCCTTGCCATGGCTCTTTTTCACGTCATCCACCCCAAAAAGCCATGTTTACAACGAGAGAAAACACCATCTTACCCGGTATGCCTTATGTCCCATAATCGCCTCCACCTCGAATTGTTCACCAACATCCTCTTCATCCTTTTCTTCTTCCTCCGCGTTTGCATGTTTCTGAGTGGCAATTGCTACTTTTTCTTGAGCTGCGGATCTTGACGATGTTCTGCGACGCTTACGCGCCACAGCAGCGCTGTTGTTACTATTACGTTTAGACGGAGAAGAGTCAAAGACGCACGGGTTTTCGGAGGAGCTGCCTTTGCTAGGCTTCAATGATGATGCCTCATCAATGGTATCAATATCTTCTGGTTCCAAGCGTCTTCTTCTGCTTCTGCTGTTGTTGCTATTGCGCGTTAGGGGTTTTCGAGGTGTCGGTGGGTCATTGTGAGTGTCGTCTTGGTCGTTTTCTTTGTCAGGTGCGTTTGCTTGTTGCGATTTTTGAGCCGATTTACCCTTCTACAAAAACATGAATTGAATGTTCACAATTCATACGAAATCCTTTTGTCAGTTGGTAAAAGTAGGTTTTACCTTGTCGCCATTTTCAGTTACTGTTTTCTGTTTGACATGTTCCGCACGTTTTCCTCGAATCCTAATAAAACCATGGGATTTCGACGGTCCCGTTGGTGACACTGAGGGAAACGAATTTCTGGAAGAGGCTGTCATTTTGATTAAAGTTAATGTTGGGGTACGATATGTAAACTAGGGTGTTTTTATAGTAAGCACACACTCTCGAAAGGATATAGAAAGGAGACGCGGAAGAAGAGGGGAAAAAAAGGACACGTACAAAATTCAAGATTCGCGCACTATATGTTTATTCTATGGAGACATCGGAATACTAATATAGGGTGCTGCTAAACCTTGGCTTGAGGCGCTATTCACCAAGTTGATCAATTCCACTTTCTGTGTCAGTCTTTTCGCTCGACGGTTCGCTCCTCCTTCAAACAGTGTCATTTCAGCCTCGGTTTGCGGAATGGTTCGCGGTATCCGAACAGGTATGTGATCTTTATCGATCGCCACAACCGTAAAAAACGCGTCGTTTGTAAAATTGGTCTCTCCCGTTTGTAAGTTTTCTATTATTTACTTTAGTCACAAGCAACGAATTTTATCCACACTACGGGTGTGTCCATCAACATTGACAGCGTACCGGCTTCCATGCTCACATAGACCTCCATGGAGGATGAATAAGTCCGAGATACAATTGAACGAATGGTTACTACATCGCCAACATGTGTGGGTGTAATAAACGAAAGCGAATCGATGCTATTACGACGAGACATCATTTAGTAACAGCCGATATGTCTGCTCCCATTTGATTGCTATGACTATACCTGAGAAGAAATAGCGTAAATACCTTGCTGTCAACAAATAGCCTCTAGTTAATCGATGGGCACTAGCCAGGGCACACTGCTCTAGCCACTGGATAATGATGCCACCAAAGGTAATGTTTAGTGTATTTGCATGCTGAGGCATGACCAGTTCAACCACTTCTGCGAATGTTGTCTCCATCGACGTCTCAGTGAAGGGGAGCTGCATGATTGGATCCATCGAATACCGTTTTCTCTTATTGGATGTAGTAACATGATGCACTGACAGCTGTTCGTCCTCGTCACCCTTGAGTGTCTCGCTTGATTTTTCTCCAGTACTACTGCTTATACTTTCATCTTCATGCTTATCTCGTGGTTGCTCTTCCCCCTCTGCTGCTGTTGCTGTTGTTGCTGCTGCTGCTGCATGTAACGCTGGATGTGATTTAATTGCAGCCGTGTTTTGATGTGCGTGCTCTCTTAAACCCTGCGACCACTCTCGCATCAAATCACGGATACTTTGCAACTGTTGTGGCTGTTTCTTGTTCGTTTCCTTGAAGCGGGACTGGCGACGTTGCTCAGCCATATCATATCGTTTCTTTTCCATGTCTGAATGCGGGCACAATGCAGGAACTTGCGTTGGACGATGTTCGACCCATTTGAGGCCCAGATAGGTTTTTGGTTGCGGCCGTGGTGAAAGTGCCACAAATGTCAAGTATGCGTGGGCTACAAAGAATCGTTCGCCTGTCAGTGGTGTTTGTGCTTCAACTTTGACACCCACTTCCATGGATGTTCGCCATGACTTGTTTACGGACGCTTGAATTGTCAACTATATTTAGCATATCGTGTGTCGGTTAGGAAAAAGGTTATACTTTATTTTGTTTTCTCGGTTTTGTATGTTGAGAGTAAAGCTATGAAACGCTTCTTACTATATCACCGTTTTTCACGGGATGAAGAAAAGCTACATCATCAATGGATCGCGTCACCTAGTATAATAGCGATAACAACTCTTATCTGTCAATCAATGTGTATAAACCAAACCCTTTGGGCAGATAAAGGGCTATTATAAATCTGTATACCGAGGGCAAAGTAGCGTGACGTTTCGCAGCGATACCAGCAGCGATATCCACCCAAGCCATAATAGAACCTGCTCGACAAAGCCCCTAAACATAGTATTTGCAATTAGTGAGAATAAAGAGCTGATGTGTGTAAAGTATTCAAATCTTACTCTGACATTGCAGTGATGAGGAGCAATGATTTCGGTCATGGTGACGCGGCTTTCATGAGCAGGTTTGGATTCGTCTCGGACATTGCCAGCTTGGGTGTACGGATCAGGTAAAAGGTAAGGAAATACAGGTGCTGCGATGAACAGGATCACCCTCAGCCAAAGGTTACGTATCAAATCAAAAGCTTTTATGAAAGGCTGCATGATTTTGCTCTATCTATGCGCAAAGAAAAAGAAAGTGGGAATGAAAATTTCGCTGCTGCTGCTGCTACTCTTTTTCAGAGCCTTGCTTTTATATTGAACCCTTCCTAGTAGCATGAATAAAATTCTTTAAAGTGAACAAAGAAACAGATGACAATCTCTCATTCTTCTTACTCCTCTTCTTGCTCAAAAATAGTGGAGAGCAACAATATACCTTTTGTTGAATTTGAGCTCGAGCCCAAGTTTCCCTCAAAGGAACGTTTCCTGTTCACCATTTTATGGATTGCGTAGTGGCATGACAACGAAAAGAAAAGATAATAGAGACACATAATCAAAAATGAATAATCATCAATTCTCTCGTAATCATGCCAGTTTCCCATGCCATTACACCTTCCCCTGTATACTATCCTGCTTATCGTGTATCTACTGCCGAGGAGTATTAAGCTGTAGAGTTACAATAAACGACCCATAAGCGTTGACGTTGCACACGAAGCTTGGTAAATGATCTTCCGCAAATCTGCATAATCTACACGTAAGTTATTCCGATAATCGGCAGCAGCAAAGCCGAGGGGCGGGTGCTGCACAGGCTACAATTCTTCCTTTTCCGAACACCTTGTTCAATGGCACATGGCACAGAGCAACGTGAACGTAAACAGAATCTCGGCTATGTAATACGTTCCGGAATTGCAGGTGGCATGGCAGGCTGTGTGGTGAGTGATCTACCATTTCTATTTCCACGGCTTACTTTTCTTTTGCACGGTGTGTTGTTGACAATGAAAAAAAAAATAACTGTGGACAATTAGGCCAAGACTGCAATCGCACCATTGGATCGAGTCAAGATTCTATTTCAAGCGCAAAATCCAGTGTTTGAAAAGTATGCAGGTATGGGTGCTCTTTTTCTTTCTTCTTTTGCTGGACACCACTTTAGCTTGTAGTTGGCTAAATAAAAATGCAACACTGCATGCCTGTAATATCCATCATAGGAACGTTTACCGGCGCTTTTAAAGCCGGACGGGATATCATCAAGCACACTGGCGTTTTGGGACTATTTCAAGGCCATTCGGTGACGTTACTACGAATATTTCCATATGCATCGATCAAATTTGTTGCCCTTGAACAGTTTCGCGCAGTATGTTATAGTCCTGGGTTGCCATGACTTTTACAAGGAGGCACATACCACACAGAAAAAAATAGGCTCACGCACAGGGCACTCTATTAGCTATTAATACCAACAAAGGCACAAGAGACAGCAGCAAAGCATTTCTTTGCTGGATCACTTGCAGGTAATGGGAATAAGCCTAGTATACGTTCACGTTGCAAGAAGAAAAATTGACAACTAGATACTACCCTCATGTGGCCGACAGGAATGACATGTGTATTATTTACCTATCCATTGGACCTTGTACGTGTCCGGATGGCCTATGTGGTCAAGCAAGAGAACCGAAAACGGCCTACTTTGATCGATACCTGCAAACAAATATACAAAGAGCCTGCTGCAGCCTCGTCCACGCATCTGTTGAACTTTTACCGAGGATTTTTACCAACGGTGGCAGGAATTGTGCGTATATTTATAAATGTTTAGATGCGAACTTGACACAAGTATAAAAATACTCATATACATTTCTCCTTTGTTGCGAATTAGATACCGGTAAAGCAGTGACATTGTTACTCAGTATATCAACAACCATACTAGTTTTTTATTAACAAAGACATACATAGTACGCAGGCGTCTCTTTCTGGACATATCATATCATGACTCAAGCGTTTCGTTTCGATCCGACCATTTCACCCTATACACGCGCATCTAGAATAACAGACCCCGAAAATCGACGTATGATGGAGAAACCGCCATTGAAAACATGGGCTGAATTGTGTTGTGGTGGTGTCTCTGGATTGGTTGCCCAGACAAGTAGCTACCCATTAGAGGTAAAGTATAAGCGCGTGAATATAGTGACGGTCAGAACACAAGGGATGCTTAAACGTATTCTATTTAGGTGATTCGACGGCGAATGCAGGTCGGCGGATTGCTTCATCCAAACAAGTTTGTAGGATTCATGGAGACGGCTAGAAGCATTTATCAAACGAAAGGGTTCAAAGGGTTTTATGTGGGCCTGAGCATCGGATACATAAAGGTGGCTCCCATGATGGCCATCAGCTTTGCAGTATATGCCCGAATGAAATATCTTTTAGACATAGATTAAAAATATACGATCATATTATGCAACACACAACGTGCACTTGTATTATGTATACGTGCTACTGCTGCCGATGATGATGCTGATACTGCTCTCAAAATATTCTCCCCCAAATCCACTTCATCATGTGTCATCATCAAGATAGAATACATGTTGCAATGCATGTTTCAGTGTTATCTGATGAAACCACACATCATTCCAGCTTATCGCTGTGCAAGCACAAAATGCTCGTTCTGCACTGTTTTGAGAAAAGCTGATGAAAATGTTTGATTCTGAGACAGGGCCACGAAAAAAAAAAAAAACTAACCAGCAATCCCCATTTCACCGAGTCGAGCGATGAAGAAATAGGCACAAAATGCGCAAGACTGCGTATCACCGCAAACCCGCGATCCCCGCCTTGCCACTTTTTGACAGCGGGTATATGGCGGACCCTGGGTTTTTTCATTCTACATAAAAGAAGGGGGAAGGCGAGGATCGCTTTTTTTTCTGCCTTCTCTTTTTCTAAAAGACGCATATAAAGTTGGAACAGAGGGGGAACCTTTTTTTATATCAGCTACACGTCTCCGTTGCGACTATATAAATGCTGCCGAGGATACCACTCGCCTGTTTCCGGGCTGTCCGGTCAGCAGGCAGCAGCACCACGTTTGCATTGTCTGCTCGGCGATTTCATAGTACCGTACTTTCCCGTCCTAATGCTGCTTCACTAACGACGACGACAACAACGACGCCATCGACTTCGAACCGACATTCAAGCTTAATATTACGCCGTACATTCTCTAGCCACCGGCCTTTATGGCAAGAAACAAAACAACAAGTCACTAAAAAAGTCGAAACAACCACACAGCAACAACCTGCAACAAAGACGAATGGCACCGTTACTGCAGCAGCCAGCGCCAACAAGCAACGCAATGCAACCGACTGGGCCATTATTCGACAACTCATGAAATACGTATGGCCCAAGAATGACGCTGGTACCAAAGCTCGCGTAGCGATTGCCTTGTCGCTTTTGGTGGGCGGCAAACTGTTAAACGTCGAAGTCCCGTTCTTTTTCAAAGAAGTCATTGATTCACTCGGTACAACGTTTCCTGCGGATGCGACCCTGTGGGCCGTATGTGGTGCTGCTATTATCGGTTATGGTTTGGCACGGTTGGGCGCTAGTGCGTTCCAAGAACTTCGTAATGCGGTGTTTGCCACGGTTGCGCAAAAGGCTATCCGGCGCGTCGCTTTGAACGTATTTGCACATCTCCACCGACTCGACTTGAGCTTCCATTTGACTCGACAGACGGGTGGTCTCAACCGAGCCATTGATCGCGGTACAAAGGGTATCAGCTTTTTGCTTAGCTCGATTGTATTCCACATCCTGCCAACGGCTCTCGAAATCTCCATGGTATGTGGTATCCTGGCCTACAAGTTTGGTACTTCTTACGCTGCAGTGACCTTTTCAACAATCGCCGCATACACGGCTTTCACAGTCGTAACGACCGCATGGCGTACCGAATTCCGTAAGCAGGCTAACGCTGCGGATAACGAGGCTGCCACCAAGTCTGTTGATTCATTGATCAATTTCGAAGCTGTCAAGTATTTCAACAATGAAAAGTTCGAGGCCGAGCAGTACGACAAGCCGTTGCAAAAGTACGAAAAGGCATCCCTCAAGGTCGCGTCGAGTCTGGCTGCATTGAATGCCGGCCAGAACGCTATCTTTAGCACAGCACTAACGGCCATGATGTTCCTTTCGGCCCAAGGGGTTATGGACGGTACCATGACAGTGGGTGATGTAGTCATGGTCAACCAGCTCGTGTTCCAGCTGTCGATGCCACTTAACTTTCTGGGATCCGTCTATCGTGAACTGCGTCAGTCATTGATTGACATGGATACCATGTTCCATTTGGAAAACCAGCCAGCAATGATCCAGGATGCGCCGGACGCCAAGGATCTTATCTTCAAGGGCGGTGAAATTCGATTTGAAAATGTTGTGTTTGGATATCACCCTGAACGTCCCATCTTGAACAATGTCAGCTTTACCGTCAACGCTGGTGAAAAGGCAGCTTTCGTGGGCCCAAGCGGTTGTGGGTAAAGTATCGTAACCAGGCTTGTCTTTTTTTTGCTCATTGAAATTAGGATTTTGTTTCATATTACATGACAAAGCTAATACTTCTATGTGTTGCACTATGTAATTGACTACTATCATAGTAAATCCACCATCCTGCGTCTTTTGTTCCGCTTCTATGAACCTCAATCCGGCAACATCTATATCGATGGTCAAAACATCAAGGATATCCGTTTAGACAGCGTGCGCAAGGCCATTGGTGTCGTTCCCCAGGACACGAGTTTATTCAACAGCACCATTCTCTACAATGTGCAATACGGTCGTATTGGTGCCACTCAAGATGAAGTCTATAGTGCAGCCAAGCGTGCAAAGATTCATGATGTCATTATGAGCCTACCGGATAAGTACGAAACCAAGGTTGGCGAACGCGGTCTTATGCTTTCAGGTATATAAATTTAATAATTACTACTAACTAACGTGGATTCAGAGTTACAGGAAGGAGAGCGGAAAAGAGAGTCAAGCCTAACTATTTTGCTTCTATGATTCTGGTTTGAAATAGGTGGCGAAAAGCAGCGCGTATCGCTGGCACGAACACTACTTAAGAACCCAAAGATATTGTTCTTGGATGAGGCAACATCTGCATTGGATACCCACACAGAACAGTCCCTGCTTGCCAATTTCAGAGACATATTGCGTGATACGAAAATGACGAGCTTCCACATTGCCCACCGGTTAAGAACTATCCGAGATGCTGGTGAGTATTATTATACCTTTTTTTCCAGCATAAAGGACTTATTCACACATTCTTTTTATGATGAACTTTAGATACAATTTTTGTGCTCCGGGAAGGAAAAATCGTCGAATCAGGCAATCATAGTGGATTACTTAAAGCAGAACATGGTGTATATAAGGAAATGTGGGATCGGCAAGAAAAACTCAATTAGAAACTTTCAATATACAAAATTGCATTATCATTTATACAATAAAAAACATTACATACAGAAAGAATATATAAGAAAAGATGTTTGTTTATGAAAGTATATGTAGCAATGGTGTAAACAAATTTGCATTATCGAACTCTATTCTGTATCCTCAGTAACGACGTGTTACTTTTTATTGTTACTATATACCACCCCACATGACTGCAGGCATCGTTGCTATTGCCAGTTTCGCGGCAATCGAGCTTGATTCATTTTCGTCGTTTAGAGCATTTGCTTGTGGGATATATATATTACTTTCTAGCGCGTGATGCTGCTGCGCACAAATTTACATTGTATGGAATGAGGCTCTGCTCTGCTCTTATACGATCACTGTCATCCGCAGTATGTACACCGATTAGCATGGATACTAAAAAACCTATCTAAAAGAGAAGTATTATCTTCCTTCGTGGTACATATACAGTATATTGTAAAAGATTGAATTGCACAGAAATTAATTGATAATAAGCCGATTTACTAAGCGATGCTTAATGGTCCATCTGCAGTCCTAGTTAGTATTATTTCTCCCCTCTTTCTTGCTGGTTGGTGTCTTTTTTATATCTAATTCTTACGCAATCCTTGTTCAGGTTGTTTGATTTCGACTGCTACGGTTACATAATAAAATATGAATATTAGATTAATTACTCTTTAGTGCATCTACATATCAAATGACATCGTCAGAGATTTGAGATACTTTTTGAAGCCTTCAGACCTAAATTTTGTGAGCCATACACAGCATATCTGTATTATGGAGGGCTCATTATAATGATGTAAGTAGCCAGGATGAAGCAGGCTTGTACAGTGTCTCATATTGTACAGGTATACGTGGACTAGTAACTACATGCCTTTGATGATGCACCGGCAGCAAAAACCACGACAATAATACAAGGGTTGTGGCAGCGATCATACGATGCTAATTTCTGTTACTGCCTATGCAGCCACAATGAGTGTTCTGTTGTTGCATCAAGAAGTGTACATATGCGTTCTTGTAAATGGTTTTACATATTTATAACTCAATCTTCGATATGCTTGCTTTTTATAATTACATCAGCTTAAACCTCGGGTTCATTATTAGATTATAAGCGTCCCAGGCTGCAGCAAGAAAGACTGTAAGGCATCCGAGACCAATTGCTGTACTGTATTTAAGGAAGTACTATACTGGCCAGTATACCACTATGCGCTTTCTGGGAAAAGATGGCTACTGCCTCGACTAAACATGAGCTTATTGTTGCTGTGACTTGATTCATTACAAACATTGACCCCTATAATTATTGATCGCAAAAAGAAAGGTCAGAAAATGTTATATCATAGGAATCAATAGAGCGTACCAGCCATATCACTAATTTATAAAGCTTTAAAAGATGTGATACAGTACCTAATCCAATAATTCCAGCCCAATATGCCATATCACTGTAGACACATTGGCCAAAGAGTAGCAATCCAAAAGGAAGGAGGCGCTTTTGTCACCTTTTCATTTTGTAAATATTCACACTTCGTCCCATCGGGTCCTTGTTTCTCAATGCATAGACTTCAATCTCCTCGGAGCTGAAAGTAGCGGGGCGAGGTCTACTTGTGGCTCCAAAATAGTTAGCCTGTCGACGGGACATACTCGGTTTATGCTTAAATAGCTTCCTTCTTTGCGCATTGAGTATCGGCAACTGTGTACATGTAATACATCACACTAACTATACTCTTACAGCCACGTTATCGTTGATGTACATTGTATGTTAGCCTTGGCTCAACAATAACAAAAGCTTACAAATTTCCTCCTACGTAGCTCATACATTTTTTTTTTAAAATCGTACTTTATTGAAAACTTGTTTCTTTTCAAATCCTCAGTAACCAGCGACCAGCACTTTCCTTTCTTAGAAACTTTTTCGTCGTAAGCACGTCGATAAAAAGTTTGATACGGTCTATTGTGAAGGACTGATCATTCTCCAGCAACTCAAGCACTTGATCCGCTGACATGGATCGGCCCGGCCGGTCCGCAAAGAGGGTATATATCCGCGTCAGTTGCGTTGATGCTGGAGGTTCGCGATAAGAGCTTGCAAAGTAATGAAGACTGAACTCCCTTGGAAGCTGGCTTGCTGATGACGATACTGAGATACCACCCACACTCCCTGCTGGCGTGCCTGTTTCGCTTTGTCGTTCATCTGTCTGTGCTACAAGATCCGTTGGCGGGATTTGTGTAAATTCATAGGGACCACTCATGACTTCATCATGACTGTCGTTTTCGTCATTAACGTTGACTCCTTGTGCATTATGTTGGTCACGAGTATCAGGAGCGACAGAAGGAGAAGGTAGTAGCGATGTACAGTCCATATCATCGCGGATGCGTTTGGCTGATGGTCGAAGATCTTGATCCATGTTGATAGAAGGTGATCCAATATCAGATATCGCGAACGCAAAGTCTTGTTCCTGTGTGTCTTGATGTCGCTGTCGGCCAGGGGACTTTGGAGCAGGCCGATTTCCAAAAACCGGCAATTCAATATCCAAATCCATGTGCTGGTATCGTTCCTGTCGTACTCGCATAAACTCCTCAAAATGACCACGATCGCTTTCATTGTTTTGATCCACCCAACTAGCCGGTGTCTCATTGCCATGTCCATCCTTTCGCTGTGGCTGGTGCTGTTGCTGCTGCTGTTCTCGACTGGATGATTCAGGGTCTTCCGAACTACCGCTAGATGGGCTCATAGCGCCAATCCGTCTGAGCTTGTTATTGACCATCATCCGTGCTGCTTCTCGAGCAGGTGTTTGCAGCAATTCGTTAGGTGATAAACGAAACGGAATCGTTTTAGGTGGTGATGTACGACGGCGGAACGACGATGTCGATGATGCATCGCTGGTTGTGTTGGATAAATTGCTTGAAGCAAGTGCGCTTGCTTGTGGTCGTGCCAAAGTCGTCGACGATGCAGTTGTGCGTGAGCCGTGTGGATATGCGAGCGCTGGTCGACGCAGGATTCTGCTCAAGTCTTGAGACGTTGGCGAAAATCTGTCTCTGAAACGATCCCAAGGCGAACGATCTGCTGAATCTTGTTGTGGTATATTCGGATCTAGTGGTGGTCGATTCGTTTGCTGAAGGCGAGTGTTATTTTCAACGTGTTGGAAGAAGTGCAGCCATGTCTATTTGCATCAGTTAGCGTTTAGTTACACTACACGTATACATGTACAATCACTGATTATTTATTTTCTATATTACTTGTAAACCATCCCAAACAATCTTGCTGTGTGCTGCATAGCGATCAACCTCAGGAATGATGCCCTGAGAAACGATCCGGACGCATCGAGCAAAATGTTCGTCAATTGTATGTAATGTAAAAGTAATTTCTTGTTGTAGCTTTACTAATTCAGCATTGGTTTCTTCATCAGTCTTAGCCATTGAGTGAGGTTACTATATGGAAAAAATCCACGCGGATTACTTTCGCGTTTTTCAGCACGAAAATTTAAGTTACACAGGTGATCAATTCGCTCCCAACACAAGAATTTTATTGTCAAGATATTATCATGGTAAAAGAGAATGTGGGCTAATGTAAAGATTTTCGGTGAGGCTTTCGCTTTGCAACCAAAATTGCCATTTTTTCGCCAAGTTCGTCAGTCAATATACCGTCCTCTACAGCGCCAGGTACTTGCACTTGCGCTATATACATGATTCATCACGTGCATTAGCGTCCTCTCTCTCATGAACAAAGCAAAGGATTTACATCATCTCAAATTGATAAAGATAAGAACAGAGGAAAAGGAAAATATAGTCACCAATAAATTTCTGAAGGATCGGTTCGAAGCCCTTGACAATAACAAGGGTATCAGCAATGGGGACGAGAGTATCAATGATATGTTCGACAAATTCAACACTGTAAGGCGCCTGCGCCAGTTCCAGCACTTTGGTCACAAAGTGTACAGTCAAACTGTAATCAATTTCTCGAGCCACGTTTCGGATAAACTTGAGCACTGGAAGTGTATAGTTCAGTTCCACGAGATGAACCAATCGTTCGATCCATTGCTTTTGCAATGCAGCCTAGTAAGATATATGATTGTAAGTCGATGGTAAGAAAAGCAGTAAAACAACAAAGAGCCTTTATTGTATTCAACAAAAACAGCACTTACCAGTGTTTCTGGAGCAAAGTTTTGATAAGGATGCAAGAAGCAGCGTTTGATCACTTCCAAGACGATAGGTTGTTGTAATGGATGGATGGAAGCTATTTCATCCAGTAATAGATGTGGTAACGGAACTTCGCTTGTCCGATAGTAGGTGTCGTAGTATTGTGTTCGGGTGGAAATATACTCAATCCATAAGAGTATACCCATTGATGCAGCCGGAACCCTATCAATCGATTATATAATGAGCCCGTTAAGTCGTGGCCTATTTCCAACCTTTCTCATTGTTGTACATAGTCTAAATTTACAAACTTACTGCATGCCCTCGACGATTTCAATCATTGCACCTGAAAAGTTTGCCCCTGTTTTCTTCTGTAAGCTCTTGTGGAGGTTTTTCAGAGCTCGACCAACGCGCCTCAAATTATCTTCTTGTTGCTATTGAAGACATGTGAGAGTTATTAGATACAGTTTCGATTGATTGTTTTATGTTTCTTTCAGTCGCCTCAATGAAGAGAAAAGATACTCACATCTCTGGGTTTTGAATCATTATACGCAGTAGCGTACGCCAATAGACTTATCAGCTTGTCAACAAGGTCTGGTTTCATGTTAGGTACGGCATCAGGTACGTAAAGTGCTTGTAGCATAAGCACTATATGATTCGGATAAGGATAAATATAGGAATGCCACATATGATAATACTTGACAGAATCGAAATCTTTTTTTTGTCTAATCATTACCAATAAAATCATAATCACGAATAAAGTATACGCTAGGCGCGTGTGCTGAGGTATATATGTTGTAAATCTATATTTCATACATCCTTGTAAGTAGGTTTGCTCCTTGTGAAGTGTGCTTTTCAAAAAAGATAGCTTACTGTCATTAAATCACCAGGTGTTGGCTGTCTAGATGCGCGAATGGCTTTAAGTGCGGTTGCTAGATTTTGTGGCATGTTGAGTGTGCATGATTTGATGATATAAACAAGTTCATGTCTTTCGAAAGAAAGTAAGTGATGTTGAGCAAACGATTTCTTTTAAACTCTCGGAAAGATGTACTGCAAATGAAGGTAAAAGAATAACTTACTGTCCACGGGCAATAGCAGCTTTTTCCAGCTCCTTTGCCAGACGAAGAAAAGAAATATCATTAAACTCTTCATACAGCCGCTGTATAAGCACTAGAGCATACAAGTAAGTATGTTGTTGATCGGAGCAAACGCGCTATCATGCATGAAAACCAACTTGTTAATTGACATATAACCAAAACAAAATAAAATCTCAAAGGTTGTACCGTTTGCTTACCAAAAGTGCCGGCAAATTCTCCTCAAATCCAATATCATCCTCTCCTCCAAGTTTGGCAAATGCGTCATTCAAGATATAATTGTAAACCTTGACATAACTTGAAGCTGTTCTTAACTGCGCAACTTCTTGTTGATAACCACCTTCTGCCATTCGCTAATAATATTTTCGGTACAATGATCAGTCTGTTGTTTCCCCACCCAATCCATCACGCACACTACGTCGACATCAAAGTTACCATGATTGCAAAATTCAAAAATTCGCAGCGAGGATATTTGTTAAGTAGCTCATAAATCATATGGCGCCATTCCGTATCGTGCACGAGCCCATCTAACCAATCCATTGATGCAGGAGACTTTTTTTTTTATACAAATAACAGTATACATACATTTTTTATATCAGCCGTTCCGTATTGCTCCAACAACAAGAAAAAGAGAAATGCAAACAAACCTGTGAATTCAGGAGGGCCCGATCGATCGCTTTTGGATCAAACTTATTCATGAGTTTGTTTTTCACAGTTTCGCGTAAAATCGCTTGACAATCAATGCCCATTACAGACGCAGCATCCGCAGCTACTTTAATCATGGAAGGATACCCAACGTAAGACTCTGACAACGCAGATACTGCGTCCATGGGTGCACCGCCATTGGCAATGAACGGTTCGAAAGCGGTCGTGTAAATGTCAGGTTGAAGGATAGCGTCTGTTGTTGATATTATTATTAACACAATACGATTTAGTTTCAAGTCTTTCTTAAAATCGATTGATCGATCGCGCCGTGTGTGGTTTTTTTTATGACTTTTTCCTTTGTCGTACCTTGCTGTGTTAGTTCAAGCCCGTAATTCTGTAAAACAGCGTAAACGTAAGTAAATTATTGATTCACGAGTGCAAAACGGCTTGCATAATGATGGAAATTCAGTGTTTCCTTACCATTTTATTTTGTGGAGGAGAATATATGAGAGCAAAAGAAGCTAAATGTCAAAATCCCGCTTTTCTGCTATCTTAACGTGTCTTTCTTTTCCGACAACAATATTGCATATTTTCCATGTATGCATGCCAACTCGTTTCCTACTGCATTTTCTGTATTTGTCAATGCACTATATAGTCCCTGGAAGACTTGTAATGGTAGGATATTTGAAGAAGAACATGTCCCTGCGAACCTTAGTTTTCTCGGTCGATAAAGATCATGCATGGAGCGCTTTTTGGACTATTTTGAACTACTTTAAATCTCTATGGGTTGCAAGTCATGCTAGATACATATTTTTTGAATAAGGTCGAGGAAAAAGAACTTGATGCTAATAAGGTTTGTCACTCTTTAAAAGTGCACTTGCCCGGTTTCCCGCGAACAATGAAGTGCGGGCCGATCGAGACAGGTCCGATCAAGCGCGCACTGTATATGTACAAGGTTTCAAGAGAACCCCACTCTTTAATACCGGATTTTCTTTTTTCGCATACAGCTTCCAACAAACCGAACGCAATGGTGCTTCGACGTTGTATTCGAGCTTTTTCCTCTGCTGCTGCTACTAGACCATTCCGCCTCGCAGTCGTTGGCAGCGGGCCTGCCGGATTCTATACCACGCATCGTTTGCTCAAAGAAGTCGACCATGTCAAAATTGATGTATACGACAGTCTTCCTGTCCCTCATGGCCTTGTCCGATTCGGTGTTGCTCCCGATCATCCCGAAGTCAAGGTATATATTAATACTCACATACTTTTTCGTTTTTTAAACAAATACACATACATATAGCTCTATAGATTTAAAAAAAGCAATGATATAATAGAACGTAATGACAACGTTTGACAGGGTTGCTGAAGACGATCGCTTCCGATTCCTCGGCAATGTCAATATCGGCCCGTCGTCTGAAAGTGCTGAAAAGGGAACAGTTTCAGTGCAAGAGCTCAAGCAACACTATGATGCTATTGTCTTTTCATACGGCGCAAGCGAGGACAGACACTTGGGTGTTCCTAACGAAGAGGTATACGGTGTCGAATCTGCCCGCGCGTTTGTGGCGTGGTACAATGGATTGCCTCAATTTGACAATCTAAAGCTGCCACTGGACGAAACAGACACGGCTGTCGTCATTGGCCAGGGTAATGTTGCATTAGATGTTGCCCGTGTCCTTTTGAGTCCAATTGATACGCTGCGCAAGACAGATATTACCGAATATGCATTGGAAACTTTGTCCAAGAGCAAGATTCGACATGTTCATGTTGTGGGTCGACGAGGTCCTTTACAGGCAAGTCTTCTTTTTCTATTCTTTTTTTTTTGTTTTGTTCCGTTGCATATGCATATAACTAACCTTTGCTTATATAGGCTGCATTCACATCCAAGGAGTTGCGTGAACAAATGAACTTGCCGAACGTTGCATTCAAGGCCGACAAGGAGTGGATCAAATCTGAAATTGAAGCTGCACAACCTCTATTGAGTAAAAACCGACCCTTGAAGCGCATGATGGGGATTTTGGAAAAGGGATCGACTGTTTCAACGACATCAGCAGACCGTTCGTGGAGCCTGGAGTTTTTGAGAAGCCCAGTCGAAATTTTGACAGATACGAACCGAACTCGGGTCCAAGGTATTCGCTATGAATTGAATCAATTGACGGGTGGACCCTTGGGTGCAGCCAAGGCAATCGGTACCGGCCAGTTTGAGGATCGCGCATGTGGATTGGTTTTGAGAAGTATCGGGTACAAGAGTTTGCCCCTGGATGGTGTCCCCTTTGATAGTCGTCAGGGCCTTGTGCCAAACCGTTATGGCAAGATCCTGGATTCGGAAGGCCAAGAGGTAAAAAGATTAAGCTCACTAAAAAGATAGGAGCTGGCATTGTTTTCGAAAATTATGCTAATTTAATTTTTTACAAAGGTACCGGGTATGTATACCGCTGGTTGGTTGAAACGTGGCCCGACAGGTGTGATTGTGTCGACCATGACAGATGCATACGAGACGGCAGATACCATTGTTGAGGATATCAAGGAAGCGCGACCTATGCTTAATGACGATTTGGATAAGGACGGTGCGGATGGTTTAAAAGGGATATTTAAATCGCGAGGCATTCGACCTGTCAGTTATGTCGACTGGAAACGGATAGAAGCAGCTGAATTTGCTGCAGGCGAAAAGCTTGGAAAGCCGAGAGAAAAGTTCACAAAGGTAGAGGACATGCTGGCTGTGCTACAATAACTCACTACCTCTAAAAAACGCTCTTGATGAGCCTTTTCCGCATTCACATGTACAAATTCATAGGTAGACGTTATAGAGTATATATGTTACATACAAAAGCAAAGAGCCAAAATTGGATTTTTTTAATATCTTTTATACATCATACACACTACACAGAAAAGGAAAAGTTGTTTATTTTAAATGAACTTTCAAAGGATAAATGGTACTGTTCCGAATGCTTGACCTTGATGTCGCACTTGGCCTAACACTTCTTGGACCTTTTCGTTATACCAATCACGTTCAGATACAGCCATTTTCCATTTGCTTTGAAGCGAATTGTGTCCAAACTTCTTGCGACATAACCAAAGGATCGGCCAAGTGAGGATCCAAAGACATGTGAGGATAAAGAACCACCGAACCATCCAATTATCCGCCAACCGGGACACCCTGGAGTTTGTCTTGACAACGATCTTGTGCTCCTTCATCTCAAATGATATCTCAACCGAATGATAATATCCATAATTTCTGATTGCAGCAGTAAAAGCTAAAAAGAATGGGTGAGTCTCTCTCTCTCTCTTTTTAATATCATTTCAAAGGCACACTTACCCCGTGTTAACTGAGCATAATCCCAGTCCACGACCTTAGTAAGTCGTAACTCTTTAAGCTGGTTCCTTTCATGAACATAATCATCACATAGCTCGCGAACCGATTTGGTAAATCCAGTCTTGCGATCCGGTAGGACATACATTCCTTCACAGTTGGGTGACACATAGTTGCTGCAATCAATCTCAAAACAAAAATCGTCAATACGCCGAGTCACTGGTTCGCGTTCTTCCACGAGGTTGCCATCTTGGTCCCGTGTGCTACGCGTTCGCCAATGTGTCTCTTCGTGATAACCTGTTATGCCATCCCTGTTAGCGGAGACAATCATGCATAGTCCATCATCACTCGATTCATACCATAAAAACGCACAGCCATGAGAGGAGCAGTGTTTCTTTGTTTCAAAAACTGAAGCAAAGCTTCGCCGTCATGGTTTAAATGTGTATCACGCGATTGAATTGTACCGTCTTTAAGGGTTTCATAAGGTGCTCGATAGACCGAATAACCGGGTGGGGCTGGACGTCCTCTAAACAGATCTTCTTGTTGCTGTGGTTGTGGTTGTTGAGTAAGGAGCGGTTCGTGATCGTCTTCGTCAGCATCGGGTATATTGGCAGGATTGTAAGCGGGAATCGTATTGGTATAAGAATCGTCTCGAACATAGGAGTTGTTTTCAGGAGTGTTGTTGGTAGGCTTATTTAGGACTTGGCCAGTGTGATCTGATTGTTGAATAGCGTCATCGTAAGACGGAGGTGCATTAGACGATGATCCATTTATATCATCGGCGGACGGGGCACTCGGTGTAGCAGCAGTAGAGGAAGACGAAGACGAAGGTGGTGGTATGGTAGAAGGACTTGTGTATGTGTAATAATAGTTGGCGTGATTGTCTTTGCCCATTGAACGTTGAGGCGAGTGGTTGGGAATGAGTGATAGTAAAAGATAAAGTGGGTTGTCGATACAAAGCTTGGCGCCAATACCGTTGGATGGGGCCAAGAAAATTAAAAAGGTTGTCGGTCCCGCACGCACAGGGCTTTTATTCCTCTGGCATTCCCTGGGCTCCTCCTCCTTTCTTCCTACCCGTCAAAAAAAAAGCCAAGTGATCTAGGACACCCCGCTTGAAACGTGAACTCGTATCATTGGTCTCGAGTATCAATTGAGATTTTGTTTCACTTTGTTAAAGAAGCTATTGTTTGAAATAATTGGCAGCGTTCCTTGATTGTTACACAAGAGTGCAAACACTTCTTGTTGTTCCAGCAATAACTTGCGATATTTCCCTTTTTGCATAACAACTGGCGACAGTATTACATATAACGGCATTAAAACGCTACACTGCTCAGAAGAGCAATGCATTCTGCTCATAGTTAAACATTGCCAGTTATGTTTGATCCCGAGCTGAACCAACGTTAAAGGTGCTGCTTTTTGACGTTGCTCACTCATTAATCAACCGTATGTACTACCTGCACACTGCTGTAAGGAAACCATTAACTATATGAAAATATACGTATCTAATGCCGAAAGCTAGCAAGTGCTTGTATATATAAAAGAAAATGGTAGAATAGACCAAAGAGTTTGATTTTGCCAAGGCGTGTGGCACCGACCCAATTAAATGGATAAAAGGAGAGGGCATCAAATTCAGTAAAACGAGCACAGACACACAGTTGTTTGTTCTTTTTTCCTTTCTTATAGTTCCACCCTCCTTAACGTATGTCGTTTTGGACACCTGGCAACGATCTGGATTCCAAGAGTTCATTACCTCGGTCAAACGAGACTCCTCTTGCTGATCGAAGCTACTTGCCCGATGTCGAGGAATCTTTTGATCACCAAGCGTTGCTTCTTGGCACTGCCGACGAAGGCATCGAAGCCGACGACGACAACGGCATTCTAGACGAGGATGATTTTCTACTATCAGATAGAGGACCTAGATACCAGCGTGGGCTGTTGTCTCCCAGTGCACCACCAGCAGCAATTCACACTACTATTACTTCTTCTACCACTACCACCACACAACCCCAATCCTCCTCCATACCACCACCACCACCACCACAGTACCAGGCACCTTTTGAAACGTATGCACAAGACGACAGAATACTATCTCGGGATTGTAAAGTGAATGCGTTCACCCAAGAGTTATACGCCTTCTTACAACAGCGTAATACCGCTCCACCAAAAGTTCTAGTACGCATCAAGGGTTAGTGGCTCACTGTGTCTCTCTATTGAACGTCTGCAACGTTAGCAGTAACGTATTCAGAATGGTACTGTTTTTGTTCTTGCGTGCTGAACTGTATATGTACTCGTATTCGCTGCTACTTATTCAGGAATAAGCAACGCGTACGAGCAATATCGGCGCACATATGATTCAAGTGGCCGGCAGTTGACTGTAGAGCCTGTGAATACAAAACCAGGCTCGAGACTTATGCATGTGGACTTTGACTACCGCATTGATTGCAGGAATTGGGTGTCCCCTGTATCGGATGGGTTCCTTGTATTGCCAGACCGGAAAACCGGCAGAGTCAAGACTGTCCCAGAGCTATGTGAAGAATATGTACGAGACACCCATCGCTTGAAAGAACTGCAGCTTACAAAAGTCCTTGAGTGGGACGAAGACCTGCTGATTCGATGTAAGAAACTGACTCGTTGTCTGAATATGACAATGTGACATTGGATTATGTGTTTCGTAGTATGCGTTTTAACAACAACAACAACATCTCGTAACATGGTATGTAGTACTGACAGCTGGTATACGAGCTCACGGTTACTCGAACGATCTGCAAATCACCGTTGAAAAAAGAGAAGCCAAAGTGACGGTCAAGCCCGGATCATGGATTGCTCGAGTCGTTGACAACGTTTTCGTCCATTGGTTCTGCTATATCACATTTCTGTTTATACTCACTTGGCCTTTGCTACTTGTGTGGAGGAAAAGGATTGGACACAAGACCCTGCAGAGCAAGTGGAAAATGACAGTTACGGAAAAACAGTGGTGTGCGCAACACATGCCAGAAATATTGGGACAGATTCCGCCAGCACAATGCAACCCAATAACAATTACCGTGCATCAATAAACAATACAATTACAATTGATATGCACCGAAGAGAGATAGAGATTAAGATATTTATACGTTTATATAAGAAACTCAGAATAGTAACCAATTTCTGTGGGTGTTAGCTATTATGACGAATACAGGGAGAATAGAGAGAGAGAGAGAGAGGGTGTGCAGAATCCAGATGCAAGCGAAGAGGAAGAGAAATATAAGTGTTTTGTACGGGGTAGATAGAGAAGAGGGGGTGGTGGAGGAAAGAAGAGGGAGATAAAGATCCTGTGACGAGAATCGAATGTACAACAATAAAAATATATAAAATATATATATATACGAGAGACCTGACCTAATTGGAAAGCATGGGTCTACTAGTTTCTTTTACGATCGCAAATGCGGCTTGCCATCGGCGGTATCGGGCTTGTAGTAGTCACTGCCACCACCATGCATAGGCGCACCACCAGCAGCAGCGGCGGCAGCGGCAGCATTTGGATCGTACATGGGCTGACTCGACACTGCAGTGCTGCTATCGTAATAGTAGCCCTGATCATCATAATAACCTCCACCCTGATCTGGATAGTAGTAGCCTTGCTGATGTTGCTGATGTTGCTGTGGGGGCGACATGGCGCCAGCGCCGTATTCTTGAGGATGGCCCATATTCAATTGAGGCTCGTAATAGTGACGGCCAGAATCGTTGTAGAAATTGCCCTGATCGTTCAACCGCGGCAACGTAGGCGACTGTGCGTTCTTGGCAGCGGCGGCAGCGGCAGCACCACCTGCAGCGATATTGGCATTTGCCATAGGCGGCGATCGATGATGAGGGAAGTCCGTTTCAGCCAAGCCAAAGTCCTCAAAGTCCGTGGTGCGCTTTTGCTTGTTGCGGGCGGTGCATCCGCCACGACGGTTCAACCATGCCAACAAACCACCAATCAAAGCAAGACCGACTACACAATGAATCCAATTGATTAGTTTTTTCGTGTGTTTTCGGGCATTCTTCTGGAAAACTGATTGCATTTTTACAGGTACGGTTTCAGAACCCTTCCAAAAATAAAAAAAAACTTACCAACACCTAAATTGTTTGGTTCATGTCGATATGATACGAATAGTGGGATTTTGTAAAAAGAAAAGAACGGGTCAGTTGGTAAAAGATTATTTTCGCAAAGGGAGAGGGACAGGGACAGAAAAGAAACCAGTTCTCCTCAATTCTAACCTCCAACAACGCCTCCTGCAATTGCGCCAACATTGGTATCGTCGTCGCCGCCATCAGAAGAATCACTGCTAGAAGTAGGCGATTCCGAGCGTGTGGTGCTTTGATTATCATCAGAAGTGTTCGAGGCTGTTTGTTCAGCGTCTGAAGAAGACTCGCTGGAGGAAGCGTTGTCTGTAGGTTGAGCGTCCGAAGATGAAGGCTGGGCAGCAGAGGACGTGGGTGCAGGATCGTCGCTCGACGCAGGAGGATTCGAAGATGCAGGCGGGTCCGAAGATGCAGGTGGGTTGTCGCTCGACGCAGGTGGATTCGATGGTGCTGGTGCTTCACTCGTAGCAGCTGGAGGGTCAGACGAGGCGGCTGGAGGAGAACCCGTGGTGGCAGGAGTCGAAGGCTCTGGGTCAGGTGCTCCTCCAGAGGACTCCTGGGACTCGACAATGAGTGTTGTCTGCAATAATACGAGCAGTGCTAATAGTAAAAGTGTGCCTGGAATCCGCATTCTTTCTGTTTGCTCTTTTTTTTTAAGAATATAAAGAAGGGACTGGCGGTTGGTAAAGAAGGAGGGGACAACAAAAAAAAATAAAAATAAAGAAAGAGCGAAAGAAGAGGAGAAAAGGGAAAAGGGGAGGGACCCAGTGAAGAATAGGCTGTTGCGGGAACGAAAATTTTATTTTAGGAACCCGGACGTTCAAGTAGTGCTTTTTTCTATTTTTGATCTTTTACGTTCTCGACGCTCAAGCTCTTTGTCGCGATCATTCTTGCGAGGCACAAACGCTGATCCGGCCGTCTCTATCGCTCGGATGGCGGCTGCCATGCGATCAGCAGACGACGCTAACGATGGATCCAGTCGTTTCCTTCCCACCACGGCAATGTTCTTTGTGCTCGGGATACGAAGATGATCTTGTTCCACCTGGAAGCCACATTGTGTGGCAATGTCTTTAACGTAACGTGTGTATGCCTTGTATTTTCCGCCCCCGCTGCCACCACCGGTCATCTTCTTCTTCTTCTTCTCCTCCTCCTCTTCCTTGTCCCTACTGCTGTCACTATCGTTGGCACTTGTATTGAGCACGAGCCGTTTAGTACCGTCTAGGCCATAAAAGCAGCACGGGATCACCATGAATCTAAGTATAGACATTGGAAGAGGGAACAGACAATGCAAAGCATGATGAGCTTTGTTTTTTTTTTGGGGTGGATGATGCCGAAAATGCCTCTGTCTTTTTTTTTTTTTTTTTCTGGCTCCTTACTTGCATTGTGCCCCTGATTTTGCGGCCATCAAAGGAATCCTGTAATGGATAATAATAACAGCATATAGCAATAATCAATATAAACAGTCAAAAGAGCGATAGTTATCCGGGTAACCCGACGCGCGCACACATAATATAAGGTCCATGGCCCTAGCAGGTTAGCTTTCTGCTAACTTTGTTTTTTTTTTCTCCGGTATATGTGCATCACGAACAAAAAAAAAAAAAGGTTCTTGTTATTACCATGGCACAAGCTCATCTGCGTGGTTCCCAATTAGCCAATCTGTACCCGGATAAACTGCCTGTGCTGGATAAAGTGCCTCCACTGTTTTGTTTCTTTATAATTAGTACCATGTCTTGCCATATATATCTCACACATTATGCCACTGCAGATATGAATACCTCGTAACTGATCATGCTTGCCATTGCGTAATTTCGCCCATATCTTTCTTTCTGCGACGTCAATCCCATATCCCTGGTATCCTTCACTCGTCAAAAGATAAGTCAACAGACCATTTCCGCACCCCAAATCAACAAAAGTAGGCTTCCTAGAGTACGTAGAACGGGTTGATTTTGCAAACACGTTGTCATACGACAGAAGGAGGAAACCTGTTATTTTAGCTCGCCACTAGGGTATGACTACGACTCGGTCTAAAGTCTAAAGTATTGCTACTATAGGCACACACACACACACACACACATACCGTTCTTCTTGTTGCCACAAACAAATGAGATAGCTGGCAATTGCAATATCTTCAAATACAAACTTTTGTGGATCCGTCTTTTCGGTCCAGTTGCTATCAAGTGGTTATTGAATAATAACTTGAGTGGTCCGGGTAATTAAAGTGGATGAGAAACCAGTTCTTCGTAAACTTACCTAACCAAGTCACTGGCATATTTTGCTTTGAGGTGCTGGTACATGTTCACATACGTCTCTTTTGGGACTAGCGTATCGTGTTGTGCTCTTTTTTGGTACCCAAGGCGGGTTTGGATGCACCATTTGAAAAGTTTGTGTAAGATCGTTCTGAGCGCATATTGCTATGATGGCCTATGTGAATAAAGGCTGAATCCTTTTCGTTTCTGCTTCTTCTTTTTTTTTGTTTTTGGTACCATTTTAACATCTGTAATAGCTGGTTGATGATCGTCGATGGGAAGAATCTGTAAACGCAATGTTCCTTGAATTTCTATGTTACGGTCATGATCACCGTCGTCGTCGTCGTTGTCTTGGCTGAGTTCCCCATTTTAAAGTTATATACTCAGTGAGTATATATCAGGGATGTGATTACACAAGTCTCACGCGGCCGTGTAACAATTAAATTTATACCTTCTTGGCAGACAAGTGGCGTCGTACACGAAACTATATGCTTTCACCTTTTCGGTAGATTGTCGTACAAGTTAACAAGAAGCACAGAGTATCACATACCACCCCCCCCCAATGCAAACGGGCAAAGAGGGCCCCCCCCATCGTACGATGTTGGTGAGCATTAGCTCATGTTTCCTTTAGCGCGTAAATTACTCCCGTTTGTATTTTTTGAGTTACCTTTGGATAATAGAACGGCAGTGTCGTTTCTACTGTCTTTTCAGGTGGCACAACTGGTCTATAGATGACACGTCCGCGACCTTTTGATAATGATAACACAATAGATTATATATTAACATGCATAACAACTCTCTTTTTTTTTTTGTGCTGACATTACTTTTATCACCGTTATAGCCATGATATTCAACATCTTCGGCCAGAGGTGCGTCTTTGGCTTTTCGTTTGGGTATCAACTTGCGTCGTATTATTTGATCGTTGTCGTTTGATGCAGTGGCAGTCATGGATAGAATTTCGGCCTTCTCCACAGGGGGGATCAGCAAGTGCGGCTCGTTTGTCCACGTTTTCTTTTTTTTTTTTAGAGTTTGACATACATACAGATATGTGGGCTCGTTATATACACGTATACGGGTTATGTATGTAACTCATACACCACAGCACATAAGAAGTAAGAGGAGGAAAAGGCTTACAATTGTCTTCCAAAACGGTAGTATGGAGGTGGGTACTGACTGTTCCGCCACGGTGTACCACATTTCTTCAACGTCTGCTACTGTTCGGAATGCGGGATCGCCGTTGGATTGCTTAGGTGCATCAAAGTATAGATCTGGTGCGAATTGCATAAACAGCGCATGAGGATCTACTATATCTGTAGAAAAAAAAAATCAAGCACACACGCACCACGATTACTTGTTTACATTTAAATCTTGTGCGAGATTGCGTCGTTTGTGTGTTTTGCCACTGCTGCAATTGTTTACCAGTGTCTGCGTCAGTCATTGTTTCGTTGTCACCGTGTGCGTGAATAGGTTAGAAAACAAAATAAAATTGAGGAGCTGCCTGTTGTCAAAAAGAAGTCCCCCTTTCTCAGCTCATTTGCGATACTACTAAACGGATCTTCCTGTCATGTTTGTATGTACCCAAGAACCGAATTAGTTGTTGCCGCTTACATATACCTCCTCCTCTTTGATCTTATTATCATATGCATTTCCACACAGAGTCCCAGTTAACGTCTAGCAGTAACAGTATACATATAAAACCAACCATCAAGAACAAGACTGTTGCATGATTCAACCACCATGGTCAACGTAAAAGAAGAAGGAAGAAACAGGTTGATGTTGTACTCTTTGTTCCAAGATACTTGTATTACAGTTCATTGGAATTTGGCTCCTGAAACTGGTATGTGTATTGACAACTGCTTAAACCATAAATTTGGGTTTCCCACGTCGACGGAAGGTGGTGGTGGTGGTGGCCCCAGGACACCCACATCACCGAATGCGCGCCATCAGCCTTGTCTTTTTTCCCTTCCTCTCTCTCTCTCTCTCTCTCTCTCTCGCGGAATGAATCAATGGTGGAACAATTAGTACAGCGGGGTTCTCCAGAATCAACATATGAATAAGAGCATACTAGACTAAAGAACGGTGATAGTGTAACTATATGCCATATGTCTTCAATTGCTTTGTTTGCACTACGACTGCTGCCAGTTACCATGAGTAGCACAGAAACACAAACAGTAAAGATATATGCATATGCTGTTTTTTTTTAATGCAAAGCGATATGGATGCAGAAACCAGCATTCAACAAGCAGCACATTGAAAGATAAACATAACTTTAAAAGTAGGTGAAAAAAAAATAACCCTGCAGATCCATGCGATGCAGGGGGAAAAGTAAAAGGAGGGGAAGAAGGACATGATATAATCCTTTTCCATGTGTATTCTCCGGCTCTCACTGATGTGTAGTAAGTTATTTACTACATATAAGCCATTCTGATGCGATCTGATGTGATATACACAAAATTTGCATTTGAGAAACAGAACTTGGAGATCGAGAGATCGTATATTGTTGCTAGGGGATCTATTATACGCTCGCGACTACATACTAATCGTCATGATAATCAACTTATAAGCAGATTGCTTATCATTAAAACAGTATTATCACTACGTGATTATAAACGAATATCCACAACAACAGACCACAAATGCTGCCATGGCAACAGAGACAGAAAAATTGCTCTTGTCATGACAACAATATTATTTCCGTTCAACGTAGGCTCTGTCTATCGAAGGGTTTAGATATCCTGAAATGAAAGTGGGGCGTTTACTCTATGTAATTACTAAATCAGTATACTTAGCCCTGTGTTTGTTGGGCTTATTTTCCAGGTATACCTAGCTGAAAAGCAAGTAATTAATGTGCTGTTAAACTACTATAAGCTATCCTATATTAACCCCCGATCATAATGCATCAACCACACACGACCAAATTTAAGGAGATCGGCGCGGAGGAGGGTGGGAGGAGGGAGGAGGAAATTGATGAAGGGGAGAGAGAGAGAGAGAGAAGAAAAAGAGTAAAATGAGCACGGACAAAACCACCAGGGAACCGACTTTTTACGGTATCCTTAACTCTCATTTTATCTTTTTGCACCCTATCGGCTTTAAGATATACGGAGCTAAAGAAGAAAAAGGCTGTTGGGCGATGATCGTACATAACGAATCATATACTTATCACCTACTATATATATATATATATATCAAATTTATAAAGTAATTCTTCTTAGGTAACGTCATAATGATGATGATGATGACGATGATGACGATGGAAAAAGGAGTTTTCACTACTTTATCGAATATCGAGTACACACATTTACGTATTCCTAAAGTGTGTCTGTAGACACACTGGTTTATTTCGAGACAAGCAATCGATCTCTATCTCTATTTTCTCTTGCCCTACAACAAGCAGCATATATGCACAAAGCAACTATAAGAGATGAGGCAAAATGCGAGGTTGATCACCCCGTCTGGAGATGTATGATACTCATGGCTAATAAATTCCAGCTCAACTTAATCTGGCTGTCTCCAATTTGAGGTAGTTTACTGTGTGCGACATAGAGACACAAAGAAAACGACGGTGCATGTTTTTGCTCTTTACAGTAATAACGGGGTGTAGCATTATACACGCTCGCCTATAACAGATAGAAAGAGTGTGTATGTTTGGAAATACGCGCGCCCAATCGATCATGAACCGCACGTTTGGGAGAGAGTGGGCAAAATGGGAAAAAGAGAATGGTGACACATGGAATACTAGTAACAAACGCACGGTTCTCCAAAGGTGAAATGATGAAACAGTTAGAAGGCATTCATCAGAGATTCGTTTCTCTTTTTTATCTTTTTACATTGTTGATCTTCTGTTTGTTTTTTGAAATCCCTGAAGCTTCAAAGAGAAGTCAAAACACGGAGAGAAGTGAGGGCGTACTAACGATGATGATGTGTTTTATTTTTACTTTTTTTTTTCCTGAGACAGGCATGCACTCACAAAAAAAAACATGTGTAGTTCGAGATTAGTACAGGAAGCAGCTGAACTTGCCTGTGTGCTTAACAATTGCAAAATGACTGAGTGGAAGGGGAAACACACACACACACACACACGACACAGAGGAGAGAGGTATTTTTTTTTCTTCTTATTCCTACTTTCCTTCCTTCTCACTTTCCTTTTCTTTCTCTCTCTCTTTCTCTCTCTCTCTCTCTCTCTCTCTCTTCCCTCGCCCGCCAGAACACCTTCTCCCGTTCCACCTCAAACTTTTAGCTCAATTTCCGACATTATGACTTTAGAAAATCAAGATCCTGCTAGTCAACTATGTGACATTCTCATGACTGAAGCTGCATTGACGACAACAACAACAACCACAACAGCCAACGTCCGAACTTGTCATTCGGGCGCTATATTGACCAGCCGGTCTGTCACTTCGAGATCTCCAACCGGAAAGTGCAAAAAACGCCAGATCGTACCTAAACGACGATTGACAATGCCTCTCTCTTTGCATCAACCATTCGTGCCATACCCATCGGTAGTGTTACCGCTACCAGTTGCAGCATTGACCACCACTACTAACAGTATGGTTATGCATATCGATCGCGGCGACGAAAAGAAAATAGGTACACACACACACACACACACTTTCTCTCTCTCTCTCTTTCTCTGTATGGCACTATACAAAGACAAATCACATCAAATACAGGAGTAAAGCAGCGAGGAAGAAAGGGTCTTTTCAAAATGAGGGGAATACATAACGCATACAGCATATGCGTGTAAAGACATTTCCATGTCACAGCTACTATTACTACTACGTTCTCCTCCAAAAGAACCAACTCAACAATCACACACTAATATCATCAACACCTTCTAAAAGATTTTCTCTCCTGCTTGCCATGCGAATTGGTGCTTCAAATAATTACATTGATCGATGTCACCAGTTTGGTAACCATGTCGGGCGTGTGTCGAACGTGGTACACGCTCTGCCGAAATAACGACATTTGGCGTTGGCGATTGTCGGAGATGCATTGGCTGCCACGAGAAATACCTGCTGCTATTCGACAACAGCACAAGGAGGACGGTGATGAACAAGTAAAAGAGCCCGAAGAACAAGAGCCAAATTGGCATTATTGGTTCAAGCAACGATATCAGCTCGAACGTCGATGGATGCTCGGCCAAGTATCAACGCAGTATCTTCTCGGTCATCACGACAGCGTTTACTGCTTGCAGTTTGATGAGCATCGAATCATCACCGGTGGCAGGGACTGTACCATCAAATTCTGGGACATGAACACGCATGAATGCATCCGCACACTCAGGGCTCATGAAGGCAGTGTTTTGTCGTTGCAGTACAATGACTCGTTGATGGTGACGGGTTCGTCCGACAAGACGGTGGTCGTCTGGAGTATGAAGACGTTCGAGCCGATCCGTCGTCTTACGGTAATGATTTCTGTAAATTAATTAAAATCAACAGCCACACTAGTTGTCGTTGTTGTAATTTCGAGTTCATTGGCCAAATCATTAATCTAGTATCTCTTATTAACGGTATATGGCTTGCATTTGTAATGTAGGGCCATGAAGGAGGTGTGCTGGATGTTTCATTCGACGATCGATTTATCATCTCATGCTCCAAAGACAAATCTATCCGAATATGGAATACAGCGACAGGTGATCTTGTACGGACGATTCATGCGCATCGCGGTCCAGTGAATGCTGTCCAATTAAGGGGGAACAACATCGTATCAGCCTCAGGGGATTCGCTGATCAAAATGTGGGACGTACAGACAGGCGAGTGTGTCCGTGAGTTCGCTGGTCATGGGCGCGGGCTGGCCTGCGTTCAATTCGATGGAAAGCGGATTGTGAGCGGATCAAATGATAAAACAATCAAGGTTTGGGATGCCGAGGTAAGGAAGCCAGTCTCCCATCCCCATCCCCCTTACTTTTTTTTTTTTGGCGCGCCCTTTTTTTCAGTACCAACCCCCTTTACCCAGTCATCGCCATTCCAGCCCTTCTAATACATATACAAATATTCCTCCTTAGACGGGTGAATGTCTCATGAGTTGCGAAGGTAAAAATCATCCATCGACAAGTAATCCACTAATTTATCATACAACAACAAGGAAGGCTCATCCTATATTGTCCACAACCTAGGCCATCAAGATCTCGTGCGAACTGTACATTTTGATAATGACAGAATTGTCAGTGCAAGTTATGACCATAGTATACGCGTCTGGGACATAAAGTGCGTTTATATATCTATGTATAGCAAAACAACCACAAAACTTACGCTTTTTATTGAGTGTAGGACGGGTACATGTCTTCTCAACTTTGAGAACGCACATACGAGTTGGGTCTTTGACGTACGATTTAATAAGAATAGAATTGTCAGGTAAGTAGATATAGTTGCCGCGATCTATGCCGAGATATGTTCCTCACGTACCTCTCGCTACTTTTATTGGGTCTAGTGCAAGCCAGGATCATCGATTGATGGTTTTGGACTTTTCGACTGGCTTGGATACCCGTTTATTTCTATAGTTTCATTCGATATACCCTCTTACCACCATCAATAACAAAGACAACAACTTCAGCAGCAGCAGCAGCAGCTTCAATGCAAACATCGTCTTTGCGATCAGTGACAACCTCCCGAATGGCAACTTCTTTTCGCTCAGAATCATATAGTACATCTTTAAAAGCAAATTTCTTCATCTACCTACCTACCTATATCTATATCTATATATCGCTCTTACATCGCTTTATACACAACACGTTTCGTAACAGCAGCAACAACAATAGCAGCACAAGCTTCCCGCAACCCTCGTACCGAGTAATAACGATATACCCTCTCTTTCTCTTTCTCGTCCTTTCTTCATCATTTCATCAATTTATCTTTCCAAACCCCATGACGACTGATCGATGTTAATGCTAAAGACATGCACACACACATACACACACACACACACATAACTCACGTGGCAGCATACACTTAATTTTGTTCTGATTTGTGATTGATTCGCGTTGCTTTATAATATTAATCAATTAGTACAATAATACCAATTTTAATTCAAATATACAAATTTACTATTACTACATACTACACTATTGCACGTATCCATCATCCTTCATATTTCCTAATTGTGTACCCTACTAACCCCTTTTTCTCGCAGGTATAAGCACTCTTCTGTATGCAATATACTGTATATCATACAGGAGCACGTTTCTTGTGCATTTTGTTTGTGTAGGGTCCATGAAAAAATAAATACAAGTAAGCATCAGCAAATACGCCCATCGCAAACTCTAAATACATACTATACACAAGTAGTATGTAGTGCTGTCGCACACAGGAATTATACAATACATAAAGGGTTGTTGCCTATAAGATTGATCAACAAACGATAACGACGAGGGCTTTAATACGCGAAATCTAGTTTTTTCTTCGCACAGATCGCAGGCGTTTAATAGGTGCTAGATTGGAGCATTCGAACCAAGAGGATCATGGAAAGTAAACAAAGTAAGCCGAATAAAAATGAACGTAGCCAAGAATCTAGCACCTCTCTTCCTGTTTCTTTTTTTTTTGGTTCATATCTGCAGGTTGGAAAGCAAACTTATATATGACCTTTTTCCTTCCCTTCTTTTGAAGGGTCTATTTTCCACTCCTATGAATTTACTATATCTACAATGTGCAGAGTGACTTGAAGACTTGGTAGCTTAGTGTGGAGAGTGTATTTTGAGGGTGTTATAGTATTAAATGCCCCTGTTGTTTGTTGTTATCTGTTTAGGTAAACAAATCGATCATCCCTATGACGAACAATGCTTCTTCATGTTTTTCAAGCTGTGTTTATATATAGAACTTTTATTCCAAACTAGAATATTAGAACCACATCTCTCCTCATGAAAACACGAGAAGGACGACGATGATGGCCACAGCAGCAGCAAGAAGTACGATATGATGGAATGTTATCCGAGAAGTATATGAAATTAAGAGAGTTTGGCAATCTGGGTGGTATTACTTTTTGCCGATGAGTAACAAAAATAGGGCACACACAAACCCTAATAAACTGCAGTACCTACTATTACTGCTACTACTACTCTAGTATGTTTGACCATCGCAGATGAGAGACCGATAAATTTTTCCGTTTCTCCCTCTCCCACACGGCTGGTCCTATAAAAGTGCGTGGGTCCGTGCGTCGTACGGGTACACGGCGGACATAGCCAAGCATGTCTACTTGCCCAAAACACCAAACCTAACCAGCGATACAATTATTCTTGATTTCCCTAGTTAATAAACATGTGAAAGTGCTTATCTGAAAAGATGAGCATAAGAACAGCTTTTATAAGACAGATTTAAATTTGCGGCCTGTAGAGCAGATCAACATCATCAACCGATCTCCCCCTCTTCACCGTGGCGTACAACAGCAAAAGAGCATCTGTAATAGGTTGCTTATATTTTCGGCTGTTGTTGTAGTTGTACCAAATATAAAACGGTAAAAGTACGGCTCGCTTTTAACTTGTAACATTATGAGAAGGTTCCACAGGATTATGAATACCCTGGGCGGTGTGATCCTCCTGCTCCTCCCCCTTGTTCTTTTAATCGTCGGGCGTTGGCTCGCTCTCTCTTCTTGGTGATAAATACGATTGATCATCAGAAGGGAGGAGTTGCTAGTGTACTTCCATCTCCTCAGTACGTATATAGTAGTCGAGAGGTTCACAGGGGATGCTGATCAAAGCGGGAAGAAACGTTGACCACGTTATGGCAAGGAAAAAATAAAAGAAGAGTGTGAAAGGAAGGCGGTGGTCGAGCCGGGGGAAGAAAGCTGGTTGCGAATGAAATAACTACGTTACTGGTATATCCGCCTGATAGCCGAGCCGTTTGGAGGAGAAGAAGGAAAGCCACGGGGTTCCCTCCATCTTCCCACCCACACATCACCCATTCCCCCTTGTATTTTGAGCTTTGAGGCTCGGTATTTGACAGCCGTGCGGCTGCAGTTCCGCCATTTTTGCTGCTGTTGGTTCTACAATATGTATGTGCGTGTATGTACATGTAAGCTTCTCGTGCACTGTGCGTGTTATAATATGTATCATGTAAATATAGCTTACCTACCACTACTACTACTACTACTACTACTACTACATCCTGTATCTAATATTAATCATCAGCAACACAAACACTATTTATTTGTTTTTCACACACGTCCACTGCATGTTACCCGTTCGTGAGCATGCTAACTGGGATGCGGCAACATAAATGGGAGAAGAAGAAGAGGTACTACAACAGGGAGAAACATATGAATGGCAAAAAAAGTCACACACGTACACACACACTCTCTTGTACTCTCCTAAACAATCAGTCAACAGAAGCAGCAGCTACAGTAGTAACAGCAGCAGCAGCAGCAGCCAAGAGTGAGCTCACGCAGTGAGAAGAAATCTTTCTCTCTACACAAATCCCCCAAAACTCCTTTTCCTTCCTAATTTCTCGTTTCCCGCTCTTTGAGCCGAAGCGAACGAAAGCAAGAAAAAAAATTGATACTCGGTTTACATTTTCTTTTGCCTTGTCCCACGCCTTTTTTAAATTAATTCATTTGCATCATAAGCATCGTACACAGACTCACACCTCTTCTCTCTCTCTCTCTTCTTCTTCCTTCTTTCTGTTACTCCTGACTATCATCAATCTGTTACCTTTTCTTATTTCCGAATCCTTACTTTCCCTCGACCTTATGTATCATTTCTCACCATTGACACAGCAGTCTGATCTGCTTGCGCTATTGTCATCAACGGGAGCAACACCTCTTCAAAGCTCTGCTACAGACACAACTATGAATACTGCGAGTGGCGTAAATAATGGTGGGCTGAAAAACAACAACAATTGTAGTGTAGTACCAGCAAGAATCTGCAGCGGTTATGTTGATGATGATGATGATGGAGGCGGCGGCGGCGACAACAACGGAGAAGGAGGAGACGACATGTTTATTTTCCAACAACAGCAAACGTACAACGACGATGGTAGTACTGACAATGCGTTCGTGTACTCATCCACAGCAGGCCAATCACCTATCGCACCACTACATAGTCATGTATACTACTCACAACAACAAGACGAGCTGGTTCTCTCAACAACGTCAACATCAGGATTAAATCAGCAACACGCTCCTGAATCAGCAATAGCACCAACGCTAACACCACCACAAGCTCCGCAGCAGCAGGCCTTTTACACAAAAGCCAACGGTAGTATTGACAATCCATATTACTACTGGCCTACAAGCTATTACTCAACTGGTGCGGCGACAGTAGCTATGGAAAGCACCGGGATGTCGTGTATGGATTCCGACCACAGCAGTAACAATGAAGGTAAACCTTACTAGCACTTGCCTCCTGTTTTTGTCAAAGGAAATTTCAATTTCTACTTGTCTGATCCACACAATCTATCATGTAGATTTGCTGACGCTTCAGTTACTTCAACAGCAACAGCAGCATCAGTACTCCCAGCATGAGTACACTCACCAACAACAACAACAAAATCAACAACAACAACAACCAACACCCATGTATCAAACAGACGACGGGTCACACAGCAGTAACAGTAGTGTCAAGACCAACAATGCACCAGATTACGAAGACCTATGTCGGCGCTCTTCTTTTGACACCACTGCTACTGCTGCTGCTGTCGAGCAATTGCTGGCAGTTGCACAACCATTGCCTGCTGATGGCTTCCAACAACACTATCATTATCACCACCAACACCGAGGATCTCTACCCAATCTCTACATTCCCGGCATGACCCAATCCTCCTCATCCTCAATGTCGTCCTGGACTGACAATGGCAAGATCAGTAACCATGCCAGTCATTACCATAGCAACGGTAGCAACAAGAAACGTCCCTCATCATCGCCTAAGCAACAGCGTACCAAACGTCGTCTTGTCAACGGTGGAGCTACCACCACCAAACCAGCCAATCATGCAGTGGCGTCAGCAGCAGCAACAGCGGCAGTGTTGGCGCGAAGCAAATCTGTCGATTTCACTGCTTTTGACAACAACAGTAAAGAATGGTTTGCTGCTGTTGCTACTGCCAACGCTTCTCCTAGTGCCGACCATAGCAGCCGAGACGACGCAGACGCTGATAGTGGTCACAGCAGCCACAATCGAAACCAGAAAGAGCTTAATACCGAGCAACACGTAGAAGAAGCGTTTCCTGAAATCAACGATGTGGACTGGGACATAGCACGACACAACCCGAGCGCTGTACCTAGACGCCAAAAGCTACGATACGATGGAGACGAGTATACGCCCAAATGGGTCCGCTATACAGGACAATTGAAAGAAGGGTATTGCGATAGTTGCAAACTGGGTAAATGGCTACAGCTGAAAAACAGCGCATACTGGTACCACAAGCAGTTCTTTCATGGCATCTCCTCTGTTTCTGGAAAACGATTTCTGGAACCTCTTGAGCAACGTGCGGGTGATCACGATGTCGTTGAGGGTCTGTGCCATCAGTGTCAACAGTTTGTGTCCATCTGTAATGCAAAGAGGAAAACGAGCGTTTTATGGTATCGTCACGCACACAAGGCAAGTAGCACCAAACCCGCCACAATTGCGTACCAGTAGCAGTATGAGTGCAATACGACTAATTTACCATAACGTCATCAAATTTATAGTGTCACATTTACGATAAGCCAAAATCGATAGCGGCGAGTAAACGTAACAGCAGCAGCATGTCATCATCGGCAAAAAGATACCTTACACAGTAGCGATATAATAACAGCAATAATGATAATAATAGGATTTAGGTAAAAATAAAAGAGCTGTTGCTTGTATTACTCTCCTTTTGTTGCCCGCGCCACACCTAGCAAATGTTGCGCGGACGATGGCTGACATGAAATAAATGACAAAGGGTGGAGCAGAAATATTCCTATTTAGCACACACCCTATTTCGCATGTGTAACTCGACAAAGCGAGTTTATTTAAAGTGCACGCACGCATGTTTGCTGCGTTGTGTTACACGAACAAGGGGTCCCCCACCCACCACCCACTCAGCAGTAATTTTTCATTCTCCAACCCGCACTCCTGTCTTTTTTAACCTTTTTTTTTTTTTCTTCTTTCTACTCTTCTCTTTCAACTCCTCCCCTGTCCCTTCCTTTTCCCCTCGATCTCTGCTTGAGAGAGTGAAAGAAAAACGATGAATGTCTATGTACCTTTTTCTGACCAGAAAAAGACGGATGCGACATTGACGCTCAAAGCCATGGGCATCCAATTGGGGATCAATATTGGCATTTCATTACTCGTTCTTGCTGGATTCAGCTTTCTACGACCGCGTCATACCTTGGTCTATGCACCCAAATACAAGTTCTCCAAGCCTGAGTAGGAAGCAGTATTATATGATTATCCAATTAGGCTGTGAACTGTGAGCTGATCTAAAATGTACGAATAGGCAACGGCCACCGACTGTTGGGACTGGATGGTTCAGCTGGATCAAGCCTGTGCTGAAAGCCGACGACGACTTCCTGATGGATCGCATCGGCTATGATGCCGTCATGTTTCTCAGATTCATACGTCTTATTCGACGTCTGCTCATTGTCATGAGCATCATTGGCATATGTGCTTTGGTCCCTGTTAATATAGTTGCAACTTACTACACTGGGTAAAGTACACATATCTCCCCACCTCCTCTAACAATTTCTGGTTTTGAGGTTCCGACCACTCTACCGCTATTGCTCGTGTCACACACAAACAATCCCAGAAAAGAAAGGAAAAAAAACAGTACAAAGGGAAATGAAATGTTATTCATCCATTTATCCACCCTCCCACACCTATTCTTCATGACATTAGAGACTGGCCACCGCCCGCTGGATTGGACTTGCTGTCCATCTCGGGCATCAATTACAACTCATCCAACGACGAGTTCGTTCCGGATACCCGATGGTATTGGTCACCTGCCGTTGCCACATGGATCTTCTCCATATTGATTGCTTGGTTCATGTACCGCGCATCGTGTGACTATATCGAGATGCGTCAACGCTTTTTTCGCCACCCGCCAAACGCTTTGTCTGCCCGCTCGCTTTTGGTCAGTAATGTTCCCAAGGACAGCCGCTCAGATGATAAACTAAAGTCCTGGATGGATTCAATGCGCTTGCCGTATCCTGTAAAACAAGCCATCATTGGCCTCCACAGCAACAAATTGACCAGTTTGACCGAGGAGCATGAAGCGGCTGTGCGGCACTTGGAGGATGCCTTGTCTAGCTATCTCAACGGTAATGTATACATATCCAAGCGCGTACCATCAGAGGGCGTATACACATGTCTAATACTTCATAGATGGCAAGTCAATGGGCAAGAAAAAAAGACCGACGATGCGAGTGGATGGTTTCCTTTTCTGTGGCGGCAAAAAGGTCGACGCAATTGATTATTACACTGACCAAGTCAAGGAACTCGAAGCAGAGATCAGAAAGCGACGCAAAAACAGCACCAGCAAAATTTCCAACTATGGCTGGGTTTCCTTTGACCGTATCGAGCACGCTCATACCGTCAACCAGGCATTCAATAAGCAAGTTGACAAGAAGCAACAACGCGAATTCGGTGTACGGCTGTCGTCGCCCCCTAAAGACTTGATTTGGGCCAATTTGCCAATGGATGCAAAGACACGACGCACGCGACGATGGATCGGACGATTGGTGTACTGGATCTTGATCTTTGTCTGGATGATTCCGGTCGGTGCATTGTCAGCAACTTCTAATGTGGTCAATCTGATTCGGCTGTTTCCAAATTCGGAAGCATTTATTGACAATAACACGATGCTTATGGGTATCATCCAATCATGGTTCACGCCCATCGTCATGGCCTTGTTCTTCATATTGCTGCCGCATTTGTTCCGCTTCTTATCCAAGCAACAAGGCTACCAGACCCACACGACCCTCGACCGTAAAGTCCTCGTCAAGCTCTATGTCTTTTTCATCATCAACAACCTGCTTGTGTTTACATTGGCCTCCATCCTGATTGGTATCTTTGGTCAGATCCGGTCCCTTATTCTGTCTGGTACGCTCGACCAACAAGAAACATCGATCGGAGACTATGTCAGCCAGCTCGCCAAGAACATTTCCGATGTATCGACGTTTTGGATCAATTATGTGTGTATCAAGGCGCTTGGTCTGACTATGGAAATGGCCCAGCTTGTGCCGCTGTTCATTATCACGCTACGCAAGTGGATTACTCGACCCAGTCCAAGAGAACTGCGCGACGTTGCCCAACCGCCCGAGTTCGACTATCCTCTGTGCTACAACATGATGCTGTTCTTTTTCACTATTGCTCTGCTCTACTCGGCTATTGCCCCGCTCGTTCTGCCATTCGCCTTACTATTCTTTGCCATGTCCACTGTTGTGTACAAGTACATGTTGATGTATATCTTTGTTACAAAGACCGAAAGCGGTGGCCGGATCTGGCCTGTCCTGTTCCAATCCATCATGACTTCAACACTGCTCTTTCAGATACTGATGATCATCGTCTTGCGACTCAAGGATGGATTCGCCCAATGCTATGCTCTAATCCCGCTACCCGTACTGACTGTGGCGTTCCAGTACTTTTATTATCGCCGAATGCAGACCTTGGGCTCGTTCCTCAATGGTACAGACTCATCCTCCGGTATTATCTTACCTCCTAGCGAGTTGATGTCTGTCAAAAAGGAGGACCACGAGGACGACGATTATGAAAAGAAGAGCAAGAAGAAAAAGACAAGCACGGTGGCAGCGGTCAACAAGGAAGACGATCTATCGAAACAATTCCAGGATCCAGGATTACACAAGAAATTAATGACGCCAATGGTACACGAAGACGTCAAGCATTTGTTGCCGCAAGTATATCATCGTGCTGAAAACACCATGCATGACGGCATTGAGATGATGCGTCACCGTATGGACTTGAACCAACAGTATGGATTTGAGCAACAAAATCATCAGCAGCAACAAGGCACCGGAAGAGAAAGCCGTCGTTTGACTGTGCTGGAGATGGACGACGGATCGCCGATCAAGTTTTGTACTGTGGCAGAGAATGAGGCACTCGAACAAGGTGCTGATACGACCGACACTGAAGAAAGCGATGACGAGTCGACTCCATTGAATCGATCTACAGACGCAGTCGGTAATCGAGGGTTCTTTGATGATGACGACGATGATTACGACAAACACAGCCGTCAAGGACTGATGGAGAGTAATCATATGGATATGGCATGGCGATCGAGTAATAACAACCATAACATGAATGCTGATGAGCGCCGTAGCAGCTTCAACAGCTACAACACATCACTGTCTTCAGAAGCAAGCAGTAAAGATGTCCGACAATCTACCGCGGTTCTGGTGACAAACATTCTAGCGACAACGAGTAGCAGTAACAAAAGCAATGACATCGAAGAACCTGGTGCTATTTCCAGGCAAACTCAAGCTTGTAGCATCAGCAATAGCAGCGACAGCTATGACGATGACGACGACATGGATTCAATGATTGTACAGACCGTTATATCACGACGCAACTCGGCACCCGAGCATCGCAACTCCTTATTCTGGCTTACCGCTACTACTGAACAACAACTACTGCGTCGTCATGCCTCAATGCCTGAGTTATTACGCTCTGAACCGAAGAGACAGAAGAAGACGAAAAAGGACATCGAAAAGGAGCCTGTTGCACCAGAGGTACGACGCAATTCGGCACCATGGCATACTTTATCCCAGCAACACGAGGAAGAACTGCAAGACAACACACAACAAGAAGTTCCGCAATTACGACGGAACAAAACCATGCCGATATCACGTCACCGTCGTCCTTTGATTGACGAACTGGAAGACCCAAACATCGAAGAAGAAGAAGAAGAAGGAGGGAGCAATGGCAATGAAGACCACGGCATGGTTTCACCACCGTCCAGACCCACTAGCCGTGTTATATTTTCACCATCACAACAGCAACGATTGAGCAGATCAACGTCCGTTCAAGGATCTACAGGCGGTCGACGATCGTGGTACTGGACAGCCGAAGGACCGCCAACTGAAGACGATGACAATAACTCATTATCATCTAGACCACCCTCCTCATTACTGGTTCGGTCGCGCACTGTTCCTGGTCGACAAAGTGCCACACCATCCATTACCAACTCACGTTATCGCATCACATATTATGACGACTTGCTTAATGATATTCCGTCCTTACCAGAGTTTGGTACCCAGGATCGCAACTCCTTTGCCTCCAGCTTTGAACGATACTATAACACTAGAAGACCGAGCAGTAGCCGTACCGTTAGCAACGACAACAACGAGACATCAACGAATGAGCATTACCATAGCAGCAACAACAACCATTAATTATTTCAAACCCGTCATCATTTTGTAAATCCATTTTTTTCCTGAGAATTAAACCACATTGTATATTATATCATCTTTTTTACAAATAACAAAGCGGTACTTTTAAAAAATGTATGTAGATTGCAAACTATATCCGTATCTATCATATATCCAGCCATGACGTTGCATTCCAAAGTTTGACAATTTTTTTTGGGATCACAATTAATATAGAAAATTACTTTTGCCAAGTGCTGGACTTAATTAAAAAAACAGTTGGAAAGGGACGGGTTTAATTACATTAAACTACATAAATAGTATCAAGGATCTCTTCCCAAAATTCTCATGTCAACAACATCATGGACCTATTGTAATATTTCACATTGGCTAGAGGAGCTTCGTTGACAACGGCCAGGGACAACTACTATTATGGTGGCGCATTGATTGCCTTGCTACATGTGTGACACTGTTTTCCATCATCTCATGCGAGGCTTTTTTCTTGCGTTGTACCTTGCTACTCGAAAAGGATATTTGTCCATCATGAAAGCTATACAACAGCAACGGCTATGCCATCAGATCAATCCCAAATCTGAGAAAATAAAATCGGCAGTAACGGGCTGTAAAGTGTATTTTACTAATCGTCATCCATGAGGATTTAACGACATACAAACGGGTTATCGTAAAATCTTTAAATAGATATAGGAAATTTGCTGCTGCTGCATATTGTGTCATCTCAAAGCAGGGTTCACCTGTTTTAATAATGGGGTTTGGTAAACATGTAAAAAGTAAGGCTAACTGGTTATGGTATAGGAGAGGCAGGGTGTAAAAAGGGTGCGCACACAATATATCTGTTACTAGCTACAAATAGAAAGCTTTCATAAATGAAAATAGGCATTAACGGCAACCAAAAAAAAAAGACATATTGGGTTTAGGTTCTTTCCACAGTCCATCCCATGACCAAAGTAAAAGCACCAGCATTATCATCAGGCAAAACACAGTAAAAAGTAATTTCTTTTTGTTTCTCTGGTGTTACAAGTTTTTTGTATATTATCATTTTTACAACAGGTGTTCCTTTTTCTCTGGAAGAGAGCAGATGAAGAGCAGGAACACGAGGAAAAGAGCGGGAGGAAACAGAAAACACAATAGTGGGACAAAGGGAAGGAGGGTATCATTATAATGGAGCTAAACCGGAAAGCACCACGTAAATAATGCAAGAAGTAATGAAGGCAATTAAGTTTGGGCTGCGGTGATGGATAGATGTGCCAATGCTTCCGTATGAATCAAGAATATCTGCTGGTGGTATATTGGATGGGTCATCTACCGGCGCTGCAGCAAGCGTGCTCCCGCCTCCACCCCTGCTGCCACTTTGATCATTGCCGCCTGTTTGGCTGTTAACTTTGCTGGCTCCATCAAAGTCTGCAGATAATACCTTATCGACTAGATGGACAACGCCTTCCGTTGTAATGACATCAGCACGTACAACTCGAGCAATGTCCTCCCTGTTTTTGCCGATAACTAAGAGTTCGTTGTTGGCGGAGCGTTCGAATGTGAGAGACGAATCACGTCTCATGGTGTTCAGGGTGACCGTCGTATCAGGCACTGAGGAAAACAGCGACGTTGACAAGTAGATGCCTTCCAAGACCTGGAATTTAAGGTTGTGGACCAGTGTACCGTAGGGCATGGTGGAGGAATTGGCCTCGGCCCAGGCCTCGTTGATGGGTGCCAGCACCGTCTTGTTTGGCCCGGACACAACCGTAGTCAGATTCAGTGATTTCATCAACAATTCATGCGTTTCAAGTTCGGGTAACGTTTCTATGGTAGATAACGTGGCCATGGGCGGCTGTAGAAAGTGATCAATGAGGTGAATTATGCCTATTTGCCGACACACAACGGATTGCTGGTAAGTAAACATCACACAACGAAAAAGCTTTTTTTTTGGGGGGGGGAAGGGCGAATCGATGGAATTGAGTTTACGAAATGCTGTTTTTTACAGTCCTGTATCAAGACAGGGGCTGGTTGGGGGGGGAAGGGGGGCAAGTTATAATTGGGTGTGCATGTGTGTGTACTGTTACGCGAAGAAGAAAATATTGGGGGTGGGGGTGAATTTTTTTAAGGATGGAAAAGGGGGATATTCTGGATATGCAATTGCAACACATACCATTGCTACATTGGATATCTTTCACAATTACATCCGCAGTAGTTATGCCTGACGACACTTGGAGGAGTGTGCTGTTGCTATTGTCTTGCTGACTGGACCCAATTACTAGCGGGAGATGCGTGGAATCGTCGCTGTAAAAGTACTGTCGTCCACGTAGTAAAAAATTGGAATTGTATGGAGTGGACAGCGTGTGTCGTAGAATTTGTGGTATCGTTGCATTAACCTGCGTGAAATTGAGGGTGCCTGTCGCCACGGCCGACTGTATCGCAGAGTCGTTCGGTAAGAAGAGCGTAATATTGGGTCGTGTTAATGCATCCTCAATGACTTGGTAATCGTCCGATTCCAATCCGTTTAGCAATGTCTACCATTGTCTCTAACATTAGTACTTTCCGCTTCTCTGTGCGTATATGCAAAAGTTGATAGAGGAGAGTTTTCTCTACCTTTGATCCTAGTTGTGACAAACGCGCATATACAGAAACAAGACTGGCGTTCTGGTTACTGAGTGATTTGCTATAAGCGAGCGACGACCCCGAGAAAAGTGACAGCCAGAAAAGAGCCCAAAGAATCATCAAAAAACATGCCCGGAAAAAAAAAGAAGAAAGAAAGGAAAAGAGAAAGAAGAGGGGAAAGTGATTGGAGACAAAAAAAAAAAAAAGTAACGAGGCCCTGAAAAATACAACGCACAAAAGGAAGGCAAATGGAGCGCGCGGAGTGCCTTTGTTTCTGAGTTATTTGGTAATACACATACGCAACTGTGTGTCACATGGAGACAGAGCGCATTGTTCACAACAGCAGCAGCAGCAGCATTTAAAGTATGCTCCGCTTCGGTGTAACCCTCATCTTTGACTGCAAACACGTGTGAAGCCTTTTCTTTTCGGTGGCAAGGTGTTTACTTTTGCGTGTTAGCATCACAGCGAGTGACAGCCCGGTTGATGGAATCATTGGCACGCACGTACTGCCATCCTTAAGTAGCATAGACGGATAAATGGTAACGATTACTAGGTGACGCATATTGCCTTGGTTACTGTAGGTAACGTAGCAACAAATGTTGAATTTCAAAAACCCCCTTCGGCTTCTGTTCAGTCGCCGTTTTCTCTTTTTTTTTTTGCGATCAGTAATATAACGCCAGATAGAAAGACAGTGTGTGTGTGCTGTGTGCGTGTCAGCCTTTCCCCTTGTACCACCCACTTTGTTATATTTATGGTATTTCAGTCGTCATCGGGAACCATCAGGCATCAGTGGTACTGCTCAGTGACCCCCCTAAAATTTCATGGCAAACAGTTAAATTAAATTGCTGTCTGATTGATGCATTTTATCATGCTACTCTACGTAAAACGAAGAAAACACTTTCTCCAACTTGGTATCCTCCCCCCCCCTTTTGTTCTTTATTTGATCACCATTCCTATTCTCTTATACTGTTTTCTTTGTGCTTATGAGCATGCCGTTCCATACCTTGTCTTCCAGAGAAAAAGTATATCGGAGAAAAGAGAACATGCTATCTTGTATCAAAAGGAGATGACTGTTGTCAGCGGAATACAGGGAATGATAATAAGCATTACGGCTCCGAAAAAAAACATAAAATTCAATGACGGAAGAAAAATGTGCTTCCCCAGTAATATACAGAACACAACCGGGCCCGGATATCGGCAATAATAAAGTGACGATTGCAATTTGCAAAAGAGGCAGAAAAGGATAATATAGAGGCTGTGGCATTTTATCATCAGCTACAAACTAAAGGTTGGGACATACTGCACGGGAAAGGGCCCTGTAGCTTATGACGATACTATTTAGTCAGAAAAGAGCCTCGGATGGACCGGAGAAGTAAATGAGCTGCGCGGACATGCCAATGGCTGATACGATAAAAAAAAATTATCATGTCTGCAACGTCATGATGCTTCAGTACAAGTAGTATGCACATCTCTATATGCAATGCCATACAATAGGTGTTGCTGTCCAATTCCATTGAATACAGTAGCATCATAACAACACTTACTATATACAAACAAAATTTCCTCCTATTTTTCTATGCTCTTGTTTCAATATCAACATGCTTTTTCTTTCAGAGCCGCAAAAGATGCTTTACACAGTTTATACCACTTGCGAGCCATTTCAGTAGAAACGAATGGCAGAAAACTATAATGTTGCGGACACTACAATACCTTTTTATAAGAATGCAACCGAACTTCGCTGTTCTTCAAAAACAAACTGTCTGGGTAGTCTGCCGCCCCAAGCGAGTCACTAAAAAGAAGCATTATCAAATTAAAAAAAACAAAGGATGGCTTCAAATCACTTGTCAGGTGCAAGCGTCAAATTATGCGACCAAGACTGATGTAGCTCTTCTAGTACATTTGAAAGACACAGTGACAATGTTTATCATAATCAGGTACCAGGCCCGATACAACACATATACGTTTTCTAACTTGGTGCCCTGGATCAAAGTAAAAGGAGAGCATAGGCATAAAAGCTTTGACCGCAAAGTCGTCAGAATGCGATCGCTTTAAATGTGATTTATCACGTTTACATTATAAAATCCGCGCTTGCTTGCTTTGCAACCATAAAAGTTGGTTGGCTTGCATTATTTTATACATAGCAAACTCCTGCATCATTCTCCGAAACACCACCACCCACGTTACAGAGCTCTTTCTTTTTTACCACTTTGCTCACACACGGCGCGTGCACGCGGAATGTCCGTCGAAACAAAGTTCCGATCTCTTAATAAACGCGCTGCAGAATGTCAGCGACAGGTTGAAAGGCTAAACCACGTTGAGTCTATACGTGCTCGAGAGGATGTTGCCAGCCACATTAGAAGCGATCTTTTAGAACTAGAAACAGACATCAAGGTTTGCCTTTGCCCCAATGTCACCACCGGTGATGAGCTTTTTCTGTTTCCTCTAATTTTTTTAGGAAAGATTATGTCTCATCGTATGCTGTATAACATACTCTTTTAGGCCATTCGAGAACTAGCAGAAGAGGATGAAGACTCGTCCAAAGTTCAAATCTTGCACAGACTGTCACAATATGAGACTCAGTTCCGACAGTAAGCTATATAAATATCAATATGCATAAAAAGCATCGAACATTTAGAGAGTGTGTGTACAAGTGTTTGTGAGATAGAAAATGAGGGCATGGCATATATATTAATATACACACTTCTTTACATGTATTAATAGATTACAAACAACATCACGTGCTGCACTGTGGCAATCCAAAAAACGACTTGATGAGCAAACCCAGAAAATGCGCCAGGAGCTGTTTGGGGGTCTGCAAAAGGGCGACAAGAGCTTTACTGAACAATTCGAACTGAAACAACGAAGAAATCGTGGGTATGAGGAAGAAAGAATGTAAAAAGAGGAGAACCAGGAGTGCGTCCACCATGCTAATAGTTTTAGAACACTTTACCATTATGGGGTTATACAGACAAGACCAATCACTCTTGCGCGCATCAACGGATGTCACCGAGGCACTGCGGCGCACGAGCACATTGATGCAGCAGGAGCTGGAAAAGAGCACATACACCACAACCATGCTTGGTAATATCTACCATATGCTTGCTAATATGTACTATATATGGTAGAACTAAAGAAACATAGCATCTTTAACGCTCTTCCTTTTCGCTCGTATCTACTAGCTGATTCGTCAAGGACTTTGGGAACGACCTATACAGAATATCAAAACTTTGGATCGTTAATGGTGATATCAAAAAGATTGGTTGGTCAACTCGAGGCAGCGGATTGGTGGGACCGACTATTATTACTGTTTGGATTATTTGTCTTCATCACCGTGGTGGCGTATATCATCAAAAAACGGACGTATGACGTCGGTATATCGTGGGTGAACTGGATCGCTGGTAAAGGCGCTAAGGCGGCAGCAGCAGCAACAAAAACAGGAACCACGTCAACCGCCATGATGGCAACTGCCTCACCTTCAGCAGCCATGACAACGGGAGATGCGACCAACGTAGTCACTGAAACGTTAGCACAAGTATCCGGTACTCTCTTATCCGAAATCATTCCCTTATCATCGTCATCGTCATCCAGTATCGCTTCTGCTGCTGCTACTCCTTCTTCAGAGATAGCAACAGTGGTAACGAAAAAAGCCGTTAGCGTTATAACTGAAACACTAGCAGAAGCTTCCAACGTTTTGTTGCCCGATGAACTGATTAGCAGCGCAACCATACCCTCATTTGTAACTACTGCAACCGAACATATTAAAGATGAACTGTAATAATTTTTGTTGTGCATCAATAATTGGAATGGGGCTGTGTATGTTTTTTGTCAAGTTAGTTATGTCTGGTAAACAGGTATTTATCACCACCTATAACTTTAAAAGTAGTTGGAAGAGGAGGAGAAAATGGTCTCCACATGATGCATGCGTAAACAAGTTGCTTGGGTGGCAAAAAAGTTGGCTCCGTGTGCTCCTCGTAACAGCCAACTTGCTAAAGGGGCCTAAGATCAGGATTTTCAATTACTATATAGTGTGAATGCTGCTCGAACAGGCGTACACCTTTTTCTTTTTTCTTTCAAAAGAAAAACAGCAATGTTTCTCATACTACTCGGTGCCTTGATAACCTACATTGCGGTTGTACGCTATTATCGCTATCAATATGTGAACAATCTTAAACGTGATTATCCAGATCCGGACGTCATCCTAAAAAACGGCAAGATCGCTCAAGAGATCTACTGCCAAACGTTCCGCAAAGAATTTCCATGTAAGTAACCATGATCATACATAGGTTATACATATACCATCCACTCTCTCGTTGGAAGATTTAAATGATCCTGACGACGAATACTGTACATAGTAATCAGTCGAGAGTCCGTTGAAGTTGCATTATTTAAAACGTTTACTTCGCCCACAGTGAGCAAAATTTTGGTCAGCACCCGCGAGCTAGAAAAGCATCCTCTTCGCCGTGCGGAGGACACCGAGTTGATCTTGTCTGAGATTATCGATGTCTATCCTCGAATACAAAACCAGCTCATGGAGAATCGGAAAGTCAGCTCTATGGAAACGGCAAAGCAATATGAACGCGCGGAAATGTCGATCCATCGTCTTAACGAGTTGCATAGCAAATATCCTATTTTAAACGATGACTATATCTTTACGATCGCGCTATTTGTAAACGAACCAATCCGATGGATTAATGCATTTGAATGGCGCCAACTGGATATCCGTGAAGTCAACGCAAGTGTGCATCAAAAGCTTGATTATATGCAATAATACATTGCGAAGCTAAATAACCCGAATTCTCAATTGTATTTCTATCATATACAGGCATTTTTCAAGGTGTGGTATGATATTGGTCACAAGATGAATATCAAAGATCTACCAGATACCTATGAGCGATTGATGGAATTCAAAAAGGTATTATACCACATATAACGTTGCTGTCCTTTAGTAAAATCTGACGTCAAAAACAAACACTATTTAGGAGTATGAAGAAAGGGGAGTGCGTTACTCTCCATCCAACTGGAAAGTCGCTCAACCAACATTGTGCCTCTTATACAGCCGTCTCCCTCGATTCATGAAACCAGTGGTTCGGGGTGCACTGCCATGCTTCTTGGAAAAAGTTGATCGACAAGCATTCGGGCTTGAAGAACCGTCTTGGATGATGACCCAGCTTTTACACGGTATTTTGCGGCTACGTGCCAACTTTATCCGTTATTTCCTTTTACCCCGTCGTCAGTATTGGACGCGTACACCATGGCAGCCCGAACAGAACGGCAAGTACATGCCAACCTTTTGCATCTATGGCACGGTCTATCCCAATGGATACCGAATTTCAGAGCTAGGACCTGCCAAGTTCGGTCCCAAATGCCCAGTGATGCTCCACTAAATAAGGAAATAAACATTTGTTTCATGGTTACACAAATGGAACCGGTATAAGAAAGATATCGTGACAAGTAATATGGAGAGTGGAGTGTGCTTTTCTCTAGAAGCATCACTTTCGAATATACATGAGATGCACTTTACAACTAAAACGACATAACGAAAGGGACGGTGGCGATCTTTGCAGTGCTCTTTCTCTCATTCTCCCTTCCGGCTTATGTTGTGCATCGTTTCTCACGACAATGAATAAACCGAGGACAAAATTGCTGTGTGCGACCCCATGTCTAACTGACTCGACTAACTTAGTAAAAGGTAATTCAGCATTTATATATTTGATGACATTTCAGCCAGCTCATATTCTCATGCAGAAAAAGAGCAGCTGATGTTTTTTTCCCATCCTGACCATGGCATACGTGGTGAACATTAAGGAGCCACTATCATCATCCTGCAATTCCAGAGTTCTGTGAAAATGCAAGTGCATTTGAAATTCCCATGGCCAGTGTAGTTAGTATTCACTGCACATTTGGCGTATCTGTTTGTTTGAATTTTATACTTATTCCACTGATCCCCCTCCCCCCCACACCGTACCCCGCGCCCCTCTGCCGACTTCTCAAAGAATCATATGTCTTCGCCGCTCTTGAATCCGCATTACAAACGCAAAATACATTGAATCTCCGTGTGCTTTGGAACGTACTTCCCCACTTCTTTTTGTACACTTCGTTGGCTAGACAATTATTCTTTTCTCTCTCTCTCTCTCTTATTCTTCTCTACAACCCTCCCTACTCTTTCTCTCCCCATATACATCGTTTATAAACGTACATTGTGACTATTAAAATGGCTCCCTCTAAAATCTATACACGTGAAGAAGTCAAGCGCCATGCTTCCGAAGACGATCTGTGGATCATTATTGACACTGTCGTGTATGACATGAGCCGCTTCATTGACATGTACGTAAATGAGCCTTTTACTTCCTCATTACCCAGTCATACTCTATCGTACTCAACCAAGAAACGTATCATGCTGTAATATATAATTATCTATTAGGCATCCTGGCGGTGCTTTCCCTATCTTGGAATTCGCCGGTAAGGACGCGACCGAAGCTTTCTACGGTCTCCATCGTCAAGAAGTCCTTCAAAAGTACAAACGTTACGAGATCGGCACCATTGAGGGTGAAAAGCCCCAAATCGATTTCCGTCAACCCGGCAGCCTTTCCAAGGTTCCTTATGCCGAACCCAGCGCCTGGCAAGGTTTCAAATCGCCCTACTTTAAGTATGTCCTTGTTTTCCTTTTTCTACGTATACATACAGGAAATACGAACATACAATATGTGCTGCATTCTAGAGATATTTTATTAACGAGCGGGTCATCGTTATTCTATTACTATAGGGAATCTCACTACAAGTTCCGTACTGCTGTTCGCGTGATCATGGACGAGCTCGCTGAAGAAGCACGTGAATATGAAGTTAGCGGCGAGCGACCCAGTGACGAATTCCAGCAAAAGCTCGGATCTCACGGTCTTTTGGCAGCCAACATTGGTCCTGGTAAATTTTTGAAGGATTTCAACATTCAGTTGCCCGGTGGCGTTGCTCCCGAGGAGTACGATTACTTCCATGAAATGATCGTTCATCAAGAGGTACTTTCCCTTAAATTTTGTTTTAGACATGCAAACATTTTGATTATATGATCTAACCAACTTCCTCCTTATATTAAACTAGATGGTAAAATAATGCAAAATTAGTAGCAAAACAAGGTCATTCATTGTGTTCTAACCGGCTACATGTCATTTTATTATTTCTGTGACAGGCTCGCTGGGGTACACGCGGTACTGATGATGGTTTGATCGGTGGTATGACCATCTCTCTCCCAACTGTTATCAACTTTGGTTCGCCAGCTCTCAAGCAGAAGGTAAGCGAGAGCAGGAAAAAAACCTTTCAGACACTTGTCACACGCCATGTTATATGAGGAAGCTCCGCGGCTAAACCTGTATTTCCCGCTCCACGCGCCCAACCCACGCCCTTATTAGATTGTGCCTGAGGTCCTCTCTGGCAAAAAGAGAATGGCTTTGGCCATCACCGAGCCTTATGTTGGTTCTGATGTCGCTAGCATTCGCACTACTGCTAAGCTTACGCCTGATGGAAAGCACTATATCGTCAATGGTGTTAAGAAGTGGATCACTACTGGTAACTATTTTAAAAGCACCGATAGGGTTACATCAATCCACATACATCATCGAGTTAGTGATAATATTTCTGACTGACATGTGAATATTTTGACGTCATTAAGGCCACTGGGCTCAATACTTCTCAACTGCCGTCCGCACCGAAAAGGGTATCTCCATGCTTTTGATTGAACGTAGTGAGGGCTTGGAAACCAAGCCTATCAAGACCTCGTATTCGCCTAGTGCTGGTACTGCCTACATAACTTTGGAAAATGTCAAGGTTCCTGTTGAGAACTTGCTCGGCAAGGAAGGTGCTGGCTTCCAGGTCATCATGTAAGTATAAATGTACATCTTTTTCCGTTTTTATACCCTGTCTTACTGACATATCATAATTGTTTTTTTCTTAGGTCCAACTTCAACCACGAACGGTAAGTACCGCAACTAGTGTAAATGTAGTTATCAAAGGTGGTGTTTGACCAGAATATCTAATGCGTGTGTGAAAAATTTATAAATTATAGTTGGGTCATGCTTGCTGGTGCTACCCAGGGTGGTCGCTTGGCTGTTGAAGAGTGCTTCAAGTGGGCCATGCAGCGCAAGGTCTTTGGCAAGCGTCTGATTGATCAACCTGTCATTCGTAACAAGTTGGCTAAAATGGTAGGAAGCAATACAGAGGCATTCATCGACTAGAGACATATGTGGGCTTTTTTCCTTTTGTGATATAGTAACCAACTTTTCTTTATTACAGATCGCCAGTGTTGAAAGTGTGCACAGCTGGGTTGAGAACCTCACTTATCAAATGTGCAACATGAGTTATATGGAACAGGCACTCAAGTTGGCTGGTCCACTTGCTTTGTGCAAATACCAGGTATACATATAATATACTTATTGATGTTGATGGCGACACTATGAACTATTGGGAGAAGCGGATACTGATCTACACAAACTATCTATTAGGTCACCCGTATGCTTCATGATGTAAGCGATGATGCTTGCCAGATCTTTGGTGGTCGTGCTATAACCAAGACTGGTATGGGTCGCAACATTGAAACTTTGCAACGTACCTACAAGTTCACTGCCATCCTTGGCGGTTCCGAAGAGATTATGGCTGACTTGGGTGTGAGACAAGCGATGAAGAAGTTCCCCAAGGATGCCCGCCTTTAAAGTTTGCGAGCAGTACCATCTTTGACAGATACACATACAAAAATAGTCCCTCCCTTGCTTTATTACGATGAAAGAACATGATTTTTCCGGTTTTTTGTTACAAATATATTCATTTTACATCACGAATATCAACACATATATATGCTCCTATGTTTATACATTTTCTTAGCATAAATAAGTTTTATGATTTAGGCATATTTGCTTTGGTGGTCCACAACTGGTAGAGTGGTTGATGAGGCTAAGTTAGTAAATGGGGGAAGTATAACGTGATAGCCTTCCGTAGTATGCTGAGAGCTTGCCCATTCAATAGGAAAAAGAGTCTTTTATCTTGGTCACCGTATGCGCTCGCTCAATGCTAATGTGACGTATAATTCAATTCACCATGTTACCTATCAGGCACTAATTGTGCTTTTTGTTCATCACACTGTACAATTGTCGTTGAAATGATGAAATAGTAATTGAACTAGTATGCTGAATACGCTTCCCTTGCTAAATATGAAAAGAGAATTATGGGGTGTTCCAATGAGATATTGTTCACGCACAGTGGTACTATGAGACCCGTTTTTGTCACAGCGCTAACTTTCCACTGACTGTGTCTTTGATTACCAATTGTCTACAAAGCGCTATCGATCATCTCCACGAAATTTCTACGATGGAAATACGTATATCCGGATCTTTGCAGCTGTTCACGATCATATCGAATGCCCATGATCCGATAGCAGAATGAAACATTGAAGGCAACATTATGTGCCTAATGGTGTGCAAAGTAGATCTGTCGCATATGCACTCAGCGTACATACGCATTTAATTGTTATGCATAAATGCTGTTGTTTGTGGTTTGCTTATAACGTGATATGCATCGCCATTGCTTGGTTTATTATTCAGGCGTGGGATTTCTTTGCTGAATAGAAAACCTTATCTTCCACAACGATAGAGTTCGCCCCTCTATGTTTCGGTATAGCTGCTAAGCTTTGTGTTCCTTTGTCAGCTGTCCTTTTGAAACTATCGCAGCCTTTACATGTTTCAACTGCCTCGTATTTCCCGTGTAGCCGTCATTGGTGCTGGTCCTGGCGGTCTCGCTGCTGCTCGAGCACTACGTGAAGAGGGTGCATTCGACACTATTACAGTATTTGAAAGAAATGCGAAAGTAGGCGGTACATGGTACGTTAAACAAAGAAAAATAGAAAAGAAAAATTTCATAATATTTTGCCTGTATAGGTTATATTCTGAAAAGCCAAACTTTCCACCACCTCTGCCATCAGTGAATGCAATTGACGTCGATCCTCCAAACCAGCCGGCACTACAGCACCCACCTGTTTCAGCCATTTATGACAATCTGCACACCAATCTTACAAAGGATGTTATGGCATACCGTGACATTCCATTCCCCAAAAACTACCCACTGTTTCCTACGCGTACCCAAGTGCTTGACTACATTCAAGATACTGCAGAGCAATACGACTTGTTATCTATGATCCGCTTCAATACGACGGTCGTTCGAGCGGAGCCGGTGGATGATAACGATAGGCAAAAGAAGTGGCAAGTCAGTGTCACTGAATGGCGTGACAATAAAGTGACAAATTATACCGAGTCATACGATGCAGTTGTGGTCGCTTCGGGTCACTACTATGTGCCCTATTTACCAGATGTTGAAGGATTACCAGAGTTCGCCAGTATAGCAAAAGTGATCCATTCTCGAGATTATCGTCGTCCGGAAGATTATGGAAGCAAGGTACATATATACATATATATATATATATATACAGATTCTTGAAGAATCTATTTTGTATGCAACACTGATTAATTTTTGGATATTCGGGAGACATTAGACTGTTCTAGTCGTTGGAAATGGATCTTCTTCTGCAGATATGGTTCGGGAAATCTCCACGACAGCCACCAAGGTATATCACTGTGTACGAGGTGACGATACCTCGTTTTCACGAACTGTGGCGGAAAACATGCCTGCAAATGCCGAACGGATTGGAGCTCTTGGCAGGTTTTCAGCATCAGCCGGTATGGTTGAATGTCAAGACGGCAAGCAGATCCAAGGCGTTGATACGGTCATCTTCGCCACAGGTTACCTTTATTCTTTCCCGTTCTTGCCATTTGAACAAGGCAATTTGATTGTGGATGGACAGAAGGTGCTTGGCTTGTACGAGTACATGTTTTATATCAACAACCCTACTCTTACCTTTGTTGGCCTTCCGATCCGTGTTGTACCTATGCCAATGATGCAACTACAAAGCACAGTGATTGCTCGTTGTTATAGCGGACGCATCATGTTGCCTTCCCTGGAAACCATGCAAGAGACCATCAAGGACGAGACTAATTCGCGCAAGGAATTAGTGATGGGTGTACAAAGCGAGTTGGGCTATGTGGATCGTATTGGTGCCTGGGCTGAAGGGTATCGAGGTGACAGTATCGAGGACTGGAAGTCCTCTGACCCAGTCACTGGACGTTTGTCAGAAGAATGGCGAGAGAATAGAGTCAATTCATTGGAGTTGCGTAGAAAGTACTTGGGATATTAAGAATATAGATTGTTTTTTGTATAAATTATTACTTTGTAGACAATAGAGCAGCATAAACTGTTGATTTAAGTAGAACGATCTTTCGTACACATCTATATAGAGAGCTTGTCGAAGATTTACTTATATTTTATCAAGGTTATTCTTTAGCATCTATAAATCTGCATAAAGTCCTGGTACTACTAATCTTAATGCTACTATACAAAGTAGTAGTAAGTAATTAATGCACTCTATTGTATTTCTCAGCTAAAACAAAATAGTACTAGCAAAGAAAAGACCCATCACAAAATACAAACCAGCATCAATAATCATGTCAAGGTATCATCTGTTGCATAACAAAAAAAGAGCTTTAAGTCATCAAGACATTTATTTTGGGATAGCTATAGATACAAAGGAGACAAGTCAACCAGCGACTGTCGGTACAGAAAGCAAAGTAAAGCAAAAAAAAAGCGTGTGTGGGGTATTTTTAAAGAACAAAGAAATCAGGAAGAGAAGGATAAGAGACGGCGAATTCGAGTGGATATGGTGTTCATTGGTCGGACGGATGTAAAATTGGTATGTTTCGTTTCTTGTAGTAGGTTTGTGGCTGTTGTGATGCGCATGCGCTTAGAGACCACCACCGCTGCGGCCAACATCGACGAGGCCAATGCCGTTGTTCAACTTGCGCCATTGCTTGTGTCCTTGAGAGTCGGAGCCATTAAGAGTCATGATTTGCGAATGGGCTTGGGTGGGTTGAGTTGTAGAGCGAACATAAGTTGCGTAGCCAGCAGCAGTAGTAACGGGAACAAGGACAATGGAAGCAGTACGAGCAGCAATCATGGTGTAGAAGTAAGGAGAAGATAAGAGCTTTGTTGCAGTTGTTGTTGGTTAATAAGCTTGATCCGATGTTTCAGGCACCAGCCTTTATATATAATTTTAAATTCTCGTATCATTTCGGCTACCTTACGCACTATCGCTTTGCGGATCAGGACAATCAGCCCGCCTACCTTATTTTCCTCACGCCTTTTTTAATTGGCATCGGAAGTATAAAATGACCGAAAAAGGCATCTCGCTTTGACGTGCCATAGGGCGAGGACCGGATCGGGTTCTTCTCCGACAAAGGAATGATATCATATCGTCTTTAAATCAACGATGCCAGTGGAGGGTGCCGGTGCAGTGAAGGAGTGGAGTTGGGATGACGACGATTAGCACGGTGCACGGCGCACCGAACCGAGCAAAGGAAAAAGGTGTTCTCTACTATGAACATAGACTCATTTAAAGATTCTGCTACGATAAAGTACGAAAACAAAGGCCATGATTCCAATACATTGGATACAAATGTTGTCTGTGTTCTATAACGTGAGTTACACCATGTGTCAAACGCTATGTGTTCTTGTTACAGTTATTTTACTGAAAACGCAAAATTTTCCTGCATATAGGAAAGCGACTCGAATGTCCCATGCTCTCAATAACAAACTCACGAACAAGAATTCTAGCAAACTCATAACAGATCATCCTTTGTTGTTTACAGCTCGTCGCATTGCAAATTGGATTTTCGACGCTTTATTTGTATTTTGAACACATAGCATCTTCAATAGTGAAAATCCATATTGCATAAAAATTTTTCTTTTCTTCTCGCGCTCTTCCTTTTTGTTTTGCCGGTCTATAATGTTTCGCTTGTTAATTACATTAGGTCTGAGTATCGCCCTATCACATTTGGCGAACGCCGCTCTTGCTCCGTCCTATCCCGAGCCGGGTACGGTGTGGACCGTGGGCCAAGAGTATGATATTACCTGGGGTAAGGCTACGCTTGTGTATTGTATCCATATCTGTTATCGATATCGACAACGTTTTTCAAACTGATGGTCTATACAATATCACTGATAAACAGAGGACGACGGTGCGAAGCCCTCTATGAAAAAGGGCTGGAAGAACTTCAAGATTGGTAAAAAGAAAAAGACATACATGACTTGACGTATACAAGAGAAAGCTTATACGAGTGCATGTATTGCTATCATACCAAGATCTGATGACGGGTGATAATATGGACCAAATCTTTTTGACCAACGTTGCAAGTGTAAGTGCCTTTTATTATATGCTCAACTGATAGCGCTTTTGCATACTCCCTTGCTCATATTTCTATCACCATTTTTGGCGCTGTAGAACTTGTCGGCTGCTGCAGGCCCGCCATCGTTCAAATACAAGGCACCTTCTGTTGAGCCTTATTCACCTATCTATTTCTTCATGTTCACTAATGGTATGGTGTATCTTTCCAAAACTCTAAAAAAAGTTCTTGTCAAGCACAACACATACACTAATGCGCAAGCTCTGCACAACAACAACGACAACCATATCAACGTCAACGATATGATGATGCAGAGGACGGCGAGAACGCGTGGACAACTCGTTTTGCGATTGTCGGAGAGGATGGCAAACAAGAGCCCCCTACTAACCTTAAACAGCCATCTGGTTTGTCTCTTTATCGATCTTATTCTGCCGCTCAGAAGCTCACAGTGAATGCACAACACATGTGAATTTTTTTTTAAAAGACCATTTGCTGATGATTATTATACATCCCCTTCCACCATACCATTTATATAACCATATAGGTGAAAAAATCCCGTGGGGTGTAGGCAAGTTGGCCGTCAAAGCCGTGTCTGTGGATGATAATGCATCGTCTTCGACGGAACCCGCAAATTCTATGTTAACCGAGCCAGCAGCAGCAGCAGCAGCAGCAATCCCTCCTACGGATGATACATCATCCACATCTGCTGAGAACTCTGATATCGCAGTGGATAATGAAATCAAAGCTGCAGCAATTCCTCCACAAAACAAATCCGCTGCCTCTTCTACAAGCTTGACGATTCCGCGTATAGTATTCACAACTTCTCTGGCGTTGTTCGCGACATTTTTTTAGTTCAATTTTTTTGTTCTGTTTTGTTGTTTTCATTTCACAAAAAAAGTATAAGTATGTTATTCGGAAAAATATATCGTGAGCGTAATTTACATTTCCATGGCAGCATCTACAGCCATGTCGTTGTTGGTTTCATTAAACATGTATTGGTCTTGATAATCCTTCAGATACTGCACCGATCGCTTTTCATCAAGCAGCAGGGAGTATACTCGTCTGATGTCTGGAACGTCAACAGCAGTTGCCTAAGTAGAAACACACCGCCAGTGAGTTTGATTGATCAGTATTTACAGTAATATAAATAGGTGAAATTGACCAAAAACTCACCTTTCTCTTTCGTGCAACTAAATGAGCTGCTGTAATCAAGTGAATCGAGTATCGTAGGGATGTTTCCATTCCAATCTTTGTTAATACGTCCTTTGCATCCTCAGTCATTTCTACATCCTCTTCTTGGCACCTACGTATCATGAAAAAGTCGGTCGACAAGTATCAGCAAACTCGGTAATTGTTGTCATACACGGATTAATGCTCTCTCTCTTTCTTCAGTACTACTTACCGAATCGTCAAAATCTGCTTGATCTCCTCTAGTTGGTATGCGGAGGTTGAGATAATGAGCATTCGATCCAATAAATCGACAGGGATACCGTGTGGAGACTTGTACTTTGTACCGCGAATCTTGGTAACGCCTCGGTTGGATGCCATGACGACAACAGGTGACATTTCGTCCTCCAAAGCGCGATTCAAGAACGAGAAGCATTCAATATCAAGCATATGCACTTCGTCAATGAATAATACCTAGCAGAAAGAAAGAGACCATTAGATACAACATATCCCATAGCTACCACAATCTATCACGTCCAACCATATCAGTAATACTAACACCAGGAACAATATCAGCCTTGCCCTCTTCTCTCCATTCAGCCACCTTGGCATTGATTTGATCTCTCACTTCGGCTTTGATTTCACCTGTATCACCAGAGAACAATGCCAAAAAGCCCTGTGTTCTGCTGTTGATCACGTCAATTTCATGGAGAGAAACTGTGTGAACAACTTCTTTGCGCTTTTGTAATTCTCCTTCTGGACATTGCACAAATTTGGTCTACGTAGATATACATAAACATAAGCTCATCAGTACTACTCTTTGGTGGCGAAAAAAAAGAAGCTGCATTATGTCTTTATACACGTACATCTGTGCCCATAGCATCGTAATCCCGTGCTCTAGCAAAAGAGCGTCCCAATTTGGTAATGCGTCCAGAGGCTTTATCGATAGCAATAACGTCACTAAAGAAGATATAAATCTTGTCAGAAAAGCAATCATTTTGATGATATTTTCCCTCTTCTTTCCTTTCCATTCAATAATACATACCCAGCCATAACCTTTTCCTTGTTTAATGCGTCAATCATCTTGTTACCCAAATCATAAATGGTCTCCATATCTGTGGTCTTGAGCGTCAACTTGCCCGTCTTCGAGCCCTATAATTGCAAATACCACCAATAGTTATTAGTGAGATTTACATATAACAACGCTACCAGCATACAGCAACGAGTTTCACAAGTAAAGACATTCTATTGGAGCACTTACGCCTGTCAGGGATCGATCAATCTGGATCTCTACAACTTCACCTTCAATAATTTCTGATTCTTCCTTAATTCGTACACCAATCGAGCGACGGAATGCTTGAGTAAGTGCTTCGGTTTTTGACATTTCCAACGAGAAAATTTCGGATGCTGCAAGCATGGTGAATGGAACGTCGGTACCCAATCCTAATAGCAATCGAAGAAATGAATAAGCAGAACGCGTTAGTTTCCATCAATATTCTTTTTGTCTATTGTCGCCAGTGCGTTAAAGTGAAAAGGGACTATTTATACCTTGTGCCATGCCTATACACATAAGTAAAAAATTTGAACACTTTAGTAAAAAAAGCGATCTCTCTAATATTGCAGTGAGCAAACAGCAAAACAAGTTAACAGCTTCACTTACCCATTGCGATCGCGGTTTTGCCAGTGGATGGAGGACCAGCGATCAAGATTGCGCGACCGGCAATCTTGCCAGCTTCAATCATACGAAGAATGACACCTGCTGCTTTACGTGCTTTGAGTTGACCCACCATGCCTTGCGAAGTAGCGCGTGGCTCAAGTGCATCGTCAAGACCGAGGCCTCGAATGTGAGAATGGGCTCCTGTAAAACGAAAGACACGTTTATTATTAGGTTTTCGCAAGTAGTGGATTTCACAGTATGTTCTTTTGTTATAATAAACGAAGAGAGATCAAACAAGTAATTACCAACACGCTCCATTTTTAAAAGATCTTTAGATTCTGAAGCATTTACTGAAATAGAGGCCTAAATAAGCAAGATTATAAATTAGCAAGACCATTTTGCCCGTCGATTCGTACGGTTATTGTTACCATTATGCGTAAGTTTTTTAAGGAAAGCGTAAGGGAGCTGTGTGGCGGATAAAAAGAGCGCGTACTGTTCCCGCGAAAGAAAAAAAAGCAAGTCATGCTTGACGGAGGAATAGTTTTTCCTTACTGACAACTGCCTTGTTGGATGCACAGGAAATCTTAGGTCTAATCTTAGTCACTAGGCGCAAAGCAACAAAACAGATCTCAAATGTAGTCAGAATAGGAATAGCACTATGGAAAAAAAGCATGTTGACAGATCTTTCTACATCTTCCGCGTTGTATGCTATGAAATATACAGGTTTTCACTCTAGTCAACATATGTATGGGTAATGGCAGAACATCTGGTTGAGAATGCAAGAATTCAAATATAAAGCAAAATATGGTACAAAGGAGAATTGAAAAAATGCCAAATATACAAAATATGTCTGTTGTTTATGCTGCAGTTGATGATGGACTAAGATGACGCTGGGGTTGTTACTGCAGTGGCGGAAGCTGCTTGTTCTGTTGTTGGCAAGTGATAGCGGTCAAGCACCTGTTCGATCTTATGCCAGCTGCCGCGTCGGATCGTAGGACGATGATAGGGCACGACAGCAGTTGATGAGACGAGCAACGGATCTTTCCCATTCCAATAATTTGTAATAAAATGCTCGACACACTCGCTTCGGCTCCCCATATGCTGCAGGTTCGTGCTGATGCCGTTCTTGAGTCCAAAGTCGATGATATAATTTTGCGGTGTTACGGCAATAGCAGGTGCACCCGGTAATCCAGAGACCATCATGTTGAAAGCAATATCTTCACAATTGGTCCATGTATCAATAGCATGATGCACTTTTCTATCCATTAAACTATGCATTACACAGTAATTGGTCTTCATATTATGTACATGAAATATGAAACGAAAGCAAACAACATGATCTCTAACTCTTACCATGTATAGGCAAACAAGTATTCAGTGCGTACAAACATACTTTTCGTCAATACCATAGAATATGTATCTTTATTGGCGACCTTGTATACAACCTCGTGGGTATCCGGATTATACTGATGGATGCGCGGAAAATGACCGACAATGCTGTCTTTGTTGTTTCCTTGTTGCCAAACTTTGAATGTGAAGTCCAGGTCGTCGATATCAATAAATACGTCATCGTCCAAAATATACACAGCCTCAGTATGGACCTCGGTTACAGGGTTAAATCGATTGTTCAGCGAATCAAAAGACTGTGGAAGCACGCGAACGCGATCGTCCCATTCTTCCAACATAAACGCAGGCACATCTAATTTTTTAATTTGTGCCAAGTGACGAAAATTTCATGTACAAAGCTGGATTGTAAATGCGTTCCGGTTTGTATGTGCTGAGCAAAACGGAAAATCGGTCCCGGATATTTGGTTGTTGTTGTTGTTGTTGTTGTTGTTGTTGTTGTTGGCTGCCTCCTCGTATATCCGATGATGAGCATATCGACTTGCGACGGTCTCGGTTTGACCAATCATTGGCTAGGTGTTGTTACAATACCACGGCTTTTTAGCAACAATGCTGCACACCACCAGCAAATGCAATTGAGGATTTATATATTTATACCTGCTGTTGATGGTGAAGCAACCAAAGTGTCATACAGACTGCGCCATCGATGAAATGCGATAGGATCGTAAAATTTGCGCCAGTCAGTATTAGGGGTCGCAATCTGACCCACGGGTCAAAACCGACCCGCGGGTTGAGGACGGGTCAACGGGTCGGGTTGATGCTTTTCTGACCCGCGGGTCAACCCGTCTAACCCTTGACCCGACCCGTTGACCCGTTGTGACCCGTGTATACATATGATATCTATGAGGTACTTGTATTCAAGTACTCAATTTTCTTGTTGGAAAGGATCATTATATTAAAGATGTAGTTGTCAATATGTCTGCTATAGAACTGTAACATAAAACGTACTTATATTCTTTTTCATTGTGGGATCATATTTTATATTCAAAAGTGTAAGATAAGTAAGCTATAAGCAATATATGTAATAGTAGTAAAGAAGTAGCAAAGTAAAGAAGTAGCAATAGTACAATGAGAATAGACAATAGAGAGTGGCAGTGAGAGACGAGATTTGACAAAAGACGTAGAAGGAATTAAGAAAAGAGAAATGAAAGAAGAAGGAAGAAATGAAAAGAAAAGGGAAAAGGGAAAAGGATTAGGGGCATTTAAAGGAAGTCGATTTTTAACCACACTTTAACCATTATGCTTTCTTTAATGCATGTGAGCGCAAACGATTTCTTTTGCTATAGCACGAACCCTTTACCTTTAAGAATAATCACACAAAAGGTAGATATTGCTAGCAGTGCTAGGAATTTGCGTGCCATCATCTTAGAGAGCTGTGTATACATGTAGTTTTGCACTTCCAGTGCTCAAGCTCAGGTTGATTGACACCTCCTTTGTCACCAAATCAAAATCAGTAGTGACCCGTCAATCGAGTTTTGACCCGTCGGGTTGAATGGGTCGGGTCAGGTCGGGTCAGTGTTTTCTTGACCCGTGGGTCAACGGGTCAGACCCTTGACCCGACCCGACCCGTCCAATTGCGACCCCTAGTCAGTATCGTGGTATTGATAAAAATCCTATGGTTTCATCGGTCCGTTGAACCAGAAAATTTCCTACAATTCCATGTTTAAGTTCTCTTTTTTTTTCTGCGTTTTTCTGTTTCTAAAAGTAGAAATGTGTTGTTTGCGTCACAAACAAACAAAGAGTAGTGCATCATCATACAGTCAGGCTTATGGAAATTGGCGTTTTCTAAAAAATAATTAGCCGAAAGTCAAAAAAAAATTGATCGGATTTTAAATAAATGTCACAGGGTTAAATTATTTTTGGCACAAGTTGGTAACTAAAATTAGCAGATGGTTTTGACGGTTTTTTTTTCCTTTTGCTTCTTTACAAAAATATAACATACAGCCAAACCTATGGAAATTAGCGTTTTCGCAAAAATAATTGTCATTTCCGTAAAAATAATTGGCCGAATGACAAAAAATAAATTTCATAAGCTCAATTTTCTTTGTCATTTTGGTTAAGAGCATCTCCAACCGACGTTTTTAAATTAGGGTTTTTGTTTAAAAACCTCGAAATAAAAACTATTTTGCTCCAACCGGGGTTTTTGAATAGTTTTTAAAATAAAAACTTTTTTAATTTTAGCAGGACCGTTTTTGCAACGTTTTTGTTTTACACAGTAGACTTGGCTCTTTCATGCATCAGATACTGACTAAGATGGTAGCCTCACCATGCAAAGTAGAAAGTTCGTGTTACAAATAAAGAGTAGAAAAGACCAACTTTTTATTGCTTTCATATAAGCTTTAGCCGAATTTTGTTCTTTTGCTTTAATTTTTTTATACTTGGCCATAATGTCAAATGTAAAATGTTCCCATTGTTCTGATACTTTTACAACCAAAGGGGACTGGCCATAGTTATGATGATTTTAATGCAGTCTAGTAACCCTAGATGACTAATTAGCTGAAATATGTCAGGATAGCCAAACTAATTTTTATTGAAATAATTCATGCACGAATGTCTTGGCATGCATACATTTAAATTTTTGAAAAAAAAATAAAAATTGAATTTTTTTTAAATATAAAAATAACACCACAGAATATAAAGCAAAATATATTTGTTATATTTTTTAGCACTCCAACAAAACTACCCCAAACGAAAACACAACATGGACCAAATGAACCTCCTCACATTTATTGCCATTATGGCTGAATTTATTCCTATTTTAGGAATAACATTGACGCTTTTAATAGAAAGAGCAAAGCATCTTACTGAACATCATCAAGATGTTAGTGAAAAAACAATTGCTGACCAACTGAGGGTCGAACTTGAAAAGGACCTCAAAAAGGCTAACATAACAAAGGAAGTAAGGGACGAGAACCGTACTGCAATAATGGGATGGATTAGGGCTTTTGCAAAATTCCTCAAATCCTCAAATCCTCAATTTTACGATGCAATGTTAGAGGGTAACACCTCTGGTGCAGATTCCTCGCAGGGCGGCAAAGAATTCCGATTCCAAAATACTAAAGGGCTGTTCACATATATTTGTAAGGACTTCCATTTAACAAAAGAACAAATCATGGAATGGTTTATAAAACATAAACGTATTGGTTATCGAATTGAAAAGGCAATTGCATGTGATGAAATTGCACCAGAAACTGGTGAGAAACATGTTCATATATAGATACAAATGAATGAGTGGTTCGACACAAAAACAGCACATAAATTCTTTACTATCGATGGTGTTACTCCAAATATTAAACCAGGTGGTAATCCACAAAAGTCCATTAGCTACTGTATGAAAGGAAAAGATTATATTTGTTATAATATGGATCCAAATTATGAAGTTAAGACCAGAAAAATGCACCAACAGTTACTTGGATATCAATTAATTATGAAGCAGCTTAATATGCGGAAGGCTACCGAAATATATCCAGAATTGCTATGGAAATATGATACTGTAAAATCAAATTTAAATTCTTACTTTCATGATGCAGATATGGAAAATAACCCTAGAAATAAATTACATATATGGTCTATGTTTAGGATTGAAACAATGTTTGGTGGTAAAAATAAGATACCACAATACTGGATTGTAGGTCCATCAAATGTAGGTAAGACATATAACATTGATGTATTAGAACAAGGTGGCCATCGAGCATATCTAATGAATAAAGAAAATGATTGGTCAGATTATAAGGATGATGATTATGATTTTATGTATAATGAAGAAACAGGTTCTGATTTCAAATTAACATTTTTAAACCAAATGTTAGAAGGAACACGGTTAAAACTTAATGGCAAATTCACAAAGTCAATAACTAAAAAGAAAAATATGCCAATAATACTGAATAGTAACTATATGCCGCACATGTTATACAAGAACAAATCAGTATATGAGTTAGAGCCAACGCTCAATCGTTTATATATTATCTATGTTGATAAGAACCGTAAAGGTCATATAATATGGAATCCATACACAATGAAGGTGAAGGATTATGAAAATAAATTCATGTATTATGAAAACATGGATATGTATGAGGACTTATACAAAGGTGAATTCGAAAACGAATACCAAGATCAGCATACATTTATCCGTTATGCACATAATAGTGGTCAGGATGATATTAAAAAATATACACCGATGGATAAAACAGTAGAGGAACTACAAGAATTAGCTGACACAGAAGAATATATGAAGGAACAAGAAGAAAAACATAATAGTAATAATACACAGAACAATAAACAACATAATCCGCCTCAACAAAATAATAGAGGATGGTCAACTATAAAGGTACCATCATCAGTAGATTGTAGGCATTGGGAAGATGTGTTTAATGATATAAAATGTGATGATGTTGTAAATGATACTACTGATTGGGAAAACCCACCAGAAGATATAAAGGAACATAAATACATAGATGTAAGTACATCTGAATCAGAGAAAAGCAGTGACTGCAACATACCAAATAATATACCAAAACGTAAAAAGAAAAAAAGACACATTAAAAATAAACGGAGAAACAAGCAAATAGTAGAAGAAATACAGCCAAAAGAATATTTTTAAAAGCATAAGGATATAAAAAAGGCTATAATAGATGATTCAGATATAACAAAAGAAACTGACGTCAAAAATAAATCAACAGATACTAATATAAGTACAAGTATAACTAATGAATGCATAAAACATAAATATAATTGGGCAAATAAACGAAAGGTTGATGTGGTCAGTTTCAATATGAGATTTTTTAATAAGCAAATAAGTAAGAAATTAATTTAGAGCTGAATACCATGTGTGGCCATATATTCATGTAGCATTTCCCGGGAATTAAACTTATCAACTGTTAACCAACTATTATCCTTTACACTATATCCAACCCACTTAACCTCAAATATGTACTTATTATCAGTTAGGGGTCGCAATTGGACGGGTCGGGTCGGGTCAAGGGTCTGACCCGTTGACCCACGGGTCAAGAAAACACTGACCCGACCCGACCCGTTCAACCCGATGGGTCAAAACTCGGGTTGACGGGTCACTACTGATTTTGATTTGGTGACAAAGGAGGTGTCAATCAACCTGAGCTTGAGCACTGGAAGTGCAAAACTACATGTATACACAGCTCTCTAAGATGATGGCACGCAAATTCCTAGCAGTGCTAGCAATATCTACGTTTTGTGTGATTATTCTTAAAGGTAAAGGGTTTGTGCCATAACAAAAGAAATCGTTTGCGCTCACATGCATTAAAGAAAGTATAATGGTTAAAGTGTGGTTAAAAATCGACTTCCTTTAAATGCCCGTAATCCTTTTCCCTTTTCCCTTTTCTTTTCATTTCTTCCTTCTTCTTTCATTTCTCTTTTCTTAATTCCTTCTACGTCTTTTGTCAAATCTCGTCTCTCACTGCCACTCTCTATTGTCTATTCTCATTGTACTATTGCTACTTCTTTACTTTGCTACTTCTTTACTACTATTACATATATTGCTTATAGCTTACTTATCTTACACTTTTGAATATAAAATATGATCCCACAATGAAAAAGAATATAAGTACGTTTTATGTTACAGTTCTATAGCAGACATATTGACAACTACATCTTTAATATAATGATCCTTTCCAACAAGAAGATTGACTACTTGAATACAAGTACCTCATAGATATCATATGTATACACGGGTCACAACGGGTCAACAGGTCGGGTCAAGGGTTAGACGGGTTGACCCGCGGGTCAGAAAAGCATCAACCCGACCCGTTGACCCGTCCTCAACCTGCGGGTCGGTTTTGACCCGCGGGTCAGATTGTGA